TCGACATATAAATACAAAAATGGAAGAATTATATCATAATGAATTAAGAAACATTAATCATCAATGACACGAAACGTAGTATCGATTAGAATTATTGGAAACAATTTAATAAAAAGAATAATAACCAATATAAGTGGAATTTGAGAAAACTATCAATCGTAAAATCGAAATCATGATGGATGAGATTCAAATAGAGTGCTTTAAAGGTAGATTTTCATAAATTGGAAGAACGAATAGCTAAATTTGAATTGAAACCAGATACTTAAATAAAAATTCAAGATAACTAGAGTTAGCATAATGATAAGAGAGTTGAATAGTAATTAAGTGAAATGAGACGGCTTATGGAGGTGTTATTAAAAGATCAAGATATTTTAAAGAATAATGTTCAAAATTTGCATATTGGATTTAATTAGTATAAAGTTCCTGCTTTAACCCAAATTTAAAATCAAGTAAGAAAATCTGTGGTTTAACAACCAGAGGGAGAATCTATAATTTAGCCCAAAATATTAGCCAAAGATGATAGTAAAACAAGTAAGAATAATAAGAAGTAAAATTCGCAAAGTCGTTCATAATCAAATAAGAAGCTTGGAGATAAAATTAATTTTAAATTGAATCGAACTAAAACTAGTAAGCAGATTTTACATTAAAAGAAATGATCGAATGTTGTTTTATTAATTCAATAAAAATGATCATATTTTACTTGTGCAAAGTTGAAACTTTGTTAATTTAAAAGTCATAGTTTAAATTAATATTAGTATTATGGCAAAACAGATATTAATCTCTTCACCAGTTATCTTTTGGTTTGAGACAAATTTATGATATTGCATTTGGTTTATAAAATTATACCTTTGGAAACTTCCATCTAAATACAAAAATAATTAATGTGGCAGTTTTACTTAATTTAATACAAATTCTTAATTATTCTTCTTATAATTAAAAATAATTAATAAACAAAATCTAAGACACATCAATTTATTGGAACAGATTGCGTTTTAAATATCAAATATAAATAATTATATTTATCAAATTAATAGAGACTTTATATATTATTAAATCTTATTTGCTCTTATATTAATTTTCAGAATATAAGTGCATGTAAATCAACATTTTTTTCAATTATTTTTTAAATTGATTTAATCAAATTGTATGGCATCAATTGAATAGCTATCTAAGGTGGAGGATCATGAACAGATACCCTAAGTTGATTCTTCAACTCCATCACATGAATCAGATTCTTCAGACTCTTCCTATGATTTCGCTTAAGACTTAAACCAAAAGCCCTCATTTAAGAGATCACCAGAAGAGGAAAAAGAGCTTCTGTATAAATATAGAGGTATATTTTAAAAAATGAAACAATAGGTAAACATGGGCTAAAGTATGCCAAAATATCAAATGAATAACGACAGAAGTTAATAAAATAAGTCACAACTACCGGCTGTACCATAAAAAGTGCAGCTAAAGAATTAAATATCAATTTTTCAACTGCTAAGGCAATTATGCAGATCTATAGAAAAGAGGGTCGGACATCAAAGAAAATCAAGAGGGATAACAAGAAAACACTGTCCACTAAGTAAGAAATTCTCAACCAAAGTATTTACAAATTTTTAAATTTTTAGCCACTTCTGATAAACCAAATTATGATGAATAAAGACAGACAAAAGTTGATGTAGTCCAAGATAATTTGGAAACAAATCTTTATCAACAAGCAGAAGAGACTAATAGGAATTAGGCTCTATTAATTTAATAATTGAATACGTAGGTAAATAAACTCAAATTAATGAATTTTAGAATATGTTATTATCTGGCAGAGTACAGTAATTGCAATAGGAAAAATAATAATTAAATCAAAACTTCTCCTACCTAACTTATTAATATAACCAATTATAATAAATGGTATCAAAACTAAAAATATCATTCATAGATGTCTCAAATGGTGCCTTCGTATTATCGACCTTATCCTTGATTATGATCTTGTATTATTGTATTAAAATATGTATTAAATCAAATAAAACAAATCCATTTAAGAGTCATTAATTATTTACAACATCTGAAATTAAGAATGCCATTTTATTTATGTAAATCTAAAATCAAATATTTTATTCGAAGAAATCAATAATAAATATTATTTTCTAATGAAACTGAAATCAATTGAAATTATTATCTTTAGACTATTCTATTCAAATTTAGAAGAATGTTTTAATTATAAATATTCCTTAGCCACCCACATATTCTTGTCTTATTTCAAATATTTTATAAAATTGATTATTTTCATCAAAATTAGAAAGGTATATTGTTATATAACTAATATTGAAAAGCAAATCTATATGCTATTACTTCAAATCTATCTAGATGATGTAATTGCCAATCGATTAAATAATCAAACAAAGATCAACTGTATATCCATTTATTAAAGTAATTAATATTTAAGGAATTTGAGCTCTTTATTAACTACATATGCTATTATATCATAAAAACATCTTTGATGTTATAGTATAATAATCATTTCATTGTTACCTCCGATATTCTAGTTATTTTATAAAAAATTTCCATCTGATTTGCATTAAGGTGTTTTATTCCTTATATAATTGAAATTTTGCATATTATATAACTAAGGCCCACCAGGGGAAATAAAGTTTATGACACTTTTAAAAGAATTTGATGTGAGATTGTTTGAGTCATAATTGTTGATTTTTATTTAGATCTCAATGTTTATTCTAAGAGCTTTTGAGAATACAGAATCCCTGTATTTTGCAAATTATTTTCTTGATACTTAAACCAATAAATATAAATCACTTAAGCATAGAGTCAACCAGATCTTAATTATAATTGCAAATTCTTAATTCTTTTATTAAATTAGATTATTTACTGGATATACTCACAACTAGTAGTCTAATCACCATTCTTCATAGAAAAGTGGATGTCTGATTATTATCTATCAAATCATTAATGAACCTAGATATTCTTAATATCAAATCCTAATTTGTTAAATTAGGAATAATATAAGTCTATACATAGCCTTCTTTCCTAAATTAATAGTTTATATCAGCAAAAATAAACTTCGTGTATTAAGGGAGGCCTATATTGACTTATCAGAAGCTTTATCAGCTGTTGAATTTAATTAAATAGATATATATTGTATTTGGTGATAAATATGACAGTTAATTATATATATAATCAATTTAGAATTTATTATAATTAACAAAATGGAAATCGATCAAACATGCTCTCAACATCCTAAATAAAAAATCGGCTGGGTTTGCTTAGAGAAGCAGTGCATGCAACGAGTAATGTGTTCACCTTGTGCAGTTAAGCATCATGAAAAATCGCATAAAGTAAAAATTTGAATTCACATTTAAAAGTTAGAAGAACTTTCAAATTTATTAGATAATGGAGTTTTATAAATGTATTAAAGCAACAGCAAAAATGTAAGTCCTGGTCTTAAATATTTGATTAATGGCGAACCTGAATTAATCCAAGAGGAAAATAGATGCGGAAATGAAAATAACTATTTTTAAAGTGTGATAGAGAGAAATCTCGGTGGAGTGCAAAAGAAAATGGATGCATTTAAAAAAGAGTTTTAGGATAAATAAAAGGAGATTAAATAAAGTAATTAAGAAGAGAGAAATGAGATCATTACTACTTTAGAATAATTCAATGAAAAAATAAAAGTCTCAGAAGATGTTGGAAATGATATTGAAGAAGCTTTTAAAAAGATCTAATCATATGTCAACCATAAAGAATACGAATTCAAAAATAATAAAGAAGGAGAGATTGTAAATAAAAAGTAAAAATTTTGCAATATAAAATTTAGAATTTACCTTCTTAATTTAATGAAGGATAACTTCGTGAAAATGATAAAAACTTATTTTAGTAATGCTTTTACAATAGAATTTTGTAAGCTATTCGATATGCAAATGGAAACATTAAATTCGAAAGAAGTTCAAGATGTGAATGGATTTTTAGATTATGTGGACAGTAAATGGAAATAAGATTATAAAAACCTTTAAACATCCATAGAAAAATTCGTTTAAAAATTGCATGAGGGCCTCAAATATATTATTCAATTGCCTTTACAAGAGGAGAAAGTATTAGTTATATAATATCTTATTTTAGACCTTAAAGTAATAAATTGTTGTTCCATAATTTACTTCTCCATCAAGAAATCCTGTTTAGTTTCAATAATAGCCTTAATTTGTTCCATTAACACCTTACAATCAAGTACCTCCTCAATATCAGTTCCATTCATAAGTGCAATTGACTGGTTAAAGGATATATCCGAATTAAAACTAATTCAACTCTGCTCAAGTGCCATTAGCTGATGTAGAAAACGATTATTTTGCATAATCATAAATAATTTATGAAGAGCCTTAGACGCGGAATAATACAAGACCTGATTTTGTTAGTTAGAGTTTATAATAATATAAATGATATAAATTTATAAAAAACTAGATACTCCTGTAAAAAAATATTAGCAATGAACTTATTATCAATCATTAATTGAGTAATTGGGTTTATAGATCTGTATATAGTTGCCAAAAGTAAGAAATTAAAATATGGTAGGTTAATGAAGGATTAATCTAGATATATACTTTAATATAGATAATAGATGGTTAAAACTTTTTGTATTAATTTTTTCTCTTTTTAAGCTATCACTAATTTTGAACTTAGAAAACAATAAAGAACAATCTCTTTTTATAGAATTATTTTTTATAATGTTTATTTTTTTATATATGCTTTTTGGATTTACTTTATATGATATTTATATAATTTTTAATTTATTATAATCATGGATGATACAAGCGAATAGCTGGATCGAATTAATGCTACGGCTGAAAATATAAAACAAAATTCTATAAAAGAAAGCTTGAAAAGGATTTTAAAACTTATAAAGAGTTTGAAAAAAAATGTTTAAAAATAGAAAAAAAAATTAAATATCCTACAATCATATCTGTCTTTAGGAATAATTTCAATTATTTATTCTGGATTAATGTTTTTAATGCACTAAACAAATTAGGAAGTCTATTCATAATTTTTGAACAATTTAAATCAAGATATTATTGTTGATTTTTATATTGAATGGAATGCACCAACTTGTAACTCTTCATATGAGCCACTAATTGAACATAAATATAGAAGAGTAATCAAAGGCTGCGATTGCAGTTAAATTAAAAATATAACTTAGGAACAAAATCATAAGTCAGAAATCTTTATTGAAAAGGAATGTACTTATTCTAATTTGAAGCAATCATGCTTTACGTTTTCTTAAGAACTTTATTCCGATTTAATTTATTTAAACAACAATGATTTTGGAGCTCGTATATATACATATCTATATAGCGTTTCTAATTTGTGCAAAAAGAGAAAAGAATGTCTCTTTGAAGAACAATTTTACATATTGTTAGCAATAGGAAAGGAATATCTGTGGCTCTAAGGTTTAATATTGTTTGCCCAAAAATATAAGCTGTCCTATTTCAGAATTTGGAATAAAAAATAAAGAAACATTAGATATAACTCTAAATTATACACAATTAGATCTTGGTAACAATATTGTTTTTTTTTTTCGTTCTGATTAAGATAGGTTACCCATTTCTTAAGTTTATCTTATAAAAGGAGAGAAGATGTGTAAGTTAAATAGCCAAAAAGCCTTTACTGAACAATAAATTTTATCAGAAAATTAACTAGAGGTTTGTAAAGAATTTGATAATGTATTCTAAAATGTTTATGCATTATCTGAGGAACAGTTATTTTTATCAAATAATTTACTTTAATATAAAAATGAATTAAATCATTTTTACATTGATAAAAATCATAGTTGGACTTTGCAAGCGAAACCTTATACAGAAATAGAAGAAAAATGCTAAGAAAATGACTACTTTGAAAAAATGTTAAACAACACATATGAAGAAGACCTTCTTATAATAAAATCAATTCAATTAATTGTAATATTGATTTTACACATTGCCTTAAAACTGGCAGAGTAATACATAATTAGCTAATAGCTAAAATAAAATTATTATAGAAATAATTTGATGGTTTAGTAAAATTAATAACCAGCAGATTTCAGTTTTCATTAACAGCAATAATTGAATAAAAATTAAAATGAAAATATTTAGTTATAGGAATAGGAACCACCTAACATTTCTTAAAATAATTAATTTAGAAAAATATAAATAATCCGCATCATCCACTCAATTATTTAAGTCATAGTAATCGTAACAATTTATATTCGAATTAATTATTTTATTGAAGAAATTTAATAAATCATAAGTATCCCTTGCATAAAAAATGATGATGCAAACAACTACTTAAAATATTATACCTAGGATCATCCAATTTCTTCATTTTTGAATTACTTAATTTTTTTCATAGGTATAGCATACGGTATTAAAATTATAAATCCCTGCACCTAAATATTTTGTGGAGTATAAATAAAAAGAATAAGGATTATTCCTAATACAATATGAATATGTGGGATAAAGGCTCTTTTATTTTGAAAAATTTGTGATTTTCAGTAAGATAATTTTTGCTTATTTTAATTTATTAATATTATTTAAAATGATATAACCAAAAACCTTATTAATTTAATGGTAAATCTGAATCTTACCGTAAACACAAAATTTCCTTTTAAAGTGAATTTTATTTAATAAACACCATATTTTTTTATCGAATTTTATCTAAATTAATTTAATTTCAAACAACCATCAAAACAAATAGAATTTTTATTATTTGTTAATATTCTTCCATACATCGATTTCTAGTATAGTTTGATTCTTTTTGTATTTGATAAAATTTTATTCTACCTTAGGACTGAAATTTTGTTCAAAAGAAATAACCTTCTAGAAGACCTTAAAATATTTGTTAATCTTGTTTTTATCAAAACATCATTTGAATCAAGAACCAGATTTTGTTTCATAATATGATACTAATAATTCAGTTAAGTGCTTTGATAAAATTTATATTGATTTATTGCTTCAACAGAAATTTCTATTTTACAACAACTCTTTAATTTGAATCTAACTTTAAATTGTAAATCTAATTATGCAAATTAATATAATATTAAATCAAACTAAGAAAATTATAATATTTTATGTTTAAAAGATTTATTCATATTTAATTTTGTACATTAAATAATTAACTCAAAAGAATAAGATTATTTACACCTGCTTTTGTTTGAGTAAGGTTTTTAGCCATTTAATAATTTGAAGATTATTGATAACTTCTATACTTAAGAATTCTTTCAGATACAATTTCAAATGAAAAAAGGAATGACCCCACATTGCGTATATTGTGTTGAGCAATATTTCACCAAGCTTCTCATACTTCACAATATTCGGTGATTATAAAAAGGATAGATACTTCTTACTTAATACATTCAAATGAGTTATGGACTAAGAAATCTAAATAAAGAGACATTCAAAGAAAGATTAAATTATGGTTTCAGAAATGGGATTGGAAATTAATTCGATCTCTACAGATAGTTCTGCTCCATTTAACTTTTATCGTAAATATACCTTTAATTTTTCAGAAATGCTATGCTGTTGAAAATTCGTAGATTTAGTTGGACCTTGTTATGAATGAACCAAGCGATTATATTATTTGGAATAAGATCTGTAATTTTATCTATGTTCACATATAGAAATAATTTCTAAATATTAGCAATACAAAATAGTTATTCAGACTCTCCTATTCATTTGAATTATATTTAGAATATAATTTATCCCAATTTATTTTTAGGTTGAAGCGCAATAATAGTATGATAAGCACTTAAAAAACACCGTAGACAATTAATCCTTTCTAGGCAAGATTTCAATAACCATATTTAAAAAAGTATAAATAATGGTTTATCTTAATTAAGACCTAAAATATTACATACTCTTAAGTGGGAGTCATTTTAAAACTATTTTGAAAGAGAATCTTTTTCTTATTTATCAAAATGTTTCTGATTCATTGCCATTAATGATAGAGTCTATCTTTAGTTTTCCTTTTGGCCATAAAGAATCCAACATTCTGGATAATATTCTTGAACTAAATCTGGTTTTTCTACATAGCCTTAATCATGGCATGAGGGCAATTAGTGAGTAGAATTTGTAAATAAAATGAGGAAGTTTCATTTTCAGCTCCTCTTTTTAAATTGTATAAGCATTTCACAAAACTAACTGTGTTAAGCAATCCAGCATTCATCAATTCACTTAAGAACTTCAAAATTGTCTATCCTAAATAGGAGTTTCCTCTTAAGTAATTTTTATAAATGCTCCAATTGTCAAAGTATGATTTGATCAGTCAAGCTTAAGTTGCTTGTTATGATATCTACTTACAATTTTTTTGGTGGACAAAAGAGCCAGATTGTCGCATAAATTCCAGATTTAAGAGGTAAAAGTTTTGCACTTTAAATTATAAATTAAATCATAGCAACTTTCACTTCTTATTCAATTTATTGATAATATTCGTTTAAAACATCAACTATCATTAGTAAATCCTTTTTAAAATTGTCTGCTCCATCATCACCTACTCTACATATTTATTATTAATCTCAAAATATGCTAATGATCTTATTCTAGTCTTTCAGGTGGTACTTTATGTGAAATCGGCAGCATATATAAAATCAATATTTAATTGCATAAACAATTTAATTTTTCATATTTATATATACGTTAAACATGCTATCATCATCTAAGCTATTCAATAGTCAATCTCAATTAGAATGTAATATCCATTTAAATTGTTTACTTAGAGTGTCTGTTGGATATCTCAACCAAGATTTTACATGACTCAGCAATTGAATCCAATAAGGACTCCAAAAGCATAGTTTTTAATAGAATCAAAGAAATCACTCTTGAAGCTTTCTCCAAATAGTTTACTGATGAAATCCATCGTTTATAAGCAGAATTAAGATAAGAATAAGCATTGAATGATTAAATTAAAAGAGAGTTCTTGGAAAGGGAAGAAACTATAATCCAAGAGTTTGAATCTAAGCAAAGAGAATTTCAATTATAACAAATAAGAGAAGTTTAGGAATTATAGGATTTACTAGAAGCATCAGAAACATAACTTCAAGTAAATTTAAATTTCAAAATTAGAAATATTAACAATAAAATGATAAGCTTAATAAGCAAATAAAGGAGTTATAATAGAAAGAACAATAATTATTGAAAGAGAATTTGAATGCAAAGGAAAATTTGTAGTAATGTGATTAACTATAAAATCTCTTAAATTCTGAGTTGAATGATATGAGATCAAGAAATGAGTCTCTTAATTAATTAAATTAGTAATTAGATAGATAAAATAGAGATTTCAAAAATGAATGTGAACTTACATTGAAAGAACTTACTGAAGTAAAAAGAAAATCATAATAGTAAATGGATCTGAATCTTCAATTAGATGAGGAAATTGAATAATACAAAGTTGAAATTGAGTAGATTAAAACGAAAAAACACTAAGAAATATCTAAACAAAGAGAACTTCTTGATTAATTAAAAGAAAAGAGTAATCAAAAAATAAATGAATTGAAAAACAAATTAAAAGAAGCTTAAAATATTGAATAATATTAGTAAGAGCAATTGGATGAACTTTAAGAATTAATTAAATAATCAGAAAATCAATTAAAGCAGTTATAAATTAATCATAAATAAGATCTTAAATAAATGGAATAATAATACACTAAATAAATTTAAGATTTGGAATAGTAATTCTTAGACGAAAAATTAAACTTGGAGGAGAATTTAACAACATCTTTTGAATAAGTTATTATAGATAAGGATAGACAAATCTAAGATTTAATGAAGGAAGTCAAAACGAATAAAGATAAATTATACCAATAAAATTTAGAATTTGAGAATATGTAAAGATAATAATAGAACCTTGAAATGGAGATTAATCATTTAAATGAGGAATTAAATTAGTAAAATTACGATTAAGAGGAGTTAGAAAATAGAAATAGAAGTCTAGAATTGGATATCACTAAAAAAGACTAAAAATTAAAAGTTTTACTTTCAGAATTAGATGATATTAAAGTATTCTAAGAATAAACCTTAAATACCATAAGAGAAAACTAAGACTATATTACTGAAATCGAAAAAGAAAACTAATAACATTAATAATTTTTATAACACATTTAAAATCTATTGGAAATTTAAATTAAAGGATCATTTTCTTTTTAAAGATTAGGATAAGAAGTAGAATAAAAATTGAAATAACATAAGGATGATATAAGAAGATAGAACGAAGAAATAAAAAAGAAAGAGGAATTACATAGTTTAGAATTGTAAGACAAGGATTCAAAACTTATGCTCTTGCAGGATAATTTTAATGATGAAAACAACAAAATTTAGTCTCAATTATAAGAATAATAAGTTGAAAACAGAAGATAAAGAAATGAATTTAAATAGAAAATTGATGAACAGAATAAAATTATAATTGAGTTATAAAAAGATTAAATTGAGAGTAATAATTAAATTGAATTCCTACAAATTCAGAATTAATAAATTATTTAAGATTTAGAATCAAATAATGATCAATTGGAATGTGCTAAATTAGAAATCTAAGAAATGATGAAAAAAGATAAAATTTAAAATGAGGAAATAGGCAAAAAAATTAGCCATTTGAACAATGAAAACACTTAATTACAAATTTAACTAGAAGAACAGAAATTTAAATAAAAAACATTAAAATAGCGAATTATTAGAGCATTTGGTAGATATAAGGAATTAACATCCATTTAACTTATTGAATTAAGAAATTTTTTAATCAATAAATAAAAGTAGTTAGAAAGTGATTGCAAATTAATCTTGCATAATCTATATAAAAAATAATTGCTTATTACAGAAAATAAGATATAAATGATAGAGGATGAAAGATAATATGAAATGGAGTAAATGAATTTGGAAATGGAGAAAAAATTAGATAATTTCAAGAAGTAATTTAAACAATCAGAATAATTAATATATGAAGAAGGTTAATTAAAATTAAAATAGAAATAATAGCAAATAGAATAATTAATGACATCGAAAGCTAACGATTTTGAATTTAAAAATTAAATTTCATTGTTAAATAAGGAAAATGAAGAACTTTAAAAATAATTATTGTTGCAAGAACAAATATTTCTAGAATAAAAATAAAATTTTGAGCTAGAATTTATGAATTTAAATAAACTCATTAAAGAATAATAGGAAGAATTGTATTTATTATTAATATAATTAGAATATCATAATAGTAGTTCTCTGAATATACAATGAGTAGAGAGAGATAATTCTTTGAATAAAGATATTAAGACTTTAAACTAAAATAAGAAAAAAAAGTAGATTTAATTTAATAAGATTATTAATTATAAATTTCACAACTAGAAAATATAATTTAATAGCCTAATAAATTGAAATCTTAATCTCCAAATAAAAATATTCAAAAATCTCCCATTTAAAATCAGTAACCCAAATTATTAAGTAAAAATTAATAAAATATTGAGACAATAAATCATAAAGTTTTGGAAGTCCAAGCCTAAATTTATCAACAAAAACACCAAATAAAGCAGTGAATTCAATTGATAATACAGACAAAACGATAGAAGAATTAAGATTAGAGATCTAGTAATAAAAACAAAAACTAAGTAGAATGAAATTGACATTTACTGAAAGTCAAAAAAAACAGTATAAAAGAAATTGATTACAATAATTTTATTGTGATTGTATACTATTTATTTTATAGTTAAAAACCTAAGTTATTTACTTTTATTATTAAAAAATATATAAAATTAATTTAATAAATGAATTAAATAGGTAAAAAAGGTGTGATTAAGTCCTTACTTTTGTTTATTTAAAGATTTTAAATTATTTACTTATTAAAACCCTATAGACACTAATGTTTATTATGTAAATTAGAATAACTAAAAGGTTACTATAAAACAAATATCTTAGATAAATATTATATGATATAATGATTGCAATTATGAATCATCATAAAATCACTTCATCCTATTCTGTCTTTTTTTACTTCATTTAAAGTAAAATGAAATCTGATCTTTTGTATGATGGTGCTGTTTCAATTTCTCTGAGTTTCAAAGGACCTTTTTTGATCAATAACTGTATAAAAGCAAAAAAATTACTTATTCTTAATCTTCTGTTTCTTCTAATTGAGGAACATCAACAGGTTATTAGTATTCAGGAGGTAAGGAGCTTGAATCTCCACCAACGATGTGTATCTCCTCTTCTGATTCCTCTGTATGTTCAGGAGGTAATGAGCTTGAATCTCCACCTACAATAAGAGGCTCTTCTGGTTCATCTCTGTATTGAGGAGGTAATGAACTCTCGTCTGCACCCAAAATATGAGGTTCCTCTGGTTCGTCTCTATTTTAAGGAGGTAAGGAGTTCTTATCTCCACCAACTCTTATATGATCATTTCTTTCTTGCTAATTGATAATGTTAAATCATTACTGTCAAAGCTTCTTTTTCTTCATCGGTTGTTTTGTTGTCAATTTCTTTATCATATAATTCATATAATTATGAGAAAATAGCTAATTGTTTAAGTAACCTTTAATGTTCCTCAACATAATCATTGTAGGCTAGAACACCATCATTTTTTGCTACTTCAATAGCTCTGTCAATGTCTGTTACTCTTTCTCTGCATTATTGAGCACTGTATTATAAAGCGAGCAATTAATCACCTAAGTTTTCCTAATCACTTTAGAAAAATTTAATTTACTAATTGTTTTCCTAATTCAACAATCTTTTATTCAAAGAATTCATTTTCTTTGAGGATTCTTTACTTCCATTCAAGATAAGCTAATCCCACTCTGATCATATCAGCTTATGCAACTGGAATATGAGAATTGATATGAGCCTCTAATTCATCCAAAACTACTAGGATTTCATTTCTAACTTCTTAGAATTTCTTCATTTCAATTGGACCCATATGTGTTTAAATCATATTAGGGTTTTCCTCTCTTTCAATTTCCATTGTTCTTGTTAATTCCAAAAATTCATATTTCTACTCCTTTATATCCTAAAGGAATGATAGGATATTTTTCATAGCTTATGATTTTTATGCATATGAGGTGCCTTCTGAAACTATTTTTTCAAGTTATTCTTTAACAAATACTGAGACTGTTAATGAAATTTTATCATCTCTGACAGTTTCAACGAAGTTCAAAGATTGTCTACATTATAGATCTTCAATAGTTTGAATTCTATTTTTATTGACGTGAATTCTATGTTCGATCCATGAAATTAAATCAGACATTTCTTAGATTTCTGTTTTTTTATTGATTACATTCTCATCTCTTCTATCACAATCAGCCTCTTGATCAGTCTTTGTTTATTTTAATGCCTAAATACTTGCTTGTTTCATCTTAATCATAATTTATGAATCAATACTTTTTATGTTAATACCCATTCAGCATCTAAAGTTACAATTTGCTCATGGATATCATCCTTCAGTTCTAAAAGTAATTCTTGCACATGCTTAATATCATTATGTGCCAGAACAACACATGCCAAAAATGCAAAAAGCACTATTTATTTCATCTATTAATATTATAAAAACGGGTAATTAATATTTTATATCCATTTTAATTTATAACTATAAATATTTCCATTTTTATGCAATTTCTTATGTATTGAACAATAGATCACTTTTTCAATCTTTTAACATCTCTCTCCTTTGATTATCCTTAAGAATCATATGCATAAATTGAAGGTAACTTATGTAAATAATCACTACTATACAAAAAATTATAAAATATGTGTTTATGTCAGAATTATCAATTCCTACATTGAAAATCTTTATTAAAGTAATAAAATACTTTGATAGGCAATTTTTTTGAAAATAACAATTATAGGATAAAATGATGATAAATAAGTGAAACAGAAGAGAATTGTGAGAAGTTTTAACATCTGCAAAGAACTTGAGAAATAAGATTGCTTTTTAAAATAGTCACAATAGAACGAAACTAATTTATAACAATAATAGGGAATAAAGGGATTAAATCAAAGGCTTATTGACTAAACAAGAAAAATATCCATTTAATTTATTTCATTTGCTTAGATAAAATAAAAACAGAAATATAAGAATATTCTCCATCAAATTGTTTTCATGAAAAGCTATGATCTAATAGAAAAAAATTAAAGTAGTAAATTACTCTTCTAAATCGAAGATATCATTCTCAAAAATTCTGTTTTTTTTCAGAACTCCATACAACATTAGATAAAATTACTTTACCATTTGGAAATAATGATATTATTAAACCTTTTAACGGTGGTTTAACTAATATTTTAATAATTTATAAATTTTATTTTAAGTTATGAGTGAATAGTAATTGAGCTGGAGTTATATTGGTCAGTTTTATAGGAACAGCTACAGATATTCAAACTTTTCTTAAGCATAATATTTATGATTACCATAAGTTTAAGTAAAAATTAATTTGATGTACTTGTCAATAAGATAAATTGATTTTTAACAAAATAATGCATATTAGAGAAAGACAAAATAAGACAAATTTAACTTATATTCTAAAAGATATTTGATTATCTACACAATTTATAATCTTAGCATTATAAGATATTATATAAATCATTATACAAATACAATACTTTCTTTAGAAATATTTTATTTAGATGATCTTACTTTTTTGATTTTAATCGATGATGAAGATGTATCTATTAGATTAGATGATGTTTTTCCAATGATTGTAGTTTCACTGCTTTTCTATTTTTTTATCTTTTTATTTATTGTATTCTTATTCTTTTTTTTGAATAAACCTTTTGATGTAAGAGTCTCTTTATTTTCCGAGTGAATTTTTTAAATATTAAAGAAATCTAATGGAATATTTTTAATTAGTTTCCTCTTATTTTCAACTAGTATCTCGAAGGTTGATTATTAGTACAAACTTTCTAAATTACCACCAATCTCTAAAAATGTTCTTTTCAATTTGTAAATAGAATCATTACGTTAGCATCTGATGCAGAAACATAATCCCTTAAATAATAATAATTAAATACTTTGCATTACGGGCAAATCCAGTTGAGCCCAGAAACATCATAGTCTTTAAATTCATATTACAAACATTTAAAACAAAAATACTTTTAGCACTGAATTTAATTGTCTAATGATAATTAATTTACTTACTTTCTATAATATAGTTAGCAGAATAGAGATCTGTATAAAATTATTGTATTTATCTTTTAGAAATTGCATATCTCTATTAGATCAGTAAATCTTCATTGAATTATTGTAATTTCATATTTGCATGATTGTATTTACATTATTATAAATCGGTTATTTCTATCATTTATCTACAACTATGACACATTTCAGTTTGAATTGAAACTATTGTTTATGATTCCTCTTGAATGTTCTATTACGAAACGCTTAACTCTAATTCTGTTTCTCGAAGTCTTTAGAAATTTAAAAATTAATCAAATTTAAAATCAATTGGAGTTTTGCTTAAATATTTATCGAAAGTAATAGAAGCAAGATTAGCTATTTAATCAATAACTAAATTACTTTCAGAATTATAAATGCTTTTTCCAATTGAATCCGCTACTTAATAATCTTAATAATGAATTATCAGCTTTTCTAGATTTTCTAACTCAAATTAATGATGCTAAATTCGGAATCTTGAAATCCTTAATGCAAATTGTCCTGTCTATTTAATATTATATTAATATAATAAATATCTATTGATTTCTTCTAAATGTCCTATAAGACTAAAATTTCAAAACAGAAAAATACTTATTTAATTATTTGGTATTCTTATCCTAAACTTTTATTAAATCATCTTCCAATTCCATAATAACCTCTTGCAATTAATCAGGCAGATCTATCTTTTACTGCAAATTTTGTAATATTGAGGCTTCTTATTCTAAAATTTCCATTTATTCTTCCAAAGGTAGCAAATGCATATTTTTTAGCAAAACTTTATTTAATTCCAATCTATCTCCTAATTCTTACTAGCAAATCTTATCAATTATTTCATTCATTAATTCTTAAATTGGCTCGAATGATTTCTCTCTTTACATTAACAATAAACTTAAGTGCACTCTGATGTTATTGTCATTCAACTTCTAAAGCTAGGACCCATTTTTTCTCAAAGATTTCAATGTTTTATCTATCTATTCCTAAATCTAAACACTTCCAAGATTAGAAGCTAAAACTAACATTAACACCTACATTTTTTATATATTTTTTTCTAAACATTTAATTGAAATCTGGTGATTCTACCATAAAATACCTGTAGGATTCACTTACTCTGGCCAAAAATCAGATGTAACAAAGAGATTCAACTATTTTTATCCATTTTTAATCATTATATTTTTACAACTCAATAAAATGCCCTTCATTAAATCTATAAAAACTGGTTAATTTAATATAAAAATTCAATTTTTCTGAGAAGAAAACTTAAATTAATTTATTTGATTATGCCTTCTATTCAAAGAACATTGTTATTTATTCGAACTCTAATCACGATAGAAAAAATAATTAATAAAACCAAAAATTATAATTATCAAAATTTTATAGAATTCTTAATACTCATATTTACTTAAATTACAAGAATAATACTTTACAATTATAGTTAACCTAAATAATATAGCCAATTAGCTATAAAAATTATTATAATAAACATACTGATTTCTATAAATTTCTTCTAATTTTTACTTTCTAGATCTTTTTTCAATAACAGCCTATATAAGCTTGATAATAAAAGTTAATTCCAATTATATATACAAAGGTCTCACAAATATACTATTTCCTTACAAATGCTGAAAATAAAACTGATTGTTTTAGAAAATCTTCATATCAAAATAATTCTACAAGCTTCAATTACATATTTTAGATTTTTGTAAAAATTATTTCATTATTATCCAGTAGAGTGCAGCCATCTATAAAATATCCTATTCTTTTATTAATAAAATGAAAGTTTGAGGATGCAGATAATTTCAAAATTGAAATTACAACGAAAGTGAATTACGATAAGTTTTGTCAATCAATTTCTATTCTGAAATAATGAATTAAGAGATTCATATTTATTAGGATCATTTTAATTGGAATTCTGATTGTTTATATTCCGTCATCAATCACAAAAACTCAGGCTTTGTTTTAGAAATTGAGTAAAATATCCAATATATGCTGTTGATGTTAGAATTAATTTTATATCTCTCACTAAAATAAATTAATGTGTATAAAGGAATTCTGATATATAAGCTCACATAAGTGTTGATATACACTGCTTGTCAAAATACAAGCTTACCAAAGAGTCCTATTATTGTGATAAATATCTACTTATAATTAAGCATAATAATTTAATTATTATTTCATGTTTCTTTGCTTCTTTATTTTTTAAATATTTGATACTTAAAATTCATGCTGATTTTTTCCAAACTTAAAATATTCATATCCAACTATGTAAAGAGAATAAGACTTATTGTGTTAATTTATTCATAGCTCCATTTGTGAAAGTAATTTATTTTTGTGACCAATAAATGTTCGAAATATACATTATTCCCAAGATGAAGTGTCCAATTTCAATATTTTAATGAATTGAAAACAAAGGAGTTTTCTATTCTTAATTTTTATTATAATTTTTATAAACATCACTTTATACTACATTATTATCAATTGCATATAAAACATGTAAGTTCATTAAATATTTAAGAAAGATTGAGATTATTTTGAAAATTTTATACTTTTAATCTACAATATAAGTTCCATAAATTGGAAATAATTTAGCACTCTTGATCAAAATATTAAATCAGACTTCAAATTATAAAAGTATTTCTTAGTTAAATAAAATACTTAAATATCATACACTTATCCATAATCCGATTTTTTACCCTATTCTTAAATCATAAACAACTACTAATTTGAAATAATAAAACTTGAAACACATTAAAAATTTCAGGTTTAAATGGAATTCAAATATTTTATTCCAAAATTGGATTCAATCTCATTGATAAAGAGACTCAAAATTTTGGAGAATTTATTTTAGTAATTAGTTTTACTTTTATGCTCTTTTTCATTTCAGCGCAAAAAATTTAGAACAATTCTCAAAGCTAACACTTTTTCATTTTATAAGGTCATTATTGAACTATAATAGCATTTAATTTTAATAAATACATTTGGATTCTCAATTAAAATATCCTTATAATTAGTTTTATTTTGATAATAATGCTGTTCAGCGAAAGGTTGAATTTAAAATTAAAATTTGATTAATACACATCAAATCACTTTTATAGATCACTTACATAATTTCATAGAAAGGTCACAAAGAAGAACGAAATTTTTAACTCTATCCTAATGGTATTTTCACCTTGATCAGAGAAATAATAAATAATAAATATAATTGGGTTCTTCGATCCTTATTTACAGAGACACTTTAAAATTAAGAATTCTTTAAATTAAAAATAGAGATATATTCAGTAGATAGAAATTTTCTTTTATTTTATTTTCTCTAAATTATTTGTGATTATAATATTACACTTCTTAATACATCATGTATGAATTTTAATATATATTTATTGTTACATATAAAAATTTATCTGTTAAAATATGAACTTGTCAGATATTAAAAGATCATCCAGTGTAGGCAAATCAATTAACACTCAGTCAACGTACTCTTCAAAAGGCTCAAATAAATTTACTTACTTTACTGAAACAAAGAGCAAAAAAATTGATAAATCGATTAATGTTCCTTTAAACAGTTGGAGAGAGTTGTCCTTATTCGAATTGGTTGATGAAGCAATAATTTTGTTAAAAGAAAACAAATCCGCAATTAATGATTAATAAAAAGTGTAATTAGCATTAATATCTAGTTTAAGAGATTGATTACGCAATACCAAAACTTCAAATAAACTAATCAAATAAAGCAAATGCTATTCTAATAAAGATCTAGAATAATTAAAACTAATATAGAAAATATAATATTGTCATAAAACGACTTTTAAAATTATTTATAAGGAGTATAAAAATGACATAATTTTTCATTATTTTTTAAGCTAACTGACAAGAAATTATTTTCATCCTTTCTAATATTATAATACATTTTTTTCAAGATAGATTTTCAAAAAATTATAATAATGAAATTTAGCCTTGAAGTTAAAATATTCCAACATATTAATATCCATATTTTCAGTCATTAAATATAATAAAAGTAGAGCTCAGTTTAAGAATAAATCATATGAAAAATATAATTATTATTTAGAAAATAATAAATTTTATCATACACAAGTTTCATCCTACTAAATTTTGATAATAATTACAAAGATCACTTAAAATTTATGGCTAACATTTAGAGATTCTAATTGTTCTTCAATTTAAGGGAATTCTAAAATCGAGTTCGAATAATAGGTTCAATTATTATTTGATCTGAAATCCATTACTCATTAAATGGAATTAATTTTACTTATCTTACTATGATACAACAGATTTACAATTATTTTCATAATATATAATTGAAATTAAAAGGGTTTGTTCAGATTTAAAATATTGAAATTTCCGTGAAATTTTGATAGTTTAAATAGATATTAAATAATATGATAAAGAAATGAAGCATTTATTACATATTAGATACATAATAACACAATTATAATTATATTGAGAGTCTAAATCTATAAATTAAACTAAGATATAATCTAAGTCTAAATATTAACATCTCTAAATTAATATATCTTTCTGAATTTTATTTATTTTAATACAGATTATCTTAAAATGTTAATACAAGTCATTTTAATTATAAATTTGAAAGGTTGCTTAACTAAACTGTTAATAAATTTTCTTACTTTGATAAGTACAATTTGGGAAGAGTGCTTTTAACTGTTACCCAATTGGCATCTAACTTGATCCAAAATTAATCTAGAGAATTGTTAATTTTTTTTTGACTTAATGTATTATATAACATCAAATGTTATTGTATTGTTGTCTCTATTATTTATTTCAGATATCCTTTGGCAACTTAAAGTTTTTAGGATAATCAATAAAAAATTACTTATTATTTGAAGCTAATTGCTGTAAGTTGACATTTCTATTTCAATATTTTCAAATTATTCATACTTTAATAAGATTTCATTTTATATGTTATTTGTTCTAATTAGCCTGCTGATTTCTATATATTCATCTGGTTCTTTTTGTCTGGGTATGCAATTATAAATTTCATTGATTTCTGCGTTTAGATATTAGCCTACTTATTTCATGCAGAAATCTATAGATAGTTGTTAATTTTATGTGTTATCACTCTCTAGAGATGCTAAAATAAGGCTTTTTATTTAGCTTATCAGTATAAATCCTTAGGGTAGGCTTTAATTTAGTGACACACTTTATAATGAAATTTTAGGGGGCTCTTGCAATTAATTATTTTTTTTATAAAACGGATAGAATGAGAACAAAACATCTAGTTTTATTAGGTGTTATCATAATGCAGGGTATTATATCTTCAAAAACTGGTTAGTTTGCTTTGTGCAAGCAGTGCACTATGATTTGACAACACTTTTGGATTAACAAAATGAACTTGACTGTGACAATACTGATTTTGTTTAAATGCTTGAAGACTTTGATTCTTGGAGTGAAATAATAGAATTGTTACAAGGAGGGTAATTGGATGCAGAAATGAAGCAACTACAAGAGCTTTCTGATTTCACTAATGAAATGATATCAGGTAAATCATTTGACCAAAAAGTTAGCAAATCCAGATGATTTGATGGAAGATCAATAATACGATGAGTAGTTAGAGTAGATGGATGGGTAATTGTAGACAATTCAAAACTAATACAATGGTCCTCAAAGAAAATTCTTATTCGAATAAAGCAGACAAATTTCAGACTAAATCAGAAGGGTGATTCAATCAAGTATTTTATACTATTAATGATTTTCATAGGATCCTTCGAATAAAAGAGATCATAATTGGCTATGTTATATGGATTGATTGAATATTTATTGAAACAAATTTCTAGAGTATAAAACCAATATTAATAAACAACATAACCTTAACCAAGAGCTCAACCCTAATAAGCTCAACCTTAACCACAATAGAGAATAAAGGAATAAAAAGAAAGATTTATAGTCTAAAAAGATAAATGCAGTGATAGATAGATATAAAGAAAAGTGTCTAAATAGAGAGTAGTCCCTGGAAATTATAGATAAAATGATCATCCAGTGCCAGAAGAAGTAGGCTGTGACATCCCATATCCATAATAAAGATAACCTAAATGTGTTGTCGGTTCAGATATCGTTTTAACAAGTTCAATCTCTGCTGATTAACCAACCGTTTCAACAGAAGTTAAAAAATTAAAAGACGTTAACGAATATGGTTTTGGTTTTTGGATGAGATTCTTAACATTATATCCAGAATAATTGTAAAATGGCTTAACTGATTAATCTTACTTTGTCGCTAAATTGACAAAGAACTAATAGGATGGAGATGATAAGATTGGCGATAGATTATTAACCGTATTCTAAACTTAAGAATAATATATCTTCAGTGCTTAACACGATAAACCTGAAAGAAAAGAAGCCACAGCTGCTATAGTATTTGGAGATATCGAAGCAGTTTGGACATACGTTTATTACAGTTACTCAGCCTTTTCATAATAAGCTATCGGTTTCTACAAACAATCAAACAGTCAATTAGTTAAATAAGTCACATTGCCAGCATCTTAAGGAACTCCTTAGTATTTGAGATTTGTTTTGGGAGGTCAATATTTCAATTTCCCAGGATTCAATGGATAAATAAGCAGACCAGTCTTAGCAATTGGTTTTGGAACATATTTGATTAATGAATAAGAATTCTTGTAATATGCTATATCATGCAATCCTCAACCATATGTTGCACCATAAAAATTGATTCCATATTAATTTGTAAGAGATTCCAAATATGTCGACATTGAAGATAACAATGCACCACCCACATAAGAATTTATTGATTTGTTGTTACCAGATGAATATGCAGTTTAAGGTTGGTTCAAATGGGAGGAAACAGATTTGTAAGAGAACTGGCACACCATGTTCAGATTATCTAATACACCCATTAGAAAATAATAAATCTTATTAGGTGAAAGAGTCTTGTCTGCTTGGTTAGGTAAACCAAAGGGAGGTTAAATCCATTTCTCAACATATTCATATGCTAACATGAAAGGATCTGGTAACCCTAATGCTCATCAATATGTCCAACATTAAGATCAACATTTACACTGGCATTTTGTTTACTTTGGATACAGCAGAGATTAAAGAAAGGCATATGCTTAAGTCTTATTCAAACATGTTCATGCCAAATCTTTGAGTTTCGTCAATGTCAATCACTTTGTGTCACCAAAGCATTATTTCTACTTTGGAAGAGAAAGACAATTCCCAGTCTACAGTGGATTCATGGCCTACCTTGAAGTATTCTTCTGCAAAGGATCTTACTTAACAAATGTTAAGCCAGCTTTGAGACCAGTACCAACACCACCACCCCCTAAAAAGAGATGTGTTGAAGGACCAAACAGAATCATCAATGCTAAATATGATAAAGGACCAGTTGTTCATGTCGAATTGCACAAAGATGATTTGAAAGATACTACTTAATATGGTTATGGATTCTGGTTCAGATACACTGGTTTGGCAGGTGGATAATATGAAGGTGCAAGACCAGATTGGTCATTGATTGCTAGACTTACAAACAAGAAAGAAACACCAAAAGATATTAGAGATGGTTTATTAACTATTTTCTAAGGAAAAGTTGGTTTCTTCTACATCACAGCTAATAATAAGGCTAAGAAATTAGTTGAATTAGCTTAACCATTTGGAGATATTGAAGGAGTTTGGATTTACACCTATTTCAGTTACACTAGATATAAGGCCATTGCATTCTATTAAATTGAAAATTAAGCTCCAATCACCTTAGAAGCTAAAGTTACACATCCATGAATGGGAATAATTGTTATTCTAAGTTGGTGGAAAGGATCCATAAAATAGATACTATTCATTCAATGGTTAATTCCATAGACCAGTCTTAAGATTAGGATCAGGATCATTCTTTGATACATTAGAAGAATACAATCCATTCTGTTTAAGTTGCAATCCTCAACCATAAAAGGATTGTTCAAGTAAAGGTTTGATTAGAGCAGTCTCAGCCAAGGCTTCATAATTCAATGGAAATCCAGTTAATTCTGGTGACAGATTTGGAACAACTGAATAATACTCTGTTCAAGGATGGTTCAAATGGAATGGTAAGACATCTGGAAAAGATTAATTGTTATTCAGATTGACATCAACTCTAGCTGGTGAAGATGCTCTCAATTTTGATACACTCAGTTGTTACTTCGATACTAGAGATTAAACTCTTAACTTCTACACATATACCTACACTGATTAATTAGGGTAATTAATATATATTTATGAAATATTAGATCTGGAAACCCAGAAGTTAGATAGATTGTTGAAGGAAAAACCTTTGTCAAAGATTGGTTCCATATTTACTTTGCTTATTCTAGAAAGAGTAGATAAGCTGATGTCATTGTTGAACATTCATAAGGAAAGGGAGCTTTGTCATTCAAGAATGTCAACCATTATGTTGCTCCATCACTTATTCTTTACTATGGAAAAGATCAATTGACAGATGCTTTCGAAGGATTTATTCAAGGATTGAATCTTTTCGCATGCGACATTACTTATCAACCAACTCCTAAGCCAGTCGAAGATTGCACACCAATGAAAGAGTATTAAATTCTGTTATTTTAATAGTCCAATCTGTTTAGCTGGTGATTAATATGAAAATGTTTCATTGACCAATATTGAAAACGTTGTTCAAGAATTAGAGAAAAGAAAGTAATTGATGTAAGATAAGTAATTTGTTTTACCAACTACTTAATGCTTCTGTTTCCCATAATAAGGAAAGAAAGTTCTTCCATAAAGATAAGAAGGTTTGCTTGAAATCTACGATGATGATGAGGAACCTTAATAATAAGATGTCGTTGAAGTATGAGTGTGTCATTGATATTATAATAAAACCATTATCAATAAAACTATTAATGAAATCAAATATTTTGGTTTTAATTACTAATGCATTATTTATTTATATCTAGTTTTTACATATATGGGCAGAGTCGTTCTTTTATATATAAGATAGTTATTATGTTCTTAAATACAATTGCGAAAAGATTTTAGAATACACAAACTTAAGAACATTTAAACTTTAAATATTTCTATTATTAAATAGCGATTTTATAAATTTTGTATATCCTACTTAGTTTATTTATTTTAACATTAAGGTAATACTATCAACAACTGTCGTTGAACATTTCTTTAATTTTAATTTTAATCTCTATAATATATTTTTTCATTCTTGATGAAACTTCTCTTAATATATTTTATGTAATAAATAAATTTTACTCAAAATGAAATCTCTCACTAAAATTAATTTACTCTTGATGAATAATCAAAAAAATATCAAGTTAAAGAGTCAAATGAGTTATAACAATTCAATCCTTTAGGACTGTCCTTATATTTGGAAGCTAATTGCCAACAAGATGTAATAGCAAAACAATTATTTTCTCAAATTTTGAAAATGATTGAAGATAAATTGTATGAAATAGAATAAAGATTGGATAATCGAGAATATTTAAATGCCTAAATTAACTTATTGAAGTTACCCGACTAATATGCTGCATAAGAATACAATGATGATCTATAATCAGATCAAATTAAATAAAGTATAGAAAAAAATTATTTAGGAAAATTTAGTGATTTATCTAATCTTGACGCAATTTCTCCTCAAATAGAACAAAAATTCGATATAGATCAGAAATCATCAAAAAAGCCTTTTAGATCTCGTTCGTCAGCCGATAGAGCCAAGACTGTAACAATTAGAACTGATATCAAAAATACATCTAATACAGATGAATTATGTTAAAAAATGGAATAATTTTAGAATAAATTATGGCTATTAACAGAATAAATGAATTAAATATCATAACAGGAAAGTTAATTTGAATAGCTAATAAATGATGAAATAAAAGATAGTTAAGATAGGCTAATTTAAAATGAATAAGTTATTAAGTAACTATATTCAACAAATTAAGAAATAACCGAAAATTAAAGAGAATTTCTAACACATTTATCATAGGCAAGATAGGAAATTAAGTAACAAATCTATTACATATCTTAGTTATTTTTCATCAGAATTAACTCGATTTTAATAGGAGAATAAGATGATAATGTAATAGTTGGAGTAAAATTATTTGGAGATTTAAAAATAAATTAAGGAGAATAAGAATGAAATAACTTTATAAAAATCATGTTTAGAATGTATTGATAATGATTTTCTGGTGCTTTTAAAGAAATTTAAAGACTTATATCACGAACTTGCCAAAAAAAAATTTGATTCTAGCTAATAAAGGAAGCCTCTTTAATGAATATTATTAAAATAATTCATTATTAGATTACCCTCTTCTCCACTATTTCCTAAAAATTATAGTTATTGTTTTTTGTTGCAGAAATTGATCTTATGTAAATAAATGTTGAAAAATAAATTTCCATTAAATTATATCCTAAACAATCATTATCTAAAATGCCATAAACAAAATTATAAAATCAAATAACTTCATTCTAGAACATTTTTTTAGTGATTTTTCTAATGAAAATCGTAAGACTCTAATTTTGTCCATCATCTTCATATTCAAATATGTTGCACTTAATTCTATGCTTAAGCTTTCTGTTTAGTCTTTAATAGAAAGTTAAAGATTTAAACCTTACTTTATAAATAATTATTTTTCATTTTAAGTTTAGTTTTTATATAAAAATGTAAAGCAGAGTAAAAAAAAGAGATGATTCAAACAAAGAGATTATGAATGTATTAATTGCAGAAGATGATTTGTTCTAAAGTACATGCATTTTTTACACTTTTATAGGGGTTGCTATAGTGGATTTATTATAATTATGTGGTTTTTAAGTTATTGCTTGCAAAAATGGATTAGAAGCAAGAGATGAACTTTTAAAAGGTGAAAATGAGTTTGATCTAATCCTTCTCGATTTATTGATGCCAGAAATGGGAGGACTTGACTTATTAAAAATCATAAAAAGGTATTTAAAAATGATTACGTAGTATTGATAAATTAAAGGAAACTCCAGTGATTATGATGAGTGGAGATGGGGAAACTGATATTGTGGCTGCATGTTTAGGAGCTGGAGCATTGAACTATTTAGTTAAGCCAGTAAACTTTAAGTAATTTTAAAGTCTGCAAGAATTAGTAAAAAAGAAACCTAAAAACAGAAATGTAATTTATTATTCTAAGTAGAACAATTCGAATGAAAAAGGTTTTTATGAAGTTGTTAGAGATTTGGGAAGAGGAGCTTTCGGCTGTGTTTAATTAGTAAGAAAAAGTACTGATTAAGAATTATATGCTATGAAGGTAAAATTTAAATGAATTTAGGTTATTCCAACTTCATTTATGAATGAATAAGAAAAGAAAAATGCTGAGAATGAAGTGAGTTTGCTAAGAGTTCTAACTGCTCCAACAATCATTAAATATTATGAAAGCTTTGCAGAAAATGATTCATTAAATATCATTATGGAATATGCTGAGGGAGGATCATTAAATGAAAAAATCTCAGAGCATATTAGAGTTGGTTAAAAAATCCCCAAAGATTAAATATTAGCTTGGATGGCATAATTAGTAATAGCAATTCATTTTATGCATTCTAAAAATATTCTTCATAGAGATATCAAAACCTAGAATATGTTTTTGAATAAAGGTTTAAATTTAAATATATATTATTAGAATAAGTTATTAAATTGGGAGACTTTGGTATTTCCAAGGCATTAGGAACTCATGGAAATTTTGCATAAACCTTTCTAGGAACTCCATATTTTATGCCTCCAGAGGTCATTAGAGGTGAACCATATGGAAAAAAAGCAGATATTTGGGCATTAGGTTGCGCTTTGTATGAATTGGTTATGTTAAAACGACCCTTTTAACATGATGTGATGCAAATTGTATTTGACATGATACAGAACAAACCTTATGATATGGATCCATCTGTAGACTCAGATCTTTAATAACTCATAGAAAAAACATTACAAAAGGACCCTAATAAAAGACCATTTGTAGAGGACTTGGCTAACATTCCTTGCATTGAGGAAAAAATCAACTAATTTTATATAGATCATCCAAATGAAAGTAAGGATATGATCTATTCTTAGCTAATTAAATATTTTTCAAAAAGTATTAACTTGGGTAAAATAATGACGATGGAGGTAACTCTTAGAATCCAGAAGATAATTGTCTCATGGTTGTGGCTGCAATGATTGATAAAGTTTAACTTAGAAAAATAACTGTAGGGGTTGTAAATTAAATGTAAGTATAATTATATAAAATTAGTGAATAGATTGGAGTTTTAGGATCAGATATTCTTAGTTATCTTAAATAAAATTTTGATAAAAAAAATGAAACTGAATTACAGCAATTTGTATCAACTCTTCTTGAATAACATCTAATTATCCCACTCGACAATAATAATCAATAACTGATATCGACTTCTTATTATTCTTTTCCAATGTTCTTAGAATACATACCTGCAAATAATTATTAAGTATTTACCAGCAATTCTCAAGATATGATGTTTATTCTAAAAAAACTCATTAGGAAATTTAAGGAATTCTAAAGAAAGATTACAGAAAAGAAATAACTAAGTTTTGAAGCATTTAATAAATACTTTAATGACTTTTTCTAACTAGTTCATCAAACATTGGAACTCCAAAAAGCTACAATGATTGACTATTCTCCTTAAAAGAAACTTGCAGTGTATGTTAATATTTATTAATTAATGAGACTACATCAGTAAATTATTTTCATATTGTAGATCATTATAATAGTATTATGTTCAAAACTTGCAAAAAAAGAAAGAATTAATTAATTAACCTTGCAACTTACTATAATAGATAATTAGTACTGTAATAGTTCCTCATCCCCTTTAATCAGAATTTGCATACTGTATTGGTGGTTAGATTACTACTTTAGGATAAATAAAGCATGGGATCTTGAGAGGAAACAAAAACACTGAGAATACTCATTTGCTTCCTAAGGATGATCCCAGAATCTTATAATAAGAAATAAAAGGAATTTTCATTTTATTTATTGAAGAATATTAGGATTAATAATCATAAATTACATAAGAATTGATCTTCTTAGATGAAGGGTAAGTTACTTAATACATCTATAAATAAATATAATAGTTTATTTCTAAAAATGTAATACTTGATTTAGCTGAATAAGAGATAGTGATACACCCCTTATTACAAAGTAAATTATTTGTATATTTTAGAATACATGAGTGATTTTGGATCTTAAAGAAAGTTAATTGAATGGTTATTAGAAAATATTGAAGAGAGATAAGACAGTAAAAAGATTCTCAATTAATTTGATAATAAGGAGTTCTTCATTTTGTTTAAGGATCCCAATGTATTAACAAAGTATTGATAGATTATTACATATGTTAAGGCTAATTGCCCTATATATTTTATTAAAATTTGTGCTAATTAATCTTATCGAGTTTTGCTTATTGAAAATAAAAGAAAATACTCATGTATATAAAAAATGGAAGCCTGTCTTATTTAATTATCTTTGTCATTTTACTATGTAATTTTCTCAGGAAATTATAAAAATGGATGATTTTAAAAATTAGAATATTGCAATAATCAATATTTAAATATTTCGATAATGTAATGGGATATGTGCTTTTAATTTTTATTTATTAATTCATTAAATTACATTTTATTTTAAAAAACCCTAGTAACACATATAATTATAATTTGACTCTATTATAAGGTTATAAGGTTTGGAAATCTGTGAGAAATTATTGAGGAATTTGTTGGAAATAAGATCAAATAACATGAATGATAGGCAACGGAGATGAGAATTAAGAATAGCGAATCAATTTGAAGGCTAAGAAAATTTATGTTAATAATCTAAAATTAATTTTTTAGTTTATATTAAAAATTTGTTTAAATCCTTGTATAAAATTTAAACATCATAAATGCTTGAATATTTTATATATATAATATAGTTTTTGTATTGAGATGATCTCAATTGTAATAAAATTCTGACAGTTTATTAAAACAGAAAAATGAATGATTTAAAAGTATATTCTAGTCTTGAATTGAATTAATTATTAAATAATTTTATGTAAAGGGTGAAAAGAGATGAACAAGCTAAAGAAGTTATAAATGTGCTCCTAGCCGAAGATGCTCCCATCTAAAGTCTTAATTGCAATTTATCTTATAGGGATTGCATTAATTGATTTATTACAATTATGCAATTATCAAGTAGTGGCATGCGAAACTGGTATTTAAGCAAGGGATGAACTTCTGAAAACGGAAAATGAATTTGATTTGATACTGTTGGATTTAGGTCTTCCCGAAATGACCGGTTTAGAACTTTTGCAAATTATAAAAGCGTAAATTTTTTATATGAGAATCAAGTATTGACAAATTGAAAGACGTTCCAGTGATAATGATGAGTGGTGATGATGAGACAGAAACAGTGGCTGCTTGTTTAAATGCAGGAGCAGAAGATTATATGGTCAAACCTGTCAATTTTAAAAAACTTTAAGGGCTTTAAACATTCGTAAAAAAAAAGCCCAAGTAACGAAATGTATAAAAATTATCTAAACTTTTCTTAGAACAACTAAAACGAAAAAGGATATTATACAATAGTTAGAAATATAGGCAAAGGAGCCTCTGGTTCTGTTGAATTAGTAAGAAAAAGTACTGATTAAGAATTATATGCTATGAAGGTAAAATTTCAATTAATTTAGGTTATTCCAACCTTTTTCATGAATGAATAGGAAAGAAAAAATGCTGAAAATGAAGTGAGTTTGCTAAGAGTCCTAACTGCTCCAACAATCATTAAATATTATGAAAGTTTTACTGAAAATGAATCTTTAAATATAATCATGGAATATGCTGAGGGAGGATCTCTTACAGAAAAAATATCTGAATATTCAAGATATGGAAGTTAAGTGCCCAAGGATCAAATATTAGCTTGGATGGCATAATTAGTAGTAGCAATTCATTTTATGCATTCTAAAAATATTCTTCATAGAGATATTAAAACTTAGAATATGTTTTTGAATAAAGGTTTAAATTTAAATATATATTATTAGAATAAGTTATTAAATTGGGAGACTTTGGTATTTCAAAGGCATTAGGAACTCATGCCAATTTCGCATAAACCTTCCTAGGAACACCTTATTTTATGTCACCCGAGGTCATTAGAGGTGAACCATATGGGAAAAAATCTGACATATGGGCCTTAGGTTGCGCTTTGTATGAATTGGTTATGTTAAAACGACCCTTTTAACATGATAATATTTAAATTATTTTCGAAATGATACAGAATAAACCTTACGATATGGATCCATCAGTTGACTTAGATCTTCAATAACTAATAGAAAAAACACTATAGAAGGATCCCAATAATAGGCCTACTGTTGAAGATTTAGCAGCAATCCCCTGCATTGAAGAAAAAATCAATTAATTTTATAAGGATCATCCAAATGAGAGTACTTAATTATCGATTTTTCCTAGCAAATTTAATCTCGGTCAAAAGATTGCAATTAGGCCCATAATTACAGCCAGAAACAACAGAATAAGTTTAAGATGAAAATTATATTGCTATTTCTGCTGATATGATAGAGAAAATTTAATTAAGAAAAGTAGTATATGGATTCGTCAATTAAATGTATTCTATCTTTTTAAGTTTAGTGAATATATAGGTGTTTTAGGTTAAGATATTTTAAATTATCTTTAAAAAGCTTGCAAAAATTAGTTAGAAATTTAATAAGTTAGTTAATAGTTATTAGAATCCTAACTTATCATACCCTTAGAATCCCAAAAGGATATAACACCTAATCAATATTATTCTTTCCCAATTTTCCTTTAATTTATAGCAGCAAATAATTATTAAAAATATACTGGAAGTTCTATCGATCTTATGGAAATCTCCGAAAAACTAATTAAAAAATTCAGAGAATTCCAAAAGAAATTTGTAGATAAGAATACCATAAAGGAAGAAATTTTAGAATAAGGGTTTAAGGAGTACTTTCAGTTAGTTCAAGAAACAACTTAATTACAAAAATCTACAATTATTGATTACTCTTAAGAAAAGCAATTAGCAGCTTATGTGAATTTATTTTAAATAATGAGATTTCATCAGTAAAATTTAATATTTATATGTTTAGATCATTAAATTAATATTATGTTAATAAGCTCCAGTAAAAAGGAGTAATAGAAGAACCTAAATCAATCTTAAAAACCATTATAGGTTCTATTTTACCTCCGCATCCAAAAATAGTAGATTTTGCTTATTCAATAAACAAATTAATTACTACTTTGCCTTAAATTAAACATGGAATATTGAGAAAAAATAAACCTGCTCCAAATTTTCATTCCTTACCAAATAATGATCCAAGAATCCTAACTGTAGATACTAGGGGAGTAATCTTTATTTTTACTGATGAATACTAAGATGCTAATGTTAGTTTAATTACTGAACTGCAATTCTTAGATGAAAAATCAGTTTAATAGTTTATTCAAAATCATATTAAATAGTTTATACTGCGAAATGTCTGCCTTGACATTATTGAATAGGAAATTATAATACATCCTTTATGTTAAAGTATTAAGCCTAAACTAATTTTTAGCTTATCTAAGTGATTTTGGGTCTGAGAAATAGTTGTTTGAATGGTTATTAGTAAGAATGGATGATGGGTACAATAAGGAAAAACTCTTACATTAGTATGATTAGTAGGATTTTTATATAAGATTCAAAAATCCTAACGAGTAGAAAAAGTAACCAAAAAATTGAATAGTTTAAAATAAAAATAACATATTACACTACTCATTTTTTTAACTTACATTCCAAGCATTCTTTGTTATTATTTATCCAAATTGACTCATTTTGAGTATTTGGTGAAGTTGGATATTTAAATTTAATTGCTATATACAAAAATTTATATGAATTAAATAATCACAACTTTAAAAATGAAGCATGAATAAAGTTATTTCTATATATCAAACTTAATCTTCGGCCAGCCTCTTAAGGATTCAATACCAATAATTATCTAATGTATGGAATCTTTAATTCTACCTAATTAACATCCAATTTTCTGGATATAGAACTAGTTTAACTAAAGATTCTAACTTGAAATACATCGTTATATAAATATATAGCTATGAAAAGCATTTTATGCTTCATGAATGCTCCTTTATAAAGTAGTTAATATTTGATATATTTTAAATCATTAAATTTATTGACTTTCATACCTTCTTGATTACTAGGTATACATTAGTCAATCTAATAATGTAAATATAAAGAATGGCACTATTTATAGACTTGAACCTACTTGCCTCTTATATTTAAGGGAACATCTATAGTTTTGCAAGTCTCATAAGAATGAATTCGCAGTCTTATAGGCTGCCATCTAAAAGATTGTTAAATTTCAAGGCATGGAATATAACACAAGAAATTACAAGTTCTATCATTGCAATATACTAATTCTGTTACAACAGTTTTGAAATTGTCCAATATAATTAAATTTTCATTTATGTTCATCTACTTAATTATTTCCATCCATAACTTTTTCTCAAATACACTATTAGATTTAGATAATAACAATTTATCATATAGCCAGCATTATTTATTTATGTCATCCCCTTAAGATTCATCCATTGATTGATTAAGTTGTAATGTTGATTATCTCTAAATAACACTTAAACCTGAGAAATTAGAAGTAACAGATCTCTTAAGAACCTTCTTTGATTCATTAATCTATTTAATATAAAGTTTTGTTCTATTTCTAAAAGTGTCAGGTGCCTTAATAATTAGGGAATAAATCTTATGAATTTCATTCAACTTCCAAGGTCTGAAGAATTAATCTATAACCTCAAAGGGTTATTCTGGAAATATTGAATCTAAAAAGTATTAGTTCATGATTAAAAAATCTGATCTGTGAATTGTAAAGTAAAATCTTCTACAAGTATTTTAGTTGTAGAGATATATTTAAAAATAGTTTTTGATCAAAGAGACTATTATTATAAAGTAGTGTTTATCAATTCTTCTCACCTATTTATATACTACTCTTGAATGGGATTTTTATCCTATTACCAGATTATTGTCGTGATATTAATTTGATAATAGAAATTGCTTACGTATTTAATTTTGTGTGATAGGCATTAATTCTAATTTGGAATAAGTCTAGGTGGCTTTTAGAACGAATTACTTACATAAAGTATAGATCAATTTAATAGGATCTTCTTAATTAATTTAATATATAAAGAGATGAGACTTGCTCTTGTTTCCAGTTGGCATTATTCTCATTAACATTATATTAGAATATATCTTTGCAGAGACAAAGACACAACCAATTGATTTAATTTTTGTTTAAATAAAATATTGTTTCGCTTAAGCAAACTTGTCTTGCATAAATAGAAATCTTGGATCCTTCGATTAAGAAGAACGATTCTCATTTTGATAGAGTTGGAACCCCACTAGAGTTTTTTTTAGTTTCATTTTATAATTTAAAATGTGCTAACGCATACTTCTTTCAATTTGGAACAAATGAGCCCATTTTTCTGTTTATTCAGATTTAAGGAAAAAGGATATCTTTTTAGAGCTGTTATAATATACTAATAGATGTGCTTTTGCTTAAGCATTTCTAAAGTCTTGATGTATTTTCCTTTCATCTGATAAAATACTCAATTTAGCACCTATCGGTTTGTAAATGGATTAATTTTTTCGAATGAGAAATACTGAATTGAAATGAGGAAACAACGTAATATCCTTTGCATTAATCGTTTGTTCATTTGTTCTAGAGATATGTTTATTCATATCTTCATGAGACATAATTAGCCTATAGGGAAATTTGGGTTTCCTTGGTTGCTCACGGTCTTGCAACATAAACTTACCATTTTCATTTCTTAGGAGATAACATTTGGGCAAGTAATTTTGATAAAAAACATAACTATTATTATTTAAGACTCCAAGTATAAACACAATATCAATAAGGGGTTGTCTTTTATATTCTTCTATTAATTCAACATCATCTGATATTTGGCTATTACTTACCTCTGATACTTCTTTGAGCCCTTCTTCAACAAATTCCAAGGATTGTATTATATGATATAGTCTCTTATTTACTCTATAGACTTTATTTAACTTTTTTTAATATGTGTTATCAGTCTCATTTTATTTGATTTAAATTCTACAATTTGTAATTTATAACTTTTGTTATAATATATTTTACAATTCTATTAAATCAATCATGTATCCTGTCCTGCCAACAGAGAAATTTAAAAAATTTTTCAATTATATGTCAAGCTCATCTTCCCAAAGATCTTTACCAAATACTTATTTTAATTGTAATTTATTGGACAGGGTTAGATAATAAAATTACTTATCAATTTTAACTATTTATATTAAAATTAAGTAATCTTCTGTGTAAATCGGTTTATATTCCAACTAATCAAATTTATTTGTTGATAATTCTTGTCTAAAATGATAATGAGACTCAGTTAAAATCTTTTTGATAATTGGAGCTGGGGCAGGATAGTAATCAACAGGAGGAGTATTAAGTTTGAATTCTGGAAATAATCTTTGCAAATAATCCTGTGTTTCTAAAGTAAATATATCTATTAATTAAGGAGGAGCCTCCTATGGACCTAAGTTTTTCCAGTTTGACTTGAGAGTATGTTTTAATAAAGGTTAAATGATAGGAGTTTCAGGCCCCAGAATTAATTATCGAGATTGTAATTCATTACCTATTATAATGCCAGTATCTTTCAAAGATACATATGGGCTATCTCTTTAATTAAGTACCTGAGATTCACTATCTTAACTTGGAGACACTGCCTCTCTAATGGTTCTTTATTTTCTGTCTTAAGCAATAAACAAATGCTTATCTTTATTCCTTTTTCGATGTCTCTTTTTACTTAAAATTGGTTTTCTTTCTTGATTTAAAATTTCATAATCTTGATATTGAAAATATTAATTAATTCTTTCTAATTTTTTCTTATAAATAGAATTGTTATGTTATTGAATCGAAACCTGATGATTCTGTGAAACTGACTTAAATTTATAACCATTCATGGTCTTAATGTAACTTTTTCTTTTAATTAAAAAAAGGACTTTAGACAAGAGTTATTGATAATATTAAATATCTTCTTATTGTTATATTCTTCGTTTTTTGGTTTGATCATTGTTAACATTTTACCTTTTTTGATCTAGGACCGTTGTATTGCCCTTACTTACTCTATAGAGTGTTTACTCCTTCCTGTTCTCGATCCACTCACTCAATAAATCTTCTTGAGTCAGATATATAGTTAGTAATTAATCAAACAAATTCATCATGTCATCATAAGCTTTTATTTCTCTATAATGTTCAAAAAGTGTATCTATAATAAACCTAAATTAAATCTTTCTTGTATGATTTGAAATTTCAATAGATCCAATCATTTGAAAGGCTGATTACCGTTTAAGATTAAAGAGATTATTTTTTATCTGTTCCAAATTAATTTGATGATACTCCTCATTTTTTGATGATTTTTATAAAAATTATCCTCTAATTCTAGGATTTTCAAGAATCCATTTGGATGTTTCAAAATCTGTGAATAATTTATCATAAAAATGAATGGGATACCATTCCATTGTATCTGCCGATTACAATAACTTATATATGATTTTATTGGCTTCATTTTCAAGAAGTTTTTACTCCACAAGATCTTAAAAAGTATTGGATCTGCTCAAAAATTGTTATTATTTATTGTTTATCATAACTCTATTAGGTGAATGCTGATGTTTCCGTTCTAAGAACTCATTTTTTTGTTTTTTAGAAACTTGAACATAGGTTTTAAGCTTCCCTTTAATCTTCTCAACAGCCTCTAACAATATATCCATAGTATGAGTTTCCAAATATTTAGCAATAATTGAATCATGAGGAGAGTATGTTTTTATTGGTTCTTCACTTTCAGATGATACAATTTTGTTTTCCTCTTACTTAGTGATATCTTCATCATTATCGTTTGTTAGAGTACTTATTATTGGCTTTGTGAAGAGGGTAGTTGTTTAAATTTCAGGAGCTAAAATTTTCCTTTAGGAAATTCTCTCAATTTTTTAAGTACTAGGATAGCCAGGTAGTTTCTTGATATCTACTTTTGTCGTTATGTTATTTCTAGAAGGTTCTCTAATTTAGAGTCGAGATGGAATAGTTAGTTGAACTTAGTAAGTTGAGGTAGTTTAATTAGAAATTTCCTATTTTACAAATTCGACCCGCTTAAATTATTTGACTTCATATTATGGCCGAGCAATTAGTAATTCATTAATGACATTGGGAATTTGAGTATCTTCTAGATTCTTTAGAGTGCTTTGGTCTAAAGAAAGTATTTTAGTATGAAACCTCTCAGTATTTTTTTTGGATAAAATTGAGACACCCTAAGTAGGACTAGTTAGCTTAGAAGTGCATTAAGAACTTGTAGGTCTTTTCGATTGATTCTTAATAATGAATAAAGACTATATGGGAGCATCTTTACTTAGAAGAGTAGGTTTGCTAATAGATGAAGGTGTGGTTAGTTTATCTGCTTTATCTACTTTTTTAGTAAGCTTTGGAGCTCTAGCTGAGTCTACATCAATAATATAATTGTTATGTGCAGTTACTTTAGGTCGAAAAGATTAGAGAATTTCTTCACGAGCTGTTATTTAAATTGGTTAGGGTTGCTCTTCCTCTTCCTCATCCAGGCTTTGGATTTCAATATTTACAGATATCTTATCATTTAATATTTCATACAATCGTTTATATTCTTGAGTTCTCTTCTCATTCATCCCAAGTAATTCTTCAGATAGATGATAGCATTAAAAATATAATTATGCTGCTTCCCTGTCTTTATTCTAATTATGATAAATTTTGGCTTAGAATGAGAGTGCTTGTAATAAAATTAATTAAAACTTTTCAGGGAACTGCTTATAGAGATAAAAAGTCAAACCAATTTCCTACATTAGGTTCAGCAACTTCTCATTCAAGAGCACAATATTTTAAATTTTGCTAAGTCGACCATTCTCTATGATATGATTCAAGATTTGGATTTATGTCATAATAATGCTTCTTTGATTTGTTTTTTACAAGGGAAGCAATTGTATTAGTAGATTGTAGGCAGATTTATTCTTATGCCAAAATTCATGATACTCTGCATACAACATGTAAGTAGAATATTTTACATTTAGTAACTCCTCCATATCTAATTTAGAGGCCAATTAAATGGCTCTTTAAAAGTATTTTTCACCCTACTGATTCTGTAATATTTATTATTGACCTGTTTGATTTAGAGCCTCTATTAGAGTCACACATGATTGAATTGTATTTGGAGCATTTTTGCCAAACTCAGTAAGAGCATCCAAATAAGAACGCTCAAGTTGAAGGAGTGACAATTTCATAAATATTTTTATTATAAAATTCAATGTATATTTAATTGCCAATAATTTATCTCCCTTTCAAGTTTACTACTGTTAAATTGCCTTTTAACTAAATGCAAAGTAATGAATTAGCAAGAATAATTAAACATGCATTTAAAGAGAAATTTATAGTAATTTCACTTAAAATTGATGTAATAATGCAAATACTAGCATTCAAAAAATTATAAATTATAAAGGCAATTTCATAAAAATCAAACAAAAATAGGATAATTCATTACTATTCTTTCTCTTTTATTAATTAATGTTCAATGTCTTAATAAAGTAATCTTGAAATTTCATTAGTTAGTTTTGCTTGGCTAATTCAGTATATTTTCCTTTCCACATATCAAGTTTCTATGTTTAATGATTTTATTATAAAAACTTCATTTTCTACATTCTGTGGAGTTTAACATTAATGAAATAAATTATTTCAGTTTTTTTATCAGAATCGTTTACAGCAGAAAAATTATAAAGATAATATACAGTACTATTTTTATTATTACGTTTCAACTACATATTTAGGTATTTTTCCTTTATAAATACGAATATGGTTAAAGCAATTGAATTTAAAATTGGCCTACTCCTATAATTTGAATTATTCTACTAATTTAGAATAATTTTTTTATAAATTTTGAATGCAATTTGAATGCTTCTAAATCATATAAATGTTTTTATTAAATAACTCTTAATGGAAAGAAAATCTTTATTGATTTTAAATTTAATATTTAGATTAGAAAAAGGAAAAAGGAAGAACAATAATAAATCTCTTAGTATTTAGTCTATTTATTAATATTCACTATTTTTAATATTCTAATATATTTTTATTTTATTTATTTAATTTTTTTAGATTTAGAATTGCTAATAATTTTATCTAGAATAATTATTGTGCAGCAGATATTTATTTTTAAATTATTATAAATTTGAGTTGTTATCTTTTTAAATGTATATTTATGATGTCGAATTGCAAATTATAATTGATCACAATATATTTTTTTACTGAAGATAACTATTTGGAAGTATACAATTTTCAATTTATTTCCCTAACGCATTTATGTTAAGCCATTAAAAAATTAAATCTCATTAAGAAACCTTTATTTCCATAATTTTCTATAACATTTAGATGATTAATTAATTGAATTCATATTATTCTATGGAAACAAATGATATGTAATTTATCATTGAAACTATAACGGTCCAACCCGAAAGAAACCTATAATTATATCTCACAACTATAACTATTACGTGGAATGTGTGAGTTAAACATTATTAATTTAGTAATATAAAAATTATCAATTCTCCACAAATGATAAACTTAATTTCTCGTATCCTTTTCCAATTATATCCTACTCATCTAAATCTTGTTTATTATACACATCTTTTGACTCTATCATCTCCTTCTCTTTTATTGTCGATAGAAATGGTAACAATATCAAAATATATACACTGGTCATTGTTATCATTATCCACAAATTCTCAAACGAGGCTTCATTTATATCTATTGAAAATAACAAATATCATACTCATAAAATACATCAATATTCCTCCAATCTGTCTGGCCACTAATTAACCTAAATTGATTGTGGACATCAATAATGCATACATTGTACCTTCTATTTTGGATGGACAAATCTTGCATGCCAGAACCAAAATAGGAAGCATGTTCAGTTCGGCTACCAATTGCATTAGTAAAGTATCACATAATGAAAATGCTTCGTCTTTTATGCCTAATTCAACATTCCTCCTGGTCACTTACAAGATCTATAAAGCATTAACAACACTATAAGTTAATGTTGTTACAAAGAACACAGACTTGAATGAATAGTTTTTTAAATATCTATTAAATATACTCACAGCTGTGATGTTAGCCAAAGCAAATAGGAATTTGATCTTACCCAAAAATTCAGCTGTGTAATGCAAATAGACTGTTTAAAAATAAAACATTGCTGTTGAAGTTGATGGTTACAACATAAAACAAAAAATAAACACTATTGGTTTGTATATGGCTTTGATATTCAAGAATCGATGTAATTCTTGTAATTACTTCTTAATATCCATATCTTTATGCTGACCCTCATTCAAAAACAGAGAGGCTCCAGCAATAATCAAAGGAAATATTGAAGTTATTCTGAAAACTAAAATAGCTGTTGGACATACTTTATTATTTCTGCAAATACTTCAAAGAGTAACCACTAAGATAGCTTGTCATGAGAGTTCCAAAGGCTTTAAAACCAAAAAATAGACTGACATTGTTGGTTGAACTATCGTTGCCGGTTGAGATCTCAACCAATAGAGCCTCTTCATTGTTAAATAGCAATACCTGCAACAACATTACAAAATGCTATACAAATTTGAATGCTCAACAGAATAGAGACACCTGCAAAGGCATCCTTCGTACCATATATGGAGAGAGCATAAAAGAGCACAAACCCCATGAGACCAAATATAAAGAGGTAGCTCTTTCGTCTGTAACCGCAAATTGGAAGCAAATCTGTGCAGAGACCCCATATCGGTTTGATTACCCAAGGTATGCTGATGATGCCTTGTATGTATGTCATTTCAGTGGGGTTCATTCCATAATCTTCTTTGAGCAAGTACGAAATGGCCAACTCTGAAAGGTTAATCACTCCTTGAGAGAATGCCACCAAGCAGATGACAGCATACGTGGAGTGCGATTACTTTATCATATATTTTAAATATTATATATGCTTATTTTAATAATAAAACGAATTTCAATCATAAACTTATTAGATTTCGCATTCTCTAAGTTACTTCACATTCTTCAATTTCAGCAGGACTGGGAAGCAGAGGATATTTGCCATAATTTGAAAGTATCTAAGCCAGCAATTTTCATTTGCTTTGATCTGTTCCATGGTTAAATGACTAATTTATTGTGCTCCACACAAGGACACAAAGGTTAAATTTAATGCATATGTGATACCTTTATAAGGCAGTTGCTGTGTGATGAGTAGATTAAGGCCGATGAAGTAAGTGATGTAGCTGAGCAACATTGAAAAGCTAATGAATATTTCTTCATCTTTAAATAGTTTGACTCTAGATTTCATTACTTGTAGGATGCTAAGTGTTAACAACATAAGATTGAAAAAAATCATAACATTTCTTACGACTTGGATTAAATTAAAATTATACTAAATTTTCTATATAAGATTTGGCTTAGAACAGCAATAGTAAGAATGGCAGGAATAAAGTAGCGTAATGGATGCTCAAAGATTACTTAAGGTTATGGGAAATAATTATGATTGTTGAATTGGAACCATGATAAAAGTGCCAAAATTGAACATCCAAAAAATCGTTTACGATATTGCTTACTAAATAAAGCACTCGTTCTTCTATTCAATTGACTGTATGTTTCGTTGTTAGATATGTAAAAGTATTCAATCTCTTTGATATTACCTGAAAATTAATTCTTAATTATCACTCTTCCTTGAAGTTCCTTGAACTTTCTGTAATAGTACTCCAAAGTCTGTTTGCCATAAATTGTAAGGAACGAGAGCAATCTAATTGAATTAGTCAATATTACAAGACTACTGATCACTATTTGTTCATCCTCCAAATTCTAATTCCTAATATAACTTACTCTTAACAAAGTCCCGAAAAAAAAACAGATTAATGGATTATTGTTAAGATACACAGATCTTTCTTCTTCCCATCCCACTTATTCTCTGATGAATCTGATCGTTAACAACCAATCACAGCCTACGATAATTCCAATTATGCAAGTAAAGATCTTATAGATTAATTACGATGAGTAATCTTCAGTAGACAATCCAATAAATCCCACGGCCAACATCAACGTATTTATTCCCATCAGTTTGAATCGAGTAACTTAGACCATCAATGGAGAAAACAACCAACTACAGGCCAATCCAATGTAAGACCACTCATAGTCCAATAAAGGAAAGTCCAAATATTGCATGCACACATAACCAGTAACTATCTATGGGATACTTAAAACTACGCTTTGAGCATACAACCTCCAAAATGATTTATACTTGAACATTATTTTATAATAATCATTTGTTGTTTTTATTTATCCCCAAAATTTCTTCATATTCTTCCTATGACACTATGTGGGCATTCTTGGGAAAGTAGAACAGTTGAGGTTCTCTATCAATCAGTCTTTCTGCTTCCTCTCTTATCCTCTGCAATTTGTCTCTTCAATAATTTAATTGCTTACCCATAATACATATCATATTGATAGCCGCACACAAACCCCAAAGGAACCAAAGGAATTATGGGCAATGGACTCTAATTTAAATTATCATCTGTCTTACCTTCTTTTTCAATGCCCCCATTATGCAGAATGGAAATATAAGAGCATAAAAGGAAGCATACCAATGGAAAAATTCTTTGCCTGAAGCGAATTACATAGCCATTTAAGTTTATCTTTATTTTAACATCATGTCCAACTATTTCTTTTGCATTTCCTTCTACATTTCCTTTTAATTCTCCTTCATTCCTTTTGCAATAGATGATCCCATGTTGTGAAATTTATAATATTAATTTTTATTGGATTTCTTTTTATTCTTACTTTTTCGATTATCTAGTTTTGGTTCCTTTGCTGATGAAATGGTTAAAGATTTGGATTACCTAAGTGATTTGGCAAAATGGTTATATATAAATAGTTTTTGAAATAAATTTATTTAATAATGGGAGCAACATGTTGCAAGTCAAATTTGCAAACTTAAGATGGTATTAATAATTATCGATTGGCTTTAATAGAACTTTCTGTTCAATCAGCAGCTTTCGGAGATAATGACTAGGGATCTTAAAAGAGGGTTGTTAAGTAAACAACTGCTAGCAAACGTTAAGCATATATTCCAGCACAGACATTCGGGTTAGGATTGAAACAAAAACTTATCCGATGATGGAAAGGAAGTGTATGAGGAACCAAAGAAGGTTTCGATGAAAGTCTCAAAGGAATTGGAATAATTATTGGAGCGATAGAATTCTGACACCGATAGAAAGAAAATTCTCGAATAGCAATCAGGATAGAGTATAAATAACATGAGTTATCTTAGAAATGGATCAAAAGTTGCACATAAATGTTGATGTTTTTGTATAATTGAAGAAAGGTCAAATCTCAGATCATTACATCACTGGTAAGGTATTGGGAGAAGGTGCCTTCGGAAAAGTGTGGAAAGTGACACACAAGAAGACTAAATTAGATCGTGCCATGAAATAATTAAAGAAGACTTCTATATTGAAGGAAGACAAAGAAAAATTATTTTCGGAAATGAATATACTAAAGAATTTAGACCACCCACACATTGTAAAATTGTATGAATTATTCGAAGATGACAAGAATTACTATCTGGTAACCGAGTAAGTACTAAATTCATTGAGGATAGGTATTGTTCTGGGGGAGAACTATTTGATCGAATCAAGAGCTTGAACTTCTTTAGCGAAAAGAAGGCTGCAGAACTAATGAGACAAATCCTCAGTGCTGTTTGGTATTGTCACAACCAGAAGATCGTACACCGAGATCTAAAACCAGAGAACCTACTCTTCGTATCCGATTCCCCTGATGCTGATCTTAAAGTAATCGACTTTGGAACTTCTAGAAAATTTGAAAATGGAAAGAGAATGACTAAGAGATTAGGCACTCCCTATTACATTGCACCTGAAGTCCTATTGGAGAATTACAATGAAAAATGCGATGTCTGGTCCTGTGGCATTATTCTGTACATTTTATTATGTGGATATCCTCCTTTCTCTGGTCGAAGAAAATCTGAGATTCTCAAGAGAGTTAAAGCAGCTCAATTAAAATTTGACCATGAAGATTGGGCTCACATTAGTTAGGATGCTCAAAATCTTATCAAGAATATGCTCAATCCCAACCCAGCTAAACGTTTAAGTGCTGAAGAAGCCTACAATGACAAATGGATTTAAAATAATGCACCTTCCAATGTCATTAATTAAAGAGCACTACAAAATCTATAGTAATTTCATGCCAAAAGCAAATTCAAATAGGCAGTTCTGACCTTTATGGCTACTCAAATCATTACTCAATAAGAATAGGATGAATTAAATAAGACTTTTAAAGCTATTGATAAAAATGGAGATGGTAAATTATCAAGATAAGAGTTAATTGATGGTTATACTCAAGTTACTAATAATTAAGAATTAGCAATCATCTAAGTTGATCACATTATGGAGTTGGTTGATATCAATCGTTCAGGGGAAGTTGATTTCACTGGTAATACTATTCTCTATTTTTAGAATTTCTGATTGCTGCTATGAATTAAGAAAAGTTTCTGTCAGTTCAAAAAATGGAATAGGCATTCAAAGTTATTGATTTGGATGGTGATAATTATATTTCCAAAGCAGAATTACAAAATGTTATGGGTGATATTGATGATGAGGTATTTAAGTGTAATTTAACCAGATTTGGATACAAATTTTAAAGGAATGCGATAATGATAATGATGGCAAAATTTCATTAGAAGAATTCTCATCTTTGCTCCAATCTAAAGTTTTATGATTTCATAGAGATTGCTTCATAATTATTTTTATTATATTATTATTATTGTTGTGAAATGCACTCTCATTTTCTTTTCCTGGGTTCAGGCACTGTTGGATTCAAATCTGCTAATTTTTGTTTTATATAAATATTCCTTAATTAATTTGCATCCTCATAAGGTCCAGATCTCTCAGGGCATTCCAAAAAAAACCAAAGGATCTTTATTTTAATATCATTTATCCTTACATTCTCAACTTTACATACTCTCTTTGGTAAATCATCTTTCACACTCTTCTCCTTCAAACATGATACAAAGTTTTTTTCTAACCAATTGCATTCATTGCTAATATGGTAGGACACATATTTTACACATCATTAAGTGGTGGGCGATATTTGACTTCCATAATATTTATATTAATATTAATTAAATTCAATTCATTAAATTTCTATTTCATTATTCTTTAGCATTTAGTATCAATAGAAAAAGTAGTGTATTTTAGGTTGACACATTTGATAAAGAAGAGAAGAAACTAATTGATTATACAAAAAATATTAATGTCACATAAATTTGAGATAAAATATCAATCACATTTTTAACTATAATAATTTTCTGTTTGATTCCAATTGCTTTTTTAGATATCATTAGTATTGCTAATTTTAAGTAGAATTTAGATTAAATCAAGCAAAAATTTCATTTATTATTCTTCTGATATGGTTTAATACTGTGGTACATGTATAAATATAGTTTGTGGATTCTGCTTTAATGATTGATAATATAGATAATTGCAAAGGAATCGACCTGGATTGTACGATTTATTTACTTAATATCCTAATTGCTATAATTAGGATATAATTTAAGTAATATTTAAAGTGGATTTTATCTATTCATCCATATCTATTTCTTAATCTATTTTCACTCTTCTTATTTTGCACCCATTAAAATCACTTAATTCATAATCCAATTTATTGTAAGCACATATCTCTAATTGAAAATTTTGAAGTTCATTAAACAACCCAATATGAATATTTATAGCATTTTTATTATCAATTTGACTTAAATATTCATCACATGCTTCTTTGGTAACTTTGAGAACTTGAATGGATTGTATATTCAATTCTTATTTTTATTATTGAGACAATTATTATATTAAAAGTGCACTTGGGTTCCTCTCTGTTTTTCCCCATTCACCAAAACCAGACAGATTAATGTGCTTGAAATTATTATTTTACATAAATATATAATTAAATAATAATAAACTTATTAATATAGTAAGAGAATTTATATAATTGCTCTAAAAGAACAAAGGATTATTGGTAAACATTGATAGGTTATGTACTTAATTATAATTAATTTCATGCAGGTAATGCTATTTAATAATGTCCTGGGCATAATAACAAAAAGATTTTTTCTACCTTTACTCCTTCATTATTTTTAGGTAGATATTCCTTCCTTTCATAGCTAGAATTTTATAAATCTATGTAATACAGGATAATATGCCTAAGATTAGTTTAAAGAAAATGATTACAATTTAAAATGTTCAACAATTGTCCTTATCAACGTTTCATTATTGTTACACTCCTATTCCCAAGTTAAGAGATCTTTCGTAATATTTAAATCTCCAAGCTCTTTAAACTCTTGACTATTATGAAAGATATGAGCAAAGTATCTTCTAAAAACTAAAATAGTGAGTAAGTAAAATAAATAATCTGGATCCCTCATTTATTTTAATAATTCTTCTTTTGTTTTTAATTGCTAAAATTACCAAATAAATTCTTAAACTATTTTCTTATTCTCTTTAATTTCAATATTTTAATATTTTATTTTTGCAGAGAGTTGTTCAACCTCATTAATAAACTAATTTTTTCTCTGTTCATCTCTTAGAAGAATTGATAAATATTAATATAAGAAAGATGTATAAAAACAATTTCCATCTCCTCTAATGTTGATATGGCCAATAATTTCTTTCTTAAGTTATTTAATCTACTTTGAAAATTTGTTCTGGTTTCTTCCAAAATATTACTTTATTGTACCCTAAATATTCTCGACTTCACCAATAAAATATTTAAATTAATTCCCAACTTATCTACCTTTATAGGATTTGTTAGCAATTTGGTTAAGCAAATCTACATCATCTTCTTTTAAGTATTAGTATCTTTCTATAAATTCAGGTACATTTACTACATTTTCTACATTTTAGTCACCAATTATTTCTTATTATTCCATTTAAGCAGGTTCTTCTTGTTACTATTGTTGATCCAATTTGTTCGAAGAAGAATCTTCTAATTAAACTTCTACATTAACTTTTACTATTTCCTCTTATTATTATTCTTAAACTTTTACTATTTCTTCTTATTGTTATTCTTAAACCTCTACATTGACTTTTACTATTTCCTCTTATTATTATTCTTAAATTTCTTATTTCTATTGGTTTATACTATTTTATTATGATGTTTCCACTTATCGTTCTGCTTAATAATTTTCTTCTTTCACTTGATTCACCTAAGGAATAAATTGTTGTTTTAAGTCTATCTGTAAAATTTTAGATTCGTCATTATTCTCTTAAATATGATTCTTATTTTAGTGATCCTAATTTTAGTCGGACTCATTTGTCTATTATTACTCTTATTATTTTGACTTACTATATTATGATTATTGTTTATCTTGGAATTTTTTATTTAACAATTATTAATATTTCTAAGGCTTCTATTTTTAAATATCTTCCTCTACCAAAGTTCCCTTTTTTATCTCAGAATTAGTAATCTTTTTTTTGTTACTTTTAAGTCTATATAATCTATATAATATATTCAAAATAAATATTAGGACATCAATATGTTTCTAGAGAAAGAATTTTATTATTTTGAAGGGGAATCCAAAAACCACCTCTAATATGCTTTTTTTCTGCCTCAATCTAATAGGATTTTAGTTTGAGGTTGTGTCTTTCATAGTGAATATTATATTAATTAATGACGATATTTTTTTAATTACAAATATAAATAAATAGAATTACAATTATGTAATAAAAATTAATTGATGTAATATATGAGATTAATTTATAAATAGTTTGTAATTTATTTTAAGTAATATATTTTAATATTTATAAAAATCTCAAATTAGATAATTTATTAATACCCTAAAGAATTCTATTTTAAAGTATCTCAATTCATTAGTAATTACAACATTTCAATTATTTAAATGAATATGTTAATTAAATATAATGTTTTTTACCTAATCACTTTTAAAGAAATTGGAATAGTTTTGCATTCACCTAGATACTACAATAATTCAAATATATTAAATATCATCATGATTTTGGTATTATTTAACTTCACATTCCATTAAAATAATCATAGTTTGTTACCGACTTTATCGAATGTAACAAATAATCATATATAGGATGATTGGCAATATTTAAATAGTTTATAAATATCATTTGATATATCAAATACCATGGACTTTAATGTTATCTTATAACGCTATTCCTTCTTCCACTAAAAATTTGGCAATTTACTATCTATTATCTCCTGTCAATCTAATTGTGACTTAATCTCCATAGTCTTCATCTTTTGAAATAATACCACCAGTACAGTTAAATTGCTATATAACTAAGATATTAATAATACTTTCTTCCAAAATCTAATAATCTTATTTAAATCAAATTCATCTGGAATACCAACAATAATCGTTTGTGTTTTTCTAGCGCTTCTCTTTTTTAAATGAATATCTAATATTAATTATATTCTTACGAATGACAAAGTTGAAGTTTACCATTTCATCAAATTCATTCTAATTGTCAAATTGGTTGTCAGTCATTCAATATAAATTTAAGCTAATTTATTTATTATACAATAAACTAATAATACTTCTCAATAGAAATAAATATCACATTCATCAATTATAAGATTATAGATGATCAATTCTTGATTTTTATTGGCTATTACATTAAATAACTAAGGGAAAGTTCCTTGTCCTAATCACAACAGTTTGCCTTCTGCCATATTTAATTTAAATTTTTTAATAATTATTGGACTTCAACTAAGTAAAATGATATTGATATTGAATTTCTATAAATTTGATCAACATAGATAGGATTTATCTTAAAGATCGATCCCTTGTTATATGATTACAAATGAAGAAATTTAAAATATATATCAAATTTTTTTCTTTCCACCAGATTTTTAAGTTTATTCATTCTTTTTATTGGCTTTTCCTTTTGCTTTGCTGTTGTTTGGATGAATTATTTTTGTAGTTTTACCAAAGAAATTCTCCAATCTACTTTAGAAACCAGTAGTATCCTTTTTAGCAATCCTTTTAAGTCCATTATCGATTCTTGATTCTGCAAACCCTTTTTCTTCAACTAGGAACTTTTTAAGATTCTCAACATCTGGTTTGTTCCAAGTTAACTATGATTAAGGTAAATCAAAATTTTACTTAAATTTCTTCTCCCTTTTAAACTAATGGGGTTATAAATAATTCTCGACTGTCTTAATACAGAAATTTTGTAGGTACTGTATATTTAGGATTTTATTTATTTTTTTCTCTTTCTGCATTGACTTTTTAAACATGCTCCAAAATTCCCTCTATGCTTTTGAACTCTTTTATTAACTTATAAGCTGTTCCAGGACCAATGCCTTCAATCTTTTCAGTATAATCGCATCCACACTAAAATATTAATAAAACAACATTTACTAAAATGCATAGATCTACGAATTACTCGTATGTTATTTCTAACTCTTTCATCATATCATCATAAATTATTTCATAAATTGGTTCCTTCTTTGTATTGAACCCTCTTAATAACACTGGTGTTCTGAAAGTCAAAGCATCCATATCCTCAGTGGCTGTAGCATATATCTTTCCTGCTCTACACAATTCAGCACATTAAGCTTCTGCTTCACAGGGTGCTATAATAACAGGACATCCCATTAATTTGAGCATTTTGATTGCATCTTCTTTCATGACACTAGATATAGTGGTGGTCCTTTGATGTTGAAGCAAAGCCTATTGCATATCACCCTGTTCAAGAGCCAATTCAGTTTTGACTTAAGCCTCCTCTTTTAATTTCTTTCTTCTTGCCAACTCACCACTTTTTAATAAAGGTGGTTTTCCATCAAATACCCAAACAGGTTTAATTCCATTCTCAAGAAATTGCAATGTTCTATTAAATAACCCAACCAGATGTCCAGTTCGGTTACCATCCTTATCTGTCAACTCTATAATTTGTGTTTATCCCGCAGATTGTGTTTAAATTAAAAACTAATACATAGCCATAGATGCATCACAACCGATAGTTCTATATGTAAATGATTGTTATTACCTGCCTGCAAAATAGTCGAGCATCAAAGTCCTAAAACAATTGGGTGCTTTTTCTTTCAGAAATTGCATAAGTTAATGAATTCCCATATTAATTAATTAATTAATAAAAGCGCCAAAGTTTAATGTGATTTTATATATATATATTTTTGGAATGATCATCATTTTTATGTGTCAACAAAGACATAATTCTTATTTAATTTTTCAATATCCTTCTCCAATTAGGCTAACTCCTTCTCACATTGCTCTTTCCTAAAAGGGAATATAGATTAATGAGTACTTTCTCTTCAATCCAACAGTATCAATCATCCTAATATGTGTAATTGATTAGTATTCTTTGTTAACTGATTCCCATTTCTTTTTTAATCCCTTTTTTAATTGTTCGACTTCTTCTTGAGTCATCAAATATTTTTGTTTATCCATTTCTTCAGCCTCACTTATGTGCATATTTCTAATAATTTCATATTCACTTGAAATGCTTTATTATATTTTTGTAAGATAGTCAGGTACCTTACCAAAGTCCTTTTTCTCAGTCCATGGTTTCTCATCTACTATTTGCTTTGGAGCACTTAGAATATTTTCAACTGCATTCGTCACTATGTAATTTTTATTAGATTTAAGGCCATGAATAGGCTTTTCATCTTTTTTAGGTACTGGAGGTCTGACTGAAGGAGGATATTTATATTGTTTGACTATTTATAATTACAAAACATTACCTTCAGGCAGTTGGTTTGATCCCATTGTTCCAGTATTTTTCAATCTGAACATAGTAGAATCAGGTTTGTATGATCCTATAAAATTTCAAAGTGAAATTACCCTTAGGTCTTCCGAGAGAGTTCGACTATCCCTTATGAGAGTGTGGTCCCCTAACTAAATCAAATTCTCCGTTGATATTATTAACCTGAATAAATAATACAACTACTTTAGGTCGACTAGTTGTATGGTTATTGAATGTGCTGCCAGTTGGTGTCAATCCACTTGGATATGCCGATCTATACATCGGTTCTTTAGGAGGAGGTACATATTCCTTGGGAATCAAGTTATATATGCTTTCCTGTTACATAATTATAATATATTTAATAATAAAATACCATTATTATTTTAATCATTATAGATTTACTTCAAATTTCTAAAGAAGAGGGTTATAGTAATCAATATCTTCCTTTTCTCCAGTGTATTTGAGCATTTACTTCACTGAGCTTATGATTTCCTATTAATCTATTTACACATCTAAATCTTTATAAATTAATTCCAATAAGATAACATCGATCGACTCGATAACAATCAATCCCTTTCCCAACAAATCAAAATAGATTTTCTCTAATTGCTTTTCTTCAAAATTATCATACTCTTCTGGATCAATCAAGGGAATCACTTCTACATATTCCATTCTGAGTTTTTTAAGACTCTCTAATTTTTCAACGCACTTGTCAAAAACTCTCTATTTGAAAGCGGCATCAGTATTTCTCCTCAATAACTATTTGATAATCTAAACAGAAGTTTCATCAATTTCAAACTGTTTATTTTTATCCTTATGTTTTAATCCCTTTCTTTCAAGGATTGGGAATATGATGGATAATCCTCCTATTGAAATTAACTTCTAACAGTTCTCCTTATGATTATTAATAGCCAAAAGCATTAAACTATACGCTCTTATAGATTAGGAGGTCTTTCCTTAAATAATCTTGATCATTAGTTGTAACCCTTCGTAACTTTGAAAGTATTCTTAATTTTCTTCTTAGATCAACAGTAATGTAAGTAAATCATATACATTATTTAATATTTCCTTCTCTTCTGCAGTTTCTGGATCCTTTTTTCTGTACTAATTCAAGACCATTAATAAACTTTCGATTCCTCCGCTTCTACCTATGATTTCCAAGTTTTCCTTTGTCTACTGAGTAAGTACCACCAATAGTTCAGAAGCGTAGAGTCTATTGTCATCCAAAGTTTGACTGTTGTCTTCCACTCTTTTCACCAGGTACTATATGATTTTGGATCGAAGACCGATCTCTTTGCTTATTGATGATTTGATATCCACCATATTTTCAATTACTTCAAAGCAATCATGCAATAAATTAACTTCCTCTTGAGATTTCTCTTCGTTCTTTACAATCAGTTCACCCAACGATTCAATCAAATAATTTCGAATGAGACAATCGTATAATTGAATTATTATTTTAGGTTCAACTTCACTTTCAGGAGCGACCAATTCCTTCAAAAATTGAATGACATCGTTCGAAATAGACTCGTTATTGTGTAATAACAATTGGATCACTATTGGAAGAGCATTGCTGCTATAAAATATTGGATATAATTGGGGATATGCAGGTAAGATGAGAAGTTTTCTTAAATCCTCATCTAAGTCAACTTCTGAATCGATGAACTTTTCAGGTTGGTTCGGATACCTCATTCTCTAATCAGAGTTCAGTTTGTAATTATTTTCCAATTGAAATATCATTTCCCTCAATTGTCTTTCATCGAACAATTCAACATTCTATTCTCTGAATTACATGTCCTGTTATTCATCATTTCTATCATCATCGTATTCCATATCCTCCTCAATATCTTACTATTACAATTTGACTCTCTTTCTCGGGTCCATAATTATATTAATTATTAAAAAGATAGAAGCAAAAATTATATAATTATCACTCAGAATACCTCCTCAACAGATCATTAATTCTGTAATACAGAACATCATATTTGGCTATAAAATCATCATAAAAATTAAATAAATTAATGTAAAATTCTATTTAATACCCCTTATTCATTTTCCCACAAATTATGGTATTCATTCACATAATAAATCCATTTTCATTACATAATATCATTAAATGACTGGAAAAGTACAGTACTCAACTAACCTTTGTAAAAGATTATTTAATTAGTTTTAAATTTTTATTTATAATAATGGGCTCATGTAATCAATGCCTGTAGAAGCAAGAGCCACTCAAATCAGGAAGGATTTAAAACATATTTTTTAAGTAATCCCCATAAAACCATAGAATGGCAATCAAAATTTAATAAGCCTATAGATCTTACATTATCCGATCAAAATTAAAGTACTTCAATATAGTTATTTATAGCTTAAAATAGGCAGAAAAAAAAGCAAGGAACCAGATTAAATGTAATTCAACTGAGGACATTATTGTTGAGTATCATACTAACTCCTATTCTCCAAAAATTCATTAGTCTGAAGTTTCCAATACTGTTTCCAGCTTCCAAAACAATCAAAAGGAAAAGGCTCATCAAATTTTTAATCGTCAACTAAGTCTCAAATTAGATCCGAAAGAAAATGATTAATAGGAATTTGAAGAACTGATCTTTAACGACTAAACTGCTTTTTAATAATATCTACAATCTTCTATTAATTGTATTGGAGCTCTCAAGAATCAAAAAGAAAAAATTAATTCATTTAAGTTTTGTTGTGTCTTGACTCTAGAAACACTTGAGTCAAAAGATTAAATCATTTTAAAATAAAAAAGTCATAAAAGAACAAAATTAGACACAATTAAATTAATTGGTGGGAACTCTTATAATGGAGAATGGTTAGATTCTTTACCGGATGGGAAGGGCAAATACACTTTTTCTGATTCATCATATTATTAAGGAGATTTTAGGAGAGGGTTATTTCATGGCAAGGGCGAATTTAAAAGTAAATAAGGTAGCTATTATAGAGGATAATGGTAATAAAATAAAATGCATGGTCAAGGTACTTACAATTATAATAATGGATGCAAATATGAAGGTATTTCTAAAATTAATTAACATAAGGTAGTTGGGAAAGAGATCTTCCCAATGGATAAGGCATAGAATGGTATGCTAATGGTTCTGTTTATGTGGGTACTTTTTTGAATGGACTAAAACATGGAAGAGGGAAATTAACATTTAATGTAGGAGAAATCTATGAGGGGGAATTTCAATTCGATAATTTCAATGGATAAGGAGTATATGTATATATTGATATTATTATATAAAATATAGAGATGGCAAGATGGAAGAGTCTATGAAGGAGAATGGTAGAATGGGAAAATGAGTGGGAAGGGACTCTTGACTTGGCCTGATGGGCGTTTCTATAAGGGCTAGTATTTGAATGATCTAAAACACGGTTTTGGGATATTTTCTTATTCTGATGGTCGTAAATACATTGGTCAATGGAAGCATGGTCTGTAACATGGATAGGGAGAGTTCCAAAAGGGAGAAAAGACATCAGTTGTTACCAAAGGAATTTGGAAACAAGGGCAATTAGTTAAATTGCTCTGATCTTAACTGTTATAATTTTATTTTTTCTTTTTTTATATAAATGAGTAGCGATTTACTTATTCAATAATCTCAAGTTTTCTACTTGTTAAGAGAAGGACTATGGAAATCAACATAGGTGTTGTGTCATAAGGTAATTTAAGATCAATATACGTAGTTTTATCAAAGAACTCAAGATCCATTCTTTCAATTTTGGAGGGCGTTCTGCTATTTCAAAAGTGGAAGTTTGAATGAAGCAATAAATGAATTAACACTTATTAGAAATAAAAGAGAATTTTAGTTTGCAACTTCAGCAGCACTTATCTACTACTCATAGCAACAACGTGGAGTTGATAGGGTATAAGTGAGAGTTTAATTTTATAGGAAATCATTGAAACTTGCAGACAGATGTAGACAGAAGGTCGAAAGACTCCGAATGATCGAGCATTTCAGAGTGCCATTTATTTCTATTTATTTTGTTGATGAAGGTAGAAAGGCAAAGGAAATTTTGGAATTATTATCAGAAGGTCAGCCAATAAGTCAGATCACTCTCGGGTGGTATAAATTATTACAAAAGGAAGAGGAAATAAGCCCAGATAAAATCCTCGATTACTTTTAGAGTTTTGGTGGTATTTAAGCTTATATTATCATTAGGGCAATTCAATTAAAAGCCTATTGAATATTTGTTAGGTCTGGCAAAGGCTTCGGAAATAAATAAGAAGTATCCAATCACCTTAGATGCTTTGAATGAATTGATGATCGTTTGGAGAGATTTTCCATTCACAGATGTAGAGAAGTTGCGATTCTGTATATTTATTTAAGATTGGGAATAATTTTAGGATCTAGCTAATAAACTACTCTATGATGATCCAACCAACATATTTGGATTGAAAGCTATAGCCTTTTATAATTTGGCAAGGAAAGGTGATGTAAGAGAATCATTAGAGAAAATTGAAGAATTATTTAATGCCATCTAAAAACAAGAGGAAGATAATGTCTCATTAATTTTGAATTGTTGCTAATTGCTATCCAGAGTTTCAGGGAGAAATCAATAAATTCTCTAATTGACAATGAGTTAAATCTAAAAGACTCGAAAAATTGCCCCATTATTAGGAGATTTGTGTTTAGAACTAGCTTAGGAAACTTTGATGTTGGAAGAATATGACAAGGCTTATGGTTTTTTCTAAGAAGCAGCTGCTTTAGATGAAGGTAGAATGGAATCATTAGCAGGAATGATTTAATGCAAAATATTATAGGGAGTCATTGATGATGCAGAAAAATAATTGGAATTTGTTTAGGAAGTCTAAGTATCTGTTGGCAGAACCACAGAAATTGCATTTTTATAGGCCCTATTAGAAAGCAAGAAGTCAGAAGGCACTGATTCTCCTATTGCCTAGCAATTTATTGAAGAAACCCTTAAACTTCATTTAATCTAGAGTAAATTATTGCTACCTGGATATGAGTTTTATATTAAGTTTAATCCAGATTTTACATTTACTATAGCTTAGATGTATCTAAGAAATTTATCCACTAATTTAATGTTAGCAGGTAAGGAATTGCCCACTTCAGGTATTGGAAAAGGAACCAAATTATTAGAAAGTATTGCCAGATAAGCTCCTGGATTAACTAATGTTTAGTTATTATTATCTACTGGTAAAATGGCATTAGGAGATCCATAGGAAGCATTAAAAACTATTAATAGAGTGTTAGAATTAGATCCTAAGAATGAAGATGGATACATTTTACATGCGTTGATTTCTATTAAAACTAAATAGATCAACTTAGCAGCAAACTCTTTAAATTAAGCCATATCTAATAATTTTGCGATTAGAGAAAACCCCTTATTTATGTTAGTTAAAGGAGAGGTTGAGTATAGAACTGAAGATTACAAGAATGCCCAAATTACACTGGAAGCAGCTTATGAATTAGTTGCAGGAAAATATAAGAATAAAAATAAAGTGAAATCAAAAATTGTGTAATTTACTGAAAAGGATAAATGCCAAGTTTTTGTATTGTTAGCTAAGGTGTACGCAATTAATAAGAAAGAAACAGAAGCCAAAAAGATCATGTAAAAGGCTATCTAGGAATATGCAGGCAGTCCTCATGAAAGCACAATTATGATGGCTAACAGTGAAATAGCAATAGAGAGTGGAGACATAAAGAAGGCTATTAATATTCTTAAGGCTGTTTAAGGTGGATAACCAAATTTTGTTAATTCAAGAATAATTTTAGCCGATGTCTACTTAAAGTATTTGAAGGATCGAAGAAATTATACAAGGTGTTATGCTGAAATCATTGAGGCAGAACCTACAGCAGAAAATTATAAACTAATTGGAGAGGCATTTATGAAAATTAATGAACCTCAAGAGGCTGTTTTAAGTTATTAAAAGGCTGCTGAATTGAATCCTGAAGATGAAGAAATTACAAGAATTATTGGTAATGCACTTACAATGACATATGATTATCAGAAAGCAGTTAATTATTATGAGGCAGCTTTGTAGAAGACTCCAGGAAGATAAGATTTATTAGTTGATTTAGGTAGATTATATTTGAGAATGAATAATATCAAAAAAGCAGAATAAGTATTAGTTTGGGAGAAGTTTGTAAGTGATGATTATGCAGCACCAACATTGACAACTTTGAGAGCAAATGCTTAAGGTTTTCTTTTGATTGCAAGAATGGTTACTAAATTACAATAAGCTACTTTTAATTAAGCACAAAATGCTGAAAAAGAGAAGATCTAATAGTAATTGATGGCTGAATCTCAAAAATTAATAGAAAAAATAAGAAAGGCATTTGAATTTGCAGTCTAAACATAAAAAGATGTTATTGAAAAAAGTAAATAAGAGGCTGCTAATGTAAATAAGGAAAAGGAACAATTGGGATTAATATTTTTAGAGTAAGCCAGGTACTTCTTTTATAATGAGAGAAATTACAAGGCAACTTTAGATTGTATAGATGATGGTGTTAAATTCATACCTACAAATGAAAGTTTGATTTAGTTATAAGCTGAAACATTCTATTAAAGTGGTGACAAGATTTCTTGCGAATAAAAATTAAAGATATTATAAAAATTGAATCCTAAAAATGATTATGCTTCCATGATGTTATCAGAATTAGTATTACAATAGGATGATAGTGAAAAATCAATTTAACAATTTGTTCAAACCTTACAAGAGAAACCAAATTCTTTTGGAACCTTATCCAAAGTAATAGATTGGTATAGAAAATAAAACAGATTGGATGAAGTCTAAACCATAATTGATAATTGTGCTAAGGCTACATAAAACTAAAATGAACCAGGATTATGTTTTTGCAGAGGCTTGTATTATAAATATAAAAATTTACCTAAAGAGGCTTTGATATAATTTAATTACGCAAAGAAACATTAATAATATGCTGAAGACAGTTTGACCTATATGATTGATTTGTATTTGAATCCTGATTAAGATCTTTATTATTCAATAACAGATGAATAACCAAAACCAGTAGCAGTAGAGAATCTAAAGGCTTGTGATTAATTACTTAAGGAACTGTAAAATAGAGGAAGTATGTCAAGGTAATTATAATAATAATTATTATTAGATATCTAGTTATGTAGGCATATGTACTTCAATTGTCAGGTATTCAAAAATCTATTGAAATGGCTAGTACTATATTGGCTCAGATATTAAAAAGTAATAAAGAATGGGTTCCTGCTATGTTGAGTTTGGCAATTAATAAATTCTTAAGCAAAAAACAAACTGAAGGCAAGACTATATTGAAATTGTTATGGGCAAAGCAGGCTGACACATGTGGTTGGGAAAGAGATGAATTAGAAAGGGCTTGGTTATTACATGCTGATGCATTTATATCTATTCAAAAATATGATTAATCTGAAGAAATATTAAGAAAATGCTTGAAATAAAATAAATGTTGTGCCAAAGCAGAAGAATTAATGGGTTTGATAAAAGAGAAGGAGCAATCGTATATTGATGCCTCGAACTCATATGAAAAAGCATTCAAGTTGACAAACCAAAGGAATCCTATTATGGGTTATAGATTGGCATTTAACTATTTAAAAGCAAAAGTATTAATAAAACATAAACATCTAGCGCTTCGTTGATGCAATTAATATTTGCAAATTGATTCTACAAATTAACCCAGCATTCCCTAAACTGTAATCTGAAATCCTTAACAAAGCAATTCAAGCCTTAAAGTCTTGACAAATTAAAAATTATTATTAGCAATTTAAATCATTAATCATTTTTTCTTTTCTTATTATTATTATTATCCAACATTAAGATCTCTCAAAACCACTACTTGATTAGTAGCTCTATTATATTCCCAACCTCCAAAAATCAAAATATGTGGACCTATAGAAGTAGCAGTATGACCATATCTATTTCTAGGAGCATTCCCTTCATATTTAGCCTTTTCCCAACACATCTTCTCGGTATTCAATACAATCAAATAATCAATGTCTGGTGGAGTAACAAAATTATTTTCACTTAAATATATATAATTAACTTACCTTCTAGCTCCTGAGTTTAGTGACCATCCTCCAAATACTACAATATCTGCTCCACTCACATTTGCTGAATGTCCATATCTTGGAGCAGGTGGTGTACCACTTACTCTTAGTCTACTCCATGCAAAATGCTCAGTATCAAGAATTCTAATGTCATTTAGATAGCATCCTCTTAAATGGGATCCATGTCTAGGATTGGCAGTCTTAGGAAGATTTTTTAGATTTTTATCTTCTTGATAGTAGAATCCACCTTGAATGATTAAATTGGCACCAACTTGTATAGCTGTGTGTCCTTGACGAGGAGTTGGAGATGGACCAGTACAAGGAGGTTAAGACCAAGCCATAACCTCTAAGTCTAGAACATAGAGATCATTGAAATAATCAATTCCATTCCATCCTCCAAATATTATCATTTTAGTTGATGCATACTATTAAGATATTTTAATATTAAATAATTACTAAAGTAGCAGAATGGGCGAATCTAGCACTGGGTGACCCAGATCCTTCAGGTCCCTAATACCAAGTTAATGTTAATGGATCAAGAGCATGTAAATCTCTGAATACACACTTTTCTCCTTTCCCTCCAAATATGATTATTCTTTATCCTGCTAAAACTGCAGAATGAGCATATCTTGGAGCAGGGGGAGTACCTTATACTTTAGCCTTAAACCATCTATTTGCATTGACATCCATTTAATATGTGTCATTCAAATACTTGTATCCCTCATCTTTATTTGCATAATAATGTCCGCCAAATAAGATTATTGAGGCCCCACTCAACGTTGCTGAATGTCCTCCTCTAGCACAAGGAGGAACTCCCATCAATACAGACCGGTTCTGCCCATTACCACTTCTGCTTTGATCAAATGGTTAATATTTAAAGCCTTATTACAATAAGTAATTACTTTATTAATCTTCTTACTGTTCTTCTGGCTGATATTCTTAATATTCTTCTTGCTGTTACAAATCTTGATCTTAATCTTCATCATCATAATATTGTTATTCTTCCATCTAAACTTCCTAGCCATCTCCTTAGTAATCCTCATTGTAATCTGCATTGTTTTCAGAATACTATGAACCATCTCTCTCTTCAGAGTACATTGTTATAATAATTTTAATATTACAATAGAAACTTATGTACTGAATGATTATACTCATAAAAACAATTCTTCTTCTCTTTTAATCAAATTGCTTGTTAAATCAATCAGATTTAAGACTTTATTTACATTGTCTCCCCACTCTTATAACACATCATTTTCGTTCTTCTTTAACTAGTAATCAACAATCCCTTTTATACGATCAATCTTGCATTTAAGTAACTTATATGGTGTATTTAAAACAATACTTTTTAATCCATCATTATGCAGATTTCTTCCTCTAATTCCTCGGTACTAATAGCAATTAACTCTGTTATTCTATTAAGATAGACAGAATCATAATAGATTTAGAAAATTCTTAAATTATGATGAATTAGTTATCTTCTAAAATCTAAACACATGATATTTAATATTACCTTTGTATCTTTATTGATTATTCTCAATAGACTCATCAAAAATCTCAGCTGCTTGGATATTATGAGTTTATGGTTCAGTGCTAATCAATTCAGTTCCCAAAAATGCTTAAATTAATTATTATAAATTAGGCAATGCTTCAAGACCATATTTATATGTTGTTGCAATGGACTACAATTATTTTTACTAATTTATATTGTTTGATTGTATACTTTTTCTTCAGAATATTGGCTCAATATTGTATAAAGAGCATAATTTTCTAAAACAGTGTTGTAATCAATTTTGAAATTGAAATCAACTTTTGTAGCTTCTAATTATCTATTTTTATGTAAGGATTCCAATATTTTAGAATAGGCATGAGCTGTTTCTTGATAGTTGTTTTCGTGTCTATAATAAATGACTAAGAATGAATAATAAATGATTTTGAGATCTGCAATATTATCATCTTCAATATTTTTAGGTTCTATTTTCTTAGAGATTATGAATAGTCTAACATAATCCAATTTCTTAATCATAATTTTCATTTGATATAGGATGAATTCCAATTTTTCTCTTTTGTCCATAGATCCATAGGTTTCCACTTAGACTTCTTATAATATTTTTGCAGCATCAGCAATTTGATTATCATCTTCTTTGTATTGGGTGAGCATCAATACACAACGAGCATACTCAACTTCTAAGTAAATCTTCTTTTCACATACTTTCATAATGGCATCTATCATTTCCAATTTCTAATTAATTGGAAGGGTCTTTAATTCAATCATAGCCATTTAAACAAGTTCAATTTATGCTTTTTTTGGCTATCCTCTCTTTTTGCTAAGTGACACTATCAATTCATTAAATTTTGAGTATTATTTTGTAACAAAACACAAATTAGCAATCTGTTTAGTCACTTTAAGTGTTTCAACTAAATTATTAGCTAAACGAGCTGTCTTCTCTTTGTTTAGGAGATCATCTATTTGTTTATCAAACTCATTCTCTTCAATGATCATTTGGATTTAAATTTAATTTAATGAATACCAATCTGATTTATTTTAATAATGATTTATGAAGGTAAATAATCTATTTTCAGCCATTAAGATTAGTATGCTCTAATCAGATTGGTTAACTCTGAAGATGATGCAACCACAAAGAAACATGAGGAAGGTAAGACTACATTTACACTAAAAATGGCAAAGTACTTATCTACATCTGGAATTGGAGATTATTTGGATGGAATTAACGTCCTCTTGAGTTTTCTATTAACTGTTTTGCATCTAATTGATTGTTCATTTTGGGTTTAAGGAGGAACTTACGATGTTGGAGAAGCTTAAACATTTATTACAGTAATATCAACAAAATTAAAGTTTTTAGATTCCTGAATTGATCTGTTACATATATTTCCTCCTTGATTTTGCAATTAATTTCTATCTATCAGAAAATAAATTGTTCTTCACTTTTTAAACAACATCACTAATTGAATATGTTTCAATATTTCCATCATTGCTAGCTAGATTAAATATTATAACTGGATACAAGTATATATATTTATTGAGGGTGCTGCGTTTCCTACTGTGCTACAAACTGGATAAGGTTTTATAGAGGCAGTCAATGGAAGGTATTTAATTGGTTTAATTTAGAGTATTTAGGTTGGCATACAAACCCAATTGTAACTGTTATGGCAATAATAATGATCAATTCATCAGTCCTGTACGTAGTTGAACAAAATTACTCAATAGTTGAATATATCTACTTTATGGTTGTGACAATATCAACAGTTGGATTCGGTGATGTATACCCAACAACAATCTATGGTAGATTTTCAATTATAATTGCAATTCTGATAATGTTTCTGGTCTTACCACCTCAAGTTGAAATGTTGTCCAGAGTATACAGTTTACGAAGTTAATATGCTAGAAATAAATACATATCAAAAAAAGAATCAGAACATGTTCTATTACTTGGATCTTCTTAAGTTGAAGGCTTTAAGACATTTTTGAATGAACTTTATCATACTGATCATGGAATGAATGACACTAATACTGTCATACTCTAACCTTCAGCACCTACTGAAGAAATGACTCTATAATTGAAACAACCAGCTTTATAATCTAGAGTAATCTACTTAGAAGGACATCCACTATAAAATAAAGATCTAGAAAGGTGTAGTTCTAAGGACTGCAATTGCGTTATTGTCTTAGCAAATAAAACAAGTAGAACACCAAAACGAGATGATTATCGTAATATTATTCATGCATTTGCTGTGAAATAATTTGCAAAAAAGTAGAAATCCAAAAAAGGTGCACGAGTATGCTTGTAAGTATTGCAACCTTCAAGTAAGGATTTATATTTTAACTCTCTTGGTGGCCATGAAGCTGATTAAGTCATATGTGTAGATGAACTTAAACTGTATCTTTTAGGGAAAACGTGTTTATGTCCTGGAATAAATACACTTATTTCATTTCTAATTCAATCATCAAAGCCAACCTATGATATTACAAAGTATGACAAGAATAAGAGTGAATGGATAGATGACTATTTATGCGGAATGCAAAATGAAATCTATCGAGTTCCATTAGAGTCGGAAGCATTTGTTGGCCTGACATTTAGTTAGGTAATTTAGAGTTTAAATAGAATAGATTTCTTAAGCAATATATAAAGAGCTAAATATTATACTATTCGCTCTAGAAGTAGAATTAGAATCAGGCGCAAGTGTATTTGTCAACCCAGCTGAATATCTATTTGAAGATTACTTGCATTACGGTTATGTGATAGCCAACGAAATGCCTAACATTGATTAGATATAATAGACCAAATTCCCTGAATACATTTAAAGGAACTACTGCTTTCCAAATCAACAGAGATAATAAACTAATAAAAATGCACTCTAACAAGAAGCTGAATACTTAAAGGAACTACTTAGTGAGGGACTCAAAGATGATTCAGCCAAAAATCCTGCCTATTATTAAGTCAAGCCTTAAACCATCACTACAGGACTTCCTAAAGTTGGGGACCAAGAAAAATTTGAAAATCACTTTATCGTATGTGGCGTTGTTTCAGATATGAAATATCTTATGATGCCACTCAGAGCCAGGTCCTTAAAAAATATCCAACCAATTGTAATATTGAATTAGGATTTGATTCCGACTGAAATTTAATTGCAAATTAATAAATTTCCTAAGGTATACTTTCAACAAGGATCTCCGCTCAATACTGAAGATCTAAAAAAGGCTTGCATTCAAAAGGCTTCAGCTTTAGTGATCCTCTAAAAGTCTGCTGATTTAGAAGATGGGTTATCAAATATTGTTGATGCTGATACAATCTTCATATATAAGACAGTGAAGTTGCTAAACTAAAACATAAACATAATAACTGAATTGGCTTCCATTTCAACTATTTCTTTCTTATAGATCTCAAGAAATAATTATGTTCAGAAATATGATTGGTCTGTGAGTGAACCATTTGCCTCTGGAGAAATATATATTTCCACCATGCTTGATACTTTAATATGCCAAGCCTATTATAACCCTTTCATCACTAGTATTTTTGATTAGATGATTTTAGGAAGTGCTTCAGTCAATAAAAAGGTAATATAATTATAGCATTTTAGAATAAAAAAATATATTAGGCAAACAAGTTACAGCAGAGCAACTTATTTCTTATTAATATACCACCAAAATATTAAGAAAAAACCTTTGGAGAGCTTTTTGAAATATTGCTTACTGAGTAAAAGATGATTCCAATTGGACTTTATAGAGGGGAAAAAGTTAAAAATAATAGTAAACCTTATGTTTTTCTTAAACCTCCTATGGATGTGATAGTATCAAGCAAGGATAGAGTGTATGTTCTAAGTGCAAAACAGCCAAAAGAATAAGAAACCATAGTTGACTCTTAAATCAATTTAGGAAATGAAGCTGCCTCCTAATATTTTAATATCAAATCTAAACTATAAGGGGAGGAAGGAAGAGTTGATGTTGAATATTCAAGAGAACTGATGAAATTTAACGAGAAAATGAAGACTTTCGGAACTTAACTAAAAGATATCAATTCATCAGTCTTTAATCAAGGATTGATTCAACATGGTATTTAAATTAATTATTTAGATTTCATTGAAAAAGTACGATCATTATTAAAAAATGAATTAGCCAGTCTAAATCCAACAACTTGATTAATAATTATGATTACTATGATATATATATATAAATAAAGTATTTAAATCATTTTTAAACTTTAGTTAAAATTGAATACATCGCATTGATATGACAAAGTGTCTATTTCTACAAACTTTTAATAATAAACTCTCTTGAATAGCCAAATTACTCTATTTAAGAAATGACTCTCAAATCTAGGTTAGAATTCTATGTAGACACTTTATTCGATTTCAAATTTAACTCTTTAAGCCAAGGATGATTCAGAATTTCAGTTGATGTCATTCTCAATTTAGGATTCACATTTAATATTGACTTTATAAGATCTAATAGACGTATTAATTTAAAATTACCAACAGCATCATTTGATAAGTTTAATTTCTTCATTTCCATAAAATTAAGCAAGCCATTTTAAATATTGTGATTTAGCTCATTCATATTATTTCCTTTGAATGGTACTTTTCCAACAAGCAAAATGTAAAGTAATACCCCTGAACTCCATATATCACTTGCAAAACCTTCATATCCTGTTTTATTGGATATAACTTCTGGTGCCAAATAAGCAGGAGTTCCACATTATTCCAATATCTTTTAGCCTTTGATAATTTGTCTACTCACTCCAAAATCACATATCTTTATTTACTCCCCCTAAAGTAGTATGTTATCTAATTTAATATCTCTATGCAGGATATTATGACTTTAAAGTATCTATAAAGCTAAAATCAATTGACTAAATAGATTCTTAGCCTACCCTTCTGGAATAGGCTTCTCTTTGGTCCATTTCATCAAATCTCCTCCTTCAACATATTCCATTATGATATAGATCTGTTTTTTTGTCTCGAAGACTTCAAAAAGTGAAGCAAACTATTGGTATTACTAAAGGATTTTCATGAGTGTAATTTCCTTAAAAATAGATATATTTAAGAAATTACTAACAACAATCTTTTTTTAGCACTTTCTGTTTTAAGAGTTGATTTTTCAATTATTTTCATGGCCACCTTTGCTCCTGTTAATATTTGGATACCCAAGCATACTTTTGCAAATGCTCCCTTGCCTATCACGTAGCAGAGCTATCTTACTAAGGTTAGAGATGCGATACCTTATAAAAATCAGGTGTTGTGATTGGAATGCGTTTCTTTGTCTTGACAGTATATGCAATTCGGTTGGCAAGAATGATTCGTTCTTTCATAATGTCTTCAGTTGTTGGAAACTGGATATCGGGTAATTGTAGCATGAAATCTTGGCAATCCAATAGTTCAGTCTCCATTCTGCCAAAATCAGGTAGCATCTTTGGAAAGCTCTCTTCTTTGCTGATTTGGCTGTTGGAACGTGATTTTTGAGTTGTTTGCTAACTTCTCGAAGTTGCTTTATTTCCAAGATCAATTTTCACTTTTCCCAATTTCGAAACTGGTTTTGAATTAGACATAGAGACTGACTCTGAATTTTTGGTAGGAGCAGGCAATCTAAGAATTAAAATTGCTATGCTACTTAATGGCTGGACATTATTTGCTTACAGATCTAGAGCGGTCTGTTGAATTCTTGGAAACCTAATTTGAGATACTCCTAGTACGAGTGTTAGTAGATTAAGTGTTAAAATTGATGCATTTGACAGAGATATGTTTTTTCAGTTGATTCATTTTATAACAGATAAATTTTAATTATTCTAAATCGCGCAACTCAAACTATCCCAAATAGCACTAACCATAAAATAAAAAATCAGTGAAAAACTTATTACAACTATGGGTTTGAATGATGTTTATCAATTCATCTATATTAAATTACATATAAATATCTAATTGATTTATTGATTTGAATAGATCAAATGAGTCTCTTTCATATGGTAAGAGTATTTATAAAAATTATGAAAATAAAAGTCATATATCTAAGAATTCTTATAAGGATAGTCTCCCATCTTTGTCTTTATCGTAAGCATTGATAAGAAGCATTGCTTCATGATGGGTGTATCTAAGCCCGCTTTCATAAAGATATTATTGAAGCTAAATCTAATACAAGTACATACATCTGAAACTCCTATAAAATTGTCTCTTGTAATGCCATCAATTTTATTGAATAATTGAATGTCTGCATTTAATTTCACTGGAATTAATTACAATAAAGTTAATAGTTCAATCAGTAATTCAATAGTCTAATTGCTAAATAGCTCACTCATCTTTTTCTTATATCCATCCTCACTTGGTTATCTTGTATTGAGTATTTCAGCAAAATTAGCAGATTAAGGTTGAAGCAGAATTAAAAAATCATGATATGTCAGTTAGTCACTGTTGAATCTATTAAAAATGTGCATACTTTAACCTGCCTTTTAATTAAGTAAAGTGTCAATTTCTTCTTTTCCTATTGATCCTTTGCTATAAACATCCAAGGTTCTAAAAGCATCCAAAGCATTAAAATCTTTTTACAATGCTAGCTATTTTTTTATTTTTTCTATCTTAATTTCTTTATCCATGAGATATTCAATAATTTCTTAAGGCTACTTTGATTTAATTTTTGATTAAGTATTAGCAGTCTTTTTATTGGTTTGTACTTCTATAATCTTTTTCTTCTCACTTTCTCCTTCTTATTTTTTTGAAGTCACTTTCCCTCTAACACCTTATTTTTGAGTTTAAGGCGTAGCCACTTTTTTTTTAGATTTTTACCTTTGCATCAAATTTCTTTTTTGAGGAGATACATTCATAAATCTAGCTGTTTTTTTCAGAGATTCCTTTTTATCCGTTGTCTTAATTGAATTCTAGACTTGTATTTACTTTTTAGGAGTTACAAATGCAGAACAGGATTAGTTTTCCTATTTGTTTTTGGTTTGCTTATTCAGGACAAGGACCCAATTCTTTAACAATAATAAATCAATTTAACCATCGCCATAAAAGTCTAATCTCTTGACCATAGCATCGATTTCATCTTGATAGACAAATAATCTTTCCTTTTTAAACAAGGATTCAATATCTTCTCTAGTTCCATCAGTTAATTTATCTATTGATTAGGGAGGAAGCAAATTATTCATTAAGACAATCTCTAAGCTAATATGTTTTGCTATTTCCTTTAAGCATTCATTGGATTAGTAGGATTGTTAATCTGAGTGAGAGATATAATCTCTTAACAGCTGATTTGTTGGAAGTAGAAATCTTAAGAAATCTACATATTTAAATTCTGGCTTGTAGAATAATATGCCACATTCCTTGAGAGTGTGCAAATAGCCAAATCGATGTAGGAAAACTTATATTGTTTATGCTGTGATGTAACCCTAAAAATCATAACTATCACAATACATCATTAAGTTGATCAATTTATTTAAAAGCCTGGTAAGGATGAAAAGTAGGGAATTTAGTTAGAAATTACCTACTTATTTCGATGGTTCTTTCGATTTTTGCACATTCCATTAGAAAATCCAATAATTCCATTTAAACAAACAAAATAAATATTAGTATTAGAGGCTAATAATTTACATAAAACATAGCTAGTTCTTGTTTAAAATGTTTACATTATTTAAGTAGAATTGTTTTAAGGGAAATTCGATCAAATACAGGGTTGATTTCATTTACTTTTCATAATGAAAATTTAAGAACTGAAGAACTTTTTGTTCTCTTTAATTCAGACGCAAAGTGAATATTGTTTAAGGATTGAGTCTAGGTGTAGAGAAGAATAGTCTGAATGATAAATTTAAGATAATATATTCATAACAAATTTGATTAATAAAGAAATGAAGAGAAACAACAGTTCTTTTGGATAATAAGAAGCTGTTTACCATATTTCAAAACCAAATTCAATGTAAGAAATAAATTGTAAGACATTTAAAATACATAAGCATCAATCTGCATAAGTTAGGGTTATTAATAGAATAGTTCATTAAATTAGTTATATGCAAATAGGTTCCTAGGCGAATGGAACGAGGATATGTATACAGTTACAAGAAAATACGTACCCACATACACTAATGGTTTGAATTTATACACTACATATTGTTCTCCACAAAATCCGATTGCTACTATTGTGATCATACATGGCTATGGGGATCATTCAGGGAGATATTTTCATGTATTCTATCCTATTAATCTGATTAGGTTGCTGATGAGTATGCTAAATTAGGCTTTTAGGTTATTCTGTATGACTAAAGAGGATTCGGAAATTCTGGAGGAATTAGAAGTCATGGTCACATCAAATAGATGCACCAAGATCTAGAATGCATCCTATTGACCATAGAAAGATCCTAACCAATCTTCTTACAATGCTAATCATTGGGAGCTGCAGTTGGATTAAGTTTTTGTATTTCGAATCCCTCCTTGATTCTTTAAGGAGTCATAGTTGTTAACCCATATCTGAAATTTGCTTAGAAATACGGAATCCTCAAGAAGATGCTACTAACATTGATGAATAAGATGATTCCAGTAAAATACAAATAAATCATAGGGATTGATGGTCAATTCCTATATAGATTTTGGGCATTGCAGTAAAAATAACAATGTCATCAAAACAGTAGCTGAGGATAGTCTAGTCCAGCCATTTATGAGTATTGGGATGGCTTATAATATATTGTAACTAGAATAGTATATATTGCCTAATGTACAATCGTAAAGAATTGCTCAATCCTTTTAGATTTGCTTAACCACTCTTAATTTTACATGGCAAAGAGGACAAAGTGGCTAGTCATATGAATTCAGTTGAGCTTTATCGACTTGCTGGATCAAAGGATAAAACCTTAAAGTTGTTCGATAAAGGATTCCATGAATTGCAAAATGATATTGAATTTGAGAGAGTCAAAAACCTAATAACCACCTGGTGTCAGAAATAAATAAACAAAGATAAAAGAATAAGTATTCTTTATATCGATTTAACCTAAGGCTATTTTAGAGAGTTAAACCATGGTTTGGTAGCAAAACACACGAATAGTACAAAAATGATTCTTGTTTAATGGATATTGATATATTTTATGTTGAGAAAGTATTAATTATACCTTTAAATTAGTAAAATGAAAAATCTTGGAGGATTAGCACGATTTGTTTGTATACTAGCTTTAATGATTGCATCACTGATTGTACACATTAGGTGGTGATTTATGATTTTTATCTATTAAATTATGATGTAGCATTTTTTCTAAATTTATTTTATATGATAAATGGTAAAAGTATTCCACCAAAAATACAACACTACTAATTTAAAAGTTATAATATTGGGCTATTTGAGTTTAAATCAGTTTTACCAAAATTTCATTTAATTTTTATAATTAAATCTTTTTGATATCAGAATTTATGATATAGAATATTTTAATTTAATTAGAAGAAAATAATTCTGTTTATTCAAATTTGAAAGGCAAAATAATAATATTTATGATTCCAATATTAAAATTATAAAATAATTAATAATGTCAAATTTAGAAAACTTAATCAATAACTAAGAAGAGTAGTATGAATACAATAATGAAGATGATTTTGATTTTGATTTTGAAAATTTAGAGATGCCATAGTTAGTAAGAAGAAATGGTGCTATTCAATAAGAAAATGTTTAAGGATACATAATCCTTGGCAACATGATAGATAAAATGTTTAAAGAGGAAGCATGTCCAATTTGTTTAAGTGAAGATGAAGAACTGTACCCGTTGTTTTGTGGTCATACTTTTTGCTAAAATGACATCAATAATTTGCTAACGGACTCCCAATCTAAGCAGAATGTCGTCTGTTGTCCTATATGCCGATAATACTAATTTATTGAGTCATTTAAAAAGTTATAGGAACTAAAAATTGCTTCAATAAATACAATTTAAAAAGACAACAATGTAACCTGTTGAAATTTAAACTGAAAATTTTGTTTTTGTATAGATAGTTATAGCCAATTAATAACTTATTTCCTCTTCAAATGTTTTAATCTTCTATTTAAATTGAACCGGTGTTAAAATAAAATAAATTTTTATTATTTTATATCAAAACACGCATTATTCTTACCAAAAATTTTAAGAAAAAGAAACTAAAACGCCTCCCCCTCCCTAAATTTTATCATATATTACTTCTTACACAAAGGGGTTTTTGTCAAAGTACTTTAAATTTTTCATAAAATTTATAAAAATTTCTCCTAATTAAAATGCCGAATTTAAGGATTATTCCAATAAAAGAACAATTTTAATAGAATTTACCTTTAAATGTAGAAGGCAGCGACGATTTTACATCCATTTCACCTGATAATTTGTTAAATATCGTGAAGAATTAATCTATGCTTTTCTTTTCTAATTTAAAGTTAAGCATTGGTATAGTGGATGCTTATTTCTATTCATAGTCATAGCTGGGTTAAAAGTTAAATATTAGTAATTTCTTATTAATAGCTAATTAGTAGCTCAAAACAGCTAAATCCATTTAAATTTTATTATTTCCTCATTTGGGGTATCATTTAAAAAGATTTATCTGTATGGAATACAATATAGAGACTTTTTAAAGTGATTTAAAATTCTGTTTTATCACAATAAATATAAAAATATTGAAATAATTTAATTATCAACTGATAAGTTAATAAATGAGTTAGCTGTTCTCAAATACTACTAATAATGAAAATATTATATAAGAGGATGAAGATTTATCTGATTATGATGATGTAGAACTTCCAAGAATGCAAAGGATGAATGCTTTAATTGTCATTGAGTAGAAAATAGAATAATAAATCCAGAATTTTGTTCCTAAAAAATATACTAAAATTTATTATTCTGAAAATTGTCCAATATGTTTAGAAAAAAAATAACTTATTCCCCTAGAATGTGGACATACCCTTTGTTTTGAAGATTTTTAAGAATTAATCACTTAGGCAAGAAAGGAAAATCGAAATATTTCATGCTGTATTTGTAGAACTGAACTGAATCCCTGTGTTTAATCGAATAACTAGTTGTAAGATTCTCTCGTAATTGTCAGATGAAAACGTTGTAAATGGGCTTGATTATTTCTATTAGATAATAATTTATATAAGATTAATGTTTCATTAAAAATAATCAAATAGACCTATAAAAGAAATTAACCAAGAAAAATGCTTGAATTGCAACAAGTATATAAATTCTACTCTGCTCCGTAATCATCAAGCTATTTGTGCTGTGACTATATCCCACAAGGATTAAGAAATGTTGGATGAGCATTTAGCTATGCTTATTCAATAAAATAAAATAGAATCTAAGATATTTATGTAGCCAAACCCCCCTGATACTCTGCAATAATTTACAAATTAACACGAATTTTAGGTCGAAAAGAGGGAAGTTCCAGCTTAAATAAAAAATGTTTTCTAGTCCAATAAGCCGATAGCCTAATGTAGAGATGTTAACTATAGACAAGTAAGAATGCATTAAAAAAACCTAGGATTAAATAGTATATAATGGCGATTTAAAATTCTAATAGAATGAATTAAAAAATAAACACAACATCTCTATTTAAGAATACGTTGAAAACACCACATAAAAAACGGATTAAAATCCATAATAAACCTAATAAAATGTGGTATTTAATACAGCCTAATCTTAAGCTTAAGCTTTTAAAAATTTATAAAAATGTGCTATTTAATAAGTGTAATAATAAGATCTTGCTTAAAGAGATCCTAATTATTAAAAATTTAATCAAATTCAAACTAATCTTGAAAATCACCCAGCAGGGAATCCTTAAATAAATATTTAGCAAAGTAGAAACGATCATATCATTAATAATAATTAAAATTCAAGAAATTTTCAAGTTCAAAAATAATAATAACCAAGAGCTCTTTTGTAAACTAATCGTATATATTTAAATGAAGAATTTAATACAAATAGATAAATATCAGAAGAGAAAAAAATAGAGAATAGTTAATTCGATCCAGATAATTAATTTAATTAATTCAATTAATTTAATGATCTATATATTAATTAAATGAATTAAGATTATCCATAAAATAGTCATTATGAAAAACAATCAATAAAGGATAAATATTCCAATTAAGATGCTCATTAATATCATTAATACCAAGATGTTTAATCGAATTAAAAAGTTATTCCCTCTGATTACTATTAGCTTAGAAAACCTAGAATATTTCAACCAATTCCAAATGAATAATAATATTAAAAGCCTCCATAATAATAATAATAATATTATTAAGTATAATAATATAAATAATAATAATAATAGTAATAATAATAGTATTAATAATAGTAATAATAATATTAATAATAATCGTAATAGTAATAATAATAGCAATAGTAACTGTAATAATAATAATTGTAGTAATTGTAATAACAGAAATAATAATTATAGCAGTAATAGTAGAAATAACATTAATAATAAAAATAATAGTCATAATAGTAATAATAATAGTAATAATAGCAGTAATAGTAATAGTAGCAGTAATAGTAGTAGTAGTAATAGCAATAGCAGCAAAATTAACAATAATAGAAATAATAGTCATAAAACCAATAGCAATAGAACAATTAATAATTCTAACAACAATAATAATAATAGTAGCCATAAAAATAAGCTCAAATTTAATAAGGTCAGAAAGAATAACATTAAAACCCCTAATTATAGCATGATAGATATTCTAAATAACATGTTTAAAATAAAATTAACTCAGAAGAATCAAAAAATATTGATTTCCAAAATTAGCAATAAATAATAGTTAAATAAATTATTTTAGAGGAAAGACCTCCGATCTAAAAAGTTAGCATTGATTATAAAAATATCTAGAATGTTAGAAGGAACGAACCTTATACCTATTAAAAGTACTAAAATAAATAGAGGTATTTATGCATCCTTATAAAAAGTTAAAAATAACCTCCTATTAGATAAGAGTAAAATAAAAAAAAGGCTAATTCATCTAATAAGAATAGAACAATAAATGAAGACATAGTTTATAAATAATTTGAATACATACCAGGCATGACTCTTACTGATGACCTCGTGAATTAAATGTCTCCTGAAGAAATTTATGAATTGTTTACTCAATTAGATTTAGATAATTAAGTTGGACTGACAAGCTAAATAGATTTATTAGATTACAAAAGAGTTTAAATAAATATCACGGATAGTTGCACTATTTGCATGGATGATATATAACCCCAAAAGGAAGCTTTCGATGTAAGGTTGGATTGCAATCATCAATTCCACTATGATTGTATCAGGTAATGGTTGATGAAATAAAAATTCTGCCCAGTTTGTAAGGAATTTGTAGACTTTACGAATTACTAAAATCTTGAATGATTAATAAAACAAATAAATTATTTTTAAATTTGTATGACGCACATTTATTTTAGTAATAAGTATTCTTTTGAAAAAAATAAAATATAATATAAATTTGAAATTGGATATGCAATAGATTTCTCCAGAGGTTGAGCACTACCTACAAGAAGCAGTAAAGCCACTCCTTGAGAAAATTGAGGAATTAAAATAAAAGGATTAGTAGAATGAAGATCAGATCAAATTTTTGATTGGAGAAATCGGTCAACTCAAGACATTAGTCTCTACTCTGAAGCCAGTTGAGGATAAAAGTATCACGATAATAATTATAATTAGAATAAGGAAAGTAATAATAGAAACAAGAAAGTAATGGTAACAATAATGGTAAAAATGATTATATCTGGAAAATTAGATCATAAAAAGCCAGATCGCCCTCAAACAGCAATTTAACAAAAACCTGAGCAAAATAAATAAAAGGAACAAAAGCCATAAACTGGAAACAAGAATTTAAGCCAAAGCGTAGTAGTAGATAAGTCAACTAAGAATGAAGCGGAAAACAGTAAATTGATCATTAAAACTTAGCTACTTCTAAATCTCCAAGATAATCTGTCGAAAAACAAACTAAAACTACATAATAACAATAGTAGTAACCTCAATAGCCTAAACCTAAACCTGCTAAGTAACCAGAATAAAAGGACTAAAAGGAAACAAAGACTTCCAATTAAGGTATATCCTAAATTTGATTTAGATTAACCGTAAAAATAAGCAAATAATCAGAAGGAAGATAAGAAGGATGATAAAAATAAACCAAATAAATAACCTTAAGCTCCATAAACAGATAAAACTAAAGAGCCACCTAAAAAGAATGAAAAACAACCAGAATAGAAATCAAATGGAGCATAAAAAACTACAAATCCTAAATAGCCAGAAAAAAAAGTGGAAGCCAAATAAGATGATAAAAAAATAGTTAAAAAAGGTTCAAAGGTTGTATCTTAAGGTGGAAATTAACATTAAACTGATGAATAATTCTAATAACAACAATAGAAAGCATCAGTACCTTAAGAATAGCATTCAGCTGAGAAATCCTCTAAAGAAACCCATTCTGAATAGAATGAACAATAATAAGAAAATCATTAAGAATTAGTTAATGAATAATAGGAAGTTGTTTAACATTAAGAAGAATAGAACTAATTTTAGAATAATAACCATTAAGAACATAAAGAGGATGAAGATTTGTTAGCCGATGATCATTAGAATGAAATTTAAAAAAGCGAACCAATCTAGGAGAATCAATAGCAGGATATGTTTTGAGTTTATTAAAAGTTATAGTGGAGAAAATACATTATATTATTATAAATATATATATATTTGCAAGCTGATTATATGCAAAGTGATTATTAATTAAGTAGATTTAGAGATAATGATGGTATGATGGATTTTAAGTCAGATGTATTGTTTTATTTTAGAATAGTTTTTATAAAGGATTCAAAAGAATAATTTAAGAATGTAAGTGTCTGAGAGAAAAATGAAAGATGGAACTATTAAACAAAAAGTCAGATTTACTCCCATGTCTACAGCCGATTATATTGGGGCTTGGGCAATCGCAATGTTAAAGAGTCTAATCTTGATATTTTTTTTGTTTATTGCCTACTAAATTTATTAGGATATTTAAGCTAATATAGAGATTTCAAAGACAAAGACTATGATTGAGATGAAAAATTGTGGAGTAGAATATGAATAAAATTAATGTTCAGAACACTTTTTTATTGATTCAATGGCCTAAAGATGCAAGGAGCTGGAAATTTGTATCAATTAAGATATCGAAATGAAAGTAAGAACTAAACAGCTTTGGCTTAAGGTACTTGGAAATTCATTCGAAAATATATTCGAAGACCTTTCATACAAGACTTGTGTAATGCTTACTTTAATTGCAATTACCCTAAGTGTCGTATTTATTAAATATTAATCATGAATATAACTCAGTTTTTTAATATTTGTTCTCAATTTTAATATCATTAAATGTTTCGAGGCAACTTTAATCGATAATCCCTTAAGCCGTAAGTGGTTACTTTTTAATACGTACTAGATTAAATCAATGTTCTTGATCACAGAGCTCTCAGTGTAATGATTAATATCAATGTAGCTATTACAAAAAATGGTTAACCCATCTTAAATGAATATTTTTGCAACTGCTGCTCTTGTCTCATTGTTTGCAGGACTTATTCGAGAGATACCATGTGAATTATTGGATGAAAAAGTAAATCAATTTATAAACATAGAAACTCAATTGGAGTTTATTAAACATGTTTTTAAATGATGTTGAGAAATTCTTAGAAAATTTAAGGAAATTCAAAGACTTTATTAATAAAAATTAGATTACATCTAAAAATATGCAAATTGCTAATTATTGGATTCAAAAATATAATGAAATATAATAGGAGTAAAATAGATTCATAAACTTAGTAATTAATATTCAGTATCATATGCATTCATTTAAATAACCTAAATGGTCATAAAACTTGACAAATAAATTAATTAAAGATTGCCATCAAGTCCAGCTAGGTCCTTGTCTGCATCACCAAGTCCAAAGATGAACGACAATGATGATATCGATGAAATTGATGAACTTAAATCATAAGCTGAAAGAATAAGCGTCAAAGATCCAGTCAAACCGAAAGGATTGAAACTACAATTAGTTCCAAATAAACCTATCTAATCAACCGTTGGACATAAACACACTTAAAGTCAATAAATTAAACAAATCCAATCTATTCACGCCCCAGTAGTACCAAAAAAGAAATGACAGTAATGATTATAAATCTTAAAATATTTATTTTGAGTGTATGAATATCATTTTTTTTTCAAAATTAAGATTAATGAAAATATATGCAATTCATAATCTATTAAACTGTTCATCTTATAGCAATCTAGAAATACCATTTTATATAATAACAAATATGGACACTCTAATTGAATAAATAACTTGAGATTTTAGTTTTTTAGATATGATTGATAATCTTTTTTATGACACAAATAAGTAAAAGGAAAAATAAAATTGATTTTTTATTTAGAAATAATTCAGTCTCAAGTATTTTCAATTATAATGGTCTGATCCATTTTTATCCGATGTTTTAATTAGAGAATAGAAGTAAGGTGCATATTAAAAAATAAAAATAACTTTAAAAAAAATAAAGTTTAGTTATAAGTTTTAAGATTAAAGAATTGGAAAAACAATTTTAACTTGCAGTTTGGTTAATTAAGGAAAAGGAATCAAGCCATTTAAAATCGTATGAGCATCTTAACTAATCAGTATGCTTCAAAAAGATCGAAAATCTTTCTATTTTGAAAAGTCAAGAGGGTATCAAAAATAAACTAAAGCAAACTTTTTTGACAATCATTACCACTTACATGATACTGTTATTTTATATTTATAAATCAATCTATAGAATTATGCAATAACTAATTAACTTTGATTCTTTAACCTGAATAGTTTTGTTATAAATTTAGATAGAACATACTATCTCTAGGGGCTATTTATTTATTTAAATTACTTTTATTGTATTTTAATTAAGGTATGAGCGAGAAAGGAGGGTCATCAATCTTATGAACGGAGGAACTTCTATACATTCTTTTCAACTACCTGATTATTGGTTTAGGAGTATGAAAATTCTATAATATATTATTCTATAAAGTTAATTCTTATCTAGAACCACTGCCTAATTAATTGTTGGATTGCAATTATTATGCAGCCAATCCTAAAGAAAATTGTTATTAAACCATAATTTGAGAAGTATTCGGCCTGATTTATTGTGATTTTGTTTATTCTGATTTTCTATCCATTTATCTTGTTTTTGTTTAACGCAAAGCATTTTGTTGTTATTTTGAGGAATTCTATTATTAAACTAGCATTTTTTGTTAACTTTTTTAAAGTAAAATATATGGGTCAAAAGTTGAATCCATATGATTCATAGAATTTGAATTATTTAATTGGCTTTGATCTTGTCGTTTCTTAACCTTAAGATGTTTTTATCTGAAGTATTATTAAATGAATGTAGGCATTTTTTTATAAGATAGGTTTCCTAATAGAGCTCCAAACTGATCATCATTAGTTTAGCTTTGTTAATCCTGGCAGGCAGAAGGTTGTTTAGAAAGAACTTTGAAGGATATGGTTTTTTTTATATCCTAATTGAGCATTTAATCCTTATTTGTATTTTACCAATTCTTTTCCAATTCATTGCATTTTTATTTATAAATTTCATCCCTTATAATAGTTCTATCTTTAAACATTTTACAGACTGATTGAAAAACTTAGGGAGATACATTTTTAAGTTGTTGTATTGATATCATTAAAAGAGATGCAGTCTTTGATATCACTTAAACGTTGTAAAGTGCTTTTTCTTATTAGGTGAATTCTTCTCCTAAAATGCCTTGATCATTTAATTCACATATAACAATTTCATTAAACCAAAATTTTCTGGGTAACACTTATTTTTCATAATGAGAAAGTGCCTTCTAATAGTTTTTGCTTAAACTCAGAACTCCATATTGTAATATAAATAACGCATTTCCAGGTTCATCCATTTTCTAGATGAAGTCTGTATGCGCAAATTTGACTTCCTAGAAAAGTCGTATTAATTGTTCTTATATTTTAGGAGCAATTTTTTCTACTATAGGTAGATTGGCTATTAGTGATTTTTTCTTTTATTAATACAAAACGCCATGACTGGAGCTAAACTTTTTGTATAAATCAATTGGTAATGCAAAGCAATGAGTATCTTACTAATTTGAATATGAATAAAAAGAATACTTTAACTTCAAATCCTAAATCTCCTTCATACCACATTTCAGGTTGAATTTAGATGTTGTCTTCTGTTTAGAGCAATCCCTTAATTACATAGAATGCAAATTTATTATTTTGTTAGACTACTTGACCAGTTTCAAAATAAACATATCCTATGGTTTTGCACAACTATATTTCAGATTTATAAGTACGTCTTTTAAGACTTCATAAGGAGCTTGAAACTAAGGTAATTGACTCAGATGATCTTGAATAGCTGAGATGTCTTCCTGAGATTTGTTTAATTTAGTCAATTTTGGAATTAAATGCATAATAATATATATTTCATGGCAATCTAACAACCTAATCTGAATAAAGGATATATGGTAGAATAGACTCAGCCTTAATGTGATTTCCATTATTCAAAACAATCTGCAATCTCACAAACATTTCTTTTCCATCAAAAGGGAGTTCAGGGAAATACGCATAATTAGATCTCACATTTCCAATCCATTATTTATCACTATATTGTAATACATGTAAAAATACTTAAAAATTCTGATAGTTTTAAGGAGTGGTCCCAATTCTCCTAGGTCCAATTAAATATATAAATCATAAAGATTTGTGATGCTTTCTTTTAACTAGATATTCTTGATGTATTTGGTTGGGTCTTTGAAATCTACATTGGCAGCCTTCATTTGCTCTGTGTATCTGTCATCATAGATAGCTAGACCTCCAATAAGCCCATCGACTGCTTGTTATTATTAAGAAATGTTTTCAATCTTAAGGTACACGGATTTCAAGGTTTTTCCTTGATTTAAAATTGTGTATTATGAAATATCCCAACCCTTATTTGCTAATATTTTGGTTGGCTTGAATGTTTACAATCCCTTGTCTGCAAATTTAAAAACCAAACTTAACTAAAAAATCTTTTTATCAAAGTTTTTCATGTTAATGCTTGCATTGATATTACCTTGAGGGTCAATCCTAGTTTTAAATAATTTAATGAGAAAACTTTTATGAACTTATAAATCTCCTTTAATTTTGATGCAACTACTTCCATTCCATGAATCGCTAAAATTGATATTACTTTCCCAATTATCTTGAATGTCTTGGCTGATAATCTTTTTTGTTGGATAGCATAAAGAATAATCAAAATCATTCAAATTATCGTAGTATCCCTTATAATGTGTATTCTTTTGACCATCAATATAATAGGCCTCTCCAACAGCATTATTGAAATAAGATTGCAAAGGGAATTCTTAATATGTCTTTGGTTTTATCATTCTCAATAGATCCTTGTAATAGTCATAACTTATGTAAACCATAGATTCCCCAGTAAATTGAGTACCATAATTACCAGCCCAATATTCCACGTCTTTTCCAGCCTCTATAAATTTTATATATTCTGTATCATCAGTAGTTTTGATACTCAAAGTATGTTCTCTCCATTTATCGTCAGCAACATTAACATGATCTGCATTAAACTGAATTTCTCCCTTGTTTACCTTAGTCGAAAATGAATCGATGCTAGCAATACATCTGTTTTGTCTATCATATAACTCAATACCAATAAGCTAATCAATTAACACTACTAATTACATATAAATCCTCAAATTTTGGACCAGTTCCCTTTACTTTTGCATTGAATTGAATAATACCTCCTTTGTTTTAAGATACCAAATTCAATTACACCGTATACGTTCTGATGCACCAATCAAAGGATGCTATTGCAGTCTCCTCTCCATTATCTTGTACGATTTTCCATCCTTATCCCCCATTGAATGTGATAGCCCATTAATTTTTATGTTTATCAAACAAGGAAACTGTATTCTTCCCTTGCCATAATGAATTATCATTCTGAATAAACTATGATCTACTATCATTTGAAGTTTCATATGTCCAAGCTTAACCAAAAATTGCTGTGGCTAATTATGCTCTTTTTATCTCTTACAATGCGATATAACTATCGAATTATCCACCTCCATACTGTCCCCTGCCCCATATGTCAATTCCTACGAAAACATTATTCCTCTAATTTCCAGCATTCTTCCCTGTATTTGCCAATTTATTCAAATTCCAATGATAATCACTAAAAAAGTAATTACAAGCTTAGAAGTATTTCATATTATCCTAATTCAATTCAGATTGCCATTTCAAAACTCCCTCAGCATTATGACTATCATAATACATCAACAGGGCTCCTATCTATTATAATTTATCACTCAATTATTTGATGAATTGTAGAAACAAGTCCACATTATCCACATTTGTTTCGATATTTAATAAATAACCATCAAATTTATAGAACTAACAAATCTACACTAGTTTATCCACATATTTTAAGTCCAATATTTATTTAGTCAAAGTATTATCATCTCCTTCTGTTATGATAGTTCCTAATATCTTTGTACCAAATTGATGACAAATGTTAATGTAGGGCACACTTGGAATGGTGATAAAAGTATGTGAAAAATATACAAAAATGTCACAATGGGTCATGTAATAAAAGCGATAACTATTTTATCTCAAAGGATTTCCAAAACACCAAATATCTTCCTTATAGCCTCCTTACATATCATGACACACCAACAGAGGTTAATTGTTTGTTCTTGTAATTTTCTTTAGTGGCTAAATTGGAAGTATTGTGTATTCTTCATTGGGTTTCCAATTATCCAGCTCTTCTATTGATTTCAATGGTTTGCTAAATGGCAATTTATATTTTATCTATCCAATATCATTCAAGTCATTAAGAATAGATTTCTACAATTTGATTTCACCATCTATTTACATTTTTAAATCGGCTTCTTTCACAAATCTTATCTATAAATTTCTTGTAATCCCAGTGAAAGCATTCTAATTATTTTTACTTCCTAATAATATTCCCACTTTATTGGATGTATAAGTAAATTTTTATTGAAGATTTTAACTTTAAACATTTGAGTTTGTGATCAAATTTATCTGATTGTGGAATGATATAAATATTGGATACAACTTGTATAAAATGATTTATTAAATCGGAAATTTGTAAGTACCATCCAAATATTGAATTACAAGCTCTGTTTATTTTAATGTTATTTTTATCAAAGGTTTTCCAAGGTTATCTTGAATATCAATTAGTTCAATATTATTTTACTCTTATTCTGCTAAAATTAATTAAAATTAAACTATCCCAACTTCGGATGGAGTAAGCTATGTTATATTAAAACGAATATGTTCAGGCACTAATTATAATTGCCCATCCCTTTTGAGTCCTGAATTAAAAAAATAATTGCTCATAATTTTTCAATTAATTTTATTGTGAAAAAATTAATAATAATGCTTAAATATAATATTGAGGATAATTTGTGTACATTCATACATATTCTATAACACAAATTCTAAGTCTGCCAAGAATAATATATGAAATATTGGATACCTAGCAATTTATGTAAACAACCTTTGTAATTAACTAAGAAATTAATTTTTATCATTTAATTAAATTAAAGATAAATAGATTATTTTATGAATAATAAAGAACAGATTAGGTCTCCCTCAGCTATTTTTCCATTTCTATCTTAGTTAATGCGAATCTTATACTAATTTAACTTTACAAATACAAATAAATTAATAACATATTTTATAAGTTAACACAAAACTTTAAGTATATTGTAAGTTTGCGAGTTCATTTTTAGAAGGTTTTTTGAAAATATAATAAATCCACCCAGGCAATATTAGGTCGAATTATATGTGTATCCAAAAACTTTCCAGAGAAAAGTAGTGGAGTGCAGTTTTTCCTAATAATAAATTATTTTAATATATTATGAATATCAGACAATTAGATAATATTGTTTCTTGGTTACTCTAAAAATTTAAATATGCTCCTTATCGATGGAATGAACAGCAAGTTCATTATTTTTGTGAGTTTGTTGGATTAACTTGGGCAATTCCAATTGTCACAGTAAATCAACAATAATTGATTTTAGATTCAAACCATTCCCAAATAAAGATCATAAAACTACTAATAAGAAGTGCCAACTGATGGATAAAAGTTTTAAATTCCTTTACTCGATATTTGTACTAAACAATATGAACAGATTTTGGAAGTATGTACCTCCTAAGGTTTATTCAAGATGATTAGTCATTCAATCGACATAAATCTTTACTATTAGATATAAAAATTAAAGATTTGGTCTCTTATATTATTAAAATATCAGAATTACAGAGAAATTTTGAAAAAGCTGTATGGATCAAAATTATTTTTTTAATAAAAATGCAAAACTTGCACAGCAGAAATAAGTTGCTCGTGCTCAGTTCTCTCCAATATCATATATGAAATAGAGATTTATATTAAAAGTATATATGAAATGAAAAGCCTCTAGAATCATAATAGAAAATCATCCATGTTTATTAGTTCAGATATTATAAATCTTTTGTTAAAATCCATATCTCATCTACCTTAAATTGATTAATCACCTTTGTTTTGGGATATGGATGACATCAAAGCCTTATTGTATGTAATCAAATTTTAAGATTATTACTAACTTCTTTATCAGAATTAGATAGATGGATTTGTGTTGCTATTGTTAGTGAATCCTCCTTTTAAAGGCGAGGATCTATTTCTTAAATGTTTACTTTTAAGTTAGGAAGGCTCTCAAAAGACTTAAAATAACTTAGTACGCAATAGATCAAGCATGGTGAGAAATACAATGTAGACTGCTAGTAAGTACCATTAAATAAATTAATTGGTTAATCTACTACATTATTTGTTGTTAATATTGAGTTTTACTGCATATAAAAATCAAGAGTCTTATAATGAATATAGAAATATTGGATAGAGAAAGGTGAGTGAGATAAAGTGGTTATCATTATACTACTTCTCAAAAGCAGCCAGAACATTATAATTAAATAGAAGTATTTCATTGCTTAGTGAATCAAGAAGCTCATCAAAGTCTCTTGAACACAGATTTTAATAGTCAAATATGTAGAGACATAAAACAGAAATGATAGATATTAAAATGATGGTGATTGAAGAAAATCTAGATGCTAATAAAAAGAAGTAATTTAGTCATCCAAATGTGACTTAATCTGCTAAATCTTCTCCACAATCCTAAAGAAATAATTAGTGGATGCAACTTAAGAATTATAATACAAAAAAAAGTATTATAGGAAATTAAGTTAATAATGATTTAAAAGAGTCAATTTTGATGTAAAATTAGAAATATATTAATTAGTTAGGATTAAGATTAAGATTATATTGATGAATAAGATAGAGATCTATAATATACAGAAACCAATGTTTAAATAGAAGAGGACATAGATTCGATTGAAAATGTTAATTAATCTTAAGAGGAGCAAATTCAATAATTGCCAAATAAGGAGGAGGACATTGGATAGGATCAACAGATGTAATAATCTGTTCTTATGATATAATCGGTAATATAATAGTATTTATTATTTAATAGTAGTATTTATAATAATAACAATAATAATAATAATAATAATAATAATAACAATAACAATAATAATCATAGATAATGTAAGAATCTGTATTTATGGGATAATCTGCTATGTTACAATAATCAACAATTTTGTAATAATCTTAACTCTTATAACAATCACAAATATTAAATAAATCAATTCAAATTAACTAAATTATTGAGGAATAGGATCATAAAAGAGTAGAGTACTTATAGTATTATAAATAATTAGATACAACAGCCATAATCTTTCAAAGAAGAAATATTATAAAGATTATCAGTATTAAGTTTAACACCAATTTTTGATCCATTTCAATTGTTTTAATCAACTCATTTAAAATTAAAATGTGATGAACAATAAAAGGTATTTAATTGAATAAATTAATTTCCAATAGCTTAAGATAGTCAATATCCAAGGTGCCTATTTTGGTAGAAGTGATGAATGCACCTTTGCATTCACTGACCATTCAAAAATTAGTAGTAAGCATTGCCAAATACTCTATAAAGAAAGTATATGAACTTATTAATTCTTCTTAGAAGCCTTTTACTTATTGGATGTAGGTTCAAAAGGAGGAACCTTTATCAAAATAAATCATAACTTTGTGATAGAAAAAAACATGTCATTTTATATTGGAAATAGATTTGCATTTAAAATATTAGAAATAAATACTGAAACAGGTTTCTTAGAAGTGAGATATGAACATGAAGGAGCAGCAAAGCATAAGCAAATTTATTTAAAAAAGGGAGACAAGTTTTTGATTGGAAGAGAAAAATCTAAAAACAATTTTACATTTATGCATTCTCAGTTAATTTATAATTTAATATTTTAGATGCAACAAATTAATGAGTGCAAGGCATTTAGAAATTAATTATGAGTATAATTTTAAGATTGGGTCTGTAAAACTAATGATTAATGATCTAGAGAGTAAAAATGGAACATGGCTGAGATTAAGTGAAAAATAGCTAAATAGTTCCCCTTTTTAATTACAATAAGGATCTAAATTTAATTTATCATTTGAAATTATATTCGATGTAGTTGAATTAGTTTGTGACGTCTGATTATCCAATCATACATTTTTATAAATTAAATCATCTCATGTCTAAATAGATTATATTATTTTGAAGATTAAATAAATTTTTTGAATAAAAAATAGTCTTAAATATAATGAATGCTTGTCAATTTTCAAAACAATCTAATTCTTTTTCTAAATTTTTGCTATCATTGTTGCTGTTATATAGATTATCTTACATCATTTGACAAAACTAATCAAAATCAATAATTTTCTATTTTTCATTTTATAGTATCTCAGAAAATAAGGAAACCAATTTTGATTCAGATAATTGCCTTCCTTCCCTTTCAAAGGCTTTCCTCACATCTTCTATTGTAATAAAGTTTTTATTATCACTATCAAAGTATTTGAATAGATTCCATAATCTCTCTTTATTGAGATAGCTTTTGCAATTCACCAAAGCACTTAAGAATGAAGTATATGTAATTTATGTATCCTATGTAATATCATCGTTAGAAGGGTTAATATTATTAAATTTCTTTATCATTTAAACAAGTTCCTCTTCACTTTCCTTAAATCCTAAATTCGACATAATTTACAAAAGTTCTTAAATGGAAATGGTTCCATTGCAATCTTTATCATACGAGACAAAAACATCCTTTAATTAAGAAATTTGATTTTCAGTAAGTTGATTTATCAGTATTTTTAGAGTTTCTTTTTTTAGTTTAGACGAATTGGCATAAGTATGTAATAATCTTATGATTTTTTAATGCTAATTATTAGACAATTTTTATTAATGAGAACTTTGTTTCATATTTTTAAACCATTGATGCTCTAATGCTTTTCCACAAGTGATTCTCTTTTTGGGTTATTTTACTAATAAGTTTTTAATCAAATCCTTAGCTTCAAGAGATATATGCTCAAATACGGAGAGAGAGAAATCAACATCAGAATGCTTGATTTTAGCTTCTAACATATCGAGTTTCTTAGCCGAGAATGGAGGATTCCCACATAGTAATACATGCAGGATGCAACCCAAAGACCATTCGTCACATTAGAAAGAATAACTATATTTACTATCTAATTTTACTCCCCAGCTATTATTTCAGGTGCAACATATATTGGAGTTCCCACTTTACTGTTCATTCTCTAAAGCTTTTGATTGATATTTCTAAACTTCTTGCTTAAACCGAAATCTATAACCTTTATTGGTGCATCCTTTTCCTTAGAAGCAAAAAGAATATTTTCTGGCTTCAAATCTCTATGAGCTATTCCCATCGAATGAAGATAGTTAATAGCTGAAAATAATTGTTGCATTATCTCTTTCGAATCAGATTCTCCAATATTACCTAAAATTGATTATAATATTGTTTAAAATACCTTCCTCCACTATTCTTTCCAACAATTCTCCTCCACTGCAATATTCCATTACGAAGTGATAATACATGTCATCTTCATACTCTTCAAATACTTTAATGATATTTGGATGATCCAGTTGTGTAAGGATGTCTAGCTCTCTGAGTACAAGGTAGAATTATTCTCGCATTCGATACTACTTGGACCATCGTGTTTACTTTATGAATAGTCTTTATTGCAAAGGCTTTCGAATCTCTGACACTGTAACCCACTTTTACAGTACCAAAACTCCCTGATCCTAAAACCTTTCCAAATCTGTAAAACTATCTTATGTTTTATTTAGCAAATCTTTTTATTTCACTTAATTGTTGTTTGCCTTTTCTAACTGGTTTCTGTTTTCCAGAGCATGCACCCATTTCTTAATGATTTATATAATTAATTTTAATTTCAATATGTTTATTACTTAAAAGCTCTACTTTATTAGCTAGAAAAAATAGTTAACGGAATTGCATAGAAAGAAGTTTAACTAACAAAATAAAATAATATATCATTTCATATTTAAATAAAATATAAACACTGAATAAGTTTTATTATAAATGAAATAACTTTATTTAGTTTAAATATATAATGGAATAATAAGCTATAAAATCAACTAAAGTAAAGAATATATTTATTTCAAAAATTATGCTGAAAACTTTGTAATTTAATTAAGAAATTAATAGACAATCATTTTAATATTTATTAATAGATTACTCATTTTGATAATTGAAATACAATCTTGAAGATATAGAAAATAGATCTAATACTTTTCAAATTTAATAATAACTAATCAAAGTTATCATTTTTTTAATATTTTTTTTTAATTTTCTGACAATATAACTAAAAAATAAATATACTTAATCATCAGAAAATAATGCAGTCTTTGCATTTCTCGCACTATGGTTTTAATAATGTTGCTTGAAAACATGGTAGTTAAGTTGTATGTTTTTTACAAGAATAGATAAACTGCACTTAATGGATGCAAACCAACTGCTATGTTTACTCATAGCATTTGACGATTCTTTAGTGATGACATGCTGGGAATATTTTGAGGAAAGGTTCTTCACAATTAGAACATGGTTTTCCACATTATGACTTACAAGGATGACCACAATTTAGCATCAACTTACAATTTTAAACGCATACGATATTAGCTAGATCTTCAGAGCATTTAGCTTTCTAAAGATGGCCACACTTTAGAATTATTTTAACTTCTGCTTGACAAGGATCACATTATTAATAGCACTTTTATAAGCAACTTTAATTGTGACCGCATAAAGGTTTTTTGTTGCAAGGGAACATGCATTTAAGTTCCTTCAAGAAGTTTAAATCCACTTTTTAGTAACAATAAATGAGTCTGGTATGACCACAAGGTAGGTTAATCTCACATTTTTCATTACATGGAGAGCAAGGCTCATAACATTTTTTTAAGCATGTTACTTTATGGCCACAAGGTCTTACTTTATTACAAGGTTGATCACATAAGGCTTTAATTCTTTAATTTTATTAAAAACAAGGTATTTATAAGTAATGACCGCAATCTAAAGCCCTATTAGTCTTAAATTGGCAAGGAGTGCATTCATCTTTTTTGAAACACATATTATAGCAAGGAAATTCATGACCGCAAGTTCTGCGTTTGATACATTGTTGTTTGCAATCGTAATTTGATTAAACAAGTTTAGATTGACAACATTCAATATCAATCATATGTCCACAGTTTAATTTAAGCTTGACTATCTATTTACAGGGTGTACATTCTTAATAGCACAAATTGGTGCATTGATACTAATGTCCACATTGTCTAGTTTTCATGCACTCTTCTTTACAAACAATACGTTAATTTGATAAATGACATTTAATCAGATGGTGATGACCACAATCCAAAGGTTTAATAACATCCTATAAGCATGGTTCGCATTTTTCATAGCATAATTACTTACATGGATAGATATGACCACATTCTCGAATTTTTTCGCAGGGTTCTTAGCATTGTTAATTTTGATTTTATTAAAAACACTTAATTTATATTTTATGTCCACAATTATGTTATTTTATCACCGATTCTTAACAAGGCGAGCATTGCTTTTAATAACATTTTGCTAAACAAGGGTCAGTATGACCACACTATCTTTTTAATATGCATGGTTCTGTACAGCTGAAACTCTTTATTGACTTTTCACTTGAATGACATTCAAATTTATGAGTATGGCCACATTTGAAAGTGTGATTAATAACTTCTTTACAAGGAGAACAAACATCAAAACATAAATTTTTGCATTCTTAATCATGTTTACATGGCCTTTTTTTTTCACACTTTGCTTTACATTAATGTTATTAATTTTCTTTATTGCATTCTACTTCTATTGTATGTCCACAGCCGAGTTTTTTTTTAATCATAAATAGACAGGGAGAACAAGGTTCATAACAATAACTCTTGCAGGCTGATTGATGTCCACATTTTCTTGGTTTTTGACATTACGAGAAACATTTGGAATTTTAAACTATATGATCAGCATCATGACATCTCACCTCAATCTTATGTCCGCATGATAATGTTCTTTGAACCAACTTTTGACAAGGGGAACAATATTAAGAGCATTTATTAGTGCAAATCTAATCATCATGACCACATTATCTCTTTTTGATACATTGCTATTAGCATTGATGCGTTAATATTTATTGCTTTTACTAAGAACAAGAAAACTATGTACTGTGTCCGCACTTCAAATTAGTAAGTACTGGAACTTCACAAGGTGAACAATCTTAAAAACATAAACTTTTGCATTTATTCTCATGTCCACATGGGAGTGCTTTTTGGCATTTCTATACACAAATTCCGCAATCAACTGAACATAATTTATCACAAATATGACCACATGGTAGTTTCTTTTAACACATTGATTAACATTTATGTATATATTGTTCTCTTTCAAAACAAAGAAATTCTGCTTTGTGATTACATTTAGAAAATGAGATTTATTGTTTTTCACGACATTTCTAACTTAAAGGATCTGTTCCACAAAGTGCTCTTATTTTATGATTGCAAGGTAAACTTAAATCAACCATTTCATTGCATTTACATTTATCTCGACAGTACAACTTACACTTGTGTCCACAATCGATAATTCGATCACATAAAAATGAACAGGATTATGCTGGATGACAATCACTAATGTGACAATCCTTATTACACAAATGATTACAATTTGCAAAAGTCTTTAAACATTTTTTATTACATAGTTTTGGCTTTATTCTATTCCAATCATCTGGTTATCTAATTGTTTGCAAGTTTCCATGAGGTATACATTTTGTGTTTATATAATCATTCAAACAATTCTTAGCTTTAGCCAATAGTATCATTTTTTACCATGTACTACCCATAGCTGAAGAATTGAAGATAAAATCAAAGTTTCCAAACACATATAAACCAATTCTTGCTCTTGATAATGCAACATTAATTCTATTATCTATTTTTATAAATCCCAAATTATTTCTGTTGTTGTTTCTCACTAAAGATAGTATCACAATGTCATTTTCTTCTCCTTAATAATTATCTACTGTTTATACTTTGACTTTGGGTTAATTAACATTAAAAAACTTCCTTTTTATAACTTAGGCCTGTTTCAAATATAATGTTAAAACACTAATTTAAGTTTCTTTATAACCACATTTTAAAAGGTACTGCACCATTTCAAAAATCATTTAAGCTTCTTATTTATTTTCTTTTGATCTCTCATCTTGGGCCTCAAGCCATTTATGATTAAAAAAGACTAGATCTTTCTCTAAACCTACTATTTCAATGTCATTTTATTTTTAAATATCTTAATGATCTTAATAAGCGTCACCATATATTAAACGTATGAAATCTGCAATTTTGGATTTCATTCTTCTTTATGAGGTCAAAGTTACACTTGGTATCTCATTCAGGAATAATCTTTCAAATAATGAAACATTTGCTTTTAATTTCTCTTATAAAAAATAATTTTTTATCGAAGGTTTTAATTATTAATGATCTCCTATTAGAATTAAGTGTTGTAAATTTGAAGTCAAAACGCTTGCAACATGAGATTCCAATACCTCAGCAGCCTCTTCTATAACCATAATTTTTGAATTTAACTTTTATAACTTATTTGTTTATTTAGCTACACCAGTGACTGTTGCACCAACAATCTTCATACCATTCAATATTTGAATTTCATTCTCATCATATAAATCTTTCAATTAACTAGATTTCTCCATAAATTATTTGTATAAATTTCCAAATTTAAGACTATCATTCTAATATTTAAGGCATTCAAGATAAATTAAGATCTCCCTGATATCAGCAGGACTTAAAAACCAAGGATTGCTATTTTATAAGCTTAGATAGCCTTTGATATTTTCAATGGTCTAGTATTAATAATGCAATAAATTTTAATTCTAATGATTTTCATTAAATTTTTGAATAGCCGAATCTATACCAAGAGAATCAAACTTCATTTCCTTGTAATTATTATTATAAACTGCTTCGTCCTCTGAATCTAAATATTCATCTAAATCATCATCAGAATCACCATGCTGCTATTAATTTAAACCAGGAGTTTTTTGTAAGTTTTAAAATTATTAAACGTCTTCATAAAATTGTTTCATTCTGAAGTATTTATGCATTCCATTTAAATACCCATTTACTATCGTATTTTCTTCAGGTTTTTATTAATTAATCCAATATTTCACCAAAGTTTCTTCTGAATCCTCGATTAAAAAATCATCTTCATTTAACTCATTATCCGATAAAAAATTTGAGTATATGGAATCGTATAGCTCCCTCCAATATTTTGATATGTCTTATGGCTTAATTTTATAATCGTAATTTAGCATTCTTTAAATTATATCACTTATCTCCTTTTTCAACTTATTGAATTCTCTAAACTCAAAGTCTACTTTCTACCTACACCTAATTTGACATTCTTATAATATAGGGTTTTTGGAAGCTCCTCCCAATCTTGCCACATGTTCTTTTGGAACGAACTTTAAAATGTGTTCAAGAAATTAATCCAAAGCATGATTTGTATAACAAACTATTAAAATAGGAAAATCATTTTTCTGTAGATTCTAATATAACAATCTTACAGCTAGAGCTCCACAATAAGTTTTTCCAGTTCCTGGAGGCCCTTAAATTAAAGCCACTTCTTTCTAGAGCATCATTTTAACTGCACTTAGTTAAGATGCGTCCAAGGAAGTATTTAATTATGGCCATGGCTGTTAAAATATATTAAATTTAACCCCTTTATATTGATTACCATATACAAGATCAATATCGAAGTGATAATTTTTATTTAAATATTGGGGGTAGCTTACTTCTTTTTTATTTTCAATTATAATATTTTAAAAAGGGATGCTCACTTTTTATTTCAAAGCTTCTAAATAGCAGAGTATTGGTTCAACCAATCCTTCATATTACATAAGTATTGTTTTTTAAGAAAACAAATTTAATAATTGCATGATTGAAGTATTTGGATCAAGAAATCTAAATTCTAATTGTATTTTTCCATTTTTTTTATATTAAAATTATCTATCATCTCTTCTTGTTATGACTCCAAATATTAAAGGAAAACACTCTATATTGGTTAAACAAATTAATGACCCAGAGGATAGTTTTTTTGATTTATCCCAATTAATATTCTTCTGCTTTCTGCCATCCATATTAAATTGCTCAACTTAAATCTTCCAACTTAAGTCATTATTATTCATTCCCGCTGATATTAATTCAATATTTTAATATAATCCTATGTTACTTGTTTTTTCCTTATCTATAAATTCAAATCCTGATTCGTTTAAACTAATAATTGCATTTCTTAACTCTAAAATGTAATCCTCTCTGATTAGGTTAAAATGATGATCGATGTATCTGTCAAAAGTAATATTTTCTTTAGGAAGAATTTCCAATTTACCAAACAACTGATTGGGTAACTTATTATATGAGAAAAATTCTAAGGCTACAGGGTAAATAGGTATTTCCCTCCATTCTAACACATTAGCAGTCTTATATATTTATTTTAAGAAATTATCAAAATCAGTCAGTATTTTTCCAACTTATTTTTGAAGCTAAGGGTTATATAATTCAATTATTTTGAGTAGATTGTATAAACTAGAGATACTTGATTGCTTTAGAGTTATATAATCATTGAGTTTTAAAGTCCAAAATAATTTGTACATTATTTCCAATTCTTAATTCATGTATTATATTGAGTTCTAATATATTAAAAGTAGAGTGCATCTCTCTGTAATTTGAGTATTAAAGCTTTAGCTTCTAAGAATCATATTTATGTAGTTTTATTATCTTGATTCTCCTAAAATCCTCATAAGAGTAATGTATGATTAACATTAATTTGCATTAATTCTGAGTTTGGAAAATGCTTCTTCTAGATTGTCTACGCTTTAAAAATATTGACTAATTGTATGAATTGTGTGGTTATTTTGTGAGATTTAAGAGAACCAATTAAAAAATTCCTCCTGTTTTTGTTATTCTTGTCTTCTTAAGATAGCTCTTTCTTTTTATTCCTATCTTATTCTTCTAAATTCTCTTCCCTTTGTATTTCTTTGTGATTATTACGACTATTAGTATTATTATTAAGGATGTTACTATTAAGGTTAATATTACTATTATTATTATTGTTATTATTATTATTGTCCTTTGCCTTTCTTTTTGTAGTTTTTTCCTTCACCATTTTGCTTTCTATTATTTTACATGTTTACTAAAATAATAAATTTAAATAATATATTAAAAAAATAGTTGATTGGTTAAAATTTCTAGAGAAAAAAATAGGCTATTTTTTTTAATTATTATTTGATTCTTTTTAATACTAATTTATTATGTTAATGTGTTGTAATTCAAAAAGATTAAAAACGGGTGAATCCCCAAACAGATCGAAATCAAAACCAAAACAACGAAACAGTGAGATCTGTCCGATGTTTACAAAGGAACGATGGATAGAAATTATGAAGAGATCATTTGAAGACTAAGGATATTCAGAATTAAGTTATAATCTTAGACATAATTTTCCACTTGAATTGAGATGTCAAGTTTGGTTTTGGCTTACAGAAAAAGCCAGAATCAAAAGTTGTTTATATCAAAAGCTTTAATTTGAATCACCATCTGAGCAATAAATACTTAAAGATCTACACAGGAGTTTTCGATCAAAACGAAATACTAAGAGGATTTCTGGTTCTTCTGATTCTAGCTAACCAGATAAGAATTAAGAACAAGGAAAAGTTGATTAGCAAAAATTAGACAAGTTGAAAAGGATTCTAATTGCATATTCGAACTTGGATAAGGAAGTTAAATATGTCTAGGGAATGAATTTTATAGCATCTTCTATACTTGAACAGCTAGAATAAGAAGAATTGTGTTTCATAATTCTAAATCACATCTTAAACATTCAAAATTATAGAAAAGGTACAACATTATCATATTATTAAAAGTATTTTTAATGGATATGACAATCCTTGAGATTATTGATAAGCGGATTTAGTTTGAAGTTCCTCTTATTTATAATAAAATGTAAGAATTAAAAGTCAAACCACAATATTGTTTTGACACTTATATATTTTCATTGTTTTAACTTGTCAGAAAGGAATTAGCACATAGAATAATAGATATTTTCTTATTTGAAAAAGAATGTAAAATAAATTAAATACAAAAAAGCCATTTTGTAGACTGTTATCATATAATTACTAAAAATGCAATAAGTTGAAATTTTGAAGTGTCAAGATCAAGATGAAATGATTATATATATAAGAAATGATCTTATAGAAGACGCCCTCGACAAATTGGATGATGGAAAGGATTATTTATCCTAGTTGCTTTCAATTCATTTATGAATATGCTACATTAATCAGAATATACTTATTGAAAAATATAAAAATAATTAATTATTTTGAAATAAGGACTTGGTAGTTATGATTTAAAAATCATAGATTTTTCAAAATAAATCAAAATGGTTTCTAATTTTAAATTATTAATGAGTCTTAATATGCAATAATTAAATTAGTAAATAATTCATATTTCTTTGAGAATTTCTTTTGCTTGTTTGTTTTCAATTGAACCACTTTAAAGGTTCAATAACTTTAAAATATCATTAATCAAAAAGTTTAGCGAACTGTCTGATTATTAAATAGCTTTAGCTCTTAGAATTAAAGGACTATAATCAATATATTATGAAAGACCTTGATTCTGAGAGAGTAGAAAATGTTTTATGAAATAAAATACCTATTTTCTATATAAAAAAATACTTAAACACTTCTTTCATAATTTGATTAATCACATAATTTTGAGATTATCTATACGAATTAATTATCAACAATAAAACACAAATCCAAATGTTTTTCTAATAATTTGAAGAGAAAATTTAAAATTGTACAAGAATCTAAACTTAAATAATATTTTATTGAAGCTTGAAATCTTGAACTAAATAATTAATCAATTAGCCTATTGGTTAATGTTTCTTCTGGCAATTTAGAAATCAATTAGCAAATTTACTCTACATTTAGATTTGAATCTTGTAAATTTATCAACTCTATTAAATATAGCATAAACTCTTAAGTATAAAAGTTTGCAAATTTATATTTTGATAACATGGTTAATCCATTTAAAGCATAATCAATTAATTCTATATCTTGAAGTCTAATAACTTCAAAAAAGAAAGGTACAGCTTTCATTTGCTCTTGCTATATAAATTAACTATGGGATTCTCTACATAAAATAACAAGACCAGGTATAAGAAGGTTGAAGTACTTCATAATTTAATTATAATTTGAAATGAATAGGTAGGAGAGATCAGAAATAAACCCTTATTTTATTATTTCAAATGTGTTTTCACTCAAATTTTGGTAATATTGCTCAGCTTATTCAAAATTTACTTTCTCTAAACCCTCCAAAAATAAATGACTATCATTATTTTCAGCTTTCTTCAAATATTGTTGTCTAGTAATGAAAAATTTCAGTTCTCTTTCAAATTTTCTTTTTTGGTGCATAAATTTTTCAACCTTTAATCTTAACATCTAAGTATAAATAATATTTATTTTTTAATTTTGTATTTTGCTTGAATGAAAAAATATTTTAAAACAATTCTGGATGCTTTTGGTGCTAATATAAAAAATTTAGAATACTGTTGCTATTAAAATAATATATAATCGAAAATTTTAATTTATCATGAATATTGCTCAAAACTTGATATTTTCTTCCTCCTCTCCAATTTCATTTATAAAAATATATAATTTGAGCCAAAATGGAAGATAAGGATCTTAAAATTAGGAGAAATATGATTATTTAAATCCTATTAAAAATCAATAATTTAATATATGAAATATAGATGATCAAAACATACAACTTTCATATGTAGGTATCATGTATTTAATATTAATGTATGCATCTTCTCCTCCATTTTTTTCAAGTGTTTCTAATGTTTCTTGTATAAGATCAGATAGATTTTCATTTTTTCTTTATGAATAATCAATTTTATCTCCAATATTTACTAAAATAAATGAGAATTGAAATATACATCTTTTATTCTTATACATATTCATAACAGGTAGTATTTATCTATAATAAGGAACTAAGGCTTCTCCTATCATTTATCCACTTTTGACTAATTTCTATATTTTCTTTAAGGTAATACACATAATATCATGATTCTTAGTTGCTAAGGCTTCTATTAAAGAATTTCATAAATATGAATATTTACTTTTGATAGGAATAATCAATTAAGGTAAGACTGATAATATCTTAGTTTCTCCTTTTTATAATAATTCTTCACATCCATTGACAGCTAAGAATTTATAAGGATCTTCAGTTTCTCTGAGTCCTTCAAAGAATATAGGAAGATATAAATGATAATCTAAGCATTCAGGTTCACATTTCCAAACGATCTTTCTAACAGCTCCACTAAAATTAACAGCAATTGGAAGATCTCCACGATCATAATATTTTTTAAATAGAGTCTATTCAATCATAGGCAAAGCTTAAAAGATCCCTGATTTTGGTACTTTTTATGGAGCTTGACTTTTCTTTGGAGCTAATGATGAAGACACTAATAGTCATATAACTTAAATATTAATACTTCCACCTGTCCCTGCAAATTTATTACTAATATTCAATAAATTTGAACAGAATTTACCTGGTGATCTCTAAGGAGAATGTCCTTTTATTCTTTTATTTGTTGTTTATTACTGCAGCATACTTTATTTATTTTATATTAAATTAATTATATTTTGTTTCATTTATAATATTTCTTTTTAAACTCTTCTCACATAATAAAGTTTGGTTTCTCTAGCTATTAGAATTATTTTCGAAACATTTTTAAGAGTTTATTCACATTTTAATTATTTTCAAAAGATAAAAGCTCAAAAAGTATCCAATTTAAAGGAGCCCACTTTTAAAAGTCAAATTATAGCCGAAAAAACGAATGTATTTGTTTAAATTTTAATATTCTTATAATTTTATTCACATCTTGATTATTTACTTTGCATTTCAAATCATATCCAAGTTTTATTCTAGCATTTATTTATTTATAATGATAATTCATATAAGTGTTTGAAATTATAAAGTAATTATTAAATTTATTTTATATATATATTACACTAGCATGGAAGTAAACTTTAATTAACTTGACATCCTTTTAAGATTGATTTAAGAAAGATCTGAGGATATTCGAGTGATGACAACAATAAATCAATAAGTATAAGCTAATTAGAAGACCATTGATATTGAATTCAATTAAGTTTAACAATCCCTTAGGCAAATGGGATTTAAAGTAATAGCTATGAAAAAACATGATAAACCTAGGTAGGATGAAGAAAACAAAATTTTAGAGTATCTTTCAAAAATCAATACGCTAAATCTTCCTGAGAGGATGTATATTTATAAATTTTGTTAAACTATAATAAAATTGTTCAAGCCAGAGATGCAGATAGTTAGATTTAATTAAAAAGATACAAAAGACCTGTTATTGATGTTTAAATAATATTTCATGGCCGAGAATAATATTGAAATTTTATAATAAATCCAATAACTTATGATGGATTAAGAATTTAAAGTAATTTATATATATCATATTGCAGATGACTTCAGCGTTAGTCCTTATAAAGATTTTAGTGAACAAATCTAGGGAAGATTTTCATAATTTAATTCAAAGTACTTCTGCAATTGTTATATCAAAAATAAAAGCAAAACTATCTGAGCAACAATAACAATAAAAACATATTATGAATGAATAGCAAAAATCAACCGAACTACAAGATCCAGGATCAAATGAAAGCCCTAAAACCAAACTGTGGATTTAGAGAAAAGGCAGTAAATAAAGAGAATAATCGAGCTCTTTGGTTTACTAGAAGCCTACAATTATCCTCAGATCTGTCTCGATGGTAGATAAATTGCTAGTTGCCCAGTCTTAGTAATAATCTTATCAACAACAACTAATGTAATAACAGTAATAGATGTACATCAATCCAGAGAGAGAATTAAAATTATAATTAAGAGCACAATAAAAGAAGTTAAAAAAGAAGCTACATTCTAATTATAAAGCTATTTTAGATGTGGACTTTGATAATTATTGGGCTATGCATATTATTTTGAAAAAGAAATTCATCAAGCATTCAGATAAATATTGTAATTTAAAGTTATATATAGTTTTACAAAGAGGTGGATTCTACATTTGGAGTTAATTAAAGTTGTTTAATTAATCTATTAGATAAACCATAAACAACCATCAATTCAAAAGAGTAGAAAGCATTTAGGCAGATAAATTGACGAATGAGTAAGTTTAAGAGATACATCGAACATATAATACTACTTGTTAATCCCCAAGGAAGCTTCCATAATTACCAAATGTACAATTAAAATCATAAAGTCCATAAATCATAAAATAAAATAAGTTTGTCCAAAATTTATCATTTTTACCATAGCTATAATTTAGAAATCAGCAACTTATCTAACAACAATAATAAGCTTATTCGCAAGTTTCATAGAAACCAATATCATTTTATGATCCAAATAAAGATTTTACTACATCAGCTTAAAGGTCTAATAAGTCATTAAATCTATCCTAAGACTAGATTCGCCACAAAAAATCTGAGCATAATTCTGAAATAATTCTCTACAAATGATTGATTGAGTAATTTTAACAATTAATAAATTCTCGTAAATAAATAATTTTAAAATTATTTATGAGACAATAACAAGCTCATATTTAGACTCTCTAAACTATGGCAGCTAGACTCAGCTCAACAATCTCACATAGGAGGTCTGTAATGAATGATAGTTAGCAAATCTACAATAAACAACAAAATCTTTCAGTTAACCAATCCTTTAACAGTCCAAAAATCATATCCAACCATTAATCATTTATTATTTCATAGCGAGCAAATTAAAGTATCAGAGACAATGTTTAAAGCGTTCAATGTGCATCTCCATCTTTAAGAATAAAAACAGAGATAATAGAGAAAGAGGATAAGAAATAACAATAATTTATTGATGCAACTATGAAATTATTGGCGCAAAACGAGAAATTAGAAAAATTAATTTGTGAATAAAATGAAATGCTAGCATACTATAAATAGGACAAGCAGGAATTAGAATTTTAAATAAAGAGATTATCACAGGAAATTATATTTCTCAAAGATACAAACTAAAAGAGAGTAATGGCTTTAGAGAGGGAGTTAAAGTAGGTTAAAGGAAAATCTTAACATTAACCTAAAAAATTTCTTAGATGAATGTTAATTATTTTAAAATCTTAATTCTATTTTATTATTTGAATCATAATCATATTTTTTTCAGTAGGCATTACTTTTTAAACAGAAATTTTTGTTTTTAGAATTAGGTTTATCTCCAGAATTTAATTACCCAGATTAATATTGGATCTAAAATTAGTTCAACTAGAAAAAATTCATTGAATAAGTTCTTATGTTTCTATGATTTAATGAGCTTTTAATTCAAAGAAACTAAAAGTTTTTTAAGAATTGACTGGCTTAGGTTAATGAAAATAAAAACTAGAAAGCAAAAAAAACTATATTTGCACCCTAAAAATTATCCAAATATTAAATATATAAAGAATAATTATGCCATAAATTAATTTGAGGTATTATTTGATGGTGTTACTTTTACAGAACTGGTCTTTCGATTTTTTTGATTACAAAAATAAATACAAATAGGACAATTGAAAGCTATGAATTTCAACTACCAAAATATCATTAAATTTAAAGCCAAAGAAAATGAAAATAAATACTTTCTTAAAATCGATGATTTTCATTTGATTTGATATAGTAGATAATGTCCGTTGTTAATTCGATTTTCCTAAAACAGGATTTGGAATTAAACTCATTATAAAAATATTCTTCTGAAATGCAATTATATTTGGAATAGATAATTGCAAGGATACATAGATGCAGTATCAGAAACCGGAGCAATTTAAGAATCTCTTTAAATGCCAGAAGCAATAAAAATTATGAAATTTATATATAATTATGCAATTCCAAATCAAATTCTCCAGAAGGAGAATTAGCTCAGAAGAGCATGAATTAAGAAAAACAAAAGAAAGCAAAATGCAGATTGCCTTCCATTCTCAATCAGTAGCGTTAGTCTTGATGGGATTTCCGTGAATGAGCACCTGGATGTGAAATTGTTTTGTAATGTGTTGTCCTTTTGGGAGGATTTTGACGCCCGCAACCTTCTTCGTCATCTATTCTGTCTCGCTGGGAGGAGTTTTGGGAGAATCATTTTTTTTATATAGTTTTTTTGATTTATTATATTGGGATATGTGTTCAGACCATATGGCCTTACCCCAGGAGTAAGACATTTGTAATTCTTGGCAAGCCTAAAAAATGTAAACAAGAGCATAATACTTCTTTTAAAGATTTTTTCTCATACAAAACACGTGTGAGGAACATCACTTTCTCTTTCGGACTTGGACCAACTCTATTAGACTATTGTTTCTTCAATTATAGTTCAACTTAATATTTTAAATCAGCGAGAATGGGCATGAGTTTATGAAATTTAGGTAAATAATAAAGCTTAATATCCTTAGATCAACATACTTTTATCTCTCGATAATACGTCATCCAACAAGGTTTTAGTAGCAAATAACACTAATTATTTAGTGTGTTATCATGATCAAAAAAATACTAAATTCTTTCTCACCTCAAATTCACTTATCTTTCGAAAACACTTCACTTCACTTATTAAAAAGTTGGGAATGACCCATATAACATTGTGATTATGGAGATAATATAGACTGAAACCTTTTCTTAAATTAAACTATCTGAATTAGTCTAAATATTTTAAGCACAATTCAACTTAAATCTAGGCAACCCTTATGATTTTCTTAACTCTAAAAATAGTATTATTTGGTTTAGAATACTGTGGTGAAGTCTCTTTCAACATTTATATTTAAGATTTATTCCCAATCCGAACAAGCATAGACAAATTTATTAGAATATCATTTCTTCTAATCAAATTAGTGAATTGATTATACTCTGAATTCTTGTCTATGGATTCAATTTCAACCAAAAACCATAGAGCTGATTTGGAGGTAAAATTCAGAATGTAAATTAAATTAATTGAAACAGTTAATATATATAGATATAAATTATCATAGTTTTGTAATTAATGATTCAAAAGCTATATCTTATTGGAACAATGATGTCTTGAAATTGTTAGAGTTCTTTTAAGGAATATCTTGATCCTACATTAAATCCATCAAATATGTTGTTAAATATAGTAATTCTTTATCTAAAGCGTTGTCATAAAATGGTATAATAGGAATACCATTTTCTAATTAAAAGCAAAAAGAGTAGGATGCATTATCAATTAATACCATATCTTTTAAATTTCTATTCCCTATTACTCTTAAATCTTTGACATGTAATCCATCTTATATTACAACACAACTATCCCTGAAAAATCTATGATGGATAAACTTTTTATCAGGATCCAGATAGTTTAGTACTTTTTAGGCATAGCATTCATGGGAAGCTGTGAATACAATTATTTCATATTTTTATGACAGAAGCTAAAGCATGTCTTTACAATATGGTCTAATATTAATTCCTGCTTCAACGGTTTCTCCTGTAGGAAACTTTATTGTTAACACTATATCACTTGGATCGTCATTTGATTCTTGACAATGAATCAGTGTTTCATCTAAATCAAATACAATACTTTTTGAAACTACTTATAAATAAAATATGTACATTTATTTGGAGGTAAATTTACTATTTTTTGTTTTATCTCTTCTAATTTAGGTTTCTGAGCATCTTTACAAAATTGTAGAGCATGAAAACTTTATTAAATATGGTCCAAATATATTTCGCAGAAGTATTATTAGGTTTTCAGACTATTATTAAATAGTTGCTTTATTTATGTTTCGAATTTTTTGTCTTTATGAAAAAATCTAGCAAATGACATGTAATATTGAAATTCTTAAAATGGTGCTTAAGGTCCTATGCTAACCTTTTACATTTGTGTAAATTTTCTATCTCCTGACAAATTTCTAAGTTTTGATTTTGATTCTCTATGACTTACCAATTATTCAGAAACTATAGAATTTTCTTTCGACCTTTTTTAACCATGTAAAGGAGAATTCATTCTTTTTCTATTTGGCTTTGTATTCACTGAAGTATTAACAGAATTTGAATTCTATTTTTATGGCATGAAATTTGCTCCTCTTGAAATTCTCGTTACATATTTGTTTATTGAAGTTTAATTAACTTATAAAGTATTTGATTAGACTACATTAACATTCTGATCTTATTCTTGTAAGACTGCTTATGATGCTTATGACAATAATGTTTATTATGTTGTTGAAAGAGATTAGTTTTCTTTAGGTTATGAAACACTTAAAACTATCTATGGGGTTATTTGTTATGTTTGCTACTAATTTTATTATGAACCTTAATTAAAAAAAGATGTGTTTTTGTATTTTGAGATCAATTATTCTAATTTTTAAGTAGCCTCTGCATTTTCTATTTCCTTTATAACTTACTATTATTATGTCGATTCCTCAATAATTATTTATTGCACTTCTTTTTTACTATTGCTTCTTGATTCTCTTGTCAATTTAACTGTCTTTTATTTAATGCCCAAAGATGCAGCACTTTATCCAAATATAGTTCTTTAAATTAATGATGCTTTTTTATTAGTTTTCTTTTCACTTTATTGATCTTAAATCCTTTAGGATTATAGTGGCTCAGTTGTAGAATTATCACTAAAATCATAAGAAATTTTACGTTGGCTTTAAAGTCTCATTAGTTCGTTGAGATGCTTCTTATTTTATATTTGCAATAGGCTAACATAAAGAAGATGTCACCAACTAAATTTTATTAAAATTATATAGTACCTTGTAACTGGGCTGACCGTTCTGATTTGTTTTATTAGATTTTGCAGAAGGCACTCTTTTTTGTGAATGGGATTTTTATGAAGATTTTGGTCTCTAATTTACTAAGGCTTACAATAGAGAGCTCGAACTCTATTAGTGGTTAAGATTAACTATTGACATATTTGTGCGAAGCATGCCTTTATTTTTCAAAATAATATTATCGTTAGAATATTTATTGTTTAAAATACTTAAAATGAATTATATTATAAGATTTCTTTAACTATTAAAGTTGAACTCGATATTTTATTGTTGAAAATATCTTTGATGTGTTAGGTTTTGTTGAGAAATCATAATTATAAAGAATGGGGATTTTAGGCGCTTGAAAAATAGTTTAACTTGGCACTCAAACTTTAAAGTCTGTCAAATAGTTCTTAGTTGAAACACGAAAATAATTATCCAAAATAACTTAAGTGCATGCAACATCAGGTTAGATAATTAATTTTATATAAAATAAATAAAGTATGCTGCAGTAATAAACAACAAATAAAAGAATAAAAGGACATTCTCCTTAGAGATCACCAGGTAAATTCTGTTCAAATTTATTGAATATTAGTAATAAATTTGCAGGGACAGGTGGAAGTATTAATATTTAAGTTATATGACTATTAGTGTCTTCATCATTAGCTCCAAAGAAAAGTCAAGCTCCATAAAAAGTACCAAAATCAGGGATCTTTTAAGCTTTGCCTATGATTGAATAGACTCTATTTAAAAAATATTATGATCGTGGAGATCTTCCAATTGCTGTTAATTTTAGTGGAGCTGTTAGAAAGATCGTTTGGAAATGTGAACCTGAATGCTTAGATTATCATTTATATCTTCCTATATTCTTTGAAGGACTCAGAGAAACTGAAGATCCTTATAAATTCTTAGCTGTCAATGGATGTGAAGAATTATTATAAAAAGGAGAAACTAAGATATTATCAGTCTTACCTTAATTGATTATTCCTATCAAAAGTAAATATTCATATTTATGAAATTCTTTAATAGAAGCCTTAGCAACTAAGAATCATGATATTATGTGTATTACCTTAAAGAAAATATAGAAATTAGTCAAAAGTGGATAAATGATAGGAGAAGCCTTAGTTCCTTATTATAGATAAATACTACCTGTTATGAATATGTATAAGAATAAAAGATGTATATTTCAATTCTCATTTATTTTAGTAAATATTGGAGATAAAATTGATTATTCATAAAGAAAAAATGAAAATCTATCTGATCTTATACAAGAAACATTAGAAACACTTGAAAAAAATGGAGGAGAAGATGCATACATTAATATTAAATACATGATACCTACATATGAAAGTTGTATGTTTTGATCATCTATATTTCATATACATTGGAAATTATGAATTTATATCGAATCAATATATTCATAAATATAAAAATTATTATTCATGATTTATACAGGAAAAAAGTAAAGAGCTACAGAAAAAGAAACAAAAGAAAATAAATTAGGATAACTCTAAAAAAGTTAGGCTAAATAAGTAGAATAGTTAACTTTGATATATGATGTTTTTTAAAAAAATCTACATCAATTTGCAGGAAAATATAGAGATGAAATCTCAAAGAATCCTGATTTTAGAGAAAAGTTTAATGAATTATGCGATAAAATGGATGTCAATCCAATGATGTCGAAAAAGACTATTTGGAGTGATTTAGGTTTCGGAGATTTTTATAATGAGTTAGCTGTAAATTATTGATAATATGAAAAGATCAAAATTCTAGATATTTGTGCTAAAAAATATGCCATTTATGGTGGAATTACTAAAATCACTGACATAATTGATGAATTCAGGAAGGTTTATGGAATGAAGGTTTCTAAATCTGATATTGAGAGAGCAATAAATACTGTATCATCCTTGGGGGGTTGCCATATTCATAACAAATATGTGTACACAGTTCCTATAGAGATGAGTCCTGATTTTAATTTGTTATTGGAAGTAGCAGAAGAAGAAAGGTTTGTGAATGAAAAAATTATGTAAGTGAAGAAAGGTTGGACAAAGGAAAGATTTTATCAAAAAATTTAAGTATTATAAAGGGAAGGACTGGTTTGGGCAGATAAAAAAACACAAACTAAAATTGTAGATTATTATTTCCCTTCTCTTTTAAATACATATTTTGATCCTATGAGAAGTTAAATGATTATGCAATAATTAAAATAATGAGTACAAAATTGGATCTGATCTTATTATCATTTAAATATAATATATTATTTATCTTTATTTAAACAAAATGTTAATTATTATAATTCAATATATCCTAAAAGTGAAACTTCTCAAAACCATGCTTGGTGCTAAACTATTTTTAAACTTACATATTACAATGAAATTATCATTTATTAATTTAATTTACAGATAACTAATTCAACCTAAATATGCATGTATTAAAAACATCTTGAGCAACCTAATTGAAATGGACGTCTAAGATCAGGAAGCAGAATAATTTTTTAGTTTTTGGATAATAAAAATCAACAAACATTATTCGAAAATTAATTATCATTATATATTGCATTTTCTAAAGTTCCAATTTTTGATTAAATATGTTGACAAATAATAGTACTGATTCCATTCTCGAAAGCATTTTAAAAGAAATATTGTCAGAAGTATTAGTTTTAAGTGTAAATATAGATGTTGTAATTACTTGAATAGAATATAAGATCGTAAGAGGAGTTGCAAATCATATAAGATCATCTGCAAGATTATGAGAATTTGCAACAGTTAGCAGAAACTATGAAATTTATCATCAATCTGCTTAGAAAAAAGCTCAAAGGAACTAATAATTAAGAGAAATATTTCAAATGCGAATCAAAATCAGAGAACTATCAAAAATTAGAATAGGCTATTCAAAAATAAGAATAGGACATAAGAATTCACATTAGGGTATGATCAAATGATATATAGATTTAGATAGGCTTAACATGAGATGAAGATATACATTGATACAATGTAATAATAATTAGAGGAATCAGAATAAATTAGAAAAGAATATCTTCAAGAAACAACTAAATTAATTCAAGTAATATTTGAGTTTAATTTAGAAACTTAAAAAAGAAAATCATAATCTGATTCAACAATTGAAACATTATACACAATCCTAAAAATAATAAACTGCATAAAATTCTAGGAGAGATAGCACATAAACAATAAATGTTATTTTCTAAAAATAACCATCTAAATCAAATCATTTAGGAAATAATTAAGAGAAATAAGAACCATGGAATAATAGCTAAATAATTAAATGGCAATTAACTTAAAATAATAGTTAAATTCAATTATTAAAAAATAAGGATTCTTAGAGATCATTGACTTAGAGATACATAAAAGCAAAGTACTAATTTATATATATAAATAAATAGTAGAAATAAGAGTTATTCTATAGGAATAAGCAAATAGAACTCCATTAATGGCAGTTTTATTTAGAAACTGATGATTAGAATAGGGATCGAAAAGAAAGAGTTTACATGCAGAAAGTCATCGATCCAAAGGATCCAAAGGTTTCACAGATCAACAGAAATTATCATAAAAATGAAATGTTATTCATAAATTTTATTATTTTTAATGGAATAAATAATTTAGAATGATAATTTAGTGATGTTATAGTAAAAAATATTAAGCTATCCAAAAACAAATGAGGATCTTAAAGTACTTTTTATATTAATGATAAGACTATGGCATCAATAATAAAAGTAACATAAATTTTCAACAAATTAAATGAGCTTTATCATCAACAACTATCACAAGAAGGATAAATAAAAGTAAATTGATATGATTTGATTAGCTCTGTAATTATTTAGAACTTAAAAGTTATGAACTTGGTTAATAAGTGTAAACAAGTCAAAACTTCGCCGTATAGCTTATTCTAAAAGGATAAGTCGAAGTTTATTTTTTGGAAGAGGGATACTTCTATAATCACGAAAAATACCTCTAAACTTTAGATCCTTTATTTTACATAGAAGAGGACTTTATCTTTGACAAAATAAAATATCAGCAAAATCAACTTATTTATAAAGCATCCTTTAATAATTCAGTGTTGTTGATGATAAATAAAAGAGAATGCGATGAAATCTATAAATATTATGGGGAGATATTTTTGTATAAGCATAGAACTTTATGCAAAATAATACCAGGTTTGGGAGAATTGAATTCTAAAAGAATATTAGAGTCTCTTGCTAATCAATTTGAGAATATAATCCTACCAAATTGCACTTAAATTACGGAGTAATAAAATAAGTTTAATATATTTAAGGGAAAATCAAATAGGAGAATACCTGTTCTTTTTAGCATAAGGTCATGTGTCTTTTCAAAAAAATAAAGAACATATATTTGATATGGAAGAGAGTGGGATAATTGGAGATGAATTATTAGTCGATCCCGATCAAGATTAAAATAGTTTATAAACTTATTACTATACTGTAATTGCCAAATCAGCATAAGTTTTACTATATAAAATCAAACTTAAGATCTTTTCACGCCTATTTCCAAATGCAATTATAAGACAAATTATTACTTAACATAAGTGTATATCTTGATGTTAAATTTAGAGAAATAAGTGATAAGATTACTTGTTGGAAGCAAACCAATTGAGAAATAAAAATGTAATACCTCACCAACCAATGAAATTAAAAAATCTAAATCAACATTGATTTTTACAAAAGACACAATAAAGGCTTATGATAAAGTGGACATAGTATTTTAGTAATATTAAGTAGAAATCTTATAAAAAATTAGGTACCTAAACACAGTCGAGTATTAAAATTCAATAATAATTTGATGGATAAGTTCCATAAAAAGTTAAAAAATACAGGAAAAAAAATTACAATAAATGAGTTTGTTTAGTAAACAAAATAAAGTGATGAACCTTAAATGAAATTATTAGAAAAAGTTGAGAATCCATATAATTTTGCCTCAAATGTAAACACAGAGGGTTTTCTAAAGAAATATTATTCAAATCTCATAAGAATTGGATTAGTAAAGCCTCCTTTGAGAGTAGCTCCTTAAAATTATGAAGCTATTCAAAGATCAAGAGTAATTTCAGCTATGAAATTAATTGAGCACACTCATAATTAATTAAAACCCAAGAGAGCGACAAGTGCTGCTTTCGGAAAAGCCGATCCATTACTTTCAATAAATGCTTTAGTGTCTACAAAGGAGAGTGAAATTAATGTTAGCACTCAGAAACTAATTGAGAAAAATAAAACAATGACTACAGTTTACCCTACTCCAAGAACGTAGTCATAACCTTAATTGGGTTATCATACTAATGTAACTCCTAGATATTCATCTGTAATGGAAACACCTAAATGTGACACTCCTTAATCAAGATCAACAATGGCAAAATCATCATAGCAGGTTTTTAGACCATATTCTGGATTTATGGATCATACTTCACGTTTGTCTTAATAATCAGAAATCAATAAAAGATTAAAGAGGCCCAATCAACATTTTTTTTGAGTATATTTTGTATAAAAATTCTATTTATATTTTGACATTATGAATAACAAATCACTAACACTGCTTATTTGCATGAGTTAAATATTCTAACCCGTATCTTTTACCAAATACAACTCCATAATATATTTAAGAAATAATATTGGCTATGTCTAGACAAAAAACAATCAAAATTACGAAATATCCAATTTTGTATTTACCCAATAATATGTACCCTATTTTAGCAAAGACTGATCCTCCAATAATCTAAATAATATAACATTAATACAGCTAATCCAGTAAATAAAATTATGGTTTGCCAATCCAGGTAATGGTTAGTAAGAAGAGTAATTAAATTATTTAATGAAATCATTAAATAAATAAAGGCTGATGTCGCTGAAGCACATCTAGGAATTAAGCCACTATATAGTAAAGTAGGAACCATTACAAATCCAGCCCCCATTCCTAAGAATCCTGATACAAATCCAGCCATAAATCCACCAGCATATATCTTAAAAAACCTACTGATTGGAGTAAAGTATCTTTCTTTTGGCAAAAAGTTAATTTAATTAAATTGCTTCTCTTGACTTGTTCCAAATTACCAAATCAAATAATCGTATAGGACATTGGCAACTATCAATATAAAAATCATAAAATCATTTTGCCAAGTGCAATCTTCGATTCCAACATATGAGGGTTTTTTAGGATTAGTCGATCTCATTTATATGAATATCTAATTATATAAAACATATCTCTTACTTAATTTAATCCAAACGAACCTAGAATAAAGAGAACTGGCATAGGAGGCAATATATTTTCCGATTCTTATTTAAATTATGAATAGAGAGATTGATTTAAACTGGCATTAGAAATTATGGATATCTTTCTCCTTTCTTTCATAGAATCTTCTTATTCTTATTATTCTTACATCCCTTCCATATTCTGTAACTCTATTTTTGGATGTAAATTAGAATCATTTAAATTTGTGGTGCTTTCTTTTGCAGAATCACTAATTTTCAGTTCTGCTTCTTTAGCACTTTTAGCTAATTTACAGAATTATTCTATATATATACCTTTTTACCAAAGAATGGGAGCAACTCCAAATAAAAACAACTCTTATAGTATGAGAGTGTATAATTGCGGTAGAAAAGACGCTAAGGAGGAACCAAGATTAGTGGCGAATGGAACAGCAAGATTAAAGATTATTGCAATTCTGTAGTTTATAATTGGTCTTCTATCGTCTTCAGGATTCCTAATATTGTTAAGGTTAATACTTTTCGAACATCAATAGAACTGTGTTAAGAAGTGTACCTCCAAACATAAGACAATATGCTATATGAGTGGCTTCACTTTAAGAATAATTTAGAATCATTTCCAAAAGTGGTCCTTTCAATACTCCACCTAAAATCTAGTAGATTTATACCTCCCATTCCTCCTAGAATACCGACTCCAATCAATATTGGTGTGATGATATATGATATAATTATTCCAGCTTTTGGTGTAAATGGAGAATCATGTTAACATGAATATACTAATGTTGCTGCATTCAATTCACATTAACTAAATTACCCACAGGTATGAAAAAAGCCTGTCTAACCAGGTACGCACACTTCTGTCATTATAAAATATAATTAAGTTATTTTCAATGTTTAAATGAAAATTTGAACTGGATCCTCACTATATTATAATTTATATATTAAGATGATATATAATCTTTTGAAATGTTAAACAATTTTTATTTTACAAATTAATTTTCTATTTTCAATCATTGTCACCATTTCAAGGTTTAGAAAAAATAAAGAAAATACATGATTATGGATTGAAGAATAATGATGCTTTTAATAATAAATTTTAAAACATATATGTATATATATGTGAGAATAATAAGAAATAAGTGAATGGAACAGAGAAGAAAGGCTTAAATTTATTATGATATGTTTCTTATAATTGTTTGATAAATAATAATATGTTTAAACCAAAAAGTTAGAAAGATCAATAATAACAGCCATTTTATTTGAGTTGGTTTGCAAATCAGGGGTACTTTAAATTGATTGGTAATTCAGTTTAGTGAAAACCTAAAGCGGGGAGGAACTGCACCACATTAATCTCGTAAGGAAAAAATGCCATTAAAAAGTCCATATTAACAACCTTTGATTACTGTTGTACATAATGTTCCAAACCCATACTTGAAAACTATGTGAGAAGTGTTTTCATTAATATAGATCACAGCCAAAAAGTTAATAAAATAATATCCAGCAGATTTCTAAAATTTACGCAGGTCAGTTTTAAAGCACTGTTAAAAGAAGAAGTCTTGAAAAGCGTTATGATGATGGGCCAAAGAGTGGAAGAGGATCATTTAAACCTTCTAGGACATTCACATAACAAATTTCAAGGCCCTTTCGATTTTCTGAGTAGTAATAGAGTAGACCATAAACTCAATAAATCAATACTTTGGAACCTAAGTTAAATTGTGAAAATTTGCAAGTTGACAATTCAGATTCTGAACAATACACTCCTAGAGAATAGGAGTGTATTGAAATAGTAGATATGGACAATAATGATGATTACTCAAATAAATCAAATGAAGCTGATAGTGATGACAATTAAAACCTCCAATTGCCTACTTAAAACTAAGAAGAGAAGGAAATTCAAAAGAATGTCTCTTACGTACATAAATAAACTGAAGAACCAATTGCAAGCATGAGAAAAGCAACTGTTGGTCTAAATAGACCCTAAACATCTGAAGGTGTAAGAAGGAAAAGATTCATGAATTCAGATAAAAATGACTCAAAACATGCCTTTGAAACAAAGCAATCAGATTTTGGGCTCTTAGATTACGAACCCCATGTTATCTAAGAGGAATGCTTAGAGAATTAAGAAATAATTCCAATTAACTTGAATTAACTGAATTCTCCTAAAGTATAAATTTTCATTTATTTTATAATCTAGGAATAGCTCTCCATACGTTCTGGATAAAGAAAAAAGTAGACAGAGTAAGTTTAGATTGATAATTTTGATAAGAATGAAAGACCTCCTTCAAGACACAAAACACCTCCAAAGGCAACTGGATTAGAACTGCCCATTCAATCTGGCAATTAGAACTTCGATAGGGATGGCATAGAAATCCCTATCAAGAATATGTATGCTCAAATTGATGAAATATGTAATGCTTCTCAATATTGTTTAAGCCAACTAGAATAATAATGTGGCAATTATTAAGGATAATGATGAATTTGATGATTTCGATTTAGGGTTCTTTAAAATGAATAATCAAGTTAATTTAAACAAGTTTCATTAAAGAGATGGATATCGAACTGATGATGGAAGTAAGTAATTCTTTTTAACAAAGAAAAACAAGCTTCAGGATAAAAGCATCCTTAATCTGCTAATTTAAAGTATAATGGACTGGGATTCTAAAATATCTCGTACTCTCCTATAAACAATCAGATTACTTCTGCTCATGGATTCAGAGCCAACGAAGAATAAATAGTTATCAAGTATAATTCTAGATCAGCCTTAAATAAGAACTAGAGCAATTAACCAGTCAAAGTACCCTTTCAAACTTCATTGGGTTAAGATTTCCTAAGATTATTTGCTAATGATTGAATCCACTAATATATTATTATAAATAAACAGTTATTATACTTTAAATGTCAACAGCAGGGTACTTAAATAAATACAATAACAAGAAATAGAATGATACTAAATCAATTGTAAGTTAACAATCTAGTAAAAAGGTATCAAATCTATAATTTGTTTTAGAGTACAACTACAGATGTAAAAACAAAAGAAGACATATTGAATAAAATGCAATAGAACGAAGAGAAGCACAGACAATTGATGATTGAAAATAATAAAAGGAGAAAGGAATAAGAAAAGAAACTCAAATTGCAAGAGGAGGAGAAGTAGAAATAAGCAGCTGCATTGCTTGATCAAAGAAAGAAAACAAAGGAATAGGCTTATATCAATTATTTAAGAAACAATACCAAATAAATATTGGCAGACTATTAACCCAGGTAAACTGATTATCCTAAGCAAAATCCAAAACCTCCATTGGAGAAGAAAGTATAAACAAATTACAATAATTTCGAAGCACTTGATCTAGAAGTATCCCAAGTTGCTAAGAACAAAAAATTGCCTCAAGAATTTTAAAAATAATGGGAAGATTTTGAAGTCATGAGGAAAAGTGAACTATTAGATAGTCTTGACTTAAGCATGGCTTAAAAATAAAAACCAACTCCAAATCAAAAAAAGAATGATCTACAACAATTACTAGGATTACCAGAGGAATGTAGTGATGACGAAGAAGATTTGTGGAAGAATACAATGAAAAATGGATAATTGGCTAAATAAAATGCAAAGCCTCCTTTATCCAAACCTGCTTAATGGGCTGAATAAGCAATGACTTAAGCAGACGATGTCTTATCTAAAATGAGTTAAAAACAAGGGACAGAAAGAGATAAGAGAGAACAATCTTCATAAAAAATATAATAATAAGAACCATTAAATACTAAATAAAAATAAACTTCTTCATCAGTTCCCAAAAAAACTCCTCCAAATAAGAATTAAGAACATATGAAAATATTATAATAAAAAGAATAACAATTGCTGTCTCAACAAATGCAAATTCAATAGCAAATATAATAAAATACTGTTGATACTAATTAGAATAACACTAATAATCCTTCTCATTAAAATCCTCCTCGAAAGCCTCCATAAAATATAAGAATTACTAATAAATAAATACATAAACAAGCTAGCAGTGTCCAAGATGAACAAAATCATATCTAAGAATTTCTTCAGGTATAGATTTGTGATATTATTATGATAGGAGGATCTTTAAAATATCAACGATATGGAAATGTAGATTTAACTTGAACTATTAAATTTGAATAAAGAGAACAAATAAAAGATAGAATCAGTATAGTAAAAATATGGAGTGAGAAATTTGCAATCTTCCAATCAAGTAAACAGGGTAGTGTTTGTTTAGAATTAATATCCAAGTATTGTGCATTAATATTTTAGTAAAGTCCTAAGAAGATTAAATTGAGGCATCCTTATTGAAATTGGATATGATGCTTTAATAACCGCCTTAAAAACCAATAGAATAATAATAATTTAATAATTAATAATAGCAATAATAAATAAGTTACACAATTCCGTTACAATAAAATATCTAACAGAATACTTATTAACAATAATAGACTTAATAACAACCAATTAATTAGTAAAATTATTAATAATAATTAAACCCTCAATAATATTAATAATTACTAGAATAGTAGAATTTTCTCTAGTAATAATTGATAAGGGCATAATAATAGATATAATAGATGCAGTAATAAACACAACAAACAACATAAACTACTAATTAGCAATAGGGAGATTTTCCTCAATTTCCTTCTTATGTATTACATTAAGATCATTAGTCCTTTGTGTAAACATTCTCAAACGGAATACCTTAATAGTAATAGCATTAGTAATAGTAATAATAATAAACATTTAATTCTAAACCGAGGAATGTTATTTCAAGTGAAAATCAAAGCGTTTCAATAGTTTCATCATAATAGAACGATAAATATACTTTTGATCTAGATTTTGGAGTTCAAAAAAATCCCCAAAATACTTACACTCAATAAGCCTTAAAGAAAATGACTCAGAAGCAATCTTCAGTTAAATCAAATATTCCAATAGAGGAAGAAGAAGAGCCAGAGGAAGGTAAAATAGAAGTTAGAAAAGATTTAAGAAATCTACTTTTTGATTGAAATGCATAATTAGTAAATAAAATATCTTTATTATAATTATTTAATGAATAATACTCTCATCAACCTATCTGCAGAAATATTGCAAGCCTTAGACATTAAGAAATATTAATAAAAAGATGTAATTTGAGTTCTAAAATTACTTAGTTGAATCGAACCACTTAGAGGCTGAGATAAAGCGAGCTAGGATATAATGATGGAAGGCCTATTTGTTTAAATAAAATCTACTAAGAGAGAGAGGACGAGGAAGTTTACAATGAAATACGAATGAGGAAGGCAAAGCCCATGTATAAATTAATGTTTGGCACAGAATTTCATATCAAAGACTTATCAAACAGATTGAAAGTGTTGCTAAAAGAGTTGGGTGTTCATGTTGCAGCTGAAGATACAAGGGGATTGAGTAGTCAAATAACATTGGCATTTGTGGATATTTTAGAAGAAATATACATTATATATAAGCAAACTGCAATGCAAGGAGAAGATGGCTAATAGTACTTCATGAAAAGTGTGATGAATGTATTGACTACATATAGAGGATATGACTTCATAATTATAGAACCCAATTATAATGAAGTTTAGCTTTCAGTACTTTACTCAACAATGTATGAGGTGGATAGTCAAATAGACAGGATAATGGCCTAGACTCTACATTAGGAAAATGATTAAAGTAAACAAATTATTGAGTATGGAACATTTAATGAGGACTTTAAAAATTATTAAGATGCTGTGAATATGGAACCATTAAATTTTGAATACAATTGGGAAATCGAATATAAAGAAGAAGAGCAATAAGAAATGGAATAAATTGAAGTAATTGAAGATGCAGGGATTATCAATTATTTACCAGAATTTGATAAGCAATTTCATATATATATAGTGGAAGCATAGCCAGAAAAAAATTGGTAATAATTGATATATGAATTATTAAAAGACTTATGTGATAAGAATTTGTCAAATTTAGTTTTGGAATAGAAATTTTATGGAATATTAAAAAATATATATGCTGCATAATATTTATTGATTCATAGAAAGGATATAGTTAAATTTTTGAGTAATAAGAAATTCTTGGAATAATACAATTATTAATAGAAACAAAACATGAAAAATAAAGAGACAGCTTCTTCAAATTATCAATTACTTGCTAAAATTGGGATAGATATTGATTAGGAAGAATTGTTGGTACTAAGAAAATTAGAACTTAAAAGTCTACAAAAAATATCGAGTACATTGTAAGAAGGTTTAATAGAATTTGATCCAGAATAATATACAAGAATGGAACAATAAACTTTGCTTAGATATTTTCCTACCTCTACAAGAACAGATAAATTAGAATATCTATATATACGAATTGATCCCTTGCCAAAGAAGCCAATTAAGGAAGATTCATTGATTCCTATATATGATCTTCCAGAATGGGCAAGGAAAGCATTTGAAGGGACAAAACGTCTTAATGTGATTCAATCATAAATATATCCAAAAGCATTTTTGACTGAAGAAAATCTATTAGTATGTGCACCTACCGGAGCAGGTAAAACTAATATAGCATTGTTGGCCATTCTGCAAGAATTATCTAAGAGAGTAGATCAAAAAGAGAAAAGATTGAAAGATTAAGATTTTAAGATTGTCTATATATCACCAATGAAAGCATTGGCTAGTGAAATTGTTGAAAAATTCTAAACAAAACTTAGGTATTTGGGAGTAAAAGTGAAAGAGTTTACAGGAGATATGTAATTATCGAAGAAAGAATTGTAAGAAACACATATTATATTGACAACACCAGAAAAATGGGATGTTATTACTAGAAAAACAAATTAAATTAGTGAGCAATTAAAACTATTAATTATTGATGAAGTTCATTTACTTAATGATGATAGAGGTCCAATATTAGAATGTGTTGTTGCTCGTACACTCTAATAAGTTTAAAGAGCTCAAAGTTATATCAGATTAGTAGGTTTATCTGCGACACTTCCAAATTATTGGGACGTTGCTATATTTTTGGAATGTCATAAAGATAGTGTGTTCTTTTTTGATCATACATTCAGACCAGTACCATTATGTCAAAAATTCATAGGATGTAAAGAACCTGTCTAAGCACCTGCTAAGGGATAAAGAAGAAGAACTAAAAGAGATATCCAAAACGAATAAGCTTATGAATTAATGAAAGAAGTGGTGAAGCATAACAAGCAAGTTCTCATCTTTGTGCATTCTCGTAAAGAGACTGTTAATTATGCTAAATGGATAGTGGAAAGGGCCACTCGTTTAGGTGATAAGTATGTTATTGGAACAACTAAAATCAATTGTACTAAGGTAAATGATAATGAATTAAAAAAATTATTGCCTTATGGATTGGCATTCCATCATGCTGGTATGTTAAGGGCAGATCGTAATTCAGTTGAAAGGTTTTTTTTAAGTGGAGATGCAAGAGTATTGATAGCCACAGCCACTTTAGCTTGGGGTGTTAACTTGCCTGCTTTTGCTGTTATTATTAAAGGAACAGACATCTTTGATGTTACTCGAGCAGACATGTAGAATTTATGTGTTTTGGACGTGTAATAAATGTTTGGTAGAGCTGGTAGACCTTAGTTTGATGATAAGGGAGAAGCTACCTTGATAACTGATTTCGATAATGTAGGCCATTATATGGGCATGTTAAACAACGCCAGCTATATTGAAAGCAAATTATTAACATTCCTAAGGGAAGCCTTAAATGCAGAAATAGTATTAGGAAATATCACTAATTATAATGAAGCATATAATTGGATGTGTCATACATTCTTAAGTATCAGATTAAGAAGAAATCCTATGTATTATGGTGTTGAAAGGGCATATCATGATTTGGAATTAGATTGTGATGCTTTAGTGTAAGAAAAGATTAATGAGGCTTTGAAATAGTTGGATACATTAAAATTGGTGAGGTTTGACTCTAGGAATCATCTAGTTACATCGACAGACTTAGGTAGAATTGCTTCTCATTATTATATCAAATGTGAAACCATGAAGGTTCTATGTGATGAAATGGGTTTGTCCTTTGATTCATAGGAGAACTAAAAATTCCACTTTTAAACTTAATATTAATTGCTTAAGATTGTGGCTAAAGCCAAAGAATTTGAGATGATTCGAGTCAGACCTGAAGAAACCAAAGAATTGTAGAAGATTTATGATGAAGCTTGGGTTTTTGAAGATGAGCCTGACATTAGAGGGGAATCTAGCGATAGTATTATAGAAACTTAAGAGAAAGTCATTGCACTTATTAGTGCATATCTTATTAAAATGAATTTTGAAAATTATGCATTAACAATGGATACTAATATTATTATTTAAAATGCTATAAGATTATTGAGATGTATGTTGGATATGGCAATCAAGAAAAATCAAGCATGTATGGCACTTGAATTACTGAAACTGTGTAAGATGATTGAAAATAGAATTTGTCCTCAATAGAACCCACTCTTTTAATTTAGTAAGGATAACTTTTAAGGGTTTAATACTCGAAAAATAGCGAAATCTTAAGATGCATATATGCCTAGAGCCTGGTTAGGTGCTGTGGCTGAATGCGAATTAGATGCTTATTAGATGAAGTTAGAAAATGATGCTGTTTTGGCAAATTTGTTATCAATTCCTGAGAACTTGATTTCTTAATTTAAAGCCTACTTAAATATGATACCTGATTTTGAAATTGAATATACAGTTAAACCAATCTCTCAAACTATTTTGTAATTGATAGTTTTCATTACCCCTTATTTTACATTCAGTAATAAATGGCACTTAAAGAATGAGCCATTTTGGATATTTGTTGATGACTCTGAAGAACTACTGCATTCTGAAGAGTTTTTAATGGATATGGATACTATTATTCATCAAAAAACTATGTAAGTATCCTTTTATGTGCCATTTAATTCAAAAGGAAAGAAATACCATTTGACAATTCAAAGTGATAGATGGATAATGTTAAATGATGATTAAACTAGTATGTAGATTGAACTATAAAATGTTTTATAGGATAACGATGAGATGGATTTTACAGAGTTATTTGATTTGCAACCTTTACCAATTAAAGTATTAAACAATATTGAATTTGAACAATTATATGAGTAGTATAAATACTTTAATCCTATTTAAACTTAAGTGTTTTTTGGGCTCTACAACACTGATGACAATATCCTGATTGGAGCGCCTACAGGATCAGGTAAAACAATAATGGCTGAGTTCGCAATGTTACGAGTGTTCAAATAATCCCCTTAATTCAAAATTGTTTATATAGCACCATTGAAAGCCATTGCTAAAGAGAGACTATTAGACTGGACTAAGAGATTGAAGAATATCAATAAAAATGTACTTGAATTAACAGGAGATTACACCCCTGATTTATAAGCACTGTTAAAGGCTCATGTGTTAATAACAACACCAGAGAAATGGGATGGTATTAGTAGAAGTTGGAATAATAGAGAATATGTGAAATAGACATGTCTATTAATTTTTGATGAAATTCATCTTCTTGGATAAGAGAGAGGTTAAGTCTTAGAAGTAATAGTAAGTAGAATGAACTCATTAAGTTATGATACAAATAAAAAAACCAGAATGATTGGGTTGTCAACAGCAATGGCAAATGGATTGGATGTGAGTAACTGGTTTGGAGTCAAGAAAGGAAGATTCTATAATTTTAAACCATCTTGTCGACCTGTCCCTGTCACTATTCACTTTAATGGATTTCCAGAAAGAGCCTATTGTCCTAGAATGGCTACTATGAATAAACCAGCTTATCAAGATATTAAGAGATATAGTGATGGTAAACCAACCATCATTTTTGTATCTTCTCGTAGACAAACTCGTTTAACAGCTTTGGATATTATAGCTTTGGCTATGTAAGAAGGCAATGAAAAACAATATATATAAACAACTGAGTAAGAATTAGCTTAAGTGTGTAACAAAGTTGATGATGCATAATTAAAATAAGTCTTGTTATATGGAGTTGGAATTCATCATTCAGGACTTGATAAAAATGATAGAAATATAGTCGAAAATCTATTCGTTTAAGGAAAGATTCAATTATTGATAGCTACATCTACCTTAGCTTGGGGAGTGAACTTCCCTGCTAGATTGGTTATAGTTAAAGGTACTGAATTTTTTGATCCAAAATTAAAGAAATATGTAGATTTTCCTGTTACAGATCTATTATAAATGATAGGAAGAGCTGGTAGACCTTAATATGATACTTTTGCTACTGCTTGTGTCTATGTGGAATAAAGCAAGAAGAATTTCTATCGTAAATATCTAAACTCTCCTTTCCCTATTGAATCAAGTTTACTCTAAGGCATTTCAGATCATATTAATGCTGAAATCTCATCTGGAGTGGTTAAAAACAACTAAACATTTATAGATTGGATTACTTGGACATACTTCTTCAGAAGATTAATCAAAAATCCCACTTTCTATGATTGTCCTACCACAAATACTAAAGAGATCTAATTATATTTGAATAAACTAATTGCTAATACTATCAGTGAATTAGTTTCATCAAATTGTATTACTTAACAAGATGGATAATATGAATCAACATTCTTGGGTAATCTAGCTGCATTTTATTATCTTAAACACACTACTTTAAAGCATTTTGATGATAGAATTTAAAAACAGAGCAATTTTGAAGATTTATTACATACTTTAGCATATTCTAGTGAATTCAATGAAGTACCTGTTAGACATAATGAAGAACATTTAAATGAAGCCTTATCCAAATTATGCAAGTTGAAATATGACAAACACAAAATGAACCATCCTAATGAAAAAGCTTACCTATTGCTTTAAGCTCACATTTTCAGATTAAAATGTCCTCTTAAAGATTTTGAGACAGATCAAAAACTTATTTTAGATTAATGTATTAGAATCATAGGCTGTATGATTGAAGTATCTGCCAGTAAAGGATATCTTCAAACTACACTTAATATTATATATATGTTATAAACGATTGTTTAAGGTTTTGTCAAAAACGAAGAGTAGATTCTAATGAATTTACCTCATTTGCACAAACTTAAACATGAGTAATGCATAAATAGAGTTAGGAATATCAAAGACTTATTGTAGTTTTATAATGTAATTATATAATCGTAATTTTAGCTGAGGGAATTTGATAGTTTCCTATAAAATAATGTTCATCATAAAGAAGGCATTTCTGAAATTATGAAAGCTATAAATGCATTACCTGATATTTAATTAGCTTTCACTAAAACTGAAAACTAACTAAAAGTCAATCTCAAAAATGAAAGCACACCTGACAACAAAGTTTATATTTAGAAGCTTAATAAACAAAGAGAAGCTTCCTGGTGGCTAATCCTTGGAGAAGATGATCGAATTGTTTAAATGAAAAAGGTTTACTTAAAGAGTACTGCTAGCAAAGACCTTGATGTTGAGGGTTGGACTAGACATTACAAATTGTACTTGATGTCAGATTCGTATTTGGGGTTGGATTAGATTATTGATATTAAATGATAAACTGATCTGTGATTTTCATAGATCATCATTATTATAAATATAGTTGTAAGAGATTATTCATGCCCAATAATAAACTATAATTAATATGATTAATCATCAGGTTTGCTTGGTCTTTAATATTTTAACTGTTAGCTTTTGCTCAGTCAATACGTACACAACTCCTCCCCATCCAGATAAGGAATCCCTATCACAACCACTCACTAAACTTTGGCCAATGACTTCCTCCAATTCTTCTGGACTCAAGTCAGGTTTGAAGAATGCTTCACATGCACCATAGATACTAAATGTGATTAATAATATTTATACTAATTTCCTCCAGTTCCTCCAACCTAAAAGTCATCCAAATCTGATTTGCAGCCAATCGAATCGTATGTTGCTAAAATGGGTTTACCATTTTCAAGACCAGCCACTATTGGAGTGACAAAGAATGGACCGAATCTTAAATTTTAATTGAGTATTGATACCTTCTCTCATATAATGCAGATGCAACTAAATTTGCAAAAGTTGTTGGTTTCATTTTTCTATTTTCTTTTAAATTGTATAAGTTGATCTCCTTCTCCATCAATGCGTAACTAATTTAAATACACTAAATTTACAATGTGTGAATATCTGAATTTAGACCTGATAATGCTAATAAAATGTTGTCCTGAATCTTAAACACTTTTTGGTAATTAGTTGTGATTGTAGACATTTATTGACCGAATCTTCTATCGCAAGCCATAGCAATACAGTTTTTTCCTTTCATACCAACTATGGATCCACCATTATATTCAAAAATTCCAGACATTAGGATAATTAATTATATATATTATATAAATTTTAATTTAAAAACTTATGCTATAAAACAATTGAAATTATAATACTTAATCACAATCAGACATTCAAATCAATAATTTCAATATTGATACATTCCAATCAGTCTTTAGAAGTTTAAAAATTAGAAATTACAAAAATTCGACTCTTTATTTTATGTTTAATTAGATTGGATAAATAAAGCTTTATGTTTTGATTCTGATGGATTAACTTTATTTTTTATGATATTAAAATTTTTATATAAAGCCTTAATTATTTTAAGAAAAAAGAAAAATGTTTGCTCGACAGATGGGTGCAAATAATGATTATATCAATTAAGAATAGATCATTCCTATAAATATCAGAATGATGAAATAAATCAAGGTTTCGCCTTGTGAAAAAAAGGCTATGTTAAACAAAACTAATATTACCTACTTAAATGTAATAGGTAGAAAACAAAATTGCTTTCAATAATTAAATAAGGGGATAATTACCATCAACGATGATACAGAGTGTATTAATCTTGTCATAAATCTCATATCGGAATTCGATCAAAATTTATTTAATAAAATCAATTAAGACTGTCCCAAACTATATTACTATAATTTTATTTTGAGAGCTAGAGTATACAAACGAGAAATTATCTTTGATATTTAGACTATTCAACAAGTAAATTAATCAGCAATGATAATTTACTAAATGATAAAGATCTTAACTTGGGCAAGATTACATGAAGGTTAGAAATAGTAGACTTAATCGAGAATAGAGAACGAAGAAGATCAATAGATTCTCATTGAAGTCAGTAATTTGAATGAAGATGTAAAAATCAATAATATTTATTATAGATCTTGACATACCTGGGTTAAAATTCAAGACAAGGAAAGACCTTAAATGAAATAATAGAGTATTTTAGAATTCTGAATAATATTGAACCATAGGATATCAAGTATTAATTATATATATATAAATAGAAAATCTATTGCATTTCTATTAAAAGATGGAAAAATAGAAAATTAATTTGATGTATTCAGCCTAGTTATTCATAGATGAATTACACTATATGTATTTTTAGATTATAGTTATATATAATTAAATTGTTAATCTCAATAATTTTGGATTTGATCTTTTATTAATTAAAACGTAAAACTATATTCGCAAATATAACATGATTCAAATTTAAATATAATAGATTGAGACAATAGTTATTATAAAAATTGCAATAATATAGCTATAGATAATCACATCTTCCCAAAAGAACCTTCATCCTTTTTCTTTGGCTTTTTGATCTATTTGGCCTCATCGATTAGTTAATTAAAATGATTTTTTTCACTATTTTCATCAATTGTATTGCCATCTGATTCAGATTCATAAAATGATTACTCAGGACTAGACTCACTTGATTAACCAAATTGACTATAACTTCTGTTACTTAAATCAGCTTTAGAATCCATAGACTTAGTTTTTTTTAGATTTTCTCTCTATGTTGGTTTTTTGTATTTGACTCTAACATTCTTTTTTAGATATTCTTCATTTAAAGTATCATTTCTAATTTAAGATCTATTAACTTCTCCCAAAATTTACAATATTTCCTATTAAATAGAATTAACATATAACTTCTGGTTAAGTGGAATCGATATCTTCAGTTATTATTTTTTGTAAATGTTGAAATAACTCTACATCTTTGCCCCTTGGATATATGGTGTGTAAATTGATTCTATCGTCTTCATATGATAGCTTTGATTTTTCCAATTTGGATAACATCTTGATACTCCAAGTGTAGAGTTTCTATTTCATGATTTCTGCTTTTTTGGCTTTCTCATCAACACTATAAAATTATTTGTAAAACTCAGAATCTACTCCCTTTTTAGAGGGTTTAGCATTCATTTCCATATCTTAGACTTCATCCTTTAATTATTGCAATTTAGTTCTAAAGTGGGATATAAAAATACTTCAAATCTTCGTTCGTCTACTTCAATTTATCAATCTTTTGTTCACTTCCAGCAATAGTACCTAATAATTAACTTGAATAGCCTAACCTAATAATGAACCATAAGTTGATTCTTTAGTCAAAAACTTTTGAACTATTTCTTATGCTTCCTAGATTCCAGTGGCTGTTTTTATTTCTTGGAATGCTCCTTCAACAATTAAAAATTTTTTCATTTCTTTTTCCATCTTATTCTTGAGAAGGGAATGTACAACTTTGTGAGTCAACAACAGTTTTCTCCATTTTTTCTAAAATACATTGTGTATATAAAATTAACCTCATTTGCACCCTTGTCATTGCTTGCATGTTCAGCAATCTCTTTTTATTTCATCATTCTTTCATTTCTTTTCTCCTTAGCAGCCAATTGTACTTTTATTTATTAATTATATTAAGCGATTTATCGTTTCCTATTATTTTTCTCGATTTCGATATTCTAATACTAAGTTAATACAAAATACATTCATCATTTCATCACATAACTTCCTTGTCATTTAATTAAGTTAGATAGACTCCCATTATTTAGCATCAGCTTATGAGGCCTCAGCCTTGATTCTGTGAAACATCTCTGCCATTTCATTTAGTTTTTTCTTGAAACATAGAATGTCATGTTTTAATCTACTTATTACGTGATTATAAGATTTCTCATTCATCTAACTATCTTCAAATCTTTATTTCGACAGTATGTAATCACATTTTGAAGACTCCAATTCCTTGTTTAACTCAGTTGCATTGGTGATCAGCTCCGCTTCCTCCAAACTTAACTATTATATTAAATCCTAAATGTAAGTGATAGTAATTCACTTTGAATTGTTAAATTTCTTTATCAGTTCTTAATGATTGCGTATGATATGCATCATATTCTCTCCTTAATTCGCCTAATTTCGAATGGACTTCTCGCTCTTCCATCTAAAACAGTTAAAACTAGGTTTTGTTATAGAATTTTACACTTTCTTTTTATTGTTATGGTGATCCATTATAATTATTCAGAGAACCTAAAATCACACTCAAGTCCTATTTTCTGTAATTCTAATTATCTCATACTTAATAGCTTTTTATATTGATCTCAAAGCGACAACTTATGAGCTAGCTAATCTTTCTGTTTTGTTCCTCGGGGATGCACTAAATATCTAAGACTCCTTTAAGTAAAATTTATGTTTACTTCCTTCGAATACATAAGATTTCAATTATAATAAAAATATTATCACATTTATTTGGAGGAAAATTGAGCAAAATTAAACATATGAGTTCCTTAAAAGAATATAAATATAAAATTAACAGATTTATAATTTCTCATTTTTCGGTTGATTAATATAACAATAAATATTTTAGTGAATACATACAGATTTTTAATTTTAATTTCTACTAGGGTAACCACATCTTAAAATTGAGTGCTAAGTAAAATAATTATTAATCACAACTTCTTCAAAATAAAATATATAATTTAATGATATTTTTAACTGATTAATGCTTTATTAAGATTCTAGAAGGGGGATTTATTAAAATTACTAAGACCAAGCTAAATTGAATCGACCTAGATCCATTTCAAATAATGCCATTTCATATAGTATCCAAAACCAATAGCAGAAATATAAGACTGATATTGCTTCCAATTATCAAACATCAATCAGTGAGGTTAGACAAGTTAATCAGAATCAAAGAAATCACTCTCTCATTTAAGGAGGAGAAAACAATCCCAAAATACTTAATCAACAACAACCCTGCGATTATAACAATTTTCATGCTATTAAATACACAAATGAAATATTGAAGGAAAGATTGAAAACTGCAACTTAATGCAGAAATAATCATATAGATTAAATTAAAGAGGCAAGGTCTTAGGAAAAATAATAAAAAATTGCAAATAGTTCCCAAACTAGATAAATAAAATAAAGTGACAATGATTTGTAAAATCTTTTGAGATTAACTAAAACTGAAGCCGTCAATCATAATAAGACTGATCATAGTAAAGTTACTAGTTCAGATATCAGATAGAGAATGAAGAATTACCCTTAAAAGTCATCGAGTCCTTCGAGAAAAACACACACTAGACCAAGATCATCGATGGAGGACAAGAGTGTGACCATCATGTCATTTTAGTTAAAGGATATGAAAGAAAATATACAGTCAAAAGATTTGTAAAAGATCTGTTACGATATGGGTTATCATGTGGTAAAATTTGATAGGGATTACGATAAAATAAACAACAGACTCAATGGTCAAGGGTAGTTGTAAATAAGAGGAACTAGCAATGATAGTAAATTTCAGAATTTATAAGCGAATCTAAACAAAAAGGGAATCTACTTGGGGGATTAAAATTTGAACCTAAAAGATATTATTTCAAATAAATATTTACTAAAGAAATAGGAGCACTCGTAAGTTGAACCAAATTTAAATTAGGATGAAAAATTGTTCAATAATTTTTTGAAATTTTAGAGAAGGCAGAGAGGATAATTTATTTGATCATTACTTTTTATATATAAAATATCTTCATTATATAATTGATTTTGACTTTTGAGTAATCGCGTTGATGGAATGACAATGGGGTGAGGGTGAAATTTGAATTAGTAAGGATATGGGGTTTGAATTATTTTCTATTACATAGAGTAGTTAAAGGATTTTGGTGTGAATATTAAATTTATCAAATATGCAATTTTTTCATTTATAGAGGACAGGAATGTTTAAGGAATTGATAGCGAAGCAAAAATGTGAAGGTTAGCAAACGTAAAAGATGGATCATTAAAAGTTCGATATATTGGAGCAGTTAAAAGCATTTAAAAGCAATGATTCAAATAATTAGTAAAAATAACTCCTATATTTTAGATAGAACAAATAGATTAAGATTAAGCAATTGGATTTGCCAAAGTTAATGAAAAGAATATATTCGGAGAAAAAACTCAAAGTTAACAGTTAGTAAGAGGGAAAACAATGTGAGAAGGCTGAAAGCAGTCTGAGTAAATCTAAGTTGCCCCCGAGGCTTTTGACGAGTGACAGGATTCCTCTTGGCAAGCCTAAATTGACCAATGTAGCTTCAACGGATAGGATTTCAACAGAATGCAAAGAAAGAAAGGATTACCTGAATTATACTTTCGGAACTTAATTCAGACTTCGCACAACAAATATATCTCATTCAAATAGTAAAAGCATGATGGGTTAAAAAAGATCCACATCTCAAACAAGTAGAATAATGACAACCTCATAATAAAGAGTGATTAACAAAATTTTTTAATGAAAACTAATTTATTTATTTTATAATTTATAATGAATTAATAAAGTTTCGTGTAAGTAAATTAAGAACATGATTAAATAAAAAAAAGAGTCAACTCGCTTAAATTTTAATTAAAGGACATTGATTAGAAGAACTTCATACTCCATAATAAATTGAAAGACTTGAGACAATTATCACCCAATGGTAGAAAATCACCAATTGCATAATTACAAGAATAATTGGGCTTGGATAGGAAACTAATTAGGGAGTAATTTAAACCCATAATTGAGAGGGAAGGAATTTATGTAAGAAATGAGAGACTGAAAACTGAATCCTAATTACAAAACTCAAGAAACATAGAAATTTAACAGAAAAAAAAAAGGGTCAAATAAATTGAAGATTAGGATTCAGAAGTAATAAGAAGGAAGGCTGAGTACTATGAAAAAAAGATCAATGAAGTTAGACAACGACAATTGCAAGAAATGGAAATGAATAAATTAATAGTTCATAAGAAAATAGTTGAAATAAATAATCTTAAGAAACAAGAATAATAATTATTAGGAGAAATCTCTCTGTATTATATAGATCCTAATTTAGGGCAAAATAAAAGGAGTAATCATTAAATGGCAGGTTCTGTAATGTTGTTCTTTCTACTGATAATAGCATTATGTTGCCAACAATCTAGAAGACAAACAGCAGAATGAGCTAACAATCTCATCACAAATAAAGACTTGTGTTGGGTAGTCATTCTGTTCAAAGATCTGATAAATTTGTAGAAAGATTATAACGAAATGATACAAAAAATAACCATAGTTCTTTTGTCGACTACGATGAAAATAGGAGATTAAGAATAGAATAAAGAAAATGCTCTTAATCAATAGATTAATTAAATATAGGTTGTCAGACAAGTTTTATAATGTCAGATAAAATCTATGAGAGTGTTCAATACTCAGAAAACTTTGATTCTTATTGTAGTAACAATTAGGAAGATTCTTCTGAGATTGTTTAAACCTAATAATCAAAATAAAAAAGTAAAAAATGAACTTATTATTATAAAACTAATATGCACCCTTTCTTTTTCACAATATTCTTTAGTCTTTCCTGCAAACTTGAATTGATTATGAAGTTTTACCTGTCATCTGTGATCAAACCTATTCGAAAAATGCTCAGAGTTGTTAATTTCTATGTTGTTATTATCTTATTGATTCGGAATTTGAAAAAAAAATTAAATTAATTAAAAGGATTCAATGGGCAAACAATATGCTAGAGAACCAGCAGTTGCTAAAAATTCAGCCAAGGCTAAAGCCAGTGATTTGAGAACACACTTTAAGAATACCTATGAAGTAGCTAGAGCACTGAAGGGATAAACTGTTGCTTAAGCACTCAAATATTTACAAGATGTCTTATAACATAAGAGATGTGTTCCATTCACCAGATTTAATGGAGGTGTTGGTAGAACAAGTCAAGCCAAAGAATTCGGCAGATCTTAAGGTAAATTAATAAAACAATTAATATTATAGGTAGATGGCCAGAAAAGAGTGTCAGAATTGTATTGTCACTTTTACAAAATTTGGCAGCTAATGCTTAAGTCAAGAATTTGAGCAATGAGAAACTTATCATCAATCATGTCTAAGTTAACAGAGCCTAAAAGGGTAGACGTAGAACATACAGAGCTCACGGAAGAATTAATCGTAAATAAATTTAATTAATAATATATAGCATTCCTTTCATCCAATGCACACATTGAAATATGGGCTGCTCAAAAAGATGAGAATGTCAAGAAAGAAGCAAATAATAAGGTTGTTGCTCGTTAATCAAGAAAATAAGTAGCTAAGAACAGATTGGCAATTGGTGCATGAGAATACATTAATATTAGTATAATATCTAAGTTAATATGTTTTTCAATATTCTTGTCATTTATTAAAACATAGTTTTTGAAGTAGTATATTCGTATTTGTCTGTTGCCGTGTTAATTAGGGAAATAATGAGGATGACTACTTAAATTATATTATTTTAAGTATTCAACAAAAGAGGGTGATTAATCATTAGATTTTACTGATATTAGTAGGATAGATTAGATATTAATAACAATAGAGAAGTTTAATGTTTAAATAATTCTATAGAGCTATTACTCGTATAACTCAACTCTTTTATTCAGAATCTAGGGCAGGGAAATCGTGAGCATTCAATGTGTTTGGCTTGATGTTTTATTTTGGAGTCTTTTATAATACTGCTTTAGGAATCAATTGATATTGTTATTGTTACTGTGTCTATTATTATTGTTATTGATGAACATCACTTTTTTAGACATATTACTAAAATAATAATTAAAAACTAATAATACATTATTTCTATCTCTCTATCCTCCTCTTCTATCATGAGTTCTTCCTCCTCTATCGTTTCTATCTCCTCTGTCTGGCCTATCATTTCTATCTGACTTATCCTTATTCTGATACTTCTCTTCATGTCTATCATCATCTTTGTCATTTCTATAATATCCATAATTTCCTCTTCCTCTATTACCTCTAGCTCTAGACTTTTAGTAATGATGATCTTTTTCTTATTCATCATGTTAATCATTTCGTTTATATTCTTGTGGATCATATTCTTATTATTCTATTTTCTTAGTCATCATTTGACATTTTTTTGAATTAATTTATTTATGAAATTCATCCAAATAATCAACATTTTACATAATTACCGAGTCAATTTGAAGTTCTACCTTCTTAGACATTAGAAAATCAAATATTTCGACTGCATAACCTTCAGTTTGAGATGTCAATATTAATTTAACAAAACTCTTGTCAGCTTAATATATTTCTTCTTCATAAACTAATTCTTCTTTAACGAATCCAGACTTTTACAATGTGTCTTTAATTATTGACACTTAAATGGCTGGTATTTTAATTTAGATCCTCTTTCTCTCTGTTGGGAAATACGGACGTATGATTAACATTTGATGATCGAAATTCCACAATTATTTGTTGTATTTGTTCAGAATCTAAAATGTTGAATATATTCTGTACATCAGTTAAGATCAAATGATATTTTTTACGAGTGTTTAATTCGTTTTAGACATATTAGCTTTTTATCGAATTTTCTCTCTGCACCACAACATATTGTAGCAAATACCACTCTGGCTTCATTATATCAGTCTCGAATTTTCTGACTAAGTACTCATTATTTAGTAAGTTATCGTATTTGAACAATTCGATCATCTAATATATTATACATCAATTAAATTTACAGCTTTCTCCAATCTTTAATATTAGTCTTCTGGCTAAGATGATATAACATATTTAATACCTTATCAGATAAAATTTCAGTAGCAATCATTAGTATACAACTATTGATGCAAATTATTTATCTAATTAATTTTCATCACAAAATAAGAAACTCAAATCAAATTAACATATAATAATTTACAGAAAATAACTAAATGGCTTCTACAATCCTTATCAATCTCAAGGCCACCAAGATTAAGTAAGAAATTGTAATTAATCTCAAGACAGACTCTCAAAAAAGTCATCCTTTTAATTTTAATTGATATAATTAATAAATTTAGATAAATTAATATGTTCCTCTATCAAAAGTTCTACTAACAAATTTTACATTAAAAGGTATCACCATATAGTCCTTATTATTAATAGGCTTAAAAAACCCAACATTAAACATAAATCTAATGGCCACAAGATAAGGTCCAAAGGATAACTTGTTAACAGGCAGTACATTACTCGGAACATTAATTATAGCAAGGAAAATTATGCATGCAAGTCCTTTATCTCTGACAAGGCATTGTACATTCAAAATTTGTAGAAAAGCATTTCATTTCCTTAAAATGTCCGCATACTAACAGCCAATTAACTATTTCTTAGCAAGGAGAACACTCATAACCACACTTATTAAGGCAAGGATCTTAATGCCCACAATTTCTTCTTCTAGTACACTTTTTTTTGCATATGTAATTGTTAAAGCATTATGTTCTTATTGAATGCCCACAATTTGAATGTTTTAAAACTAATTCTTGACATGGAGTACATTATTCAAAACATAACTATTTACATTTTTATTGATGTCCACATGCGTACTGTCTTGTGCACTATTTTTTACATTAGAAATTATTTAAGAAAGCATCCTTATTTTTGCAAAAAATTTAGTATTAATGACCACATTCTAAAGTTACAGGAATCTATAATCCACATGGAGTGCAAACTTCAGTGCATAAATTTTTGCATTAAAAAATGTGCCCACATTCTCTTGGTTTTTAACAAGGGGCTCTACATTCAAACTCTGCTTTATTGTTAAATATTTAAAGAGCATCTCTCTGACCTATAGCCAATCTTTAAAATAAATCTTTTAAGTATTTTTATCCAATTTAAGATCTAAAAAATTAAGGAGAGAGGTTTAGATTTATCATTAAGAGATTTTACATTTAAAAACATGATTTTTTAATAATATGTCTCCCACAATCAAGTTTTATACAAATTTCTTAATCACAACTTGAAAATGGTTATTGACACAAGCTATAACATTTATGCCCACAATATTTAACTGTTTCGCAGTAATCTTCACAAGGTTAACACTCTTGCCAGCATTTCTTCTTACAAATATGGCCACATTATAGCACTCTTTTACATTCATATTAACATTAAGGGTCAACACTTTCCTTTTCAGAGCATTTATAATTATATATATGCGAACAATTTTATTAGGTTAATTGAAGATCCTATTAACATAGTATTTATAAAGGATCTTGACTACAACATATAAGAGCCTCATGGCTACAATTAGGTAATTTTACAAGAATCTTTTTAGTGCAGCTACATGGTTAAATGCACTATTATTCACAGATATGGCCACATTCTAGTGATCTTCCACACTATTCTGGACATTTTTCTAATTAATGATTACTTAAATGGCATTCTTTTTTGCATCTGTGATAGCAACCTTCAAAATTATAATCACAAATCTTATCACAGCAACCTGCTTAATATTTTAACCAATCATTTGGTTAATAAACTTTTCTTAAAGTACCATGTTTCAAACATTTTAAAGTTATAAATTTACTTAAACAATTTTTAGCTTATGCCATATCAATGATTTTTTACCATAAAGAATCGCTTTTTGCGGCTTTTTTAATAAAATCAAAGTTACCAAATATATAAAGACCTATTCTCGCTCTTGATAAAGCAACATTAATTCTATTGTTATTCAAAATAAAGCCAAGCTTTTTTTAAGAATTATTCCTGACTAATGAAATTATTACAATATCATTTTCTTCGCCTTAATAATTGTCAACTGTCTAAACCTTCACTTTACTTAATTTATTTCTTATTAAATTCTTCTATATAAGCTAAGCTTGCCTTAAATAAAATGATAGAACAGTTATTTATTATTATTGGTATGCAACCTCCGTAAGATATTAGACCATTCCAGTTATCATTTCTGCCTCTGTAATATTTATTTTTGATTTCTTCCCTTCACCTTCTAACCAAGAATGATTAAAGAATACTAAGTCCTCATTTAAACCTACAATCTTTAAATTGTTTCTATTTAATTAAACATAACTATCATCCAAGTATTGTTCCCCATAAATAAGCCTTATAAAATCAGCAAACTTAGTTTTCATTCTCCGTTGAGTAGTTAATTTTACTGTTGGAATCTAATTATTATAAAATCTTTCGAATAATGAGACGCTTATGTTTTATTTTTTTTTTAAATCATAACATTTTAATAAAGGACTCAATTATAAATGGTCTCCTATTAAAATTAGATGCTATAAATTCTTCATCAAAATGCATGCGGTGTGGGATTCCAACACTTCTGCAGCTTCTTCCATAACCAGCACCTTTATATTTAATTCCTATAATTTTTATATATGTCTTGCTGCAGAAGCAACAGTAACTCCAATAATCTTGTATTTGCTTAATTTTTTAATTTCTTCTTTGTCATAAAGATTTTTTAAATCTTATGACATCTCTTAAAATTGCTAATATGTTTTTTCAAACAATATACAATCCTCGTTAGATTTAAGATACTCCAAATATTTAATTATTTTCTTTATATCATAATAGTTGAGTTCCCAAGGATTAATACTGTCATCTTATATGAGTTCTTAAATCTTTTCAATTCCTTAAAAATCATAAAATTAGTTAAATTTATTTTAGTTAACTTAAATTTCATTATGTTTTTATTCAAATTGATAATCCAATTCATATTCATCTGAGGAGTCTAAAAATTCATCTATATCTTAATCTGATTCATTCTCGTAATAGTATTCCTTTTGATTCCTTTCAAGAATATTATTTGTCTATTCTAAATTGGTGATCTTAGAATCTTTAAAATAATTTATCATTCCATATAGATCACTACGATATTTAAGCATTGAGACTTTTGGACATTTTCCATCAAGCCAGCTATCTAGGATTAAATTTTCTGCTTGCAAATCAATTTATTAACTATTTAAAACATTATCAGACTAAAATTCACTAATTAATTTTTGACTTAGTTCAGGCCAGTATCTATTAATATCTTTAGCACTTATAAAGTAATCATATGAACTTAATCTTTAAAAGATTGTTATTAACTATTTCTTCAGATCTTTGAAATCATTCCAACTAAATTGAATATCTGATTTACATTAAAAATGGCAGTCTTTAATGGCATCAGATTTAGGAACCCCTCCAAGTTTAGCTACATTTCTGATTGAAACAAGTTTGACTAGACCTTCCAAAAAATATTCTAGAGCATGATTTGTTTAAGTAACAATCAAAATAGGACTATTAATTTTGAAAAAATTTTCATATAAGATTTTGGTGGCTAATAAACCACAGTAAGTTTTTCCAGTCCCTGGAGGTCCTTAAATTAAAGATACTTCTTTAGTAAGAATCAACTTTATAGCATTTAATTATGATTCATCCAAGGTTGATTTCATATTATGCCACATTGACTATGATGGATCCACTTTTATTCCAGAATATACATAGTCTCCTGCTAAATCTATATCCAAACAGCAATTATTTTGAAGATATTTAGGAATAGACACTTATTTCTAATTTTTGAGAATTAAATTTTCAAAAGGCAATTTTTCAATTTTCTTTAATGCCTCCAAAAAATAAATCTAAGTTTCAATTTGAGTCTGATATTCAAATAAAATTGTTTTTTGATTTAATAAGGTCAAAAATTCCAAAATCTGAGATTTGGGATTCAAAAATCGAAATTCTAAATTAATTCTATCAAAATTTTAATATTCATCTTAATTTGTACTTCTTTAAGTGATGACACCAAAAAGTAAAGGATGACATTCAACATTAGTAATACAAATTAGAGATCCTCGACTTAACTTTTTTGATCTTCCCCAATCAATTGTTTTCAATCTTCTGCGATCTAAATTAAATTTTTATATAGATATTTTCCATAACAAATAATAATTGTTTATTTCAAACGATTTTAAACGAATATTTTAATATAAACCTGTATTATCAGTATATTCATCAAATCCTTTTTCAGATAAGTAACTTATTTATTACCTCATATCATAAATATAGTCTTCTCTTAAAATATTGAAGTGATAATTGAGGTATGTTTTTAGAGAGTTCTCTTTATTGCTTAATTCATAAAATTTCCCAAATATTTAGTTACTTTATCCTGAAAATTAAATAAATTCTAGGGGTTGTGGATAGGTAGGAGTATTTTAATAGGAAAACATTGTAGCACTTTTTTATAAAAATTAAAGAAAGTCATCGAATTTTTGAAAGAGCTGCGTTAGATCAAAATGAGGGTAGTGAATTTCAATAATCTTTTGCATTGTGAATATTATAGAAACATTTGATTAAATTAAGACCTCTTTATCAACATCTTTAAACAAATCAAATATTTGAATTACCAATTGTATTTTATCCTTTAAATTATCAATTGAGTCGGTTTAAGTGATAATTTGAAGGCATCTTCCTGATATTTCATTTTAAAAACTCTATGATCTTAGTATATATGTTAAGTATAAATCGATATCATCAAATTATAGCTTGCATTAATTTAGTTGCTTTATCAAATAATAATAAGAATCAAATAATTGATGGATTGGGCTTAGATATTCCAATTTATCTTCTAATCTGGGTTCATTCTTTAGTCTATTATAAATTTTGTCTACATGATATTGATATCTAAAACAATTTGTAATCCAGTAACAAAGCTATAAATAAATTGAATTCAAGCTACTTAATCCTCTTAATCGGACTATTCAGAATATGTTTAAGATTCACTATCGGACATTTTATATAATAGCAATATAAATTATTAAATAGAAAATTAATTTCGTAGAAAATACTCCAGATTCTAGTATGATACATTCAATAAATTGAAAATAAATTGCGACATGTATATTTTATAAGAAGAGGAATTCAGAACAATTTCTAATTAAATATACTCACAAATAATTAAATAAAATATAATTATGATTATTAGGAAGGTGTTATAAAAGGGCTTTAGTACTCTTTATAATCTGAAATAATTTAGACATTAAGAAATCCCACAAAATGTAAGTGTAGATAGAGAATTTGGAGACACAATTCTACCAAATGGAATTCGAGTCTGCACAGAATTTTGGCCATCTGAATTAGCACAGTAATTATAATCATTAAGATTAAAGTATTACAATATACATCAAATGCGGAAGCAGAAATGAAACAGAGGCAACAAGCGGTACAGCACATTTTTTAGAGCATTTGCATTTCAAGGTATGTTATGGATTCATAATATTTTAGGGAACAGGTAGAAGAAGTAGAGATCGATTGGAATGCGATGTTGAAAATTTTGGTGGTCAATTAAATGCTTATACTTCAAGAGAAAATACATCTTATACGATAAATGCATAAAAAAATAAGGCTGAGAATGCTGTTGAAATCTTGGGAGACATGCTCACAAATTCAATTTATGCAAAATCTGATGTAGAAAGAGAGAGACACACAATTTATAGGGAATTATTTGAAACTAGGAAAATGTAATTTGAAACTTTGATTGAAATATCCCATCGTTCAGTAATGAAATATTATATATAAGGCATACAAAAATCATTAAATGTCATTACCAATCTTAGGAAAAATTTAAAATATGTATTCAATTACAAGGGACATGATTGCTGAATATCACTAAAATAATTATTACGGAGAAAATCTTATTATTTGTGGAGTTGGTAATATATAATAAGAACAGTTATGTGAGTATGTGACTAAGCATTTTAGTAAGATTCATAAGAAAAAGTAATAGCTCAAAAAGGAAATACCAGTCAACTTCTAAAGCGAAGTGTTTCTAATGTAGAGTGAATTGACAGAAGATATTAATGTAGGTTTGTTTTATTAAGGACCAGAGTGGACTGATCCTCATTATTATCACTTTTTAATTTTGTAAAGACTTTTAGGGGATAAGCCATCGAACTTTTTAGAGGCAGCCATATTTGAGTAATCAACTTTAAACTCATTTTAAAAGCTCTTATTAGATTATCCAGAAATTACAACTCAAAAGGCAGTATATACTCCATATAAAGATACGGCTTTGTTTGGAAATTACTTTGTAGTGAATCCCAATTAATTGGACTCTTGTATTGAGATTTCAAAGAAAATATTTGAGGAATATGGAAATAAAGTATCAGCTGAGGAATTGTAAAGATCAAAGCGAAGACTGTTCATTGAGTTGTGTTAACACGAAACAGGAAATGATATATCATAAGCTATAGCAAATTAAATACTTTATTTTGATAGAAGAGTTTACAGATAAGAAATTGCATAAAATTTAGCAAATGTGACAGAAGTGGATATTCAAAATTGTGTTAAGAATTGGATTTTAGGTAAGTAGCCATCATTAACAATATGGGGTAACATTGATCCAGTTTTGAAAAAATATAAATTCGATGCAAGTTAAGTTGGAACACACTGATATCTGTAAAAATAATTTTAAATATACATATTTTGATATTTTTTATATAATACTATTATTGAATCATCTTTTCCTTGAAACTTCTTTCCCTTTCAACTGTTAATGTAACAGGTTTTAATTAAACAGCCCTAGCAATCACTTTCTATTCACTTTGTTCTATGATTGTAGGTTTAATTTCAGCTGGTTTTATCTATTTTACTTGAACCTAAGGAACAGTAATTTATCTTGAGATGTAATAATAAAACATTACATAGCACAAATTGTTGGTTACAGAATTGTAGGCTTGATTTTGGGTTATTCGATTTCCTTCACGACAAGAGGAAGTACCTTAGGTGGACTTAAAGGCATTCCTATCTTTTACTCTAATTGTGATCTTGGGTTGTATGATTCTTCTTCTAAAAATGCCTTGATCTTCTCTTTAGCAGATTTCTTTTTAGCCTTGATTGTAATGTGAAGGTCATTGTATTTTTTGTTTTAGAAATAACTTATTATTAATATGATCGCCATTAATACCTAATTATTTTCCTCTTGATGTTTCCAGCAATCTCATAATCAGAGGTCTTGAAAATCCCGTACTTTAATCCTTAATCTACACATTTTATATTAATTAATACATATAAACAACTCTTCAATTCTGATGTTTTATAAGGCCTCCAACTTGTCACTATTAAAATTCTCCGGCAAGAATCTCATAACCACAGTGATCTCATTTTTATTGGCCTGTTTATCTATTTATTTGAGTTAAGCAAACTAATTAATAATGAGATAAACTAATACCTCTATATTATCTCCTAATGCTTTTCTGTATTTGTGAGATGAAGTCACTAGATTGTAATACACATACTAAGCTCCTTTGTCATCCTTCATTCGTATTATGATTGATAGCTTGCCTGCATAGCTGCCAAGCTAAACTCGTTTAAACTATATGAAGTGCTTATCCTTAAACCGCAATTCATAAAATTGTATACTATTCATCAAAAAAGTCATTTAAGTCTAGATTGTCCACGGCTTCCTCATCGACATCCAAAATTATTATTGTTTTTTATGATTCCCACTCTTGATCTACTCTATTGCTATTTATTGTTTTCAATCTTACTTTTTCTAAAATGGTTTTGGCTCCAGCTTAATGATTTAATTGCATTCGGAATCAATTACCATCGAGAGAACATCCTCAACTCTTAATCGTTTTTAACGAATCTATTCACACATGACACTGGATTCCCCCGAACTCTCATCATAAGACGAATCAGGTCTTGAATAACGCTGTTTCTCAATGTTGTTTAGACTTTTTAATTGTGATCCCACACTCACTAATTTATTTCTACACATTTAAATAATATCGATACGCATTTTCTTATTGAATCGTGAATTCTGTCTGAAGTCCCTAGTTTAGAAATTGATTCCTGCGAAAATCGACCAATTATTTTGTAAGTTGATACATTATTATTATTTATATCAAAACTATTTTTAATAAACACCCTTTTAATAATTCTAATACTTCAAATATCTTAACTTATACAACCTATAACTTCCATAAATGCAGTACACTAGAAAATAAGCTTAAGTTACCTAAAGCCAGAACTCCAACCAAAAATAAACCAGCTCCAATCCATAACCAATGTTCATTCTTAGTAGTTAGAATTGGTTATTGGATCTGGATCTCTATCACCTTTGATACCTCATCATTCTCTAACTTATAGAAATAAGATCATTACACGTTATCTCTAATTCGTATACTCCTGACTTATGATAAACTTAAGGATAACATATTAACTCAGGGTTAAATGTTGAGTAAGAAACCTAATACAAATACTGACGAGTCAACACATAATTTTTGTTCTTCCCAATACTCATGTCGAGTATTTACCTCGGATTTGCCATTAAATTATATCTACAATCAATATCCTTAAAATTACAGCTTTATCTCATCATCTTCCTACTCAAATACGCCAAAGTTGCTGATGGCAATGACCACATCTTGCTTATTGAGATAATACAATTTTTGTGTGTTCTTAATCTCATATACAGTTTCTGAACCATCATATTTTATTAATTGGGTAAGAGTTGCTATGTAAATATCTTCATTCTCTGTCATCAAAATTGATGTTAGATTTTAGTATAATCTTTTAAGAATGACCTTCCTTTTATAAACAAATTAATCGAGGATAAATTTATAAATATAAATAGCACTTGTTTAATTTTGTGTTGCTACGAACACTAAAGTTTTGTTATTTATTATTCTAAATACTTCAATTGAATTGATGTTTAGAGAGTCTATTACTTCTTAAAAATTAAAAAACAACTATTTTCCTTGTAGGACAATATATCTCTCCTAGATTATTTATATATCCTTTATATCCTGAAGTTCATATTCAGTTACATTCTCTAAGAATTAATCAATCATTACTTAAATTCTGTATTACATATAAATGCTGACTATCGAAGCAGTATACAGCAACACTTTAAGAGTTGGATAGCATTCTACAATCTTTGAATTCAAATTTAGGCAAAGTTAACAAAATATTCTACTCTTCATTTAATATCTATCCTTTGGAATTCAATATTATAAGAGATTGATCTTCTGCCTTTGTGAAGGCAATTGCATCAGTTTAAAATTCTGTTTTGCTTAATATATTTTCTACTATTTATTGTTATTGCACATAACAAAATTGTGTGGCATCTCCTTTTAATGTAAGTTTGGTTCCTACCAATTTATGCATTCATTACCTAGTGAATATTTTTCAGAATAATATTCAAGAGTTTCTAATTCGATAGAAAAAGTATAACCAATCAAAAAAAATGGAATTGCAATTAAAAATTACATAAAATTAATTCATGTTGTTGAGAATTGGAAAATAATATCATTTTAGTCAAATAACAAGAATGAAATAAAGAAAAAGAAGCCATATTAAGTACTTTCCCACCCCAATCATAGAGGTAAAAATTACGAATTTATTTAGGGTCAATATGGTGTAGTTCCAGCCAGAGCAGTACCTTCACATATTCAAAGGCCAAGCTATCTAAGTATGAGAACAATTAAATCTAATAGGTGAAACTAAGCCTATTTATGGGATATATGAAGGAGCACCTGTGGTTCATAATTACGATATGATCCAAAGTAAACTACATGATTTAAAAATAGAATTGAGGAAGGCAGCGTAAATAGCAGCGTAAACTGCCTATGTGGCATAAAAGTCGGTGAAATAGGGAATGACAACGGATGATTTGGATAAGATAGTTCACGAATTCATAATTTCCTAAAATGCATATCCTTCGCCAATAGGATTCATGGGTTTTCCTAAGAGTGTTTGCACATCAGTAAATGAAGTGTGTTGTCATGGAATACCGAATCTTAGACCTTTGGACGGTGGGGATTCCTTAAATATCGATGTGACTATTTTCTACGATGGAGTGCATGGAGATACTAGTGTTATGGCATAGGTTCCTGATATGAATCCAGAAATTACTAAATTAATAGATACAACTTAAAAAGTTATAAATTATTTGCACAAATAGAATAGGCCCTTTATGAAGCGATTAAAATTTGTAAGCCAGGATAGAAGTTCAGTAAAATTGGAGATATCGTTGAAGAAGTAGCTGCAGATGAAGGATTCACAGTTTGTGAATTATTTACAGGACATGGCATTGGTGAATTGATGCATATGCCTCCTACAATAATTCATAATTGTAATTTAATATTGAATATACATATGTAGTCAATGATTATCCAGGAGTGATGGTTCCAGGAAATGTATTTACGATAGAACCTATTCTCTTGATGCGCCATGGTTAATATTCAATGTGGAAGGATAATTTTACTGTTGTTTCTCCAGATAATCCTAGTGGTATTGTAAACTTATCTACTGTAGCTCAATGGGAACATATGGTTTTAATAACGGAAAATGGGTATGAGGTTTTGACAAAGAGAGAGGATGAGACTGGTATATGACTTATATTTTAATAATTATTTTAATGAAAGTGTCCCTACAAGATTTCGGTTTTCATTAGCCCAATGCTCCTGAAGTTAACACCCCTAGGTCTTTGGAGGCGTGTAGAAGAGAAGGGATTAGTCCTAGTGAGATTGTTAAAGTTTCATTCGAGGAGTATCAAAAAAAGTACAGACTATCCAATTTGGATGCTAAGGGAATAGAGACTTATTATAAACATTTTGAAGAGAAGAGGGAAGAAAAATATCGAGATCTTATCAAATAAAGACATATAGTTTTGGAGGATGAAAAGACAGGTAAAATAGTGTAACAATTATAATTAGGATTGTGGAGTCAGGATGGATTAGGCAAGAGCAAAATGATTTCTAAATATTCCTAATAAGATGCTTCATCTTTGATTGAGAAAGAGAAGTAATAAATTGAGAAAATTAAGAAGAAATAGCAAAAAGAGATTGAAAATATGCTGGAGTTTGAATTGAAATTACAAGAGATTAAGGAATAAAATGAAAAGAAGATGCAGGATGAGAGGACGAAGTAGAAATAGAGAGAATTAGAATTGGAGAAGAAAAGAGCCTAATAGGAGGAAATCAAGAAATAAAAGGAGTTGCAGAAATAATAAAAAAAAGAACAAGAGGAATAGGCATTGAAGGATAGAATGAAATTACTTGAATCTAAGGAACAAGAACGTATTAAATAAGAGGAATTAAAACAAAGATTAAGAGAAGAAGAAACCAAAAGAAAAGAGGATGAAAAGAAGGCATAGTAAGAAAAACTAAGAAAATTAAATGAGGAGAACATTAAATTATAATTGGAAGCATTAGAAAAAAGAAAATAAGAAATGGATGAGAAGACTGAGTAGAGGAAGAAAATGATGGAAGAACAAAAAGAAAAGAAAAAGCAAGAGGCTGAAAAAGCAAGAATTGAAAATGAAGAAAGAATTAGATAAGCTAAAGAAAGAAATGAATAAGAAGTTCTAAGAGTTAAAGAAGATGTTGAAAAAAAATTATAAATTAGTGAATAAAAACGATTGTAGTTTGAGGAAGAAAAGAGAAAAAAATTAGAATAGTAAAAAATTGAAGCTGAGTAACATGCAGAAATGATAAGGAAAGTCATTGAATAAAATGAATAAATGGAATTGGAGAAAAAAAAGGAGTACTTAAAAAAAATAGATGAGGCTGAAGAAAGAAGAAAATAATTAGAAAAAGAATAGGAAAGAGAGAAGGAGAAAAAGAGATAAGAAGAACATGAGAAAGAATAATAAAGACATTAAGTATTATTATAAAACGAACAAAGGTAAAAAGAGAGAATTGAAGAATTCTTGAAAAAGTTTTAAGATAAGGATGATAATTTATAAAAAATTCAATTTGAAAGATCTATTTAAATTACGGATAAAAGAAATTAAGATACATTAAAGAGAATTGATAAAAGAGATAATGTTGAAAGAATCATGAAAAAATAAGAGTATGATAGAATGAAATTATAAGAAAAATTAAATGAGAAGATGGAAAGAGCTGATAAAATATAAGAAGATTTGGAATAATTGCTATTATAAAGATAAAATATGAGAAGGGAAATTGATAAGCAAAAAAGAGATCTTTTATTGAAATTAGAGAAAATTAGAGAAGGAAAGATTCCTCCTTCTGAAATTCAAAAGCAATTTGGTATTACAACTACTGATTTAAAGTCATAAACTTAAGAAGAATAATAAAATTATGCCAGAAAATCATAATCTTAATCAATTAATAAAAGTAATAAAAAACTAATGACTTTAACTAAACCTTTTAGTACTGTAAGATCATCCAAAGGCTAAGATAAACTTCCTGAAATTAATTCATCATCCCCATAATTATAAGAATTATAGAATAATCAATTAAAAACTATAGAACAAGCATAATTACAATAATAACCAGATTAACAATAATGTAAATAATTTATTATAATGATTAAGAACAAAAAAAATCTCCAAAAAGAACTAAAAAATAAGAAATAGTCCAATCAAAACCAGCTGAGCCACCAAGTCCAGAAGTGTTATTTGAATTAAACTAAATAATTTAAAGATAAAATCAGGAGATAATGAGAGTCTTTATGGAGGAATAGGCAAATGAAAATAGAAGAGATGATAAATTGAGAAATTGTAAATCTGAAAATAGGGCAAAATTAGAAAAGCTTTAAAGTTTAGAGAGATAAAAAGCCCAATAAAGGATTCAAAGGCTCTAAGAATAGCATTAATATGAATAACAGTAATTTAAATTAGCTCACAATGTAATAGACTGATTTTATTTAATATTTTAGTGGAGAAAATTAATATATTACTTTTTAATTATTATTAAAACATATTTTCTTCATTAGCAACTAGAACTATATTTTTATGAAAGAAAACTGCCTAATAGTTTATTTGTTATTAAATTAAATGAAAAATTTAAATAGTTAAAATACTTAATCTTCTTATTAAACAGATTTTTATAAACTACAAACAAGTAAGAAGAACAAATATATTCTTTATAAATCGTTTTATATTCTATTTATGTTAAATTAAAGTTAGATATTAATAAACTAAGAAGATCTTAGTCAGAATAAGGTTATATCAATTAAATAAAAATAATAATTGGAATAACTAACGCATTCTGATTTTAATTTCTAAAGTTTTCTTTTAAAATTTGCTATCTCAAGTTTGTAAAAGATACTCTTAAATTGGGATTGGTAATATAGGTAATAAAAACTCATTTTACATTTTATTAATTTAAACTTACATTTTGTTCTTTATCCTTTTTATAAAAAATTAAATTAGAAATAAATCAGATTGGTTTATGATATTAATTTAATTAAATGGGGTGTGCATGTTAATGTTTATCAATTGCATCCAAACAAAAGTAAAATAATTGTGATGAAGAAAGTGAATGCAACTCAATTAAAAAGCCAATTTTTGAACATCCAAGACCGATTTTAGATTCTGTGAGTTCGATTTCCTCGTATTCTGATGAATATTCTTCTCGCCCTTTGCAAACTGTTGGTTAAATATAAACGTAGGATTGGATTTACCTAAATCAGAGTGATAATAAATACATGGAAAGAAGAGTTAATAGGAGGTTAAATGAAAACAGCTTGAGTCCACTCTAAAAGGAACATCTAAATACTTTTTCGGATTTGTCTGTAGAATTGATTGCTGAGGATCAAGTAAAATTGATAATTCCAACCAAAATCAAAAGGTGTTTGAATAGAAGAAGGGTTACTTCAAAGGTAGATTTATTGAATAAGGTAAAATAAATGAAGTACCAAGAAAAATTTAAAAGAAGAAAGACTTGAAGATCATATTTTGCATTTTTTAATAATTCAATCTCTCTTAATAAAATGATGTGTTATTTATTGCTACACCTTTTTTTGTCTGAGCAAACCGAAGTATAACTCTGGATACATAATTAAACCAAATCCAAAGAAACTAATGAAGCCGGTTTGAAGGGGTCTTGATTTAATTCCTTTGACGGCTACTCCAATAGCCAAATTAACAACTGAGAGTCCAACCAAAAGATTAAATCTTGACTCAGGCTTTAAGTTGGTCACAATATCTGTCTTAAGTCCTTAGCTGGATCAATAAAAATACTTGTTAATTCCTCTCCAAATTCATTTAGTGGTTGATTAATTAAATCAAAATAACCCATAAATAATTATAATAATGAAATATTAATTTTACAAATTATTCTTTGAGTTAAATTCTGTTATACAATGCAGGAAAAGTAATCAAAAATAAAATTACATTCTTCTTAATATTATCCCCAGAATATTAATCATGAATTTTTGATAAAACCAATCAGAGTTATCTCGAAAAAGTTAATTATTAATTTATTAACGGAAAATATGAATAAAACAAGATCAAGTTTTGCTACTTTACGAACGAAAACTCAAATTAATATGGCTAGCCAAGGAACCCTTCCTTGTCCATCACATCCTTCATTTAACATCTCCCACGTTTGTTTATGTACGACTTGCACATAATCAATTTCATTTTGTTCTGAATGTCTCTTTGAAACCTAGCATCAACAACACTTAGCTAAACATAAAGAACATATCGTCGGATGGAATGACTTAATGATTCTTTGTAGAAGGCAAAGTGTGTCAGGCAGATTGGGAGACGAGCCTTAAAAAGAATTGAATCAAATAGTGCTTTCCACCCAGGCTCATCAAGCTAGCTTTAAAACATATATCAAAAATTAGGAATAATTGATTAACAATGATTTTGATGGATTAATTACTAAATTTACAGAAATGATTAATAAAGTTAAGGCTGAATTTATGGCTCCATATAAAAACTATTTGTAAGATCTAATGGATATGGGAACTATATTGGAAAAATTAGTATCTGATTATTATTTAGAGAAAAATAAGGATTACAATAACGATTATGATAATTTCTTAAGTGAAGTTAGCAAGTTATAAGAACAGCAATCTTCTAATAAGAAAACCGATTAAAATCAATTTAATTTGAGAAAATTAATGTAGAATATAATACCTTTGGTAAGCAAGGCAAATGGTTAGTTTTAGAGAGCACTGTAATAATAAAATTTGAATGTAGAGGAGGGAGAATCTCAAAAGTCAGGATATTCATTATTCAGTAATATGGCATTGAAGCAAAGTGATAATTAAGTCTTAAATGATTTGGTGAATGACTATAAAGTATTGTTAAACAGTAGACCTTGTTATAAAAATTAAGGATTAGCCTAATAAACATACAATGGAATGTAGGAGTTAATAGATAAATGCTATCACTCTTTAACTTAAGTAGACTTTATGTCTCCAGGCTATAAAAGTTAAATGATTAAAATGAACAAAGAAAATATCAGTTTAAAGCAATAACTGGCCTCTCCAAAAGGTACTAAATACTTGGAAACTATCATTAAGGAATAGAGCACTAAAACATTAAAATAGTTAACTAAATTAGAGGAAGATGAGGACGAAGTAAGAGAAATGCAATTAAAGCATAGATTGAGATAAACAACTTAATTAATTATATCAGATCCACTAGCATCAATCTCATTTGTGAAGACGATCAAAACAACTCATAAATAGGGTATTAATTGTATGGTCCAATTTGATGATGATTTTATTGCTACTGGTTCAAATGATAGGACAGTCAAAATATATAGATATAGAGTTTATGAACTATTTAAGGAAATACAATTTAAGAGTGATGTGACATCCTTGGCTGTTTAAGTAAGAAAGGATGGTTCTTCTTTTTTAATCGTTGGTTTATTTAAGGATATTTGCATTTTGAATCAAGGCTTCGAAGTACTTAAGTCAATTGATAGAATTCATAATGGTTAAATAAATTCTATTGTTTGTTTAGAAGATGCAACTACAATATTCAGTTGTGCACAAGGTGATAATAGATTACTATAATGGAATACTTAGAATGATCAATAAAAAAAATATTTTGAGCATAGAGATTCTATTACATGTATGACATTACTTGGAGATCAATATATTGCATCAGGTGGAAAGGATAGAAACATAAAAGTGTACAAATAGACATACACAAATAACGTGTTTGAAAAATTGTAATTGTCTATGAGTTTGTCAGATGCCCATCCAACTGAAGTCACTAGTTTAGCTTATGGTGGAGGAAACATTCTTTATAGTAGTAGTGCTTCAGGGGAATTAAAGGTTTGGGACTTCATGGATGGAACTATGATTAAACAAGTTAAAAACTATGCTGGATGGTGTTTCAGAATAATCAACTTCTAATTAGAAGAGGAACAGAATCCATAATAGAAGACTTAACTGTAAACTTCAATTCCATTATGTGGATCACCAAGAAGAAAGAAGTAGCCATCAAATGAATATGAATGCATTAAAAACAGCTTCATTGGTACTGTGAGTTTTGATGGCACTTTCAAAATATTCAATGGCAAAGCTTTGTTAAATGATAAGTAATAACATTTAATTAAATTATTAGTCCATAACCTATGATCACAACTCAACTGAAATCTTTGCATGATTGTCATCCATTTGGAGGAGTGTTGGCTATTAGAGATAGTATCACTGATAAGATTGATGTATTGAGTAGTGGCAACAAGAACGATTGCAATATTTAGTTGTATAGTTTAGCATAATCATGAGTCAGTTTATATTATATACTAAGTTTACACAATTTTAATTAAATTTATGAGAAAGATATTATCCTCAGCAATTGCCATAACTCTTAGACGTACTCCATTAGTAGTTCCATAACGTACATAACGAATAGCAGCTACTTTAATCTCTCTTCCATTAATAAGATATGGCTTTTAAGTACAAGATCCAAATAGATTAGACTCTAAATCTTAATGATGCCTATGAAGTTTCAATTGAGGATAATCTCAATGAAGGTGAAATGAGAGAAGTCTAAGTGGGTCCAAAAAAGGAAGATGCTGTTTTAGTATGCAAAGTGGATGGGCAGATCTATTGTGTTTCTAATTCATGTCCACATGTAGGAGCCCCCCTTTCTGCTGGATTCTTGGTTGGTGATAAGGTCAAATGCCCATTTCATAATGCCAGTTTTTCAGTTAAAGATGGTGTGCATGAGGAAGGACCTATGTTTAGAGGATTATAAACATTCCCTGTCAAATAAGAAAATGGATAATTAGTTATAAGAGTAGAGAAATAATTATTAAATGCTCCAAGAACATTGAATATGGTGACAAAAGGAGATGATCCTACACATGTTGTGATTGTTGGAGGAGGGTATGATTATCGATTAAATATATCAGAGTATCTGGTTAGAGTGCAGCTGAGACACTTCGTTAGGCTGGATTCAGAGGAAAGATTACTCTTATTACAGCTGAAGATTCATTACCTTATGATAGAACACCTATGAGCAAGATGACATTTTTTGGTTAAATAATAGGGTTTTGTAAATAAGACCCCAATAATTTTATGAATAGTATGGAATAGATGTATTGACCAATACTACAGTTGAATCAATAGATATTAATAACTAAGATGTTGTAGTAGGAAAGGAGAAAATTCATTATGATAAATTATTGTTGGCCACAGGTGGTACTGCTCGTAGACCTCAATTAGATGGAGTCAATTTAGGAAATGTTCATACTTTGAGATAATTCAATGATTTAGAATCTATAAGAGACAAGGCAAAGACAGCAAAAAACATAGTTGTTGTTGGTGCTTCATTTATTGGTATGGAGACAGCTTCAGCTATCAAAAAGGAATTTAAAGATCAAGTCAATATCACAGTTGTTGATAGCACTACAGTACCATTTGAAAGAGTTCTTGGTAAAGAAGTTGGAGGATCTTTATAGAAATTACATGAAGCTAATGGAGTTGAATTTGAATTGAATGCTGGAGTCAAAAGAATTGGAGGAGTAGGTTAAGTATAAAGAGTTGATTTACTTAATGGAAAATCATTATAGGCTGACTTAGTCATTTTGGGAACTGGAATTCAGCCAAATAACAAATTGGTTAAAGATCAATTAAAAATATCTCCAAATGGTGGTATTGAAACAGATGTGTTCTTGAAGGCTGCCAAGAATGTTTATGCATCAGGAGATATCTCAAGTTATCCATATTGGGCCACTGGAGAACATGTCAGAATTGAACATCAAAATGAAGCTGTAAGATAAGGGTAACATAATTGATTAATAATATTAGATATGTTGCTGCTTTGAATATTTTAGGTAAACCAACACCTTTGACAGATGTACCATTCTTTTGGACAAGATAATGGGATAGAACATTAGCTTATAGTGGAGTTGGCTAAGGATTTGATGAAGTTATTGTGGATGGAGACTTAACTCAATAGAAGTTTGTTGCTTATTACGCTAGAAAAGGACGTGTTGTAGCTTCTGCTAGTATGAACACTCCAAATGTATTTTATATTTAAATCATTTTTAGGCTTAAATGATTATATCAGAAGCATTAAGATTGAATGTTATGCCAAGTGCTGAAGATTTGAAGGAGAAGAAAGTCAGTTTAGATGATATTAAGAAGATTGTCTTAAGCAAAGGATCATCTTGCCATTGCAAACGTGCTGGATAGTGTTAGGCATAATTGTGAGTATGAAGTTAATAAATAAATCGAAATTAATTAAAATAATAATAAAACGTGTTAATGAGACACATTATTCTCATGTTGATCACGCAATGTTTTGCTGCTAATATTGATGTTTAGATCTCATACATAGATGCCCCCTTGATCAACATACATTGGTGTAGTGATACAGTCTTGGCACTCACATCCAAAGGATCTGTATATAGAAGTGATGATCGCGGTAGACAATGGATTAAAATGTCAGAGATATTTCATAGAAAAGCACTCATATAACTTGAAAATTCAGATGAGAGAATCGGAATTGTAAATAATTTGGTTGCAAGTCCTGTTGATAAATAATTAATATTATTTACAGGAACAGATCAAATAGCTTGGATTTCCCTTGATTGTGGTAAAACAATAACAGCAGTTAATGCTGGAAAATAGTTGCGAGAATATCAATTCCATCCTCTGGAAAAAGATTGGATTATTGCTTCAGCTTGGAAATAATGTGGATCAGATGAGCTGTTAGCAGGAACACCTTGTGTTTCTTATAAGGAACTTCTCCTGAGTTAAGACACTGGAATTACATGGCATTCAATTGCGACTTATGTAAATCAATTTACTTGGGGTATCAAAAACAAAGAAATGGCTAAATATACTCCTAAGGAACGAATTCTAGCATCATTCGAACCATAAGGCAAAGGACATCAATCTATAAGCAGTTGGAATATGGATTACAATTTATATTATAGTGATGACTTTTTCCAAACTCGTACTCTGAGTGTTCCGGCAGGTTCTAGATTTATGCTCACTGAGTCTTTCTTATTTGTTGCTAAAGTCACTTCCTAAGCAACATAAGAAGTCAGTCTATATGTCAGTGGCACTGAATTAGGGTAATACAAATATAGTGTAATTGATGCAGATTCGAAACTATTAGAACATTCCTATAGCATATTGGACACTTCAGAAAATCAAGTGTTTATGGTGGTCAATCATCTCAAACCATCTTCCCCTTTGGGAGTTATTTATATTAGTGATTCCACTGGTACTAGATACTCTAGATCTTTGGAGAATGTGTCAAGATTAGAAAACAGCGCTGAGTTTTACAGAGTGTAAGGATTGGAAGGCATTTATTTAGCTAATGTTTATGCTGAAGATCAAGCTAAGATTTACACCAATTAAGTATTTGAATCTATGGAAGAAGGTTTTTATGCTTAACAAAATGGATTCAAAGATGAAGATCTTAAAAAATACAAACAAACCAGGATTACTTTCGATAAAGGAGGATAATGGGTCCCTTTGAAGGTATTATATTGATTTTCTATTTTTATTAGCCTCCAACAGTTGATGCTGATGGAAAACCAATCAATTGCAATAAGTGCTAATTACATTTGCATCTTAGTTAAGCATTTTATTAATTCGCACCTATTTACACTGAAACCAATTCCATAGGTATTATTGTCGCAACAGGTTCTATTGGAAAGTACTTAAGTTATAGATAGGATTAAGTTAATACTTATCTGAGTAGAGATGGAGGGTTGACTTGGATTGAAATCAAAAAAGGATCATACATATATGAAATTAGTAATCATGGAGGATTGATTGTTATGGCTAAAGATCAAGAAACTACTAATCAGATTGTCTATTCTTGGAATGGTGGTATGGAATGGACTCCATTCAATATTTTGGATTAGAAGGCAGAAATTCAAAATATCATCACTGAACCTTAAAATAAAGGATCTAGATTTATTGCTTATGGAGCTATTTAATTAGAATCTAATGGCATCAAAACTGAGTAGGGTTTATTGGCAACTATTGATCTGGATGAATTACATCAAAGAAATTGTATTGGATAAGACAAAGCAGGGGAAATTGGAAGTGATTATGAATTGTGGACCCCTTCTGGCCTTGTCAATCCAGAGTGTTTATTTGGTAAAAAGGTTACTTATATGAGAAAAAGAAGAGAAGCTGCTTGTTACAATCCAGAATAATTGGAAAGAATTATGAGTGTTACTCCATGTTAATGCTCTTAAGAAGATTATGAATGCGATCTAGGATTTGTTATGACTAATTAATAATGTACTCCAATCAATGGTACTTTAAATATTGATCCACCTGCTTAATGTGACGAATATTATACAGTGTCTAGTGGATATAGAAAGATTGCAGGAGATATTTGTGAAGGGGGAGTTGAGCATATTTCGATGAGATTCACTTGTCCCAATAATAAGAATTGGATATTTGATTGGTTGGTCATCGGTGGAATCTTGTTTGGATTATATTGGCTTTACAATAATCAAGAGAAAGTAAAGGAATTCTTTGCTAGAACAGAGATGCGTGAAATACCATAGTCCAAATAAGAAGTAATATAATATCATTTATAGTTAGATGTTGATCCAATAGATTTAATAAAGGTAGCCAAAATAATAATAACAATAACAATAACAATAACAATATTAACCAATTGATTTAGAATAGAATGAATAATAAGATTAAAAGTTTGATGAAGATTTGATTGAAAGAGATGATGATGTATAAATAGAAGATGAAACAGCTCATGAGTTGATTTGAATATTTGGGTATAAATTAATTTAATGACTATTAATGGATTATTGATACCTAGTAAATTTATTCTAGTTTCCTGTCATTTCATTACATCGCTAATGGCTTATTATGGAGCTGTATCCAACTCCTCATCTATTAGAAAGAAAACATCTTGGCTAATTTTCAACTCAAAACATATGACACCAATTCCGATGCATACACTACAGCCTATAATTCCATTGTCTCGTGCATCATAATTGGAATGATTGGTCTGGGTATCGAAATGATATTCATTATAACTGGAATTACCATGTTCTATGATACCAGCAATTTTTTAAGTAAAAGTTACTTAATTTCAATAAGTTATCTGTTTACACGCAGTTGGTATCATAGTTTACAGCGAGTTTATTATAGGAGCATGGCCTTACTACGAATTATGGTATTATTGGGCAGCATTTATGTAAACTATTCGAAATGACTTATAGTTTGTTACCAGTTTTATTAGAGATAGTGGCAACTTGTTTTGGGAACATTCTGTACGGAACAGCTTTCAAAAGAAGGCTATCAAGAAAAGGGAATTGATCATACATGATTATTAAATATCTATGAAATGGAATCACAAATATATATCTCATAAATATTTAAATGTAAAATCAGCAACATCTCATCAGAGAAATTTATCTAAAGGATAAATCAAATGCGTTCCTCAGACAATAATGGGTTTAAGTCTTCGACTCACTTTTACCACTACCATAAACCACTCTAATTGTTGATACTCTTTAGAAGATCGATACCCTCAAACATATATAAGAATTATTGTCGAAAACTAAAGCCATCACAGTGATATCAGACACGAGTGAAGCCAATTACAATTGGTGTAATTTGGTCAACAAAAACTTCGAAGTTATTGTTGCAGATCTACGTGCAGAAACTAAATTGAACTCGTATTAATACATTGGCATAAAATGGGTATGTATATGTGTTATTCTTAGTTATTAACAACAAAGGCCCAATTGGTGATAATATCAAACGATATAATATGCGAACACCTAATTAATTGTTTTAACATTGCTTATGATAACATTATTGAAATTCCTTACTTGCAAACCCAATAAGATGAATTATTTTTAAGCATACCTTACGACTAAAAACTGACATATGTGTTATAATAGATAAAAAACTCTAATTCCGAGATTGATCGGGACATATTAGTATATTGTGAATCTTTGTACCAAATGGATTAAATATACTAAGCAATCTACTTTCATAATTAATTATCAGAATCAGAGGAATTCGAAGTGCATCAAATCATACCATTCTAATCGTACTATGAATAATTTGGTTAACAATTGTTGGAAATGGTATATCCATAACAGAAGGGAAAAAGAAAGGTATTTTTGACACTAAATTACCAATAACTACAAAAGTATTTGTAAAATGTTCAACAAAAAATATCATTAATCATTCATATGGGTTATTAGACTACAGTCAAGAAATTCTTAGAAGAAATCAATGCCATAGTTTATAAATAGTACAATCTCAGTAGACATGATATCATCATTCGTAACAGAATTAGTTATTTTCCTAAAATCATTTATTTATTTGGATTTGACGAGTTCAAAGATTTAAAGGAACATAAATTGATTTTTGATGAAGAATTCACTTTCAATCCCCAAAATATCAAATTCTATGCCTAACAATTCAATGTCTAAATTGATTAATTGTAGAATGTAGTCGAATCAGAATATAGTTCTTTGTAAAACTATATTCCACTGATATATTATGAACCATTATTGGAGGCAGAGAATGAGACCTTTCATTATTACAGCAGTGTTGTCTCCACTCTTTTGACAGATGGAGAAATACTATCAGAAGGCAATGTGGAAAGTAAAAAGAATCCCTTTAAGAGTTTCCAAATTCATCAACAAAGGGAATCAATAATTAGATCAAATCATTATTGGTCAAAGATGGGAGATATTACTTCATGGATTTAATTAATAAATAAATTTATCATTTTTATTGAAGATATCAATTCCAAAGATGATGAAAAAGAATAAGAAAATTCTAAAAATGAATTAATAAAATGGTGTAGATTATAAAACATCAACATTCCTAAAATGATATTGATTCTAGCCTATAATGAATACATAATAGATTTAACTTAAAAATATGTATTAATATCTCCTTATTTAGGTCTCCGAATACTCAGTCATTAATAAATGTTGTTCACTTGATTAATTAAAATTGAATAGAACTGTCTCTTTAAAGAAACAATAATCAATGCCAGAACATTCAGAAGACATATAAGCCTGCTTATTAAGGCTATTTTATAAAGGACTAAGCATCTTTAGTGGACATAAGAGTGCTGGTTACTATAATTATGTTGCGAATCAGAAATTTAAATTATGCTATAACAATTTGATGGCTATCATTGGAGACTTCCCTCTAACTTGTATAGTTATGGCTTTGTTGTAAAAGAATCAGTAATATGAAATTAAATATTCTACCAAAATAGATGACATTATGATACCTCAATTAGCACCTAAAGCATTTGTCAAAGAACATAAACTACAATTCATCTAGAGATAATCCTTACATTTGAATGAAATAACCTTTAATGGCATTGGTCAAGTTCTATTTAATGAATTATGGAAACATCAATCAGGTCCACAATTATCTTAGGATTGCATTTTACAACCTAACATCGAGATGAATTGTATTACAGTGTTGTATGATCCTAATGTGGCCAAAAAGGAGATTATAGAATAGGAGTTGAATAGTAGAATTAAAGAATTGCAGAACTTTTACAGAAATTAAGTCAAAGAAATACCTTATGAGAATGATTCTAAATTTATAATGCAAGCGTATAAATATATAATAATCATAATAGTGGTGGAAGCATGAAGGATTGGATTGAAAAAAGTGCTTACAAGACTTTCTTCATAGAAGGCCTACCTTTAGATATTACTCAGGAATTGCTATAAGAGTTCTTGTAGGAAGTGATTATTTCAGAAATGAAGCTGTATAAAGAGGGCGATAAAATAACAGCCAGAATATCTCTATAAGATCATGATGATTTACTTTTTTGTTTGGAGAATATCAAAGAATACAAGGATAATTAATTGAAGGTTTATACTCAACAAGATCAATTTGAACATAATGAAGAAAAACTACTTTTCAATGAGCATTACAAAATAATCATAACATGGAACTTACATTTAAATAAAGGTATTGCTATTGTCAAATTGAATTCTCCACACCTATTTAATACAGAAGAATTTGAAACAATATAACATCTGACATATAAGATGAATCTTAAAAGTGTTTACGAGGATGAGTAAACAGTATTAGCAGATTTAAAATAACAACATAAAGATATTGATATAAAATCAGTCACAATAGATAAATAATTAAGATATGAAAATAATGGAGATCTCTAATTAGAAATACAAAAACTATTATCTAATATTCCTCAAGACAAATATAAAATAGACTCGATTACAAAATAAAATTGTAAAAGAATTTTGACTCTCAATGTTTATGACAAAAATATTATGGAATAATTTATTCTCTTACATAATCAGATCAAATAATTTAGAGGGTTGAAGGTCTAATTAAATGTAAAGCCTTTGTATTACCATGATTACGAAGGACCAATTGAAATGAAATAAATAGTAGAGGAAATATTTGATGAAAAGAAACTTAAACTTGGTTAATATACTATTACAAGTGACGATGAACTTAAAAGAGTGAAAGTTACTATTGAATGTTGGAACAAATAGGATCATGAATAATTGAACAAAGAAATATAGGATGCATTCACTCCAAAAATAATTAAGTCTTCATAAGATTTTGACATCACAGTTATATTTAGTTAATCTGGTACAAGATTCCTTAAATTCTAAGAAGAATCTTTATAAATTCTAATTAGGTAGGATTTTATTAATAATCAATTATTTGTAAATAGTTCTTAAATCAAATACAATCAATTAACCAAAGCAATCAAAGAATTTGTATCTGATTGTTCTAAAAGTATAATTTAGATTCCTAAGAATTGCATAAGATTAATAATGGGAAACGATTCTTAAGGACTTAACGAAATCAAGAAGAACTTCGACTTAAAGAGTGTTAAATTCAATAGTATTTCAGGTGAATTACAACTATTTGGTGATTAAAAAAATCTTGATGCAGCTATCATTTCAATTAGTGAAATTATATCTTCTCAATAACAATAAGATAAACCAATCAATGCCTTAACTTGTAACTATTGCTTTGATAATATGAAAAATGGATATATGCTCCAGGGTTGTGGACATAAGTTTTGTCTTTAGTGTATTATGTTCAGCATTCAAAATTCATTGGGAGATATGACTTAATTGCCTATTAAATGTCCATAATGTAATTAAGGAATACTTTTGGCTGATTTACACATTTTAATTGATGAGCCTAGTTGGGAAAAGTTAATAAAATTATCCATCAACAAATGTAATAAATTTAATATTATAATATTAGATTTATAAGATCATGCTGCATAGATAGCTTTTTGTTTGACTCCAAATTGTCCAATAATTCATTTCCAAAAGATTCCAAGATATACCTGTAAAAAGTGCTAGAAACAGTATTGTAATTCATGCAGAGTATTATTTATCATTCATCCTTTAGACTGCCTATCATTATGGATAAACTTGTAGAGAATTCAAAGCTGGTAATGAAGATTCCATTAACATATATATGAAGAAGAATGATGTAAGAAGATGTCCTCATTGTAAAATATTGATTCAAAGAATTGATGGTTGTTATAGAGTTACTTGTACAGGATGCAAAAAAAGTATTTGCTGGAAAAATAAAGCAGATGGTACACCATGTATGGCAATCTTTGAAACATCTTCAGAATGTTATTCACATTTAACCAAAGAACATGGTGGATATTGGTGATTTGAACAATATATATATTTATAGATCAATTTATTTATTTGAGTTTCCTGTCAATTAAGTTTAATAATTAAACTATTTATTTAACTGCTAGTACTAATCATAGAGTTATTATCAATTAAATTCTAAATTGATATTTCAATCGTAGTCTTTATTGTAAATTGGCATTTTAATAATAATCCTAACATTTCAAATTAGCTCAATGCTATAATAGGTGCTTAACCAGTTCTTATTAAACATGTGATATGCAAAGTAGTGTGTTTCATTTAAAATATTGTATATCAAGATTGCATAAACTAATCTAGTACTAAATTCTAGCAATAATAATTTTAAAACCTTTAAATAATCAAGAAGCCATACTGTCTTATATATACTTTCATTTATTTTCCCACTTATATTCAAAAATCTTCTCACTTATTTTTATTCAACTTTAGAGGTGGATTCAGACAGAATTTCAATCCCAAACTCACAAATATTATAAGTATCCTTGACTTTGAATTTTTAATAAAGAAAGAAGTCCTATTTCTTCATGATCAATATTTTTTCTTTTAAATATATTTATCAATTCTAGGCTACTAACTGCAAAATGCATTCCTTTGATTAGAATTAAAAATCTATATACAGCGTTATAATAGTGATATCAGTTGATATAACCGCAAATATATATTGCATTATCTCTAATTGTTAAATTTATATTTCATTTATAAATGTCTGAGGATATCAAGTCTAGAGTCATGAATTACTTTAATTGTCCGTTGGGAGATATACATGAAGGAGAATAACTTAACTTTGTTTGTCTTGAGGCAAATTGTAAAGAAATGGGACTCATCTGTCCTGTATGCAGAACTTAAAAACATTCCAAGCACAAAGTCATTCCATTGAAGATCTTTCTAGCAGATATCTATACTAATATAAATGCTAAGCAAAATTAAAATTCTTTGGATTCCTTACTCGTGCAATTAGATTAATCTCGCTTGAAAATGTTATCCAGTCTTAAAGACATTGTCCAAAAAATGGTTTTGTATGACATTTATGTCTTATCAATAGACAAATAAAATTGCTTGAAGAATAAATCAACTTAAGTTATAAGAATACAAAATAGAGATTATAGGAATAGAATCAAACATAGATGAATTTTCCTCTGTTGTTTTAATAAATCCTAAATACTCAATATAAGAATGTGGAATTATTAAAATAAGATGTACGTAAGATCATCGACAATGTAAGTCAACTCCAACCTGGCAAAATTGAAATTGACTTTAAACCTTAAAAATTGTTTGATTCCTATTAAAAAGCTGTAAATATTCTGTAATTATCATTCTAGTCACAAGAGGCAGTTAATCAATTATAGATGTTATTTACATCGTTTAAATAATCAACTTAAAAAATAGTGAAACCAATTGAAAAGTTTACTTTGCCAGTTGTTAGTCATAATCAAATCAATTTCATTTTTAGTTAAACATTGAAATCGGCGACAATTAATGTTCAAGATTTAAAAATAGCCACTCAATAAGTGTAATAGAATACTGAAAATCGATTTATTTTAATTGAACCATCTATTTAAGATTCATCTAAAATTGCCTTTAAAATTGTAAATTTAACTAATTTCATTGGATTGGGAATTGGTTTGAAGAACGTTCTTCAAACAAAGAAGTAAGAATACGATTTAATCCATTAGCATGAGATTTGATTAATAGTCAATAGGACATGGTTCATACATGGCATCATCAAACGATCTTGTATTTTCACATCACAAATAGGAGGAAAATATGATATCTAAATCTTTTCCATTTGCAACTGGAGATATTGTGATTTTAGATGTCAATTTTGAAAATTAGGTATTTTAATAGATATCTATGTATTAGATAATAAAGTTTAAGAATAAGAACTCATAGAATGAACCAATATCACTTACATTTGACATTCCAGAAAATGATGAAATTGTTTTTTGCGTTAATATGGGTAGTGTAGGAGAAAAGGTGGAAATTTTAGACGATTGGGATTGATTGTAATATAAAAGCAATATTATTTAAATAAATAAAATTTTCATATTCTAAAAACAAATTATAGAATATATGTGATATGATTCTATTTAATCAATTACTTTGACTAGAAGCATCAACAACTTGAATTTTTATTTGGATTGTTTGTTGTTATGATTTCATATAAAAGTAAAATTTTATTATATATTTAACTTAAAGATGTTATTATAAGTTTTAGTAATTAATTATCAGATTTACAAAGAGAGCAATGACCATCTGTATTCCATTTCATCTATGATTTAGGACGAATCAGCTTCTTCACCTTGCATCCAAGGATGAGACTGAATTTCAGGAATCTTTAATAAAATATTTATATATTAATTACTGATAATCTCCGATTTGGATTAAAGGCCAGAAGTTTGACTATAATATCCTTTAATTCAGCTGAAAACTCAAACTAATGCTTCTCCCAAAACTTTCCGATTTATTATCTTAATAATCAATACAAATATTACCTATAGATGAACTAATAATTTGGATCGCACTTAATGTTAGCATTATGAAAAGGACTAGATCCAGCACAAATTTAAAATAAAATAACTCCTAACTAAAACAAATCTGCCTCCACTGGGTGATATGGTTGTCTCAGGTATATCTCTGGAGCTGCAGTTTAAGGTGTCCCAACATAACTATGTTCATTAAAATAATAAATTACTCAGTCACTTTTATTCTTCTTCCCTACTCATCTAAATATTGAACAGCAAATCCAAAATCACAAATCCTCAACTTATATTAATCATCCAATAATATGTTTTCTAATTTTAAATCTCTATGAGCAACACCCATCTTGTGAATCTTATCAATTACTATTAATAATATTTTTGCACTATTACTGAATATCATCTGTTTGAAGAAATTTCTGGCTATGTTTTCTTCCAATCTTGATTATTGTAAGTATTATAGTAAGTTTCCGTACTTAGCATAATCCATCATTATGCACCCTCTTAGTTGACTTTCTCTTATTCTAATTACTCCAGAAATGTGACTCAACTTGTTCATTATACGAATCTCGTTCTCATATAGTTGATCTTTTTAAGCCTTGAACACTTTCAGTGCCATCAATTCTCCAGATCTTGAAACTAATTGGACACTAATTCTCATTTAAAATTAATACTCAGCTGAAATCCCACATCCTATTTTGCTTATTACGCTGTATTCCTCTTCCATTGATGTTTAACACATATTGATAATAAAATTTATAATATTAGAAGATAGGAATTATAATGGCTAAATATTAATCAAATACAATAAACTCAGTAATAATTATATATTATAAGTTTATTCGCCATCATTTCATTATCACAAAAATATTCAACACTACCAAACCAATATTTCTTATAAAAAATATCCATTATTAGATTTCCTCATAATGTGAAAATATTTATTATTAAATTTATTTGCATTAAGACTTTATCTAAATATAGTCACCACATGTTCTTATTATAATTGCTTAATAATATGTATTATAATAATAAAAATATTTATCCATTGATTGCGGAGTGGAGGTTATTCCTCTTCCATTACAAGGAGGAGGCTGCGAGTTATATTCTGGCTTTGATTAAGTTTGTTATTTGTTAATTACTAAATAAAATATACTAATTATTCAATCATATGAAGGCTTATTAAATATCAAGATCATTTTTGACTGAATATAACTTTATTATTATTTGAAGATATCGAAAATTAAGGAATCTATGTTTTAATAACTATGGTTATTAGTTTTTCTCATTAATATACTCCTAAAATCAAAACCCTTGATAACTTATAAATTTCTGAATTAAAAACCTTGATAACTTTTTCCGAATATAAGGAAAATAAAAACGTATCTTCTTTATTGTGCCAATTTCAGATCCATCAAGTAGTAAGGTTCACACGTAATGGCTTGAATTTTTTCATTAATTCATTGGATAATATTGATCCTATGAAGCAACTTGGAGCAACTGTCTCTATTGTAATTCCTGATTTTAATTATTTTTATACTATAAATAAACTACTAGTAAATTTAAACATTCAATATAGTATTTAATATTTTGAAATAAAAAAATAAAAATTTATTTAATAATTCTCAAGTCAATTAACTTTAGGAATATAAGATCTAATCGAAAGACTCATATTTAGAATCAAATCATTTAGATTCTTAGAAGAAATTCAAAATATATGCTTTCATTTTTTAATTTAATTTTAATTAAGCTTAATCATCATGAATATAAGTCTTATAATTTTTCTTACTTTTAATCAAATAATTTATTTTTTCTATCTCTCGAAGTTAACTATTTCTGCCTTTAAGTTATTAATCAGGAATTAATTAACTTCTAATTCTAGGAATTTTATTTTTATTATTAAAAAATTTTTAAATTTTAGTTGTTATATTATATGAGTTAAGCTATAAATATATTATTTTACTTACTAGTCACTTAAAGGAGAAGACGATAAAAGGATAAAATCTTCATCAACTTCGAAAAAATACTTGTTATGTTCTAAAAGTTAAGAATCTTATTTAAAAATGAAAATTTATATCTGAAATTGTTTAATAAATCAATGTTTCGTATATTTGATATTGGTTAATAAATTGTAAACTAACAATATTGAATAATGTTGAAACGCTTTCTTTCTGTAAATAGCCTCTGCAAACAGAGGAGCTAATATTAACTAGATAGGATATCAACAGACAATCTGCAGATTCTTTCTCCTAAGATCTCATCTTCTTGGGGTTTGAAGGAATTATATTTATATAATAATTAAAAGGCAAGTATATTATAACTATAATCTAATCTAAGGAAGGACTGGAAAGATTGATAAATTCTTTGCCAGAGAATAAGGCATGAGTTGCAAATGCAAAAACTCTAATAGCTCCTTGTTCCTTCAAGACTTTAGAGACTTCAGAGAGTGTGCTCTTTGTAAATATAAAACTATGTGTACTGCAGTATCAATCATGTCATCTACTATGATGCAATCCTGAAAATATATTATTAAGGATACATTTGAAATTTCAGTCATTCTTGTAAAAGTCTATTTTGGTTGTAATTATAATAACTGCTAATTTAAATTTTTAAGCAAGTTTATTTAGTCAATAGTAATGTACCACCATTATTATTTTTCATGATGATGCTCTTCTTAAAGCAGATACTAATAATAATAATTCTATTAAATTATCATTGACAGGAGGAGAAGTGGATTGTATGATAAAAACATCTTTTCCTCTAATATTATTGAGAACCTAAGTTATGTATTATATAAACTTAAATTTGGCATTCCCGATATGCAAATTTTCAAGGGTCATACTTCTTAATTTAATATTCAAATATTCAGCAATCTTTAATAATCAATTTAATGGAATAATACCTTCTGCCAACTCTTTATTAGAATTACCGGATAAGATAATAGTATTTTTGCTATGATAGATGTAAGGATATGCTAAAAATCATCTTCAGGTTCTAAAGTCCATTTAAATGCACAATTCAGCCTATCGCCGTATTTCTTGATGTTACGGTTGACTTGTAATCTTAGTTTCTATCTGTAGCAAATAGTTGATAGTAATCTAACTAACATCAGTTGTTTGGCATTATTTCGAAAGATATTATAATGTCTGAAATGAGCTGAAAATCTTTGTAAACATAAAAATAGATATTTTTATTCATCTTTAAACAATAAATAAGATTTCACTTTTATAGATACTATTAATACACATTAGATAATAAATTTTAAGATTTAGAAGTATTATATACAATAATTACATAATTCAATTATTAGTTTGATAAAATAAAATAATATAAAAAGTCTTATTTAAATATATTGATTTTGAAATGATTGATGATTTAGATAAGCAATAAGAAGATGATTGCATGAATTAATATTGTAGAAACGAATAAACATAAGTTTGGCCAGCTAAATTCAGCAATTAAACTCTGTTTTTCTGTTAAGAATGTTTAAATTTATATAATGAAAAGAAGTGCTGTTATTTTTGTGCATAAGTATATATTTACATGAAAATTAAGGTTTATTCTGATGACAATTAAAATTTTTTGGATGGTCAGAAATGGATAGGCTGTGATCAGGATGGATGTGAAAAATGGGTATTATATTTATTTATAGTAGTTTAGACTCATTTATAATGTGAATCAAAAAATGGTATTTCCTAAATTGACACCTTGGTGGAAGATACTAAATATAAATATATTTGTCCATGGTGTAGGATCGAGGATTAAAAACAAAGATTTTCAAAAGCCCCTTGCAGAATAATGAACAAAAAGGCTCTCAAGTATTTAGAAAAGATGAATCGAAGACAGAATAACCCAAATGAATAGACATAACATAATATTTAAGCTAATGTGCAATAGTTTTATTATTGTCCATCTGCATCAAGTAAGCAATCTTATCTTGAGGAATTACTTAAGAAAAACGGTAGATGTTCAAAATAATATAATAGGTGGATTTTGTTAGTAGGCTACATAAGAGGAAATCTAAGTAGATCTTTAAAAAATGATGTCTTTAATGAAATAATGAATAAATATGTATATACTTTATTTTTATGTTATTACTCATATATTCAATTAGTGGATGAAGCAAGAAACTGTTAAGAATTTCCATATCTGCTCTGTTAATGAAGATGAGGTGGAATTTCAATGTACCCATCAAGTTTAGTGATATTTAGAAGATGAAAGTGTCTAATATTTTGAAAATCTCCAATCGACTTAATGATAGCTGCGAACCTAAATTCACTGCCTCTTTCTAATTTCTCGATCTCTAAAGCTAAAAGAATCTTGAATCTTCATTACATAATTCAGTAGCCACTTCACTATCAGCAGTCAATAATAAATCAGGGTGGAATTCACTTTCTGCTGGATCCATTTTCACTAAAATGTTAACAGAATGATGAAGGAACTTCAATAAAGATTATTGATTATCCTCTACTCTGATCGCAAAACCTAACCTTAACAGAAATATTTTACCCTTCCAATCTACTATTGTTCTATCGACGTACTTTTATTCGCAATATTATTAAAATTGGACATTTTGGAATACTTTTTGTTTTGAGCATTTCTCTAAATAATCAGTCCAAGTGTCAGCAATAGTGATATTAGGACTGTAATGTTGATGATAGTCCATCCACTATGAAGTGGGTATCTCCATTATCCTATACCATAACACCCCTAATGTTAAAATCAACAATGAAATTCCTATAACTATTCTTTTTGTTAAAATGATTCCCAACTCTCCAATTTTGAATGACATCATCTTTAATAATATGATAATACTCATACTGAGTCCTTTACACCTAATACGTGAAAGACTTTTCCATCACCCCCTATTACTTGATGGCATGCAGAACATCTAAACTTATCCAATCAAAATACTTATGAATTAAAGTTCTTGTTATTAACATTATAATTGGAATTAATAGAATACTTGCCATAAATCCAAAAATTAGCAAAATTAAGAAACAAGCAATGTAGCTTAAATATCCATTCTTATAAGTAATCGCTGAAACTGTTGAGTTCGAACAGAAAGGACATTTGATTTATTTAGGCCTACATCATATTTTAGATTTACTAATTTCCTAACACTAAATCATTGCTTAGAATCATTTCTATATATGCTTATTTAATTTTAATAATATAATAATTTAACAAATCAATATATTACATAAATGTAATTTAAACCAAGGATAAATAGATAGAGACTTGATAATATTGATACTACTTAAATAGTTTATATAGATAAACATCCTATATAGGAATTGACCTACAGTTTTTAAATATATATCCTACAATTTAAGACTTACATCCTATAATGAATTTTCTTATAACAGGGTTAAAATTTTAAACAAAAATTGAAAGATAAATCCGAAATAATTATTCTAGTATCAAATAGCAATAGGAGTGACATGAAAAAGTAGCTAAATCATTCTAAATGATAAATAATACACTAATAATAACAATAATTCTTTTTTTGATATGAATATGGATTTATTGTAAATCATTACTTTCCTTAAAATGCTCTATAATGACTAATAAGGTTTTTGGTAGCACTGTTAGCATTAAATCCTGCAAAATCTAAATTCTAATGATTCTCAACATTTTTTAATAGAACTGATCTAACATTTTTAGCAAGAACCTTTCCTAATTCGACTCCCCATTAATCAAATGGATTGATTCCCCAAAGAATACTAAAATTAAAATTATTTTATACCCTTCAACAAGAACTCTGTGTTCATAGAGAGCCAATAACTATCCAACATTATATGGATTGGCTTCATTTTGGAATAGAATCTGTAAACTGCATCTGTCTCCAGGGAATACTTTATGATGTTGTAATTCCTCTTTAACTCCTTCAGCAACGACTTCTTCCTTTGTCTTTCCTCTTGCTAAAGCATCAACTTAAGCGAAGTAATTAGACATCAATTCATCATGTTAATCTCTTACAGCAGCTGGATTAGATGCTCCAGTTTCAGCTTAAGATTTAGCATAACCAATAAATTCACAGGGTATTACTTATGATCCTTGATGAATCAATTAGAAGAAGGAATGTTATGAGTTTGTTCCTGGTTCACCAAAAATAAATGGACAGGCAGATTTTAAATATTATTCATGCTTATCAGGATAAACAAGTGCTGTTTTACCATTACTTTCCATATGAACCTATTGGACATGAGCAGGGAATCTCAATAAGCATTAAGCATAAGGAATCAAAGCCAAAGCTTGATATTTCTATAATAATCATTTATTTATTTACTTAGATGCTTGCTCTATACCATCCCAACAATCCCAAGAGAACAGGTAGATTTCTGCTGACTTATTTCTCATTCACAAGATGTTAATCAATAGAATGAGCTCCGTTTAAGACTTGAGCAATATAATCATAACCAAATTAGAGACTCAGTGGCAAGACTCCAATAGCACTTGTGACACTGTATCTACCTCCGACCCAGTCCCAGAATCCAAAGACTCTTTATTCATTGATTCCAAATTTGCCTGTTTCTGCCAAGTTTGTGGATACAGCTGTCAAATGGGATTCCAATATTTCCTTTCATATTTAAATTTCAATTACTTTAGCATTTTCATGACCCAACAATTTATATTATTCTAAAATCCAATTTCTGCATACTTTTGCATTCATAATTGTTTCTGCAGTTGTAAATGTCTTAGAGTTGATGACAAAAATGGTTTCCTCCACATTCAAGCCTTGTAATGCTCTGATTGTATCAACGGGATCAACGTTTGCCAAAAATCTTAGTTATCTACCTTTAGATTTCAATTGTCCTTCATGATGTGTTCTTAAGGCTTCATAAATGAATTCAATTCCCAAATAGCTTCCTCCAATTCCAATGACAACTGTATTTAGCAATTATTTTTTGGTGTATCCTAAAAATGTTCCAGATCGAACGGATTCGGTAAATGTTTTGACTCTATTCAAAATTTAGTAGACATCTGGAATAACATTTTGTCCATCCACTATAACCTATTAAGCTTCTGGTGTTCTCAAGGCTGTATGTAATACTGCTCTATTTTCAGTGGAATTAAATTTGATCTATTTATAATAATTAATTCAATACTCCTGATTAGATATCCTTGAGAGTGGCAAAAAGATTTGTGTTGTCAGCTAATTGTTGGAATTGTGAAATCAATTCTGCATCTACTTTTTCGTGAGAATAATCCAACAAAATTCCATCGAATTCTGTAACCAAATGCTTGTTTCTCTCATCATTATCAAGTAGGGTTCTTAGATGGGTTTTGGAAAGGACAGTCTCATAATAATGGGCAATCTTCTATTGGATATCCATTGGCAAATAATATTAATTTTATTTATCTAAATCATCTTAATTTAATAATAGGTACCAAAATGGTATATGTAAGATTAATATAAATATCAACTGTTTTATGAGGAATATATAAATACTGCTAAAAAAGTCAAACTACATATATTTTAATGATCCTGTTCGGCTTCTTCAAGCATATTTTACACAGCTCAAGTTTGTTTGAACAATCATAACAACAAAATCTATGACCACATTCCAAAAAGACCTAAAATCAATTTTCTTAAATACAGAATTAATATCTTTAGATTGACAAATTTAACATAAATTGAATTCTTATTCTTCTTTTAATCTTTACTCTAATTCAGACACCTGATTTTTAAGGATGTTGATTAAACCATTTTCTTTTGGAATTAAATTAGATTGAATTTCTAATTGTGAAATACTAGATAAGTCACTGAATCTATGATCAAATACTTAAATTGAGTACCTTTTAATGATAAACAATATTAAAATTACATATCATTATTTTTTTTAGTTCCATCATTCCCCCCAATCAAATAAATTGAAGTTTCATAGGAACACAATTGATGAAACGTTCTTGCAGAAGGAGTGTTCCCTGCAGTTTCTATAAACTTCCATTCCTTTAATTCGCAATTAAACTCATAGAGATCATTGTATCGAGTCATAGCAGCATCAACTCCCCCAAAAATGTAAATACTATATCCTATTATTGTACTGCTATGTCTATAACGAGAAGGAGGCTTATTTCTAACCTTTTCTGAATACCAATAATTTGAAGCAAATGAATAAGTATACTAATTTTAATAATTATAATACAAGTTCATCTAAAGTCTTAAAGCCATCCCAACCACCAAAAACATACATCTGATTTTTATATACTTCTGCTGTATGGCCAAATCTTGGGGATGGAATTTATCCATGAGTTTGCAACTTAACCCAATGATTGTTTTGGATGTCAAAGCAATGCAAATCATTAAATCTATTACTACCATCTGCCCCTCCGAAGACATACAACTTTTCATTATTTATAACCAGAGACATATCAACTCTTGGTTAAATTTCTCTGGTTGTTCTGATCTAATTCCATTAGCGCAGTTTTGTATCGAAAACATATAAATCATTAAAGTATTCTCCCCTCCTATTTGTATAGCCTCCAAAATAATAAATGTCATGTTGATGGGCCACTCCTTTACAACCTGATCTTGGAGAGGGAAATATTCCTTTCGGTGGAATTTATTCCCATTGTTTCTTAAATAGATTATAGCAGTGCATATCATTCACTATAGTAGTGTCATCGGATCCACAAAATAAATAGAGATTTTCTTAGCATTGCACTACTGAGTGACCAGTTCTAGGAGTGAACTTACTAATTGTCATTTATACGTTTACATCTCTTAGTTAGTTTCGATCTTCCATTCGTAATATTTTCCTAATTCCAAAAACGAAGTCCCCTCTTCTATATTTTGAACTTCAAAAGGAATGTCCTACAAAAATTCCTCTCTCTCTACTGTGTGACTACGATAACTCACTAATGATGATTGAGGTTAGAGATCGACCAAGTTGGCCATCTTAACTTAATCTAAAACTTCATATTTACTTGAGAAAAATTAAGAATTGAGAGATCCTGGTAATTTAAACCTCCGATCACTAAAATATCCTCTCGAGATTAATTTAACAAACAGAGCATTGTATGTTGTACACGAGGGTATGGATGTCTACTTACTTTAGGTAGTTCTATCCATTTCAATGTGACTATGTTTAGAGCATAGAAATTATCATTGCATCTTTTGCCATCGAATGTACACCCTCCAAATATTATTAAATACTCTTTCATAGCCAATGCTGCTTGATGTCTGAATATTGAGAGTGGGTTTTTTATCTCCAACCTTATCCAAGTTCTCAGATCAACCAAGAGCCAAACATCATCCAATATTATTTACCCATCACTTCCTCCAGTTACAATTATAGTGTCCTCATAAACCGTGCATTAATGTCCAAACCTATGTGCAGGCTCGAATTCTATTTGATTCCATCTAATGCAATACATTTATTTTTTTTACTTATCACCTCCTATTGTGTACGTTTTACAATCATTAAAAATTTTCTTTTGAGTCCTTCCCCCAATTATTAATACCTAACCCCTATACAAGCACATGCTGTGTTCAACCCTTCCTGTCGGAGCGCTTTTTATTTAACGGAATTTCAATTGTACAACATCAATTTCCAAAAATTCATCAAGTAAAATCGTCCCTTCGATATCTATACTTCCCCCATAACAATATATTTTTCCTTAACTCATTACAAATTAACTATTATATCTATTGTTCATATTCAATTGTCACCTAGCCTTAAATGGAATTCCATTGCATAATTTCCGCCATTTAAAATCAATCAAGCTTAAACTATACAAATCATTCTGTTTGTAGTTATCAACTATTAAATATAAATTATCCTCATAAAATGTGCAAGGATTCGTTATTTTATTTGGTAAAGTTCCTTATAAACGTTGAATCTCCCACTTTACTGCAATTTAAGACATTATTTGATTATGATTTATATAATAAACATTTTCAATACATCACCCTCAACTTCACCAAAACAATCAAAATTCTTTGCTTCAAATCATCAAATTGATAACAATATTCATAACTGACATATTAATGTTCCTAAAATCACACCCAAAATCAGATAGTTTTTAATATCATTTTAGTACTCCATAACACTTATTAAGTTTTTAATTCTGATTGCTTATGATTTCAAAACATTGTCTTTGAAAAATTTACAAATTATATCCTTCTATAATTTCAGTAGCACAAGTTCTTACTCATCTGGTACTTAAAATCCTCTCAATTATTTTTCAGTAATTAATTTCATTTTAACATCATTTTGTTCAAAATTAAGATTCAAAAATTATAGTACCTCTAATTTTATTAATAAATACTATTTCATATGATGAATTTATTCTAATAGTTCTTCTAATTCTGCTGAATTTTCTATTCAAGTTTAATCCTATTAAATATTTATTAAATGTTGCTTTTCATTTCAATAATAATGTGCAAGTCAAAATTATTTGTAGACTTAGTTTATTTAGTTTAATTTCTACTATTGAAATTTCTGCTATTCTAATTAATTTTTATGTAGCATAAGAAATTGCTTTTTTAATATTAAAATTCTATTCAATCTTAACTATTAGTTTGATTTCTTCTTAAGTAAGTTATGCTTTTGGCCTTCACAAATTGGTTTCCTAATATTAATATTCTAAATCTATTGCTCTAGATTATTATTTATACAATTATTAACTTAAACTTAAAAAGGATAATTGTTTCTCTTACAATTATTTTTTTACATTTCATAAATTAAATGTCACTTTTCTAAAATTTTTATGTTCATGTTGCACTAATTTATTAATAGTTTGCTTTGTTTTCCAAATTTCAATTAAATTTTATATTTGATATTTACACTATTGCAATTTTAATCTTGTATTTTTATTAATTTAATAGAATATTAGCAATTTATTAAATAGTTCATTAATAGTTTTGTAATCTTATCTCCATAAGAGTTCATGAACTTCTATTTAAACACATGAATGAGTCTTTATTTCTATAGTAAAATTTTCTATAATGAAATTCAATATTATTTTTATAATAATATATAAATTAGTTCTCAACATTGTTAGGATAAATCTATAGTTTAGGGGATTGAAACTATATTTGCAAACAAATAACATAATAGTAACAGTCAAAAATGAAAGCTTGTGAAAAACAATAAAATTTTACTAAAAATAAAACCTAAATGATTGGAATTTTAGAAAAAAAGTAACGAGCCCACATTTACCATTTTGCATGTTAAAGAAGATTAATTCAATAAAAAGAATAATTGTAATAAAAGTAATCAGGCATAATATGATAATTTAAATCAATTATGATAAAATAAATAATACTTATACCTATGAATGAAGCATTAACATTAAATGATTATATTGATTAGAATGGAAAAAGTGACTTGAGAATAAACTAAAAGATGAGTTAATTAACTTTGATACAATGGTAACTCAATAGATTATTAAAATCTATAAATGTTAATTCAAACTAAATAAAATACTAAAATTCAAATAAGACCAGCTATTAAATATTAAAGAGAATTTATCAATTAAATATAGAATACTATTTGTTTTTCTTATTTAAATGTCCTCTTCTATTATAGTAAACAATGGATTATATTTTTGATTATTTATAATTAATAGGTATTATTTCATATTTTAAAATAATTATGTTTCAGTAATTCTTTAGCAGAGGGTCTTTCTTTTGGATCAGTTTTCAACATCCACCTTAATAATTCGATGAATGAAGAGTGAATATTAAGATCCTAGAGATGAGAAAATGAAATTCCTTGTCTCATAAATTGATCTGAAATTACTCTACCTTTAGTAAAAAATTTGGAATCTTTAATCATCCATTATGGAAATGGACCGTTTAGATGTTCAATCATCAGCAAATGTTTTTAGTTATTATTTTTTAGTTTGCCAAACAATTCTTTTTAGAAAAACATTTCATGCATCAGACATCCAAGACACCAAATATCTTGTTTTGAATTCCATTCGAGTCCCAAAATAACTTCAGGTGCTCTATATTCTTCTGTATTAACTAATCCTTTATAAAACTGTCTACCGTACACTACATTTCCAAAGTCTATTATTTTTACATTAACTTCATCAAATTATGATTTAAAGAGAATATTTTCTAATTTAATATCAGTGTGAAGATATTAAAGCTCATGCATATAATCAATGGCATTTAACAACTGTTACATGATAGATTTGATTTATTATTATGTAAATCTTTTTTTTATTAAGGATTCATATAAAGAGGGACCCAACGCCTCCATTAGAATACATTGGCATTATTTGTGATAAAAAAAATCATACACCTTTAATATATGATGTCTACCAGGATGGTCAATTAATTTAGGGAATAAATTTAAAAATTACCCTGCTTAATATTCCTTTTCGTAAATCGTGAAATGAGTTTTTAATGATCTACTTATAAAAAAATAACTTACTTTCAAAGCCCGTTAATTATTTGACTAAACATCTCTAACTTTGATGACTCTTCCGAAGGTTCCTTCGTTAATTCTCTCTAAATATTTGTACTTTCCCCCTATAATATCACCTTTGTCCAATGAATAACAGGATTCTTCTAAATCTATGATTTAAGCTGGTTTCACCTGCTTTTCTTTTGAACGAGATCTTTCGCGATCATCAATAATTATATAATTTTTTCTCATGAAAAAAATTATGTTTTCTAAAATTATTTAAATCACTAATCATGACATAAATAAAATTAAAATTTAAATTATTTATTCTGGGTATGAATTAATTGAACGACCAAAGCCACAATCCATTTTTCTCTATATTAGGCAGTGCTATCTCCTGTATATATTTGTATCTATTATAGAATGTCCGAACTATGATTCAAAGATGAATTATCTTTTGGAGTCAAGAAAAATATTTTTATTTAATTAAGTCTTACAACAACAAATAGAGTTTATCAAAGATTAGAATAGTTAATTGGATAAACAATGTATTTAGCCTCAAAAGAAATAGAGAAGAAAAGCTACACAAATTTCTAAATTATATAAATGTACTTAATGTGAAAAGTCATATGGTTCAGAAGCTTCTTTAAATCTCCACAGTAAACTAAAACATCCAACAATTGAATCAGAGTCGAAAACATAGATTGAACAAAGTTTTTAAATTTGATTCATTTTAGTTTTTATTAAGTCTTTTTTTTCTTTAACAATTTAATCAATTTTATATAATTTATTTTTAATTTATGCTGTTATTTTACATAATAAATTTAATTATATTATTTTATTAGTAGAAATTATTTTCTATTGATTTACAACTTATCAATAGAAATTATAATATTTTAATTATTTTTCCCATTTGATGAATGCTAAAATTACTAATTGTTTATAAAATTAATATTTCTAAGATTAATTAAATATTAAATAAAAATTAAGCTTTCCATAATGGCTGATATCAATTCTTAACGAAAAAGTGTTTAAAAAGTATTCTAATTTCTTAAATTAGCAAGCGTATATTGATGATCTATTTACTAATGACAATGAAATGGAGGATGATAAAGATATAATAAAAATTTATAACACTGCCAAGAGAGAAAGGAAAACAATTGAGGCACACAAATAACTTTTGGATAATAGAGTAGCCTTGTTGAAATAGGAAGAAATACGCACTCTGAAAAAAATAGAGGAAACCAGAAAAAAAGCATTAGAAATTTATTATTTAAAGAAAAAAAATGAAGAGAAGCTTAAAAAAGTAAATATTTCATGATTCAATTTAGAGAGAGGAAGAAAAGGAATCTCTATAAAAAAAATAAGAATAATAACAACAAATTAGAAAATAATAAGAAAAAGAGCATAAATTATTGATTTAGAAGCACAGAAATGAAAAAGCACAAAAAGCCTTTATTATAAAAGATCAATCCAAGAAAATTGAATTGAAAAAATAAAATATTTAGAAACAATCCTTGACTTCTTTAAAGGAAAAGAATTAAATTATGAGAGAATCCAGAGATATAAATAGAGTTATGGAAAGAATATAGATGGAAAAGAGAGAAGCAATTAAGGTTTAATTAGGAAGAAAGTTAGATTCTGAACAAAAACTTAAAGAAATTAAGCAAAAAGGTATTTGTTACAAAAATGTTAGAAATTGAGTAAATCGAAACCTATGAAATGGATTTACTTTAAAAATTGTAAAATACATAATAAATGTAAAAAACAGCCTTTGAAGAATTAGAATCAGCTTTGACTATGACAGCTAAGGAATTTGCTGAAAAATATTTGCAACCTAAATAAAAGGAGTAATAAAAAAAGTTAAAATTAGTGATTAGAATAAGGAAATCTCAAACTTTAATTCAGATGATGATGAAGCTAACAAAGATAAAGAGCGTCCTCACATTAGTGAACCTTCCTAGGACTAGTCTTCGAAAATTTCTATATAATAGATTAATGAAATTCATGATTAACATCAATAACATGATTCTAAATAAGATGAAGATAATGATTAAAATGAGAATTAGAATTAAAATTCAAAGGAGGAGAACAATTAATAAAATCAAAATAATCTATAATTAGATGAGTAAAATAAAAGTTAAAATGGAGATCAAAATGAGATTCCAAATCTTCTGGAATCTCCAAAAAATAAAATAGAGTAGGATTAGCAAGAAGAAATATAGAATGAATGAATGTTATTATATTCTGATAATAAATATTACCACTAAATACTTCCATTTAAATTTCATACTTTTCATATAATTCATTATTAAATCAATTTTTATTATCAATCAATAATTATATACTTCTTAAATTGAAATCATTCTTATTGAAATTAAATAAACTAGTCCATCTTAGGATAAAACTATTTAATTAGAATTAAAAAGAACTAATAAATTAAGTATTCAAGGTAAAATAATTATATATTTATTATATATAAATCGAGTGTTTATTACATCTTCCATAACTAATGGAATTTAATTTATTATCCTTTTTAACCTATACTTATACATTCAATTATTTTCACCAGAGAATCGATATATCTTTTAAATAATTTCGATTTTAAATTATTTAAGTTACAAATTACATATAAACTACTAATTATTTATAAACGTTTATTTTCTTAGCCACTAAATCATTTGTGCATAATACAAATTAATCATCTATTTTTTATCTATCAATGATCTCTAAGTTTAATTGCGAAAATTATATTAAGTATTCTTGCTTTATTATTAAACCTTTAAATAATTCTTTTTCTTTACGCTTAACTATTGTAACAAATTCCAATTAACTATAATCGAATCTAGTAGATATTTGATCTAGTTTAATTGACTTTCCATTTTCCTGTTTTTATTTTATATATTAATCTTAAAATAATACTTCTAAATGAAGGATTGCTAGATACCTGACCCTGAATAACTCATATATTCTTTTAATTTAATTCTATTTACAAAGGATGAATAGCAGCGAAAATTAAGGCAAGTGAATTTTTAAGATAACTTGAATAGAATGAACCCTAATTTTTGCTATCACTTATACACATCTATGAAAATGATAATGTACATCTTCAGAAATAATACCTAGACTGAGGTCTTGAGACTTCAATCATTATTGTTATTGAAAAATGCAATTACAAGGAATTGGATAAAAGCATCAATTATAAATGGGAAAAGGGCTAATATTTTCAAATGAACAATTAAAAACTCCATGTCAAACAATCCTTAGTAAAACTGACTTTACAAAGAATATCGAAAGAAAGGAGAGAAACATTTCTAAATCAAATTATATAAGTAATAGTTAAATATGATTTCCCGGGAAAATTTTAGGATTTGGAAAATTATTTCATATCAACTCTATAGTAAATTAGTTAATTTGATAATGTGGTTTCACATCCAATATACGATTTCGTAAGAACATTGAAGTCTGTCTAAAAAGAAGTTTCGAAAAATAGACTAAGTAAAAATTTATTTCTAGAATTTTAGTGGCCTTTAAAATCTTGTAAAAAGAGTTTAGCCAAAAGGTTTTACCCATGTTTACACATCTATGGAAATATGTAACCTAATTACAATTTTAAGATTTATCAAAAAGTTCTTAAATTACTTGTAATGTATTGCTTTAAAAGACTTCCTAAAAATTAGATTAAATATTAAGCTATTTAGTTATGCCATTTCATTAAGAGGAAGACTTGTAAGAAAATTAATATCTTTAGACAAACTATATCAGACATTTTTAAAGTTTTACTACAGAAAGCAACAGAATTCTTAAAAGTACATCAAAATTCTGAAATTATAAAAGCTCATTTAAAAACTTTGATTTCTAGCTTAGCAAGTTTATAATAATTATATCCGATTAGCATTGGCTATTCACTTTAGGACTACTTGACAATTTTATAAATTATATTACATTAAGTTGAACCTGAAAATCGATTGATCAACATAGGGTTGGCATCATTAACAAAGATTTTATAGACTCATTTTTATTATTGTTCAAATGAATAATTCAAAGCAACTATTCCTTAGCCAAAATCACAAGTTTATATTCAATTAAGAGAAGTATGTCATAATACCTTTTAGGTGTTTTTTAATACTCACATCATATTCTTTTTAGAAAGATTAATCGTTATTAATTCTTCAAAGAGAAATTCTAATATCAAAGAAATCTTAGAAATTGAGCATGATTCAAAGAGCAAAACAAATGATGATAAAGATGAAGTCAGTGAATCAACCTAAATTTTATGTGCAGAATGTTAAGAATAATTGATAAGTAGATTTCCTTAATAAATATTGAGTTATATAATAGAAAATACTTAGTAATTAATATCAACAAATTATTCAGTCATTAAAACTGAACTTTTAGATAGTTTCTTTTCACTTTTTGGAAAGGCTATAAAAATTCAAGAAAAATAGAAATTGCAAACCTTTTCTTTCATGCCCATTTTAAATTATTTATTTTAGACTGAGAATCCAAGAAATTATTATAGATATATTATGTTAGGAAAAGAGTTTATTTCAAAATTTTCGCAATCTGAGTTTGAGTAATTTTTTGAACAAACAACATTAATAATCTTAAAATCGGATGATATAGCAATTAAAATTGCAGGATTAGATTGCATTAATTAAGCCTTCGCAATAAAAGTAAATAGAATTGATTAGACAACTTTGATAAAATTAGGACAAATTGTTTCTGTATTACCCAACGTATTGAAAGAGGATGAGATATCCCATTATATTTAGATTATTAATGATTTTCTATATCATTTTATGTATGGTTCTTTAGTAATCTCAACAGATTTTGTAATAAATTAGTTATTATAAAATGACTGTTTAATTATTTTGTTTAACATAAAAACAAATTTATTAGTTGTAAATTTTTGTGAATTGTTTAAAAAGCTATTAATTAGTTTTCCTTTTGGAAACGTACCAGATTAACTTATTTAATTAGCAATAATATTTATTACTCAAAATATGTAAAGCAATCATCAAGACATTTTGGATTTGTATTTAAAATTACTTTATGAATACAATAAAGGCGTTAATCATAATACCACAGGTATTTTATTACAAGAATTATTCTTGAAAAATGAAAATATGTTGTTGTAAAATCTAGAGAATTAATCAATTAAATGCTTCATTTTATTAATGATAAACGAAATGATACTATTAGATTTATTACCCATATCCAATAATTTATATTAAATGTTGGCTTCATTAATGATCAAAGCATAAACAATAAGTGATATTGAATAATCAGTAGAAATGAAAAATAATTGCCTTAATGTGTTGGAAACAATAATTTTATAATAAATAGGTAAAATAGATGTTACATGCTATGGAACCTTGATTATTTATTTAATAAAAGAATTTTTAGGTTTTCAGTAAATTTAACTAAAATCATTTCAATTTGTTGAATTAAAAACTCGAGTGACTAACATTTTGAATATATTTTTCTTTAAAGAGGAAGCATATTTTTTGGAATTTATAGCATCAAATTTTCAAAATTATGATTAATATTTCATTTAATGGCAAGAAAATTCAATCAATATCATAAATAAGGGAAATAAAAAATTAAACACAATTACTACTTTATATTTTTTAAAATACATTTCTCAACCTACATTATAGAGTTTTATAGAACCTATATTAAAAGAAAGTTTAGTTGAAATTTAATATTTTATTGATTATTAGAATGAAGAATTTAGAGAATAATAAATAAAGAATCGATTACAGTACCACAGTTTTGAGAAAGTAAGATTAAGTAAGAATAGAGAAAGCTTAAGAAAAGAGGAATTGTTTGAAAGGAACTTACATTATAATAAACTAAATATCCAATAATTAGTTTTAGCAACTATAAATGTAATAATTATATCTATAACTAGTAAGTTATGACTTAATTCAAACTGTAAGGAATGTAATAGATCATTTAAGATTAATATTTATTAGGCTAATTGAACTTATTAGTTGATGAATGCTGATATACAGATGTATTTAGTTATTAAACCAATGAAATTGATCATTCCTTTTTCTCTTCAGCTCTTACTTTGCCTTTTCCATTTGTTAATCTAACATTGAGTTCAGCTGCTCTTCTAACAAGAGTTGCTCTTTTTCTGGCTGAAAGGTTGTGAGCTAATTCACCTGCAAATGTTCTATTATTTGTTAATAATAATTCAAGATCCTTTTCATTAGTTATAAGCAATTTTCTGAAACCAGTTTAATCCAAATATCTAAAATGAGCATAGAATATAATACCTAGTCTTCTTATCACCTCTATAACCAGCTTTGGGCATAGGTCTATTGCCTCTAAATCTTCTTCTGACTCTGTTATCAATACCTCTTGGTCTTCTCCAACTTGGTCTCAATTTATGAGGGTAGTCCTCTGATTCAAATCTAACAAATCTCTTTGTTCTCTTGTGCACAATTCTTTTATGAGCAAGTGATTTGACGACCATTTGTTTATAATTAAATAAAAGATTTTAATTCAAAAATTAACATTATTTTGTAAATAAGTATTCTAATGGTATTTGATCATTTTAGACTGTGTTCACTTGCAATAACTAGAGAAGAGACTGGCCATTGTCTTTACTATAGTGGAAATACAAGAAAAGTGGAAACTACTGTAAATATTAATGATTTTAATTACATTATAATTATAATCTTTAATAAGAAATGAGACTTCAAGAGATATAAATTAAAGATCAATTCAAGGATTTTAATAAACCAATTATTTCCCTCCAAAACTTAAAAATTTGAATAATTAGATTACCAACAAATTTAGGTTATTTTGAAAAAGGTCAAAGAAAATGAATTGTTTACATGTACTGCACCGATTTGGTGATTTTAATCATAAATTGTAATTGAAATCATATTTTTCACTGCATATTGTTTGAAGTGACTTATTATTTAGCACCTCTGAATTTTCTTTTGAAGATCCTCTTTCTTCTTATTGATGGAATTTGCTAACTTTCTGTTGATGTCAATTTTTATATCTTCTGGTTTATTTTTTAGATAACCTACTTTTTGGTTGAATTCATACATTTTTAATTTGTATTGGTATATTTTCTGTATCTTCAGAATAAAAATTGGTTATAGCTTCAAACAATTCATATTTTTAATAGTAAAGGAAGTCTGAATCAAGAGTGACAAACAAAATAAGATCAGAATGAACTGCCTATTGATTGTAATAGTCAGTTATTGTGGTGATATTTACATCATAGTCCACAAGTGTCAGAATACTCATTTCCATTTCCAATATTTATTTAGAACTAAATTCAAAGTTACATTGTGATGCACAATCGTCTATGTTCATATTGATTTAGGTTTGACATTCATTAAACTTATATAAGATATTAAAAACTAGTTTACTTTGACTGCAATCATTAATGAGGCTATTCCCAATAATTTTAAATTATCTGGTTGCATCGAGTTTTGAGAAGCATAAATCTTTATTAATATTGCAGCCAATTCTATTGTTTTCGTATTAAGGTTATTTTTCTCAGAAATCTAAAATACTACTAATAACAAACCATAAAGATCCAATGGATCAGAATTTCAAGTTGCACTATCTTTTGATGAGATATTGGTTCTGATATTTTAATATCTCTCATCCTTAGATAGTCATTGCAGTCGATATCCATAACTATTTATAAAATATTATAATTTGAAAATATTCACATCCAAAGAAGTGAGGTATATTGTAAAAGTTAATCACAATTGCAATCCCATTACTAAGGAATCTGAAAGTATCGAGAACTTTGATCCTTTTGATTCTAAAATGACCAATGCAATTATATTATATTATTTATTTAATAATGGACAATCCAGACAACTACATTGTGAATATTTTCAAAAACGAAATCCAAATCAAAAGAATTCGAAAGGGTACTTCTTAATTTTATCCCTAGAATTGAAATAGTTAGAGGTCCTAGACAGCAAGGAATTCAAAATTAACCTGAAGCAATTGTCTAATAATTTACAAATCATCGTACTAATCGTTCACTATGTAGGTTGAAATGCAACCAGTTGTACCCTTAAATTAAGGCAAACCAATCAAATTTTGCTTATACCTTGATAATAAATTCCCTTTCGTATTTCCCAGAGTTCATCTTCTTAGTCATGTACTAATCAAATTTTATCACCCTAGTTAACTAAGCCCACTTTTGCTGATGGAAGAGACTATATCGAAGATGTTTTACATTAATAATGGAGCCCATCCATTTTGCTCAATGAAATCATTCAAAAATTTCCTAAATTTCTCGTAACTCCATGAATCTTCTATAATTAGGATTAAGTGAGACATTATAAAGATGATAGAGATCATTTGCTTTCTTTGGGCAAATATAATTTAGATTAGGAATACGAGGGATCATTGGGGTTGGAAGATGTCGAATACTTTTAATGCAAAGAAATACTAAGTGGAAGATCTTACCAGAAAATATTATAATTAAGCAATAGCTACATCTTGATCTTGGAATACTAAAATAAAGTCTTGATTCTCTAAAGCTTTTAACCTACTAAAGACTTAGTTAAAGTTGAAAAGATAGAGAATAGTGCCCAATTAACATGGAGATCTGATGACAATTTCAGACTCCAAACAGTAACCCCTTCAAACATCGATTAATTTATGGATTCAATCCTTCTCTACAAAACTGGTGCTTCCGGTAAAAAAATCTAGGAAGAAGAAGTAACCTTACAAAAGTTTGAGAATTTTTAAATCTAAAAACTCCTTGATTCAGTAAGTTACTATGAGAAAAATCTAGAGCAGGAACTCAACCCTTAGACATTGAATTCTCTTATGGACTCATATCAATAAGTAAGCATCTATCTAACTAGGCTATTGAATATTTTTCTGCAGTTTCTGATGAAGATTTTAAGGAATATGTTATGCGTCTTTAAAATTTACTAGGGAGAGAGGATGTCTAAAAAATACTATCCAATAAATTGTGATCATGCAGTTTTTGTATATGATTTAATGTTAAAATCAGTCAAAATTTATTAATCATTATAAAATTGATTTATTCGATATATTTTACTTTCCAGAGGAAAAAACGTGTTATCAATATCCATTTTTATATTTAGGATATAAAGTTGAAAGACACTTTTGTTTTAATTAAATATTACACAAACTTAATAATTATTATTACTTATCATTCGTCCAAATCGAATTCGAGTAAGATAAATAAAGATGGTAAAAAGGCTTAAATTAACTCTTATTACATATTTGGAATCAATTCGGTATAATTAGGCCCATATTATTTTGCAATATCTTCAAGAGAATTTTTTTCTCTTAAGCTTTTAAAGGTGTTATAGATAGTTAGAAACTCATTTAATCCCAATTCCCTTTCCAAAGCTGATCTGATTTTTTCAGCTCTCTCATAACCAAGTTTTGGATTTTATTTTTTAGCTATTCATAAGATAACCTTTAATCTTACTATTCTATTGCTAAGATTGGACTAATTGTTCATTCAATTTTTCTTTGGCAGAATTTAATTGCTATTATTTCTGTTCTATTTGAGACATGAAAGGAAGATAGATTTCTACAGGAACATCTTTGGTTTTAGCTATTTTCTTATCCCCCTATTATTAATCTTATTTTTTTGGTTGGCCAAATGACTCAATAATTAATTCCTAAGGCTTCTGTTATTACTACTAACATTTCTATATAATTTACTAGCATACTTTTTTTTATATATCTTATTTCATAAATTTTTATTACTCTTCTCTTGTTAATTTCTTTTACTATTTGTATTCATCCTTTTTTATAATAACCTAATGTTACTATTTCTCTAGATTAACAATATATCATACTTTACATCAGTAATGCTGCTGGCTTTGTTATTGGTTACTATTTAATATTTAATTATTTAATCCTATTTTAGATTATTTGATTTTCTAAGTAATGATTAAATAATACATAAAATCTATTCAATTGATGGTCTTTTATTTTGATCAATCTATAACAGACTTTAAATTAAGTTTTTCATATTTTATGAATAGACTTACGCACTTATTGGTTGAATTTTCCCTTTTATAATTTTAGTAGCCAGACCTGGTAATGATTCAGCTTAAAATGGGTATTTAAATGTGCACATTTCGTATAGTAACACTCCTAAAGCCCAGATATCACTCTTATAAGAATAAGGCTAGTTTTATATTATTTCAGGGGACAAGTAGTAAGGAGTTCCTATAAAAGTGGTTGCAAGAGTCTACTCAACAGATCTTGCAATCCCGAAGTCCCCTAATTTCAATTTGTCATCTTGCAAAAATACATTCTCCGCTTTTATGTCTCGATGGATAATTCTCTATGAGTGAACGCATTAAATTGCTAAACATAACTAAGTAAACCAATCAACAATTTGTGTTTCAGGTAATGGCTATTGTCTTGACTTTATGTATTACCCTAAAGTGCCATCTAGTAATATTATTTATTGATTAATTACTATTGGCATATTCCATTATTATGCATAATCTATTTTTGCTATCTACAAATGTTTCTACGTATTAGATGATGTTCTCGTGTCTCAGATTTTGCAGTATTAATGCTTCTTGTTTGGCTGAAGGTGATTGAGGCAATACCTTCATAACGTATTTAATTTGATTTTCGTCGTCAGAAGTCACAAGGTATGCTTTCCCATAAGCTCCAACCCCCAATAACCTTTATTTTTTGTATTGTTTTATTATTGTTTCATCGATTTACATTTCATGGGACATACTAGTAATATCATCAATAAGTATATGACTATCATCATCCATTATTATAAAAATATATAATATGATCAAATTGTAAAATATAATAATCAACTCATTGTTGTTTTTCATAATTTTTGAAGGTTAAAAATGCAGACAAACTAAACAATAATTCAAAGACAATAAATATTAATGCAATTACATTTATTATTATCTCCAAAATTACAACATAAGTTTATAAGACGATGAAAAATATGTAGAAGAAAATGCATGGAAAAATAAGTAATACAAACCTAAATATTAAAGTAAAATACCATAAAATTTGAGATGGGGATTCAGTTTTATTTCCTATCGATCCCAATATCAATCTTGGAAATTAACAGAATGCTAACAAAAATTGCAAAAATATTTCTATTCCTATTTTATTTGGTGGATAAAACAATCCATATCCCTTATAAATAAACACTATGATTTCAATTATGAAATAGATGTACTAGATATAGTAATGAGTTGCATACTGTGAAAATATAATCAAAATATAAGAAGGTTTGAAGAGGTATTGAAGCTAAAGGTCTTTTCTCATCATTAATGTTTGCAGCCTCCTTCATTTGAGTATTTGAAATTAAATAATTATTGTATAAATTAATTATAATAAACAATAACAAACCTCATAAATCTCCTAAATCTAATAACACTGAATAAGAAACTAAATAGAATATCAAACTTAGAGAAACTACATCCCATAATCCCTAATTTATGATTAAAATAGTAAATTATATATATATATACTCACGATAAAAACAATTTTGCTTAATTCTTATAAAGCTATAATTTTAATATCTTTTCTGGATCATCCTCTTAAAAGTACACTATTGCTCTTTCAACCCAGAAATCTTTTTTTTTTTTGGATGGCTACAAATTCATCATAAAATGAAGCTTAAAATAGGTGTTATATTTTACTTTTTTTGCATTTTTCACTAAAGCTTTAATTACTGGCATTTCTGTAAGATCCTAAGCAGTTTTCCCAGCCACAGTTTTAATCGATGGATTTGCTTAATAAACTAGTAATACTCTAACAGTATCGCAATTGTTATTTTTAGCAGCTATATGCAAAGGAGTCCTACCCACTATTTTAATACTATAATATATACTCATATCTCTAGCATCTAGATCCGCACCATTCTCAACTAATAATTTAATAACTTCAATTGAATTATTACTAACTGCATGATGTAGAGGTGTTTTCTATTAATTATCACGATCGTAAACATGAAAACGACAATCTCTTAACATACTCTCAATTTCTCTTAAGTTGTCTGCTTTTACTTACCTAAAAAATTCAACACTATTAGGCCTTTCATATGCTTAGGATGGGAAAACTTGATTATTCACGACATCGTTTAGAGTAATATTGAATCTCTTTAATTTATCCATAAAATTTCTAAGGGCTTTCATTACTCTTAATCTAAGATCAGCCTTTGCTTCCTCATCTAATCTTTGTGTTTTTGGACTCTAAATCCTTGCTGACGATTGAGACTTTAGTGTTCTTAGAGTCTTTAATGTTCGATATGCAGATGGTTATTGTTGTGATGGTTGTAACGCCTTTTTATTCTTTCTAACGTGATTCATAGTGTATTTGACTTCTCTGATGTCATCTCTAAACTTTTTCACATTTGCAATCATCCCATTTATTAATTTTTACTCATCCTTTATTAATTATTCAGTCTATTCTTTCATCCTTCCATCAATTTTATCTTGAATGATTCTAAATTATTTAAGAATAATTACTAAAAAAATTAGTCCATTTATGATTTAGGAATAAAAACATCAAAATCCTAATTCTCATCTGTCTTTTATCTTTAAGATGCTACTTAATCTATCATCATCTCATGTTTTTAACCATAATTTCTTTTGAAAACAATATTTTTTTCTTAATTTGGTTTCCTATATTTAGAGAACCTAATCTAATCTATAAATTTATTTTAAAGATTATCGAATTCCCCCTCATCATCGGATATAAATAATGCCTTTGACATTTCCTTAGCAGATTGTTAAAGTGCTTAGGCTGACTTCTCCATTTATATAATGGATTCGTAACTATTTTTTTCTAATTATCCATTTAAAAAGTTAGCTACTATTTTCCCAGTTGCACTATGAGATTATTGCATGATTGCACATAAAAAGTGAGTCTATTGTAATAATTTTTCTTTGGATTCATCACCCTTAAGTGGATTCGATTAGGCAATACTATTATTATTTAGGTTTCTCAGATTGGATATTTTATTGACTCTTCTCAAAGGAGGTTTGTTGGGTGGCAATTAAACCGTTTCAAGTTTGTTCCTGTAAGATGGATGAATATTCTTGTTAAGTCGAAATACTGGATCTGGATCAGAAGGGTGAGTATGCATTTTTGGTGAATTAATTGGAGAACAATTCTCACTAATGAATTCTGTGTTAATAGAGGGACTCACTTATGACTTGTATAACAAAGTGGACGTTTTGGATATGTTGGGATAGCTTATTGTAAGTGTGCTTATTACAATGTGGATGATGTCGTATTTCTAGTGGTTCTTTACTTTTATGCGGCCTTGAGTTCTGATTTTAGTTTAGCTTACTCTTATGCAAGCATGTGCCCCAATTTAATCATTTTTTTATAATTATTTCTAATAAAAATGAGTTTTTAATTATCATCAATATAATTCATATCTTGAACTTGCACTTCCTGGTGTTTACAATCTAATATTACAAAATTGATATACATTGTATGTGGATTAACAATCTGTTGATACTTTTGACTTTACACAATTGGCTTATTTGGTAACTTCTTAGCCAATAAATCCAAATCCAAAATGTCTTATTCTTAAATCTCTTCATCATCAATATAGATCTAGAAGTCTCTCCAAAAAAATGGATTCAGTTTCATATCTTTAATGACATCCTCTGCACTTTAAACTAAATCTTAGCTTAAGCCCCACAATGAAATCTTGCCCTTCTTACCTCCAACCAACAAATATTACCCATCATTTGAGAAGTCTAACGAAACTATACTGAATATTCTGTTAATTTATTCAGCCACTTAACCTGTTCCACATTCATATATTCTTATATTTGTTGGAAGCATCTTTTTATTTACCTTAGCATTTTTAGTCAAATATTCTACTGAAGGAATCTCTATAAATTATTTATCTGATGCATTAACTAATGGCAAATGAGCAATAGCAAAATACAACCCAGATTTATCAATCTTTAAATGTCTTGAAAAAGGAGGAACTGTTATTTTGGCTCTCTTCTCTGAACTTTAGATTTTGTATATATAAACAAATCCATAATTAGATAGAATTAGAATATAATCTTTTGAAGGGTGTAAATCAAATCCAAATATTGTGCCTTCAATTGTATATATACTTAGAGCTAAGGCTGATAACTAAGAATTTGCTTTATCAATTTGATGTCTCCTCACAGAATTATGATTATAGATAGTCAATGAATTGAATGATTTATCATTCCTTGGAATATAGGAAGTTGAATATGCTTGGGTATTAACTTTAACGATGTCAAATTCTAATTGAAAGAGTTTGATTCCCACATAGGATATGTTTTCAAGTTTATCTTCCAACTTCAGCACTGGCTTGAGTTGATTTTCACAATCTAATATAATTGTAAATCCGTTTTTGAAGGCTACTCCCAAATACTGATAAGCGGGACTGAACTGCATTTCTTTAATTCCTAGGTTTTAAGTTAAAGCAATTTGCTACGGAATTACACATTATTTAAAGAGAAAACAAATAATTATCCTTTATTATCTCCTAAATAGATATCATCTCTATAATTGTCAATGACGCAGCATTTAATTTTAGTCTGAAATTATCCAATGTAATATTTACTCATTGAGAATTTATCTCCACGAGAATTAGAAACTCCAAAAGAGCCATCATTTGAACAGGAATAAAATTAATTGCTTTGTACAGGATCCCAAGAAACTTGGTTGATTCTCCCTCCATGGCCATTTTATTAATTTAAGATTATTCTTTTATTGATATCCATGGTGACTAAGGTAGAATCATTTAAGGAGAATACTAGAATTTGATTAGAGTGCTTTAATTATACACAATAGCAAGTATCATTTGCATGAATCTCTGTTACAAATTTAAGGGTCGATATTTCATATATAAATATTTTACCACTCCTTGTGGATAAATATAAATATTATTCAAAGCTTGTAGATGCAGCAAATTCTTAATCTGGAGCTTTTAATTAAGATATTAGATCTCCTTCTGAATTCAAAATGTATAAATCTCCTGTGACCAATATTAGGATGATTAAATTCAATGATTTGTTGGTGTCCATATGTTTGATATTCTTTAATGTGATTCTATTTGTAATTTGAACACTATTCGATACTAAGTTCCAAAGAGTTACCTATCCATTACACATGAAGCATAATTTAGTTTTTGGTTTAGTTAACAAATACGAAAATCCATTGCAAGGGTTCAGATTATCTAAATCAGTAATGAAAACTAGTTTATATTATTGAATGTCATAAACAAGTATTCGATGACCTGTATTAACTTCGATCAGAATCAATTAATTATTAATGTTCTCCATAAATATGTTGACGGTTTTCTTATCTGTGTCAGGTAGATAGTCATCGAAAGTTCGATTAAAGGAGTCAAATTCAGAAATTTATAGATGATTCTTAAATCCCATACTTACAGATGCAATAAGATTCTATCCACAAAAACAGATTGCCATAATCTAATTAACATGGCCATGCATTTAAACTTTAGAATTATTTGTAGTATCAAGCAATAGCAAGCTGTTTCCTTGTTCAAAAGCAACTAAATCATTTTTTACATCAAATGAATTTGTGCCCCCCAAAAAGTCTATAATCATAGGAAATAAAATTTTATATATGTTTTATTTTAATATATTTAATTTGGTCAAAAACCAGGTGGCTAATATGATCCAAATTGTTAACCTCCATAACCCATAGGAGCTTAATTCATTTAGGAATTTGTGAAACCGGAAGGCTATCCAAAGCCTGAAGGTTATCCATAACTTATATTGCTGTTATTCATTTGGCTTGGTGGACCCAACATTAATTAGCCTTAGTTCAATAAGAAATCTTAAGCTATTGGTAGAGCTTATGATTATTGTTATTGTGCTGTTTGAATTTCCTATTTTAATAATTACAAAATTGTACCTTCTTTTCTCTGTCTTCGTGCTTCTTTTATACATACTCAATTTTGTGAGTCAATTCCCAAGTGATTTAGATGAAGTATGGCATAGCAAATTCCATAAGGCCTGATCTCCAAGTCAATTCCATAACTTAGTCTGGTTTCAATAAATCATAGCATGTGTAAAGACACACTGTAAAGAATTCACTTTCCTTGTTTTATATGAAGAATTCCAATAATTCATAAACTAACTTAACATTCTAAGATTCCTAAGCTGTTTCGACTGAATCTCTGTACATTTAGTCCTATTTACTCAGGTTCATAGATAAATCATATTTCTAAATCTTTCTATATAAATAAGCAGCGATTCTTCTGAATTCAACCAATTCGTGAGATTAGGTCTTTTAAGCCAAAGCCAATTAGTCAAAGTTTTCATAGTTCTTGACTGATTCTCTAAGATTTTCATAGTCCTCAATATCTAAATAGAGTTGATTCAAGGCATCGTTAACATCTTTGTTATTGGCATTTTGAATTTGTTATAAAAATGGTAATGTCAAAGCCAAATAGCCAGTGTTCTTCATCAATTTAACAAATTTGCTTAAATCAATCTTAGATTGAATGCTTCTTAATAAATCATTAATTTATTCTGGTTATTCTTCAAGGTAAAAGAGAATACATTTGTAATACAAATCTGTATTGGTTATCTTTTAGAGTAACATAACTAGAACATCATGTGAGAAGGCAGTTGGTGAATGCTCGATCATAATGTTGATAGCATTATCTGGTTAATCATAGTGTTGATGTAAGTAGACAGCTTCACTCCAGAGACACATCTTTTCACAAGTTCTTAAGACTTTCAAAATGTTCATCTTTTAGAAGTATTATCTGCAGTGTTCCATGACTTTCTTCTATTTGTAATGGCAATAAAGAACTGCTAATTCTGTGAAGATACCAACATGTGCTCTTTACATACCTAAGGCATTCTCCAATAATATCATCATTTCCTCTTATGCATTGTATTCTTCATATTATTTGATCAATGACTCCAACATATCTGGTACAATGATAATATTCTAAGCAGCAATGGAAGCATACTTGAATTCTGATGCCTCAACACAAGCAAAGCATAATTCTTTCCATGTCTTGGAAGTATTGGCCTTTTAAGCTGCTTCAATAGCTTTGTTAAATTATTTTAATCTAACCAAACAAGATGCTATTCTTGCATTATTTTTAAGGGCAGTGAATAAGATCTTAGCTGCTTCATATAATTATTGATCATAGCATCTCTCTCCTACCTTAATTACATCTGCTGAGTTGCTTGATTAAATCAAAGATTCAATATCTAAGTTCTTGTCTAATTTGGCATAACAATAGATTAATGAATTGTCAATGTTGACATCCTTGACTGTTTATCTGCACATTAAGAGATATTTGACTAATAATTCATATTTCTCTTCTTATTCAGCAACATTAATAATATTCAAGAATGCACTTGAATCATTAGCCTTGATGTAGCAATCAATGGATTCATTTGTTTATCCTTAATTCAAATAAGCTTCAGCCAATAATGACCATACTTCTGGGGAACTAGCATACTAAGCATATTCATGAGCTCTTGGAATGCTGCCCAAATTTCTGAGTAACACATTAACAGCATCAATGTGTAAATTAAATTTCTTAAAGACAGCATAAGCCTCTTCAAACAAGTTATATTCTTCATTCAAACAATGTTAAGCAATAATCTATGGATCGAATTTATCCAATCTATTGATGTAATCCAACACTTTGCTTGTGTCACTTTGAATGGCTGTGATGATTAATAAATTCTATAATTATTTGTATTACATAAATTCAGGGTTATGTAAAACCAATTTCTCTAACAAACCCAATAATTCATAAGGAATCTTGGCCAACACAAATGCTTTGACAGCTGCTTAAACTTCATCAACATTCTTTGAGTCCTATAATGCTTAAATGACATAGTCAATTAAATTTTTTCTGTGTGGATTTGTCTCTTATAATACTCCAGCCCATAAATCAACATCCTATCTTTCTACGAGATATTTGGCTTAGACTCTGTACATTTCATTTTTGTTTGTTAAATTAATTAATTCTTAATCGCATTGTCCCCAAGCTCTCTTATAAGCTAGAACTGCTAATTAAGGATCTCTTTCCTCACAGAATTTACCAACAGCCTTGGCATCATAGAATTGATTATTGATCAAGAAACCATCAGGATCTTATGATGTATCAATCTTGATTTTAGCTAATGCATTGTGAATAGCTGGAATTTGGTTACCTTCTGTAACTCTAGCTTCAAGCCATTATTCCAAGACTCTAAGTTTATTTCTTTTTTCGAATTCATCAACAGTTGGCTCAATTGGACACATTCCACGAATGTTATACAACAATTATTTCAAGTAAACTTCATCGCATTCCAAATCAATTAATGTACCAAATACACCAGGAGCAGCATTAGGATTAACTTTGAAGATATAGATTTCAATATATCTAGTGAATCCATTTTTATAAAGATATCTGGTCAATTCATCAACAAATCCATTCATATCACATAAGAATATCAATGGTCTTGGATCAGATAACTTTTATTCCTTTAAGTAATTTTTGACTTTATCAGCATCATAACAATCTCCTTTTTCTGTAATAACTCTTTCTAATTCTTTGATTTAATTGCATTTAGCAGCAGCTTCGATATATTTATAATAGATATCCTTATCAGATGTTGTGTTAATCAAAGATCCCAAAAATAGGTAGACTCCTTCAAATGCACTAACAGATTCAAAGACCTTAATGCAAGCTGGGATTGTTAATCTTTAATTATTTTAAACTGCGACATTGACAACAACTTATAAATTCTATCTATTGTGTCTTAATAAATCTGAAAGGCATTATAATGTCAATGCAGGGTCAACTCTGGATAAGAAATTGATAAGGAATTCAGGAGGGAGAGCATGAGTATTAAGAATAACTCTTTTAACATCCTTGGGATCAGAATAATTTTCAAGTGCTCTTTGATAAAGTCCTTTTTATTCACATAATTGGGCAACTCTAATTCTATCAAATTGGGTCCAAATGTTCATTGATAAGATGGCATCAGCAACTTATGCAGCAGCCTATAAGTTCAAGCACAAGACCTTAGTTTAGAGTGGTCCATCTTCTGCTCTATTGTTTTTCATGCATTCAACCAAAAAGGCTGTCATTTCTGGTAATCTCTAGAATTATTCAAATAATTCAGCAATTTGATGAACATTGATGCTTTGGTCTCTTTGATATAAAGATTTGGCCATAGCCAAGGCTTGTTCTGGAGATTACATCATCATATTTCTCAACATAGCCATGTAATCTGTCGATACTCCAAATTGTTATTATAATTGCATAGCCAATTCGATCTATCCAGTTTCCATATAGCATTATGCTAATTTCTAATATGATTTGGATAATTTATAGATTTGAATAGCTAAATTGACATCATATTTTTTTAAGAGATCTCCTAATTCATCTGATGGTTCTAATTTATTTTATGCAATCCATTATTCAACGAATTGTTTTCTTCCTTGTTATAAAATTGGTCCACACAATTCAATAGCTTCAAATTTATTTAATGTTCCCTTTTCTAATAATGTTTGGAAATAGACGATGAGTGGTTATGGTTATCCTGGTTGTTGTTGCATTTATTTGAATTTAGCAATACTTTCTGGGTTTCTAAGAACTGTTCCAGGAGCACTGGCAGCAATTTTAGCAGCACTCAAAGCATCTCCAGATAAGATAGCCTTATTGAATTAATCAACAAACATATTATCTGCTCCAGGAAGCTTATATCTACTGGCCAAACGGAATCCCAATTGAATAACCTCTGGAATATGTCTGCAAGTGTTAATTAAGTAAGACACCAATTAGTCATCATTGACAGATATTGTGTAGACAATACCTTCCTTACCAATAATATGATATTATCCTTGATTAATGTTTGGGGCACCTACAAAGACATTCTCGTTGCAGATTCTCTATTGGATTATAAAATATCATATTATACCTCTCTGAATATCAAACTGGCAGTGCTTAATTCATAGACAGTCAAAAATGAATATTTGCTTATTACATAGATCAATCCATATCTTTGATTAATGTGCATTAAGACTGGGAAATCTGTTGGATAATTTGGATCAGTTTAAACTTCAACTTATCTTTTGTATTTTTAGAATCCATTGGGGGGTACTCCAATTTCTGAGATATGTAATCTGCTTGTTGTTTCACCAGACTTTCTCTCCACAAAACAGAATAAACTGCTTTTGTAGTCATCTGTGTGAATCAAGGCATCTCCAAAACAGCAACAATGTCCTTCTAAGATTTATTACCTTGCCTATTCAATCAAAAATAATTGAATGTGACCATTAATTGTTCTACCTCCATCTGGTGTTGAAATACCATATAATGCACACCATTTTTCATTTCCTTCCAATCCATATCCTATGATTTACACTGGATTCTCTGATGACAATGCTCCAGATCTTGTTTTATTATTATTTAATACGATACCTGTCCATCACTTTAACTTGTTGCTCATTAGGATTTGTGATATTGATGTGATATACTGCTGTTGGAGTAACATATGCTAATTTTTATGGGTTGACCCATCTCCAAAACACTATAGTCTCATTCAATTCGACATTCTTTATTCTCTATTTCTCATCCAAATTGAAGATTTAGATCACAGTTGAATTTGGCTATTCACCTGCAGCTCTAAGAGCGATGATATTCTTTTCTGTGGTGCATTAAAGCAGAGTCTGCCTTGTTTGGCTTACGAGAAATCAATTGCTTTGTCTCAAAATTGAATTGCAATAATTGAGTATCTCCATTCGGGGCTGTCTCTCTGATTGTGATATATTTATCTGATTCGAAGAATATTTAACCAAACTTGAAATTGGTTTGACTAACACCCAATTAAGAAAATCGGTATGCCTCTTAAACTCTTATTGGTCTTAATGGATTCATAATAAAATAAAAATTTAAATTCACATCTCCACATCATATCGTATTTGAATTCAATAATTAATTAACATAATTTAATAATCATAATAGGAATTACGCAAATATTTTTAATAATCTGTTTACAAGAAGCATTCATTCAAATAGGGATCTAAAACACAAATGTCTCATTCTGCATATTAATAATCAAGATTTACGTACTTCACCTTTGGATAGGTATAATTGTAACTTAAATTTTATATGTCTTGTAATATATAATCTAAACTGTATTTAGTTAATAAATAATTTTGTTTAAATTGTTTAATTTATCAATTATTATGATGCACACGTATAAAATATACTATTTATATAAAATTTATTTAAGTTTCTATAAGATAAACAATAATTATGATGTAATGTTTTTTGATGATATCTTATTTGAGTGAAATAAAAGATTAATGAACTTAATTTTAAGTCATTTCAATATGATATTGTATGCTCATTATCAAGATTTATGAGCATAATTTTTATTAATATGAATAAAAGTTTTAAAAGTTACCCTTCCTTTGCTGCCTTCTAGATAGAGTAAGCAAAATCAAATAGGTAATTTTGATAAGTATAACAGTTTGAAAAAAGATTACTCTACGTTTATCATAACTCAGTTTATGATTTGACGGATTTCATAGATAAACATCCTGGAGGAAGAGGTCCTTTAAACACATACAAAGGTAGAGATTTAGAAAATGTATATCATAATGTTTAGATTATAGATATTTTTCAATCCAGCAATACATAAACATAGCTAATCAGCATTTAATACATTTGAGAGGTATAAATGTGGAATAATTGAGAACAAACCAATTTAATAATAACAACAATCCATGTTAGGCTCAAAATCAACAAATGTTTCGCAATCCATTATAACAAATAAGTCTCAAAAAAATACACCTTAAAAAAATGATTCTGATAAAAAACTTCAATAAAAATCATAATCTGTTAAACCTAAGGCTCAACAACAAGAAGATAGACTAAATCAATCTATGAGTAAATTAAATCAATCAATGACTAGCAGTGTTAAATCTTAATTTTTACTCATACCAACATAATAAGAATTACTGATGATACAAAAACAGAAATAGCAGAAACTAATTAAATAGTGGAAATAATCTGAAGTTGAAGAGTTAAAAAGACAATAAGCCGAAGTTGAAAAATTAAGAGTTGAAAAAAATGAAGATCGAAAGACTTAAAGTGAAATTTTAGTTTCTACTCGTAAAAAATCTACAAACCCTTATTATTCAGCATGGCTTGAAAAACAGCAACAGCAGGAATAATAACAGAAAGAAGAATCCAAGATTTCTAACATTCTACCTGCCTATCTAACATAATCTAGTGATTAACAAGTAGAAGATCCAAGATTTCAACCATTTACTTTTGATGCAGAAAAAAAGAGGCAACATGACTCAAAGTTATCTTAATCTGTCATCGTATAAAAAACTTAGAAGAAAGTTAATCCTTATTACGAAGAATGGAAGAGAAAGTAAAGCTTAAAAAGTTAAGAATCCCAAAAGGAATTAACTTTTTAAGAGAACAATCAATTATCAAAACAGCAATCTATTATTTTAGAAGAGAATGAATCTTAGATTTCTGGATAGCCTTCTTCCATAAATAATAGTTTCCAAAGATCATATTCAATGAGTTAGAGAACAATCGTATAAGAAAATCCTTAATTGAGTGTACCTATTTTTGCTCCGAAGTTTATCTCTCCTATCAAGGCCAAATTCGTAATTAGCTCTAGCATGTAAAAGCTATGAAGTAGATGAATGTGGGTATATAAAATTTTTTTTAACTACTTTTTATAATTTTAAGTTTATAACAATTAATATCTAATCCAATGAATAATCCCATTTTTAATACTGCAAGGATATTTTTGCAAAACAAATATCACTTTCCCACTCCCTTGGAATTATTCAAACACCTTATCACTAATTCAAGTTATTTTCAGACATTGTCATTGAAAAATGACTCCAATGATGAGCTTTTATATAAACTGATTTTCATTGCAGGATTTCATGAAAGAAGAAATTGCGGAAGTATTGTTAAGGAATTTTCTTAAAATTGCTTGATTTAAATTAGAGATCGAATAGAGGACATGTCTCTGGATATACCTACTTTAATTTAAGCTTTTTTATCTATGAGCAATGTTTTGCTAGATGATGAAAAAATTGTTTCAACTATTTTGAAATAATTGAAAGACCAAGAAGATTAAATCACTCTTAAATAGTTTCATTCTATCTAGCATTGCTTATACAAATTGGGGAGACAGAATAATTATTGGTCATCTAAAGCTTGTGATGCTATGACCAATAATTTAACTACAATTATAATCCAAGACTATGTATAATACTTGCATATTGCTAGCAATTTATATTAATTTGGTTTGTTTTAAGAAGAACATCTCATTAAACTTTTGGATATTTTATATTACAAACTTGGAAAATAATAAAAACATATATACTCTTCTAAATTTACATTCTAATTTGCCTAAATGATGTTTAACATCTATCCTGAAATTATCAATTAACCATTAAATTAACTCTCTTGTAAGCCGCATACTCCTTTTGAAATGTATTTCTAGTTTCTGAAAAGGGATTATTAAATTTGTAGATAAATCCTTCAAAGAAAAAACCTTGGAGTTACAATAGATTATTTTGAGAATGAAAATTTTCCATTCCTATTAAGATTAAGATAAGATTCTATTAGTCGAACCTAAACTCTTTTAGAAACTGAAATTATTGAGATTCTAAACAAATTGTAATTAAAATTCCTTAAATTTTAAAAAGTTCTTATTTATGACGTTGATTTTAAAGTGATGGACAATTATGCAATTAATTGTAATGGGCCACTACATTTTATTTCAACTTTGGATGGAAAAATAAAATAAAAATCATTCAACACAATGATGCAATATAGGTATTGTCATACATAAATAAAGACATTTGAAAGCTCTGGAAACTCCAAATGTCATAGATTTTGATTTTTTCGATTGGAAACAAGAAGACTCTATGGAATTCAAAATATCAAAAATAAAGACACTCTTGAATTTGATTTGATATCAATGAAGAGAATATAAATATACATTTATAAATCAGTATTTAGTTTTATAAAAGTAAAATAACAACGTGTTTATAAAATAATTATTAATTAAATAAATATTTAGATCAAATATAATGTGAATCAAAAGTAATGGAATTATTATGATTGGGATTATGTTGTGATTTATTATGATTTGGATGATAATTAGATTGATTAGAGGATTAAAATAATCTGTGAAAATATAGAAAATAAGTTACTTTTAATATGATATTTTAGGTTCAATAGAGATTTTGGTAGGAATATATTTGGTTAGAATAGAACTCTTTCTTTATGCATTTAATATTTTTTTTCTGATTAATTCACTAGTGGCAGTTTATTTTTTTGGAATAGTTTTATCTGGTATTTTAACAATAATAGATTTTATTGATTTCTTTAATGTAATTTAATGTAAAGGTGTAGGTATTTTAAATGGAGGATGAAAGAAATATTAAGCTGAATTAATAAAAGATTATTATTATTATTGTTATTATTATTATTATTATGAACTTTTTATTATTTTACCTGAAAATGTTCTAATCAATCTTCTATTTGTTGAAATACTTACTTTTCCATCATCTTCCATTTATAATTTTAATATTGAATAAGATTATTTTAAATCATAATCATTGCTTACAGAAACATTTACCATCTTTTTATTCTTTCCTCTATTCATTATTATTTATTTTGGACTACTTTATATACTTAAACTAGATTAACTTCTATATTTCTAAAATAAAACTGGATCCATTTATCAACTATTCTTTATTATTTTTTTCTTTATTTATATTTAATCAATTTATTTTTTTATTATCATCCTCCCTATCCAACATCCACTAATCTATCTACTACTTTCTATTTCTATTCTCAAAATTTTTATGTATTCCCATAAGTATATCGGAATATTTAAAGCTCGAAATTACTTTAAATTAAGGGCAATTATATTATTTATAATGAATATAATATTTTTATTCTTTACGCTAAATTATTAGGATAATTTATTTATAAACAGTAATAGCAAAATTTTGTTAGTGAGAATATTACTAATATTATTAAGAATAGAACTTATAAAGCCATCTTAAAAGGAATAGTAAAAAATCTATTCTCTATTAAGATTTAAATAACGTATTTTATCTTAATAAATATTCGAGATTTCATGGTTGATAAATATTTAATATGCTTATATATTTATTTATTCTTGTTCATCTGAAGACTTCGTTTAAGTATTTCTTCTCATCAAACAATTTTTCAATAGATAATTCTGGAATCTCCACTTCTTCCCATTTACCTTCTCTATCAAAAAGGTAAAATTCATTTTGTTAATTGTTGTAATAAATCATATCGTAGTCAACTCGAATAGTGTGCTCAAATAAATTAAATCTAGCACTTTGATTATAATCACCAAAAGTAGCAGGGATAATGTTTTAAGGAACAACCTATCATAATGATTTAATCAAACATATTTAGTATAAATTCCTGAATGAGCCAAGCATTTCAATTACAATAGATTAGATTCTTTAGTATATTACATTCCAACAACAAAATGTTTGCCATGATCAAATAAATACCTCTCAAGAAAGATGGGAACTAATTAAAAGTATTCTTTGAAAGGTACATAAGATTATGAAAAATTATTTAATTTTTAATCTAGCAATGTGTTTATAATAATAATACCTGAAATTGATGACTTATATAAAGGAATCAATGTATTTTGATTAATAGAGGAAATGCTGACTTTATTAATGAAATGATATCTGAACAAGGATTTCATTATTTAATATTAATAATATAAATATTTATAATTCTTATCAATACTTTATATTGATTTGGAAATGTAGTCTATTTATTTATTATTTTAAGTGTTCTTCCAAAGATCCGCACTCTCCATTTAAAATCTCTTAATAAATATCTAGAGCTTATTAGAGTTACCCAAGCTTTTCATTTGTTTCTGCTAATTATATTTCAAATTAATTAATTTCCTCAGTAAGCATATCTTAAATCTTAGCCCAGTTTATGGCCTTTTGTAATAATTCTTTAGCTGTTAAATATTCTTCGATATTATAAAACTCTTTGCTTAAGCGAACCATTAAATTTACTTATCCAGCCTAATTACATACTATAGATTAAATACATCAGTTTTATTCATCTCTTTCAAGGCTGAATTAGCATCTCTGAACCTTTTACCATCCTTTAAACAATTTAAAGCAATATATCCCCAGACCGTATCATTTGTAGGTTCATAAAGATTAGCCATTCTTAAGGCATCTTCTGCCTCTTTATACTTTCCGCATTCATGAGAAGATATACCCAATCCCATCCAAGACAATGATGAATTATCCTTAATTTAACAAGCTTTTGTGAATACTGCTCTAGCATTCCCAAATTATTTTTCATTTATATAAATTGAACCCAACATCAAATACATACTAAAATAAATAATCGGATCCTCTCTTAGTTAGGGATTTGGTAATACGAATTTAATCTATTTTTCACATTTATCAAAATCTTGACTCTTAAACAATACTTTTATGTATTCAATACGTATATCCAAGTCTTCAGGATTAAATTCTTTAAATATTATGTGATTATACCTAGCATATTTTCAATTAAATCCAAGCACTGAGCATATTCAGACTTATATAAGTATATCTTAGCTCTTAACATAGTAATTTTATTATGAGATTGATCATTTAAAAGACTCAATGATTATTCAGCCAACTCAAAAAGGCAAGCATTCTCAAAGAATTCCACCAGTTACAATATCATCTGATCCTATTATTATTCAGTCAATTATGGTTAATTATGAGCATTCTCCCAAGCAATTCTTTATTATTCTCTTTGTTCTAAAATTGCTTTATCTTTTTCAGGTTTATCTGGAACTGGAATAGGAATCTTAATCCAAGGAAGATCAAATAGCTAAGGATCTTCATGATGCATTCCTTCTTATTTAATTAGATTCAGTTGTCTAAGCCATATTCTCTCTGCTTTTTGCATCATGAAATCTGCTAATTCTTAATCTTATTATTAAATAATAAGATTGTAAAAAAGATGATAAATTAGATTATTTGGATCTTAATCTAATAATAATTCCAAAATAAATTTAGCTTCTGAAATCTTTTCTCTTTTTTAATATAAACCAGCTAATAGTAATTAATTTTATTGATTATGACCATCAAAAGATAATGCTTATTCTACAAGTGTTACAGCCTATTCTATTTTTGCACATCTAAGACAGAAGAATGCAAACTTCATTAAAGCATCCTGATCTTTTGGGTTAATTATATTTAAATCTCTTAAATGTTTTTCTACCTCTTCAGTTCTATTTAATATCTCATATTCTTAACATAATCTCTCAAGTTATTGTTTTCTAGTTTCAATTTGTTTTTTCTACTATGATTTCCTAAAATCCAACATCTTAGATAGTTTTTTTCTTTGAAAGTAAATGAGAGAAATCCTCTTACAATGCTTCTTTATTCTCTCTCACCATATTAATTAAGACTTATCTCATTTCCTCCATTAAAAACACATAAAGTTCAGAATAAAATTAATCACTTTATGTTGTTGAAATGCCTGTTACTGAACCAGACTTATTAAACTTATCTCTACATAACTTTACAATACTCTTTTTTATTCTTTCCTTTAAAATTTTGTATTTTCCTGATATATTAAAATCATATAAAAAATGTTCCTTTCTCTATTAAAGAGACTATTTCTTATGTGTCATTAACATATTACTTTATTTTTCATTTTGATATTTGTTTAGGTCTTTCGAAAACATATTAGAGTATTCCATAGCTAATGATTCTATTATGACCTAAAGATCACTCCTCAACTCTTCAATACATTACTAACTTAATGGGATTGGTCGAGGTTCCGGAGCCAAAGGGATCAAGTCTTAAAAGGTAGGTTATGGTTCAAACCTTACAGGGGTTATTGGTTGAGATAAATTAATCTTTAGATACATATACATTGTTTCTATATTAGGCTTTGGTGTTTCTGGAGGAGATTGCTCATCCATATACTAAGTAAACTTTATTCTTTAAATGGTTTCAGTTTATCCTGGAGTTTAAAATGGCAAATAATCAATCCAGGCTTTAAATACAATGATGTTTAAGTCGTTGATATTTAAAGTCTTTGGTTTAGTTTTTTTAAGTTTTGCTACTTCTTCATCTCCTGGAATGGGAGATTTATACAAAAATATCCATTCCCCTTAATCAACTCTCACTCTCTCTTATTGTATCACTAGCTTTTATCCAGTTAATTCTTAAGAAAACTAATTTTGATCAAACTTAATGCTAGGACTTTTGAATTGATCTTCTTAAGTTTTATAAAATTATTCCTCTTCTGTCAAAGCATCCCATTCTGCCTTAAGTCTTTATTATTCTTCAAGTTCCATTTATTCTCTGAGAAGCTTCTCTTTCTCCTCCTCTGGTGTTAATTTAGGAGGCTAAGAGTATTAATTCATATTACTTCAATTTTAGCATCTTTTTTTGGTTGCTTTTTTGCTTTCTTTGCAGCTTCTGCTTCTTCAATTTCTTTTTTCTCCTTCTCAGTTAGCTCTCTTGGTAATACTTTTCCACCTGACAATCTTTAATCAAGAAATGCAACTGAGTATTAAAATAAATTTGGATTTGACTCATCAGTTACTCTCCATTCCTCAGGAAACGAAAATACACCATTTAGAACAAAATTCATCTTGATATTTGTTTTTCTTGCTGGCAATCTTTCAAGAAGTTTTAACTCATTCATAATTATTATTATAAATAAAGAAAAAATTTAAATAAGAAAATTGTTTAATCCTTTATTTGTTATAATCCATACTCAAAGAATTTATTTGCTAAATAATTTGGTTTAGTAGAATACTACAATTTAGTAAATAAGTAAGTTAGTTTTAATAAAATTTATGAAATGAAAAATGAAAATTTCTATTGTAAATAAAATCTATAATATAATAATACATATATATTTTGATTGAAATTAACTCAATAAAATCGAAAGTGGAGGTCTAAAACAAAGACCAAGAGAATAATTTTTGAGATAATCAAAAAAAAGATGATTATATTAATTTATTTCTACCTCAAAATAATTGAAGTATTTTCTTAATGAAACTTCCTTCAATTATTATCTTAAATTTTTGGATTTTGAGAATAGAAATAGAAAGTAGTAGATAGATTAGTGGATGTTGGATAGGGAGGATGATAATAAAAAAATAAATTGATTAAATATAAATAAAGAAAAAAATAATAAAGAATAGTTGATAAATGGATCCAGTTTTATTTTAGAAATATAGAAGTTAATCTAGTTTAAGTATATAAAGTAGTCCAAAATAAATAATAATGAATAGAGGAAAGAATAAAAAGATGGTAAATGTTTCTGTAAGCAATGATTATGATTTAAAATAATCTTATTCAATATTAAAATTATAAATGGAAGATGATGGAAAAGTAAGTATTTCAACAAATAGAAGATTGATTAGAACATTTTCAGGTAAAATAATAAAAAGTTCATAATAATAATAATAATAACAATAATAATAATAATCTTTTATTAATTCAGCTTAATATTTCTTTCATCCTCCATTTAAAATACCTACACCTTTACATTAAATTACATTAAAGAAATCAATAAAATCTATTATTGTTAAAATACCAGATAAAACTATTCCAAAAAAATAAACTGCCACTAGTGAATTAATCAGAAAAAAAATATTAAATGCATAAAGAAAGAGTTCTATTCTAACCAAATATATTCCTACCAAAATCTCTATTGAACCTAAAATATCATATTAAAAGTAACTTATTTTCTATATTTTCACAGATTATTTTAATCCTCTAATCAATCTAATTATCATCCAAATCATAATAAATCACAACATAATCCCAATCATAATAATTCCATTACTTTTGATTCACATTATATTTGATCTAAATATTTATTTAATTAATAATTATTTATGTTGAATTTTGATGTTTCTTAAATAATCAGAGATATATATTTATAGTATTAATTATTTCGATTCAGTCCTAATTGAAAATTTACTTTAGGAATTTTTTAATTACTATACTCTTTTGTAATAAAATAATATTAATGATTATAAATAAATTTTTTTCAGCATTTTCACAACTCATTAGCAAGGCTTCCAATGCAGTCAAGTAGCCTTAATTAAAACAAAATTTAATTCAACCTGAACCTATGAGATTAAGTAAATACCTGGCTTAAACAAGTGTATGCTCAAGAAGAGAAGCAGAAAAAATGATAGAATCTGGAATGATATTGGTTGATGGGAAAAAAGTCGAAAGCAATATACCAGTTACTTCTGAAAATAAAATATAAGTATTCACAAAAAATGGAGAGAAGATGCCAACTAAGCAGTCAACTGTAATCAGCCTTTATTATTAAAGAAAGTTTGGATTTTCTACAAACCTGTTGGCATGATATGCTCTCATAATGACCCTTTCAAGAGACCATCATTTTATGATTTTGCAAAACTTAGATTAAAAACAGATTAGCATATTATTTCTGTGGGAAGATTAGATTTTAATTCTGAAGGATTGATTGTAGTTACAAACGATGGAGAACTGGCTAGATGCATGGAATTACCTGAAACAAAGTTACAACGTATATATAGAGTCAGAGTTTATGGTACTTTTACAGAAGAGAAATTGAAAAAGATAAGAAATGGTATCACAATAGCTGGTGTAAATTATGGTCCATATTGGGTTAACGTTGAGAACAGGTACAAAAGCAATTAAATTTAGGTAGTCAAGAAACACTTGGTTAATTATGAGATTAGAATAAGGTAAAAATAGAGAAATCAGAAAAGTAATGTAGAAATTTGATTTGAGAGTTAATAGACTGATTAGACAAAGTTATGGTCCTTACAAGCTCATGGGTTTGAAACCAGGTGACTTTTATGAAGCTTAAATTGAACCTGAAATAAAGAGAAAACTCTACCTTCACACTAGGAAAAAGTTATAGAATGTATAGGAATAGATTTAATTGGAATAATCAAAACTTAATATTAAAGCCTTAGATGAGCAAGGCAAGAATGATAAGTTGCTTGAGAAATAAGAAAATGATAAAATTGATAAGAAGAATTTAATTGTAAATTAATCTAAGAAAGTTAATTCAAAAAAAACCGTTTGATTTTTTTAATAAATATTTTAGCAATTATAAAGTTAATTTAAATAGTTTAACCCTTATAAGGGATCATGAGAATTTATACATAGAAAGTTGATTAGTTTTTATGGTTTCGATTTCCGAAAGTGCATTTTCTAATCTTTCTCTTAACGCATCAATTTCAATACTGCATAGAACTTTTTCATATTAATAGTTAAGTTTATTAAAGTCTTAATACTAATAATGCAATTTCTTAGTTATATATACAATATTTTTACATGAATTTATTCTTACAAATCTTTTTTCTCTTTAGACAGCATTGCTACTTATTTTGTCAATTGGTTAATAGTTTCTTAGTTATCAATTTATTCTTTATTCCTTAAATCAGATTAGTACTTAAAATTATCGATTTCTTTTTGTTGCTGTTGCAATTTTTAATCTAATCGAATCTTAATGAATTATGAAAAAAGATACTTTCTGTTATGATTATTATGATAAATCATTTAGTAGCTATTATCTTTCTTGTTAAAATTATTGGATTTCTTTAGACATTAATTAAAACTTTTATGTAATATCATCTTAGAATTCTTATTCAAACTTTCCTTGTTTTGCTTTTGCTTAATTTAACTCTTATTCATAATTCTCTCTAATGGATAGCATTTATTATTGCAATTAGTCATATTTTAACTATAATTAAGAGAACTAAATATTTTATGATTTAATCTAATTATCTTTTTCTTTGGAGAGATCTTTCACTTTATTTATTTAATTGAGCATATCCTATTCATATATAGTGTAGGAGAGTTTATCATGATTCTTCTTTTCTTGTAATTAGTTATTCAAATGTTTATTAATAGAATTTAAATTTTCAATTTCATTTCGTTACTCTATAATTTTCGTTTCATATATCGAAATTTATGACTAAAGTATTTCTAATTGATTTTAAAGTTCATGATTATAAGTATCCAACTTCCGAACATCAATACTTAATATTTCTAGTTAAGTGTTTCTTGTTTTTAAATCATCAATTTCATTTTCTCTCAAATTAATAATTTCTTTAAGTTTTTCTAGTTCTTATTCATTCACAACTCTTTTTTTCATAATCTCCTATTATGTTCTCATTTCATCCATATCAATTTTAATTCTTTGATATAGATTATTCATTCGTACCAATTCTTTTTATGCTTAATCCTTCTAAGCATTAGCATCAACAATCTATGTTTTTAATTCAAATTAATCCATCTCTAATTAATGACATTTCTTCCTTGTTTTTTCAGTTTCTCTATTCGATGTATCTAATTCCCTTTATAAATGTTTGAGTTCATCATTTAAGCCATTCAAAGTAGCTTAATAAAATTGCTTTAATTGTTAAGATTGATTATGCATTTCCATTTTATAATGGTTTTCCGCATCTTACAATTATTTAACTTTGTCATTTTCACTTAAAATAAACTTTTATCTCCATTAATCACTTTCATTTCTAATAACTCTAATTCTATCTTCAACTTCCCCTATATAATCGATCATCGCTTTTTGCCGAATATATTTCTGAGAATTACTATTATGGATGTTAAAGTTCAACAGCAGAAGTTGGCAATTTCAATTCTTTTTGTTATGGGAAAGTTTATATTTGCTGAATAGTTTATTGCGGTATATAATTATTTGGTGATTACTAAGTTCTATAAACAGTTTGGCCGGATTTTGGCGCAACATTAACTGGGGACATATTTTATCTGATTTTATTAGCATAAACGATCTATTCATTTACAGGAACAGGAACTGCTTGATGCACAATTGCATTCAATGCTGGTTTCTATTATTAAGGTTCAGATGAAAAAGAATTTTTGTTTGGTTAATATGCATTTGGTGAAACCGATCTCATTAATTATTTATTATTAAATTTATTCTCAAAATATAAACAATAAATTTATTATATCTAATTTCTTAACGTACTTTTTTTTTAATATTACTATCTATTTATTTTGATATATGCTTAATATGAAAGGGTTTATTTACTTCATAAACAAGAAATATTTGGATGAAATATAATTTATTAAATTAGATTGTTATCAATCACCTTTAAAACTATAGTTATTATTATTCAAATAATTTTTAGATTGAGGAATGATATATTAAAAGCTGATCTATTAACAAAAATGATCTTACAAAAGTAACCTAATTTTGTGAGGATAAAATAAGATATATCTTTTATTGCTTGAATTAAATGAATTCGGTTATATTAAGTTTTCTTACACATGATTTTTAGAATAAATCTATTAACCTCTTTTAAGAAAGAGGAAAAGAATCCCAATATAAACTTTTCTACTTAAATTATACTATCTCCTTCTTTAAGTGATAAACAGAAATAGATGATTCTAAAAAGTATCTTATCAAAATCTACAAAACCTAAATTACATATTATTTTAGCCAAAAAATAACTCTGATCTTTACATTATGACCAGCATTAGGTACTATTTGGCATTATTTGAAGATGATGTAGTCAGTATTAAAAGAAATAGTGTTATGGTATATTTTATTATAAAAATTATTCAAATATCTACAAAAAATCTGAAGAAAAGTTTCAAACTTAGAATATACTTAATAAGCAACAGTCTCTATAAAGGAGTTCTTTTAGTAATAATAAGATGACTTTTATAATATAAAAATTTATCGAAATAATATTACTTAGTTTTTATATTAAACAACTTTCTATTTTTTTTCATAATATATTAATTTTAACAGAATAATTCAGGTATTTAAATTTGTAATATATAATGCTCTAATCACCTAAATATGCAATTTCAACTGCTAAATCTTAGTAGAAAGTGTTGACCTTAGAAACCAACACCTCTTAATTTGATGCCACTTCAACAATTATCTAATCAATGTATTTACAAATAGATGAATTGATTGAAACAATAAAAAAGAGAAATCCAAAGTACATTAAATAATAGAAAACTGAAGAGAATAGCATGACATATCAAGATTAATTAAACATGTTTAAGGCTGATGAAGAATCAACTAATTTATAATAGTATTATTTAGCGATTGAATCAGAAGAAATATCAAATGCCTTATATGCCCAACCAAATGATGTTTTACTTTAATAGGCACAGATGAAAAAAACTTTATAAGCTCTTTAAACAAAGATAAATCAAACTAAACAAGTAAAATTGTTTTTTATATAAAAGACTCTTAGTATAACCGAAAATGAGTATAGAGAACTTGAATCAAAAGCACAAGCTATCTAGGAAAAACAATAAAATTATGCTTCAATCTTATTAAAACTCAAAGAAAAATAATAGATTAATGATTCAGTTAACAAATTACTAGATTAAGTAGGTTAATAGTAATGGTTAAAGCTACGTTAGTTATTTGATGTAGATATGATTAAGCTTAGTATTCCTTTTGAAAAGCTGATTAGACTTTAGCAATTATTATTGAAGGAATCAGAAAATTTGATACAAGTTGGAAAGCATTAATGTGTCTTGGAGGAGAAGAAATAATTTCTAATTGAGATTCAGTTATAATCACCATTAATTAATCTAGTATTGTCATTTGATTAGATCCTGTTAAACATAATTCATCAACCAAAAGATTAATTAATCTCCAAGTAAGGATTATTAGTGTAAACCGTGAAATGTCTTAATATTCTGCACTAAAACTTTTGCTGCATTATTCAAAGCTTGACTAAGTAAAATTATTCTTAAAAACAATTTGAGGAGTCTCAAAAGGAATTAATGTAGGTAACTGCTTAAGCTAAGGCATTTTCATTGAACAAAACTTAGTTGTTAATCGAAATTGATAAAATGAAGAAGCAACTAAAAGAAGTGTAATAATAACTATAAAATTCTTAAATGACGACAGATCGAAATATTGAAAATGAAGTCTAAAACCTGTTAGCAATGTATTTGAAGGATAAAGAAATCTTGATGAGGGAAATAAAATTTAAATATGGTAAATAATATCATGACCATATGATTTTGGATGTCAAATAAGAATTCAAGAAAATATGTTTGGGATAGTAATTTGAGTAAACAAAAAAGATTGAATAAGCCTATAATAGAATGGATGAAATCTAAAAATAAATTATTAAAAATAAGGATAAAATTATTGAGTTATTGAAATAGTTGAAAGAGTATAAAAATACCTTTCAACAATCTAAAACGGAGGAATCGTAGATAGATAAAAAGGAATTCCTTCTACAACTATAAAATCTAAAAATTATTTTACTTTAGCTTGAAAATAAAATATAGAAAAAAACACAACATAACTCAGAATAGCTGTTATAAGACCTATAGGTAGAAATAAATAAATTAAAGGAATTTATTGATCAAAATTTTGTTGTTTAAAAACAAAGAAGTGATTCTATCGATACTATAAAAAAAACATAAAAGTTTGAACATGGAAGATCATAATCATAAATACCAATAATTTCAACTTTGGGATCTGAAATTTCTGGTCCAATTTAAAGTCCAAAGAATATATAATATCCAGTTTAAAACGCTCAAGAGATATTTGATTCATCAGATGATCCTATTTAAATTGTCAAGAAGCCATTTTCTGAATGGAATAGTTATCAATTAAGCTTTAATTAGAATTAGCTGAAATCAATATCTGGTATAAGTGGATAAGAATAATCATTTATCACATAAAAAGAAAGTAGCTTACATGGTTCCATCCTAGAAGCTATGTCTAGTAATAGAAATAAGAAACCAGAGATTCATCTCATAGTATTCTTACAATTGAACGAAAGTACCAAAACCTATGATCCAACTAAAAATGAAGATCCAACCAAATATGGTTATAGGCTGTATAGAATTGATAATCAATTTAATGTAAACAATTAAATTATGAAAAGATCTTTAGTTCGGAAGAGAATGAGAATATGAATAGTTACTAAAAGTTTGAAAGGCGACTTGATGTTAAATAACTTATTTTGGTAAGGATAATATTTAATTATAGGATGATTGCAGCCAAAATGCTTTGAAGTTTAGGATGATTTATGAACCTTCAATGAGAGGAATAGTTTAAGATAGTTTGGCTCTAAGACATTTAAATATGCAACATCTGCCATTCAAATTATAAGGAAACACTTTAATAGTAAATGGGTTATGCTTAAACGAGCAAGACTTAATTAAATTATAATTATTATTTAAGTAATGAATATATTATTAAACAATTATTGAATTACGTGTCCATATTATTATTAAAATATTATTGTATTACGTGTCCAGATAATTATTTTTTTAATAATAATAATAAATATATATGGTTCTTGCAGAACTAGGAAAATCCATTAATGCAGCACTTTAAAAACTCAACAAAGCCCCTGTTGTAGATGAGGCACTAGTAGACTAAATATTAGGTGAAATTGCCATGGCTTTATTAAAAGCAGATGTTAATGCAAAATTTATAAAAAAACTAAGAGAAGATGTTAAGATGGAATTCAAACTATGTGAGGAGGAGAATATTAATCATTAAAAATTGATATAGAAAGCAGTTGTTGACGGATTAACAAGAATGCTTGAGAGCGATCGAAAGCCATTTTAACCTAAGAAGGGTATTTCTAAAGAAAATATAAATAGGAAAATAAAATGTTATCATGTTTGTTGGTTTATAAGGTTCTGGTAAAACAACTACTTGTACTAAATATGCTTATTATTACTAAAAGAAAGGTTGGAAAGTAGCCTTAGTTTGCGCTGATACGTTCAGAGCAGGAGCTTTTGATTAATTGAAATAAAATGCCACTAAAGTCAGAGTTCCATTTTATGGGTATGAATAATATCGAGACTAGATCTTATACTGAAGCTGATCCTGTATAAATTTCATAAGAGGGTGTTAATGTGTTTAAAAAGGAAGCCTTTGAAATAATCATAGTGGATACATCAGGAAGACACAAGTAGGAAAACGACTTGTTTGAAGAAATGAAATAAGTAGAAGCTGCAGTAAAGCCAGATGATATCGTCTTTGTTATGGATTCCTCAATTGGGTAAGCCTGTTACGATTAAGCTTTGGCATTTAAGAAAGCAGTTAATGTCGGATCTGTTATTATAACAAAGTTGGATGGTCATGCCAAAGGTGGTGGTGCTTTGTCAGCAGTAGCAGCTACAGAATCTCCTATTGTATTCATAGGAGAAGGTGAGCATTTTGATGATTTGGAATCTTTTGAAGCCTCATCTTTTGTTAGAAGACTATTAGGCTTAGGGGATATAAATAAATTATTTTAATCTGTTAAGGATGTTGTGAATATGAGAGATCAACCATAATTAATATAAAAGTTAAAGGAGGGTAAATTTTCAATAAGGGATTTGTAAACATAATTCAATTCTGTTCTTAAATTAGGATCCTTAAATCAATTTATGTCTGCTATTCCAGGAATGGGCAGTTCGGTTTTATCAAAAGGAAATGAGAAAGAATCAATAAAAAGAATTTAGAGATTTTTGTGCATTATGAATTCTATGACAGCTGATGAATTGGATGGTGAAGGTACATAATTTTATCAATTTAGGCAATTTAAATTTTTGTAGAATTGTTCGAATTGCCAAAGGATCAGGTACATCTATAGAAGAAGTTCACATCTTATTAGATGAACACAAAAAATTGTCTAAAGTAGTTGGAAATTTAGCTAAAACTAATTTAGGAGGAAAAAGTATGAGATATTAATAATTTTATAGGAGGAAATGAATTTGAATAACTCAAAAGAAATCCATAATAGATGATGTAAAAGATGAAAGGGGCTATTGATCCAAGTATGCTCTAAAAATTAGGAGGAATGGATAATGTTATGAATATGATGAAATAAATGGGTTAAATGGATGGAATTTAAGATTTGATGAAATAAATGGGAGGAATGGGAGGTATGCCAGGAAAAGCAAAAAGAAAATGATCTAAGATTATTAAAAATTGTAATTCAAACAATTTTATTCTCATAATTTATTATTTATCGATTTCATTTAATCTTTGAGTTATAATAATAGCATTTAATTGCTATAGTCTCTGAATAATTTTAAAATCAGCCACTTTCAGGGTCTTAATAATTCATCAGAATGATATAGGTTTATTAAAAGTTTTTAATGAAGTAAAGAAGAGAGAAAGTTATATAAAATCAATCAATCTTCCGAATTGAAGTGTTTAAATAAATGAACAGATTTTGTTAAAAATAATTCCTTTATAATAACAAATAACTTGTTATTAATATACATACATAATAGTCATTGATTTTTTTGACCTAATTTTTAATTTAGGTTTTATTGTAGCATTTAATTTCTTTTTTAAAGCTCTTCATGAATTTTTTATAATTCTTCGTAATGATTTTACAAAGTTTTTAACTCTCTTTCTTATTATTTCAAATTCTATTCGTAATCTATTTATGGCAATTGATCTAATTCACGCATTAATCTATTAATTTCAAATTCTTGTGCATTTATCTCTTCAATTGCATCAGATTGATTTATTTCAACGCAACTCTTATCTAATTTTTTTAATTCTTCTAGTCTTAATAATTTTTTGTATGATTGTTCTAATTTTTAATAATCAGATTGAGGAATTTATGGTTCCTTTTCCTCCTTGTCTTCCTCTATCACTATGTCATATGTTTGAGTTGAAGTGGATAAATAAATAGTTGAGTTTGATTGTAAATTATTTGGAGGAATTTCCAATCCATTATACTCCTTAATTTTCTAAGAAATTGTGTAATTTTATAAATCTATGTTTTATAAATTTACATCAATTTGGTTATTAGATTTTGTTTGATTCCTTTAATTTTTAAGTTTTTTTTTATTATCTTCCTTTTTTAATTTTTTTAGTTATTTCTAGTCATTTAATATTGTTATTAAATTCATTTATTAAATTTAATGAAAAAAGAAATCAAATTAATCGAGTAATTATTTTTAATTCTTATACTTCTTTCTGTCAAAGAAAATTGATTATTGAACATCAGTATAAAAACTAAAATCGAAAAATTTTAATATAAATTTTAGATGTTAGGGCTAAAATGAAGAGGATTTAGCAAAAATAAAATAAATCATTTGATTCAATAGAATGATTCATTTGAAATTATACTCTCTATTTCCTCACATTCATATGTTTATTACTTTTACAATTTCTCCTGATCTTATTAGATTAATGAGATCACCTATTTACTTTAAATACTTTAGTTTGTGCTGAAAAAGCTTAGTTAAGATTTTCGTTTCTCCAATAGGGAATTTATTTTTATCGAAACCTATGAATTTTTAATTATCATGTCTGGAGTATTATCCGAAAAATCCCTTTCAATTTCTAATTAAGTAGAAGCTCTTCTTTTGCATTAATTTCTTAAATTCGAAAAGAATCGATCTTATTTCGCTTTAGGATCTGTTTTCATTTTGATGTTCAAAGAACTCAAATAATCAACTATTGATAACTCAATTTGGAGATTTTTTTTTTTTAATTCATTATCTTCTTGGCATTCTCTGATGTTTAATTCCAATGATCTTCCTGAATACCCTCCATAGTAATCTTCTTATTAATCTACATTGATGTTTTAATATGATATCTGAGAAAGATTAAGCTCTTTTAAATTAACTGGTTATTACTATTAATCGAGGTCCATACAAATATATTTTATTAATTTTTAGATGTCAAAAATATCTGAATTATCCATTCATACATTAGTAATAGTAGATGAGTAGATTCTAATATAATACAACTTTGATTCTTATAATGGAGACTCATTTATTCATACTCTAATCGAATCTAATTAAATATCGTTCCTCTATAACCATATACAAGTAAAAGCCTTGAAGGATGCTTTAGAATTTGAAATAATTTCATCTTGATCTTGTTAAAAAGGCAATTCTCTTTAAAGAAAAAGAAATTGAACTGAAATTTTTTAGTATAAAACCAAAAAATAATTATCATAACTGATTTACACGTATTAATAATCTGAACATCATAAAGTGCTGATGAAATATTCTATTCATATTATTTATTTATAAAGGCCAATAATCAATTTGGCTCTAATATCAAGGACAAATAACATATTACCTTAAAAATTAATTATTCATCAGATGAAATGAGATTAAAATTATTCTTTAAAGTGGCCAAAAATTCAAAGTTATATAAAAAGAGTTATTGAATAGCAATCAAACTAAGCTATAAAGAATCTTCATTAACAATGACATAAAGCAGAACATCTAATCAACTTGCTATGAATTTTAATAAACATTTCAAATTTTGTTAACAATTTATTATTGGAAATTCTTCAAATCAATAAGATAATAATTATTAGATTCTCAGCCTTTAAGAACTTTAATACTCCAATATATTCCCCTTATATATATTGCATTTTTTCCAAATTTCAAGCATAATTATTCTAACTTAAAAGTCTTAAATCTCCCATCTTTTGATATTTACTTATATAGAATTTTAGAATGAATTGATTTTGAATAACATATTATTATTAATGCAAAGAATTATGATTGAAAATTTCTCTTAATTGAAATTACAAAAAATTTTGTTATAGTTTTTGCCATTTTAATTCACAGGTGTAAATTCGAGTAAGTTGAACTTAGATTTTGATCGAGGTTTATTGCGACTATCACTTTAATTGGTACTACCTAAACCTAGTTTGAACTTTTAAAAAGCTGATATGAATAAAAACTTTTAATTAAATTTTCATTTTTGTTTTAACAATAACTCTTTATGTGAGTAAGAATTAATTGCTTATTGAGTACTTTTATTTTCTATAAATTAGAAATCTTGTTACTATTTAAAATAAGAACGGCTTGATAATTCAAAACCAATTTAGTACCATATAGAGAAGACTAAAATTTATGAATGTATGAATAAGATTGTAAGGGTAACAAAAGTCATTTATAAATAAAAGACAATTTAGAAGAAGGTTAATCTAATTTAATCAAATTTTGATATTATTTCATATTTCCACTTACAAATTAAAAACAATCAAAAAATCTACGTGATACTTAAAAGTTTATAGAATAAGAGATAAAGTTTTAAATATCGATAGAAATCGTCTCTATATGTCATTAATGTTCTCAACTGTTAATTGTATTTTGAATCATACTATTTATTTGTGCCTCAAACAAGGCAATTAAAATCAAATATAAAGTAAAAATGAGATTTAATATTGTTTGATGGACTTAGATGGTATTAAGTCATTAAAAAAGGCAGTAAGGATTTAAAAGACGATAATATGGGAGATTCGATTGAATCTAAAGGTGTATTTATGAGTAATTGAATCATAGCACTGGTTAGAATATAATATTTTTTCGTATTATTTATTTTACTATATAAGGGTTGAGTATATAAGAAATTAAATTTAAAAAAATAAATTGAAGTATTTAAAGTGTTTAAAATAATGCAAGAATTTGTCGAATTAATTTAGGCAGCATTTTTCGCAAAGGAAAATAATTAACGTAGTTAAGCTGAGTAGCAGCTTGTGAATTTGAAGCATCAATTACCAAATGAGTTTTTTTAGAAGTGCAGCTCTGCATTCATATCTCCTCAATTGGATTCTCAAACCAGAGTAGCAGCAGGGACATTGCTATAGAGATGTATAACATATGAGCAAGGATGGCTGGCAATCGGGTTAGATGTAAAGCGAAAAATCAAAGATGAGTTGCTTTCCCAACTAATTTCTAGTGATTAAAATATTAAAAAGTCTGCAGCAAGCGTAAACTTTCCATAATAATTTAATAGTGCTTATCAGGGATTTGTGCAATTGAATTGCCAAGATAAGAGTGGCCTGAAATCATCAGCGTATTAGTATAGAATACTCGACATGATTCAATAGAAGTGAAAAAAGCGGCAACTATAACTCTTGGTTATATTTGTGAAGCTTTGAAAAATTAGAAGTAATCAATAGAGAAGACAGAGAGTGAAAAAGTATTGTACGGAATATGTATGGGATTACAAGGAGAGAAATAAATCAAGTTGATTTCAATCAGAGCATTGAAGGACAGCTTGCAATTCATGGATCAAGTATTGGCACAATAATAAGTCAGAGATCATGTGACCAAGTTGTTGGTTGAATAGGCTGTATCTTAAGATGCTGAAATAAGATTGGCAGCATTAGAATGCTTGATTGACTACACCAAAGCAATATTCGATTATTTAGGTACGAATTCTAAATATAAATTTAGAATAATATATTTTGGGTTTATGGAATTGTACATAAGAAAGCATTTATCATTAAGATTTTGCCATAGTGACAATGGAAATATGGTAGAGCATTGCATCTGAAATAAATGAGAGATCTGCTGTCAGTAATAGAACTAATTTGGGATTCAGAAAAACATAAAAGGAAGCATTGCAAATAATTTCTTAATAACTAATCTAAGCTGTCCTTTAAAACTTGCTGATCTCTGATGAGGATGAGGAGGATGACGAAGAATAAGGAATTTAAGAGGCAGCATATAAGGCAGCATCTTCAATTAGTGAGGCTTTGGGAAGTCTAAGTTATCAACTTTACTTAAGATTTATTGAGAGTAATTGAATTATTTAATCTATTATAGATACACTCCAAGCACTAGAATGGTAAAATAGAAAGGCTTCATTATTAGCATTTTCATCAATGGTTGAGACAGCCGATGTTTTGGAATTGTTCTAATTTTCTAATTCAGCAATTGGTGAATTTATCAAAAAACTAGCTGATTCTCATAAATAGGTTAGATATGCTGCTGGTAGAGTGATCACAAGAATTGCTGAAAATTACCCATTAGTTATTTTGAAGCATCAATATGCTGATGACTACATTAATTAATTTTCATAATTTTTGTAAGGAAATACAAAATTGACTAAATATTTATTATGGACTCTTGTTAACCTTACAGAAGCTTTCAGAGATGATGCTCAAAATTAATTTGGCAAATATTACGATTTTTTAATATCTTAATTTGCTGCTGTTGTTGGAAGATAAGATTTTTAGAATGGAACTCTCTTAGATATAGCCTGGGTTGGTATCATCAATTGCTTGTAATGTGTGAAAGAGCCTTAAAAAATAAAGACATACTTGGAAGCATTTGGTTAATAAATGCTTGCAGTATATTCATAAAGTGGGTGGTAAAAGGAGGCCAATATATCAGGATTATTGTCAGCAATTCATATTTGTTTCTTGAGATTAGTAGTGTTGGGAGATTAGTGTGATATCCAATTGATGAACAATTTCTATCAACTTATCGTTGATTACTTTAAAAAGATCTAAACAGTGACATAAGATGGTTTCTATGCTATTAGTGCTATTGCTCAATGTAATTAAATATGAATATATTATATAGATAGCAAAATCAATTTTAAATCCCTCTTAGAAGATTTCATGTAAAATTATTTGGAAATTGGTTTGTAAAAGAAATTAGAAATCGAGACATTCAAAGGAGCCATTTTGTGTTTGGCTGACATTGCCAGATCCCTTTAATTTAAAGAGTTCAGTAAATACTTACGCATTTTAGAATATCTGATTACTTGTGTTAATGTAAATTGATTTTGTAATATTCCATATAGGACTAACAAGTCAACAGAGTGGCCAAGATTGCTTTGTTTGTTTGCATAGCTGACATAGTCCTGATAGCTGAACAAGATGCTGAACCCTACTTTTAAGCCATTTGGCAATTAGTAAAGAGTGGATTCGGCGCTTCGATCTACTTCACATAGAATAAGGACATGACACAATTGGAATATTATGAAAATCTAAATGATGCCTTGTTGAATTGTTATCTGTGCATGTTACATGCATTCAACTTGAACAAGGTACCCTACCTTCCCATCTATCAAACCATATAAGAATTGTGCATGTTCATTTAAGCAACATCTGACAAGTCATTGACACCCACAGTGGTATTGATTATTGTTAGCAATCATAGGAATACATTCGTCTTTGTGTGACTTGTCTCCTCGATTGTGTGGCCTATTATAAGCAAGTAAAGGGACAAGAGAATATGTCTTAAAAAATACTCACCAGTCCTCTTCTCATCAGCCTATTGGATATGTTAAAACAATATTCAAACTAATAAGAAAATCAATAATTAATTATGTATGCTAATGATTTGTGCAAATCATTCCAATTGCCTTAATATTTGAATTGAGATCATCATTATATATTATTATGTTTAATTGAGATGTGTTGTGTTCATTCCGACAGAGTAGAATGCTCTATAAATCTATAATATAATTTATAAGCTCATTAGTATTCATTGCCAAATTTTAAATATTTTTCAAAAAAATACATAATGAAAGGAGGTAAATAATAAAAGAACAAATCAATCTGGGATCAAGTCAAAAACGAAGAAAAGGACTTCTACTTCAACTTTTTGGCTAAAAAATACAGGAATCTCTAAAAGAAACTCAAGGATATTGCTGACCTAGAGGAATTACAAAAAACTAAAGAATTGAAGCAAGAATAGATCTAGAAGATCCAAGGCAAAGATGAAAACAATGAAAGAATTAAAGAATTAGAAGGTACACTCTCGAATTGGCTCAACGCTAAGAAAGAAGCCGAACAATAAGGATCCATAATCACTATTGAAGCATATATTATAATTCTTTAAAATCTCGCCTAAGATCCATAATTGGTTGCTTTGTTAGCCCAAGACCATGAATCCACACATGAATTAGCTAAAAAATTGTAATCTAAAATAGTTGGATAAGGCAAAACAGATTAACCATGGAAAGGATTGAAAGTATTTGAATTACTACTAATATTTAGTTAAATGTTCAAGTCTAAGAATAAGTCCAAGAACCTAAACAAACCTAAGATGTAACAGAAACAGAACCTATCCAATAATAAGTTCAATAAGTTATACAACAATAAGAATAACATACCCATTCAAAATAAAAACCTTCAGAGGAAGTCTAACATTAATCCAAATAGCCTGAATAGCCTGAAGTCTAAGAATCTTAAGAACAACAATAATTCAATGAATAACAACCATCAAATGAACAACCCTAAGAAGATACCTAAAATTAAGACTAAGAACCCAAGCAAGATCAATAACCATAATAAAGACATCATCAACATCATGACGATAGAAGAAACTACAAAAAGAATTACAATAACAATAATTATGATAGAAGAAACAACTACGATAGACCATACAGAGGAAACAAATAACATTATCAAAATAGAGATAGAAATTATCAATAGGAATAAATCTGGGAAGAAAAGGTTGACAAATAGGCCCCTTAAAATTAAGAAGACTAATAACAAGAAGAAGATGACTACATTACCGTTAGAAGCAAGTATCATTTACCTTTATGCCATCTAGAAAACCATAGAAACCATAGAGAGGAGGATAAAGAAATTATGACAATAGAAATAATAATAAAAACTATGAAGGCAACCAATAAAGAAGATAGAAAAATAATGAGGAAGGTGATTAATGAGAGTATTTAAAAATATATATATATTTATGTATCAGTATCTATCATTTAATATTATCCTTATCTAATACATTATTAAATGAAAAGATAGAATTGTAAACGCATTTATTTTTTAACTTATAAATTGTTGATTCCAATTTACTTTTTAGATAAATCCTCAAAAGTTACTAGCATTCATTTTTATAAAATATATACATCTTTTAATTAATGTAAATTCTATTCTTTATATTCAGCGATTATATATTATATTATCTTATGATAATGTACATTTTTCAATAAAATATATTGGTATGAATTGATTAAATTTGGATACTCATAAGTAAGGTTTTCAATTTAAATTATTTATTACTAGGTTTGCTTACTATCAAGTAATTATAATCAAAAAATTCTTTAAATAATTTCAATTACCATATCATGATAATATATTATTCACTTATATACTGAAATTCTACAAGAATTTTTAATATGAATTAAGATTCATGAAAAGATTTATTTAAATATTCATGCTTCCAGTGTATTGATGTTTGTTATAATATTCGAAAGGGGGATAACTTATAAATCTGTTCAACCTTTGTAAATCATTCTCAGCGATTAACATATCTTTTTCAACATCTATTATTATATTTTCAATAATTTCTGACATGTCCCAAATCAAATTAAATATTAAATTTTAATGTTTTTGTATTTCGATTTATATTGTGAAGTGAAAGCGAAAATAGAAATTTTATTATATTAACAAAATCAATCTAATTTTTCTTGAGGAACTCCTCCCTTTCTTATTACTCTAATGATTTCTATATAATTCTAACTTTACTCTTTTGATTCTAATTTATCCTACTTTTCTTGCTTACTACCATAAATGCATAAGGATGTCAAAACCACTATAAAGTCAACAACGACGTAAAAAGGTACCTACATGAAGGAGGTGATTAATTACCATTTTTAATCAGAATATCTTCTTAAACATTTTTTGAAATGTTCAATTTCTTTCGGAGTGTTGTAAGGTTCTAGATGTAGATATTTGTTATCATCTACTAATTGACTGAAATTACCGATGTTGGTAGATTCTAGAAATTAATTAATGATTTTACGATTATAAAAATACATCTTATTATCAGTATCAAATATTCAAAGGTCGAATATTTGCTTATACCGATCCTATCACCAATAAGTTCTTATTTATAACTTTGCTATTGTAAACCGATGCGTTTCTATTGCACCAATGCTTAGAGTGCCATTATAAGTTGATACCATTTCTTCCGAAATTTTAACTATTCTATGACAACCTTTACACCCTGAAGTCCAAAAGAATATAAACCATGGTTTTCTAATCCTTCATTGCCTAAAAGAGTGACTGCATCCCAGTTATTGTCATAATTACAAGTGTCTATTTTGGGAATTCTAAATCTGGCCTATCCTGGGAGCTGCAGAGTACAAAAATAACAAAAAGAAGCTTAAATTTCATTATTTTATTTTATTATTTCTAAATAATATATATTTCATTCTCTTGTTGCAACAAAATAATTATTTGCTTATTCTTTGGCATTGTTAGTCCAAGCAATCTATCGATTGTGTATTATAAATTTGTTACTTCAGCCAATAATACAGTGCCAGCCAAAGTTAAACAGATGGGGGCGGCATAAGTGACTCTCTTGGGTGTGTAGACTGGAGCATAATGTTCAATGTATGATAGTCTTGGTGCCTTTGTGTAAATCAAATGGCTGAATCATATAAATATTCATATACTCAAGATATTAAACTGATCTGCCCACTAATGATTTGTTAGTAAAGTTTGTGAATACCAAACCAGCTCCGGTTACTGCATTACAAATTGATTTGTAGAGTTTGAATGAATTTGGATTCATTTATTATTTAGATATATATAAAATTAATTAATAATTTATTCTTTAATTCTTAGGTCCTTGGTCTCAGACTGAGTGGACTAGAACCCAAGGTTGGTAATTGTGAGTTTGGTTTGCCTTAAATGTGGCAATTACTTATTTAATCGAATAACCATAATTTTATTTCATAAATTAGTTAAAAAAATTTGAAAATAAATGGAATATAAACGTTTGCTTGATATTTGTGAATAATTACTAAAGCATTCAGGTAGTTTTTCTTCTGATAGTGATTGGTAGCGTTGCCTTTGGATATGCTGGAAAAATATTATTTACTCAAAGAAAAGACACTCTCCAATGTTATAGTTAATCCATAAGCAAATCAAAATGCCTTGGTTGTGAAGATCATCCAATTATTTGCGTAATGTTTCAATTAGATGCTTACACAAAGAGATATTAATATAACCAATACAGAAACAACAATCAACCATTTATTAGTAACATTATATTTGATGTAATCAAGGACACTTACAATGCGAATGATTTGAGATCTGAATTTTCTACCACATTCCAAGTATATATAGCATAATTGAATCCCTAGTTATTGTTACAAATAAATAGTGATCGAAAGGAATTGGATGCCACAGTCACTTTCTTATAAAATGAGATAAGGAAAATCAAATTAGAATTGAACATGTCGAATTCTCGGTTGGATCAATAGAAGAAATTGACTAATTCGGAGGACAAGGAGAGGAGCTTAAAAGTATCGAGAAATTTTAAAAACTATAGTTATAGAGACAAATCGATGAGTTGAAGGATGAATTGCAAACAAAAATAGAAGAACATGAAGAGCAAGTTCATCAATTGCAGTTTAAATATGATGAATAAATAAAAGCTTTGATGAAGAAGAATAAGGAAACCTTTTAATCAGAGTCAAAATATCAATAATTAGAAAAGGAATAGAAATAGTATGAGGAATTCTTCGATAAATTTGCTGAAATGTCATTGCCATATTTAGAAAAATACGAAAGAGATTTTGAAAAACAATAAGCCAAATCCAAAAGATATTCAGAGCAAAATATTAGTGAAAATGAAATACTCCTAGATTTTCTCTTCTATTTGCTCTAGAAGTATGTCCCCTTGTAAGAAGACTTGAGGGAGGTCAGGAAGAGTAGTGCTAAGAAGAGCAATCAAGCAAGTCCAAAGGTATCGAGAGAGAGCAATAAGGGAGAATCTTCTGCCACAAGAGATTTGCATTTTGAACAATACAAAGTACAAAACAATAATCAGATTGATGATACTGTCAATAAATTAAAACAAGAGTTGGAACAATCAAGAAAAACACTTGAGAAATATGAATTAAGTCGAAATAAATTATAGGTAATATTTATAAATAATTAATTAGAATTAAATATCGTGATTTATTTAATATATTTATATATAATTTAATAAATATCTTTCAATGTCTTTGCCATAAGGAATTCCAATGAATGCTGTTTATAAGCAAGTAGTTATGGAGCATAAAGAAGATGAAAGAGTAGAGCAATTGGAAGCACAAATTTATAACATGGAAAAAGATCATAGTATGTGGAGAAAGAAGTATTTTGAGCTAGAATCATTATATGATAAGTGTCGATATGCTGCTGAAAAAGTAAACATTCATTTCTTAATTTTAGTCAGTCTAATTAGAGGATAGAATCAATCTATTGAGATAGGACAATTCACAAATATCAGCCTTGCTTAGAGAAAAAGCTACAGAATGCGAAAAAATGAGAGTGAGATTGACACAATTGGAAAATGAAAATTTTGAGCTAAATACAGTTAGATTGTAAGTAACCAAATTCAATGATCTTCTGTAATAAAAGACCTAAGATATCGAACTATTAAGAAAGAAAAACTCAGAAATTTATGCTAGAGTAATTGAATTAGAAGGAAATGAATTAGTTATTAGGGATTACAAGTCTTAAGTCAACAGTTTGACAAAGGATTTAGATGTTTGGAAAAAGTTGTATGAGGATTAGTAATAGGAAAGAGTCAAGCTTTTAGAAATCATCAGATAATTTGAATAAAATAATCCTTTATCAGGATCAATTAAATCATCCTAATAATAGGTTAGTGAAGTCATTGAAAGAAGAGTTGTCACTACTTCAGAAACGACTAATAATACTCAATAATTATAATCATCACTTTTATAAAACTAAGCAACTATATCTGATCTAGAAGATAGACTAGGATTCTCAGAGAAGTAATACGACAAATTGAAGTAGGAATTAGAAGCCAGAATTAAAATGAATAATGAGCTTAAAATTAAGTAATATCATAATTTAATTATAGAATAACATAGTAAGAATGTGAATTAAAGAATATTAATTATTTGAAACTAGATAATCAGAAATTAAAGGATCAACTTGATTAAACTAAAAGAGAACTTGATTAATTTAGAAAATAATATTATACTACTTTAAGTAAATTATAGATTGCTGAATAATAACTCAATGAATTATACAATCTAGAAAACAGACTCTAATTACTATAATAAGAGAGAGACACCTTAAACAAATCATTAAAATAAAAGAATGAAGACATTGGATAATTGTAAGACAAGGTTTCATCATTGTTATCTTAAATAGAATAATTGAGACTCAATGATTAAGCCAGAAATGCTGCTGAAAATGAGGTTATCTAACTCAAAACTGAATTAAGCAAACTCTAAGCTAATCTTAAATAGAAAGAATAAACAATCTCAGATTTACATGGAAGAATAAATGACTTATAAAAACAATTAACTAATTCTCAATCTGATTTTAAGAGATTGTAAGCTAAGGATTACTCAGGATTATAGGATCAGGCAAAATTAGTTAATGAATTACAGTAAAAGCTACTATAATTGAGCTAAGATAATTCTAAATTCTAAAGTTAAGCATTCAATTTGGAATCCAAGAACAATTCGCAAGTTCAAGATATTTAAAGATTGAATTCTTTATTGTCGACTAAAACTTAAGAGCTCTCGGATGCAAATAAGAAAATTTACGATTTAGAAAATGATAAAACAATCCCTGATCTTAAGTTTTAGAACTCTTAATTAATTGCTGAATTGAGAGAATAAGAAACTGAGAACAAAGGTTTGTAAGAGAAACTACAAATCTTGGAAAATTAAATCATTCAATTAAATACTAAATTGACTACTGCTGAAGCTTAGGCTAATTGTAATTTGAATGAGAAAAATAAGGTTGATTAATTGTTGACTTCCTATTTGCTTCAATTATCATAATTAGAAAAAGAGTAATATATTAATTTAATACTTTAGAGTAGATCAACTCAGAGTCATAGCCCAATAAGTAGCATAATAGAGTGCCATAAATAAGTAATAAGAATAACTCGTATAAGCATTATAGAAATAATTAAAAGACTAAACCAGCTAATTCAATGAATTGAGTAAAGAGAATGAGAAATTATATGTTGATAATTCTCAACTATCTACTCGTATTTCATAATTAAGCGAATTGCCAAACAAGATCTAAATTTTGGATGAGGGACTTCAAAAACTTTAATAAGATTATAATAATGAATTATAAGCCAATGAGACTCTAAACAAACAATTGAACGATGCCTTAAAAGTGAAGAATGATTTAGAAAATAAAATAGCTATGTTATCAACTGAAGTTGAAAGATTTTAGTATAAATTAAATAGCAGATAAAATGAGGCTGAGTAATTAAAGAAACAAATAGTAGATTTGGAGACTCAAATAGCTTAATTGAAATAATTGGAATCTGAAAATTAGGTGTTGGCAGACAAGATTGCTCATCTTGAACAACAAATAATTAATGAAGCAAATAAGAATTTAGAGCATCTATTGAGGGTCAGTTAGGATGAAACTAAATCGTATGTTTTGGATAATAATAAACTTAAATAACAATTAGATTAAAGGGAGCAAGAAAATAAGTAAAAGGATGAATCGTATAAATAATTAGAATAAAAATATTAATAACTTCAAAGTTCAAATAAGAATTTAGAAGCTTAGAACACTCAAATTGCTGAATTATAAAATGTAATTGCAGGATAAGAGAATGATATACAAAAATTCTAAGATCTTATTGAAGAATTGAGAGATAAAAACAATGATTTAGTAGCAGAGTATAATTATATTATGATTATTTAGATCTCAAAAGTTATCAATTGAATTGACTTAATAGTAAGTATAAATTGCGGATTTGAAAAATTAAATTGAAAAACTCAATACTCAAGTTAATAACAATTAAAATTATGACTAATTAATAGAAGAATTGAAGAAGAAGATTGAGAAATTACAAGAAGAGAAAGTATAATTTAATTATATTATATCTTAGTACTAATTAGAAAACAAAGTAGCCTTATTGTCAAGTGAAATAGAGAGAATGAGAGTTAAATATGATGCCTAAGGAAACAAATTGAATATTTCCGAAGAGTAGAAACAAGGCTTAACCAAGGAGTTGGAATAAGTACATAAATTATTTGAAGAATCCTAAGATGTATCTATATGTTGTAAAGATTAAAATAGGAAATTGATAAATTGTAGGAATAATTGTCAAAACAGAAAGAATTAGAATAGAAAGAATAAGCCTTAAGCTTAACTTTGGTAAATGCATTCAATGAAATCGATGCTTTGAGATAATAATTGTCGAGAGTTTTTAATGAAGCTAATGAATAAAAGAAGGCCAATATAGCGTTGGCTACATAATAATAATGAGTATTATAAAAATAAATATTAATAATTAAAAAAATGCTCTAAAAAGCTACAATCAGATTTTATTTATCACAAGCAAGTAATATAGAATATAAAAATAAGGAAAAATTCCAACAATTTGGGATGTGAACCCTTTCGTTTACTAAAGATTGTCTAATGCTTTAATAGGAGCTTACTCAAACAGATAATTTGGAGTTTTAATAAGAGAAAATCTTGAACAGATAACTGATCATCAAGTAGCATATGCATTTCAAAGGTATGATTCTAGTATTTAATTATTTAACTAGAATCAATGAATTGAATTTGGATGCTGATCAAGACTTCTATGAATATGTTGTACCAGCATTAAAGGAATTTGTTTCAAATTTAACAAGAGATCATTCAGTCTCATTTGCAACTATTATTGGAACTTGTGGTAAAATAAATGTCAAGGATGCTTCCCTTTGGCAATTATTTGAAAAAAAAATCGTGGCTGATCGAATATACAGGTATTGTAGAATTAGATTTAATAAAGATATATTCCTTTGAATGACTTAGTCAGTATGACTTAATAAGTTGCATTAAGTGATTATGGATCTGAAGGATTTTTTAATACAATGGAAAAACAAATAGGAAGACATAGATTAGCATTGAGTGACGAATAAATTAAATTGACTCAAGAAGCTTTTGAAAGAAAAAGATTAGCAGCTCCAATCATTAAGCAATTAAAATAATCAGCTTAAAAACAATTAGCATGATTTATTAGATAAAAATAAAATATTATATAGTACAAATTAATGCTCAATATTCAAGATGGTGTTTTAGCTTCTCTTCTAACCAATTATAAAATTCTACGTGTTCTAAATAATAAGGATAAAAGGGAGACTTTTCAAAAGTCTTGGCAAAATTAACTATTTTTTATATCAAAATATGCGCAAACTAATAAAAATAACATAAATTGTACTTTTCTTCCAACATAAGCTAAAACACTATTAGGAACCATGGAAATTTTGGGATTCACATTTGTGCAAGCTCTAATGGAACATGAATCCTTATCAATAGGGGTAATTTCAAAAATGTAGTATTTGATATACATTCTCACAAATTTGGATTTCTCTGGGATAAAAATTCCATTCTTTTCTAAAAATTCTTTATCTTAATCCACTGACCTTGACAATAATGTGATTGTTCCATTAACTTATAATCTATCATAACCTTCTCCAACAAAAACACATTCTCTATCTGGAATCAGAGGGAAATACATTTCTGATGTGCAAACCTTACACGCTCTATTCAGCACTTTATTAACATAAGTTCTCTTGCAGAAGGGAACCCATAAATAATTTAAATTCATTTCGTTTACTAAAGCCAACACTCTTATGGCGTTTACTGGTATCTTAGTTTCCATAAGCATAGAGGCAGTAGATGTGTTTTCTGGGAATTTGTACTTCACAGAGATTCCATTACTCAAACCATCAAATATCCAGCCATCTGAATCTAATTCTTTCACATTTTCGATCATATAATTATATTGCAAAATTATTTAGTCTACATATTCAGCATGAGGTAGATAATTTATATCAGATTTAAATTTATCTTATGCCAATTTTGCATATTGGTAGGCCTTAATTATTAATATACATATTTACTTGATCAATCCTTGTTTAATCAAACTCGTATTTACTTCTATTAATGAGTTCTGATAACTCATCCTAGGCTATTTCGATATATTTTTTTGAAGGAGGGGATTGGATTAAGGATTATTCTTCTTTCGATTATAATGGGTAAATATTATTCTCATAAAATTATATCTATTAATCCTCGCAAATATCAATGTTTTAAGTCAGCATCTAAGTTTCAGCTTGTTTTTATTATAGTTACTCCTCTCTCTATATAATAAACTCCCTGCCTATTCTTGATGCTTTATAATTGATACTTAAGCTTCTTACTTCCTAAATTTAATTAGCTAAATATCATTTGACGTATTTACTTTCTTCATCAGCAATTCTAAACATAAATTCTTAGACTTCAGGATTATTCATCATTGTGTTCATTAATTTCTTAATTTAGTTTTTTTCTTCATGTGACGTATTTGTCTACTCCAATAAACTAGTTAGTATTAAATTGATTTCATTATATGTATTAAGCTTCTCAATATCGTTTAATGAGCTTGAAATTAATTCAGAAAACTAAATTGGATTTGTTCAAAATTCTTACAATTATTTTTATTTTTTCAAGCTGTTCATTAATCTCCTTAAGTTTGACTGCACATTGAAGCTTCTCTTGAAAGTTTACATTCATTTGCATTAATTATATTAATTTAATATATATATATATGAATAAGTTTATTTGTTATGTATGCTACTCGTAACACTCAAAAATCATAAAATGATCGATGAGCTGACTCTGAGCAATTGATCTCTGCTAATTAGACCCATAAATAAGTTATCTAAACTCATTAACCTAAAACTAATTAGCCTTTTATTGTGTATTAACTTAATGTTCACAAATTAATTCAATTATTTTATTATTATTTTAATCTTCATATTTTCCAATATAAATACCCACTTATTAAGAAAAAATCAATATAAAAATTGAGATTACACTATTAAAAATATCAATTAAAAATTGATTTACATTTTGTTTTAATTTCTATGATTTAATAAATTTATATATTATGTGGAGATGATTTGAAAAATTTATTTGATAATCATATTGTAATTTTATTATAAATATCTCTGCTTTTGTTTAATTTATTAACTGTCAAGATGCTCTGGAATTATTCTACTAATTCCTGAAGAGCCACCTTCTTATTATCTTGCAATTCCTTCATTAAAGTATCAATCAAATGTTCTGATACTTTTGGTCTCTCTTTCAATTTAAGTTGAGGTAACTTCTCCTTATTCTCAAATTAATCTTTGTAGCATTCAATTGATTTTTCTATCTTCTTCTATATATCTTTATTATTTTAATCACTGCTCAATTTATTCAACAACATCAATATTTCTTCCCATTAGTTTTTTTCTTCCCCTTGTATACGAGAAGAGAGTTGTGACTATCTGACTTTCTTATTCATACTGTCTTCAAATAACCTTTTGAAGACTGGATTTACTATTTATTTTGGAGGACTCCTTGAAACTTACCTTAAAAGTACAGAATTTTCATTAGCCAAATGATAGGATGTTGAAGCACCTCTCTTCCTTTGAATGCCAGGAGATGGCAGACAACGAGGCTAATCATTCTTAACATTGTTTAAAGGAATAATTTAAAAATCTGGTTTGAAGTGAATTTATGATTGAAGTTTGGGAAGTGTTCCAGTTTTTTCAAATTTAATTCATTTCCCAATTTCTCAAATGCAAATTTATGGTATTTTCAATTATTAGATATTTTAGAATATTGCATTTTCTCCTCTGCATATAGTACATAACTGATATTCGAATGAGTTTTCTGTCTAAGTCAATTAACAAACCTATTAGAATTTATACATCTTTATAGCTTAATTATTTTCAAATTCTAGTTACTCCAAACTTTCAGCAACCAACCTTGTTTTGTTAATAATGTTATTTTGTTCGCTGAACTCTCGAATTTTCAAAAGGGAATTTTCAGTATTAATTAATCTTGTATTAATTTAAGCCTTCTCCAATTGAAGTTTTTAAAGCTATTGTTTCAACCTAATAATTTCTTCATCCTGCAATCTCTAGGCTTTTGTTAAGTTTTATGATTCCTATATCAATTATTAGTGTAGAATTCTCAAGGAGGCCACCTTGGATTTCAAGATTTCATTTATTTTAATAAGTTAATCGAACTGCTAATTAACCTAATTGGTGTATTGCTCTAAATTTAATATCACATTTCTGAAATATCCTTTGTAATTAAATTATTGGATTTCCTAATCAGAATTTGCCTTAAATAATTTAATGACCTAATTGACATAGGCCCACTACCTTAAAGCCTGTCTAGCTCCCCTTTAATTACAATTACATTCAATTTCTGGATCCTCCTTGATAATTAGACAAATAGGCTCTGATATTGTGTTGAGTTCCATGGAGCCTAGTTTATTCATTTCCTATTTTAATGCTTGATAATGCAAGTCTTATTATTATCTTAGGTGAGTTTTGAATTGAGTGTATTCTCTTTCAAAGGATTTTGAGCACATCATCATTTTATCAATGTAAGAGTAGTTTATTCCATATTCAGGTCTTTGGTTCTCAAAAACTTCAAAGAAATAATAACCTCCCTTCATATCCTGTATGATCTTCCATAATTCATAAGGACTCATTTAATCCAGATAATCTTTAAAATTTTCGGGATGCTATTTTTTATTGTTAAACCTCTTTTTTAATAATTCCTCTTTTTCATTTAGATGATTTAACAATGACTAAATTAAACTATCTTCATAAGCAGTTGGTTTCCTTCCTTTCTAAAATAATAATAATATAAAATCACCTGTACGATAGTTTGTTCTTTATTGAAAAAATTTTGTTTCTCTTCATCTGAGTTTTCGAAACAATCATCTCCAGTTAAATCGAAATTCATTCTCTAGCATTTTAAATACGAAATATACCTAATAAATCTATGACACATCGATATTGGAAGGTTATTTCTTGACCTCATCTAAGAATCTGACACAACTCTGTTTATAATTTTTGTTGGGAAATGTGATGTATTTGAGATCGAGATCTGATAATGTGTAAATAACTGCATTCATCATTAACATATACAAGCTGTTCTCAATGTCTAGACCTTTTTTGACATTATCCTTTATTGACTGAATTATTGGAGATAATTTCATCTTTCAAGTGGACTTCTATTTATTATTTATATTAATAAAATAACTTAATCAAATGAAATTCAATGATGTTAATAACATATTAAATACCTCAACTTTGCTTATAATGTTAACAAGATGAGTTTGGTATCAATCATATTTTGAATGAAATAATATTAATTTTGATTAAATGTTGAGTCCTGAATAAATATATTCCATAGTTTATAAAACAGATTCGGGAATTGAAGGATATGCAATTCCTAGATTTTACCATGACCCAGCCGAAATGATGAGAAATCGAGATTTGTTGAAACAGATAGAAAAAAGTAAGTTTCTCCATGTCACACACTATTAGAATAAGCACATAAAAGATATGAAACCAAAAAAGGCAGTTATTTAGACGACTACACAAAAATGTTTAAAAGTTTTCCCAGTCCCTTATAATATTAATCATACAACATTGAAAAAATCCCAGAAAAAAAAGTTAAATATCCAAATCGCCTGACATTGTTTGATCAATTATAAAAGGAGTAAAAAAGGATTAATAACCCTTCAGTTGGAGCCTATAATATCGAAAAAACGTAAGAGCAAATAGAGAAGGAGCTTAAGGTGTTAAAGACTCGCAAGGTCAAAGAGCTTTAAAGACCCAATCCCTATGAAGATGCCATGGCTCACAGCATTATGGTTCCTGGCCCTGGAAATTATAATCCACATGTGAGATATTCAACAATAATAAAAGTCGTTCCTACCGAAAATCAAAGTCAATAATACAAAACCTGAAGATTGGAGAAAAAAACATAACATTGAAAAAAATAAAAGTCTTGCACAACTTCCTCCTGTCGGAACCTACACTCCCATCCTAAGTGATTCATTTGCAAAGATATAATGCACTGCTCCTGTCAAAAGATCCTATTGGGGAAGTGAAAAGCGATTTAAAGGATTATTCGGTAGTTCTTCTATTGGACCAGGTCCTGGTACATATGCTCAATTAAGCAAATTGTTAGCAAAAGGAGTTGAAAAGTCTATTTATCAAGAATGATTTATATAAAATTTTTAATTTTAATAAATAATTATAAACCTGTTGAAAATTTATATATATTTGTTATTATTAAATGAAGATATTCTCTATGTATGATATTCGATATTTAAATTATGAAAAATTAAAGATTGTAAAAAAAATTGAATAATTGCCAAATTATCATAAATAGAATCAAGTCCAAGTTTAGAATGAGCACAATTTTGATAATTTATTCATTTTTTATACTTGCTTTTACTTTTGCAAATCTTCTGATATGTTTAACATTGTAAATCAATCTAACAAGCAATCAAGTTGAAGAAATCTCAAATTAGTAATTAACTTTACAAAATTCCAAGTGAATTTCTTATTTAATTTAGAGCTTTAAACTTTCAATCAAAGGAGACGACTCATTTATTTTAGATTGCATTTCAAATGGCAATATCGAAAATGGAAAAATTGGCCATTCTTAACCTCAAAACCTCGATCTAAGATGTAGACGCAAGTCAACGCATTTCAAATTGCCAATAGGCTTAGTAATATGATGAACCAATTTAGAAAGTCGCCATATGTCTCTCAAATTTGAAAGTATAAAACGAATCAACCAATAGTAGCAATCATAACAAAAAATTTATCTCATTCCTAAATGTTTTTGAAGGTCTTTAGAATATTTTTGACCTTCCTATTATTTCTAAGCAGTTATATTTTGTTTCTCCTCATGATCACTTCTTAACAGCTTATTATCCAACAAGATAGAAAAATGAAACCAAAGAATTGGTTGAATATGAGTGGTTTATTAACTATATAACTGAGATTTAGAAGAATTCAAATCCTTCCTTCTTTAAGCTGATTCCTTATATTAACCTACCAAATTATGATTATTTATTGGCAGGATTGACTATGTTAATGATCGACAAAAATTATTAAATCAACGGAATTGCAGTGTAGATTTTGAATTTTCCTTAACTTACTAAAATCCTTTTTATTGAAACTCTAAATATAATTATGGTGTACGATGATGGTAAAATTATGTACACCCAAACCTATGTATACAACGGTTTAGAAAAACAAATTAGATACATTTATAATGAAACTATCAGTGGTTTTAACTATTCAGATTGGGAACTGATCAAATCTTCACTCAATTTTAAATACCCTATCTACATATACAATAGCTTATTAAATTAGAATGTATATCTTAAAGCTAAATAAATACCAAATACTCCTTTGATATCGCTGATGTATTAATTGATATTAATCTAGATTAACTAATTTAACTTATGAAAATGAAATTTCCAAACTATTAAACGAATAAATAGATTCAATTCTAAATTGGTAATTAACTTTAATCACTTATACTTCATCTATAAGCATCCTAATAATATTATTAAGTTTAATTCCTTTAAGATCTTTATTTAAACCGACTTAGGTTGTGATAGAGATGATGATGAAATATTTACTGGGAAGATTTGATTATAAATTGAAAGATCAAGTTATAAGAGAAAATAAGATCTCACAATTAAATAATGCGATTAATTAATTATATTAAGCTTATCAGAGGTTAGATATTACTTTAAATTAATCGTAATACGTTAAAAATGAACATTGCATACTCATTGAAAAATTCTATTATGAATAGAAGAAAGGAAAAATGCAGAATTTTTCATTCGAAAACATTATAAATCAGAAAGAATAACTAAGTCTTTCTGAATTTAAAAAATTTATTGCCATGTAACACGATGTTTAGGTTGAAACCATTATTTGAAATCAACTTGTTTATATATTCACTTAATGTTTATTAATCTATAAAACCTGCTAAAAGAAAAATTCATGATTAATTCTTTTTTTAAATTATAGATTTTTTTAATATCATATACATTGTATTAGTGAATCATCTAGCAACCATTACCGAAAGTCAAAAATTATTAAATCTAAAAAAGATAATTTTAGATTCTTTATATGCTATTTGAAAGCGTTCTAAATTAATACCAATAAATCAAAGATCAAACTAATATTTATTTAAAATTACTTTATCGATTTTTATGAAAAATATTTGACCGAAATAATTAATTTTTATATTTATTTTAGGCATATTGGCTAATAATTACTAAAATTAAATATATTTTCAATATGAATTGTTGAATAAATTATTATTAGTTGCATTACTATGCAGCTTACAACCATGACCTTTGGTTCTGATATTCAGTATAGCATCATAAATTCATAATGAATTTCTAATACATATTCATTCTAAAATTTAAATAATAAATACTTTTAGTTATTTAAATATCGACCATTTTAGAATTACCAAATAATATTATCAAATTATTATTTTATGATTTTATTATAAATCAAGATATGATTGTAAATTATTAGATGAAGAACCATTATATAAAGAAAATTTCCAATTAGCATAACTCAGTTACAATATTATTAATAAAATTAGATACTAAATCATTTTAATAGAAATTAACAATATTTTAATATACAAGTAAAATTATTCAATCTAAATTATATTTTAATAAATGCAATAACTAATTATAACACTTATCTAGATTTTCCTAAAGTATTTAAAATAATTAATACTTGATTTAGAGGACAAAATGTAGGCATGAAGGAATTAAAATTTTAATCAATCCAAAAGTAGGCAAAGTATAGTTGTTTTTTGTCACCTTTCTTGGTTGAAGTACTTTATTCATTTTCAATGGAATTAGGTTACCAAAATTAATTACTTTAAGTTTGATTCAAGTTTTCAGAAGGACTCCACCTTTTCAAAATTGGTAAAGCTGAATAAGATCTCTATTTTTAATGTTATTCATCTTCAATATTAATTTTTTTTTTTTATTTTTAACATTTCTTGGCATCATCATTTTATCTTTACACATCCATTTTTTTAACTAATTTTTAGTACAAATTCTCCCTTATATATTTAATACAATAATTATACTTGTTGTCATTCTCAAAGTTTTCAATTATTCTTATATATGAAGCATTCTAAGTATTTTATGGTTTGTTATAGGCTAGACTAGGCCTTTGTTCTTTTAATTGACTATTCTGAATAGATTATTTTTCAATTGATTAGTTCTTGGAAATGAAGTTTTATTTAGATGTAGCAAAGGATTATTGAAGTTGTTGGTGCTATTTTGAGGGTTTCATTTTTAAAATAATTAGTTCAAAATCAAATTTATAAAAGTTAAGTTGGAAATTAAAATGAGTAATTTATTTCAATGAAGTCTTTATCAGTAGATTAAAAGAAGAAAAACAGAGGATCAAATATATATTAATATTGATTTTATTGTTTAAATCATACGTGCAAATCCCTTCTAGTTGGGAATGGTTTTAGAAGCTTAAAGTTAACTTATGTTTCAGGTTTATTTTAAAGTATAGCTTCTATTTTTGCTTCAACCTCAGGTGTGATCAATTTTATAGCTTATATTGACTTAATGGTTTCCTCTAATTACTCAACTCTAGAAGCTGATGTTAGGGCAGTGCTAACATCCTTATTTTTTAAAGCCCAAGCCAACGATAATTAGGCTTATGAAATATTCAGTTCTTTGGCTAACTCACCTAATTTTTTTAATTATGACTAAACTTTAGCGGCATCTTTTTATAGATAAAATATAATACATTCAGGATTTCCTAATGTTCTCTCATAAAAACCTTTCAAGTAAGGATTATCTGTATTTTTAAATCTACCATCTGCAAAAAGATCATCGTTATATTTTCCTGTCAAAATTCCTTAATATAATGGTGACCAAATGGTAGATCCATAACCTTAAGCAAAAACATTATTATAGCCCCATTCAAACTTATCTCTAACCAACATGTTGTATTGCGGTTGTTCTGCAACAGGTTTGATTAGTTTCAATCTATCGCAAATACCTTGAATAATTTAAAGATATTACCGATTGCTTCTAAAATTTATTGAGCTGTCCATTCACTTGTTCCCCAATAATGAGCCCAACCATGTCTAACTACCCAATCAAAGGCTCTACAAACTTCTTCCAAAGGAGTTTGTGGATCATACCTATGTGCAAAGACAATGTCAACATATTCTAAGTCCAATCTCTTGAGTGAATTTCTGAGACCTACATAATGAAATTGAGTCGTACCTTCAATGATATGTTTTCTTGAAAGAAATCTGGAATTTGGAAAATCGTCTTAGGCTGTTCCAAAGTATATCTTTGTGCTGACTACGTAATCTTGTCTTTAAACATTGAGTGTCTTGAGAGCATTCCCTAATTGTATTTCCGCTTTTCCTTTTCCATATCCTTCTGCTGTATCAAAAAAGTTGATTCCCAACTCCCAAGCCTTCTATATAATTTTGATATTCCTCTCCAAAGTTTCGTTGTCGTCTGCATTTAACCAATTTCCAAATCCGATGGCAGACACTTTGAGTCCTGTTGATCCTAGTCTTCTGTATTCCATTATGATATAAATATTTTCAATAAATTATTGTTTATGAAAGAGATTGCATTCTGAATTCTTAAATAAGAATAAAATGATATTATAAATAATACTTTACTAAGTGAAATTAATTAAATGTGTTCAATTTTCAGCAATTATAGCACACTTTATGATGTCAATGCATTTGTGTTCAGTCTCGAAGTGATTAAATATTGCTAAGGCCTACATATAATTGCATAATTACATCCAAATATTAGGAGATCCCATTTAGTTCTTTTATTGAACTTATGAAAATGATGTCATCCAGGATGTCTTGAGCATCAGATATCGTGTACTTGTAGAAGATATTCTATTTCACATGCTTACCAAGTTATTAGTACACGTAATTCGTCAAGTGTCCGACTATTGATTTTATCACACTTGAATGATAGTAATCAAACATTTTTATTATTTAAGGATCTTAACTTATCAATCCCTAAATAATAGCCTTTACTTCAACAGCATCAAATTAATTCAATCCAATAATCTCCTATACACACCTAAGGTACTGCTTATACAGCCATTTGCAATGATTCCCCTAAGAGAAGAAAAACAATCCCTTTAAGGGATGCTTGTTGTCTTCAAACCAATTCTTTAAGCTGATTTCAGCTAAATCCATCATATTTTAAGCTTTTTAAATCTAATTTAAAAATTAATATGACTCACATTATATTAGATACATAACTGAAACAATAGGATGAACCATATGCTGTTTGATTGGTAATATTTTTAAATATCCATCAATCGCTTTTTGAGCACTTTATGAAATCCAATTATTTATTAACTTTTTGTTCAATCCAGATTTGCAGGCTTGAAAGACACTCAGTTAAAAATCCAATATCTTCAATTTGTAATCAATTTCAGTCACATCAGCCAAAATATTCAATTTCAGAGAATAATACACCTATTGTTTCTTCTCTTCATTTTAAATTTTCTACTTGATATCTTCAATTTAATTTGCAGGATCATCAATAAGCTACTATATCAATGTCCAATCCTCAACAGACTACAGAAATTTAAAGTATTCAGCAAATATCATTTAAAGTTATGAAACATGTAATCTATTGTCTAATCCTAATTGCAATTAGAATAGCAGATTTATCTTAGGCAAGTTCTACTCTAAGTTGATTAGAATTCGAATGTGATTCAAAATGGCTTCATTCATGAAATCATTATTGAATAAATGAATGTAATCGGAATCCTCACTTTCATCTATTAAGTACTCATATTCCATTATTTTTAGCTGTTTTAGAGTTGAATTTATTGGGTATTCTCGGTGCTAAGAATATTAATTAACAATACCAAGGCATCGTTCACAATCGAAACTATGATCTTTTCCTATTTAAGGAATGTATTAATATATTGAAGAACTTTGTGAGAGTATTTTAAGGCATTCTCGAAGTCAATCAAATTGATGTAATATTTGCATTAGAAATGAGCTAAAATAGCATAAATCAAAGTTCCCTCTCTGTAATCATTTAATTTAAGTCTATATGTTAAATAGGCTATTATAAATACATAAATTGTTGTTTTGGCTCCATCTGACCAGTCATCGAACTGACAACTTCCAAATAGCATTTATATAAATCAAAATATCTAATTAAACTAGTTTGATTCTTTAATTGCGAAATAGATTCTGATACGATTTCCTAAATCAGGAAATAGTCCTGATTCATCAGGATATTGAATAATAAGTATTAGGAATGAAATTTAGGATCATCAAAATATTTAAAGTCGCTTGTGTATTCATACAAATATCTTTATGGGTATGGTATGTACTGATTTGAGTCTTTGTATAGACTCTCTATTATCTATAGATCTTGTTCGAAACCTGGATGGGTTCTATGGAAGATGAAGGCTTAGGACTCTAACAATCTCGAAGTAAAACTATAAATCAAATCCACAATCTCTACTTATTATAAATAGAGAAAGGAGTGTAATAAGCCCAGAATTATTATAGATGGTTAGATTTCGTCTGTTATGCTATCTTCTATCATCTGTATTGATTTTTTTAGACTAGTATGCTATTTAAGACTGCAATTCAAAAATTAACAAAATATTTAGTATTATTAATATTTAGGCAGGGAGGAATCTATCAAAAATTAACCTGCCTATTTATTATTTATTTGGGTGCATTTAAGTATTTAACAGTAGAATTTTGGTTTGGATAAGAATTTCTTTATTTATTACACAGCATAGTTGGCAATCTCAGATTCTCCTTAATCTAGATTTTCTATATGTTTAGGGGAATAGGCAAAGCAAATAGATAAAAAGTAGAACATTTACAGTTCCTCTAAACATTACTAGAAAAACCACGAGTCCTTCCTTATTTTAAATTGGTTATGATATTCTTGCAATAGTCTTACATAAGAGATTTTGTTTGAAAATCTAATTGATTTAGTTTTAATCTATTTAGGTATGGAATGACTAATAGGTTAAGAGTTATCCAAATGCAAGAGTTATTAAATTAGTTTAATTTGAACTAGACAATTATAGGAATCAAGTGTAATAGGTAATTTGAAATTAATTTTAGAGAGTAGAAACCTCCTATTTTCAAGTGTTCGTTGCAGATTAGAGAAGATGAATATCTATCTTTTAATGAATTCATCATCATTAGAATTAAATAGATGCAAATACTTATGGCTCGATATTTCTTACCATTTCATAATGCTGACACACAAATACTTTCCAATCTCACACTTCATTTCTTACTGTAAGTCTTGTTAAGGAATATCTTCTTTTCTTAACAATTTTAATTAATTTTGATAAAATTTAAATACTGGTTCATATATACTATTTAGTTCCTAAAAGTCGTTGTAATAATATTAAAATTATTCATTTTTACTATCATAAAGATTTATCAAATATAAAAATTTCAAGTAAAGCATCTAAGTACAATACAGCTGATCTCCATTAATCAAACAGCCGGTTCTTGTATCTGTGTTATCTAAAGCTATTTGTTCCTCTTCTACAGGTGAAGTTTATTCAAGATTGATTAATCCTGGACTGTGGTCAAGTGGAACATTTAAACATTAAGGGGCTGGTTCTCTTAATACTAACTTTTCTTAATTAGATATAACATCCAAGTATTGAATTCCTGCCATAATATAATTTTGATTGAAATAGTAATCGATTGCTTTAATGGTTTAAAATTAATTTAAATATCTTTGCAATTAGGTCTGATATTGAACAATCACGAGAATATAGTCCTAGTTCTTTCTTAGTGTATTTATGAGATTCAACCTTTCAAATGAACTTATAGATGATTACTTTTCAGACGTTTATTTCAATTTCCTTTTCAATACTATACATTATTCAATTTCTGATAGATTCTCTAATTTCACATTCAAACTTAATTGTCTAAACATTACTCTGATTTATGCACTGCACCTTTTTAACCCATCAATCAATTAAGATATCTCATTTTCGAAATCTTTTCTGACTGCAAACAAAGCACAAATCTTAAAGTAATAAATTAGTAAAGTATCCAAAACCTTTTTGATTTCATTCGATCTCAAAATGTAATGACTAAGGTTTTTAGAAAACGAATTTACAAAAAATGGTAACAATTCTTAGGTAGTTTCATATTGAGTGATTCTTAGGTATTCTTCTACTTCTTTTATTAGAATTAAGCATTTATCGAATTACTTGATTCTAAGGTGGAAATTGATTTGATGCTTCATATTTTCCATGTAGATTTGATAAGATTGCTCTTTTTAAGCATATGCTAATTAAAAGTCAATCTCCCAAAAAGATTTCTGATCCAACATCATGTCAAGAATTTGGATCGGAGTTTTGTCAGCATGAATGATTTCGATTAAGAAGTATTTTAAGGGATGATCTAAATTCTACAACGCTTGCTCAAAATCTTCTATTGGCTATAGATAGATCATTTCAATAACAACTTAAACTAATTGCCATACTTAATTGTTGTCCTAATTGACTGAATTCAAAATCATGTATTCATTTTGAATAAGTATATAATTGTAAATCGACAAATTCATTATATGATGTTTGGTCATTATCTTTAAATTAGCAAATATAAATTGTCTCAACTCATCCAATGTGTAATATAAGGCGTATTTCTTTCTGAATTACAATACTTAATATAAACTCTTACACTCTGAGCATTGATATAATGATATGCAATACCCTTTGATAAAAAAGTCGTCAATTTAATCAAGTATATTCAATTATTTAATATAGTTCTAACTCTCCCCAAGATACACTCCCAATCCATCATTATGATATTGCTGAAATTGCAATTACTAACCATGTCTAACTTAAAAAAACTACATTAGATATTCTTTATCCTCCACGCTAACTATCCAAAGTATGTCATGCAAGTGTTTCTTCATTTTTATATTGGGAATCTAATTTATTTCATCAAGAAAATATTGCATTGCATATTCTTCAACTTTTAAGGAATGCTGTTCAAATATATAAGTGTCCTTAGCTTTATCAATGACTTACTTATAAACTTCTGATTTCAAAGACTCTAGATAATAGGTTTTTTAAATTGTTCTACTGCTTGTAGATGAGAATACAAATTGCTTTTTTTACCTAGATAAAATTATCAATTATAATATACTCGTATTCTAATTTGTTGAATAAATCAATAAATTGAGTGAAATTGTATCTCTGAATGCATGAATACTAAACAATAGTTCCAAATTTCTTATGAATGTCTGATTCAAATTGAATTTCCTCTAACTTTTTACTAGCCTCATAGTACTCTAACGCATATTAAATAGATTGCTTCCTTAGAGTTTATTTTCTAAATCCTCTAAAAAACAAACCTTTGTATCTAAATATTTATACTTTTCTACAGTTTAACCAAGATCTCTTCTCAATAAAGTTCTGATATTTATAAACTAATTCATTGTATTCTTTGACTTCTTCAGATGTGAGAGTATTACCAAATTATTGAAATTGTTTTCTAAATTTGAGCATAGCCTAATTTCTATAGTATTCGTGTTGTTTGTCAAAACTCTTTTTCAAAATTAAATACCTCTTGTAATCCAAATTATGAAATAAATGGGATTTCCTTTAAATATAACTTTGAGCAATAAATAATCTATAATCGGTCCAAAACATATTATAATTAGAGAGAAGATTCAATCTAAAGAAAAATCTCCAAATTTTGGTTCTGACTTGAATGAGTTACTTTTCCCCCTTTGAAGAAGATTGAATTCTAAAAGCCCAATGAATGGATCTATTTGAGTAGTATTTGAACAGGAAATCATAATTCAATTTCTAGACTTATTTTATTTTTTTCATGCTATCCTTTATTTTCGATTTCATATTTCTTCGAGTGTATGTCTCTTGTTTTACAAACTCATTGACAGGGACAATTATTTAGTTACTTGATTAGTCAAACGAATCTGCCTATATTTTCTTTTGAGTATTTTAATTGGTCGTAAGAAATTGCTGCTGCTATTACGACTTATTCTTAAGATTTAATTGATTCATCTTGAAATTAAACATTTCTTCTTCATATACTAATCTCTTAGAAATTTATTTACTATTCTTAGTGTAATAGTCAGCAATTTCATCTTCAGAACTAATCGTTTCGAAACGTTCATATTTACGATAGATAGATGATCCAAACACTTTAAAAAGTGGACATCTTTACAATTTGTATTTGTTATCTTGCTGGGACAATCTGTTTAATTTTGATTTGCTTTAAATATTGCTTTTAAATATATATTGGCTTCTTTTCACAATTTGATCCAATATGATAGGAGAATTACCGAATATGGAATTAGTAAGGTATTTAATAAAAAAGTTATAAAACAACAGTGCTAAAAATAGAATGATGACTTGATCTTTCATTGTTTCGTAATAATACATGCAAATCAACCCTGTATTACTTAGGAGTGTCATATAATTAATCAACTAAAAAAAGTCATCCCAAATCCCTAAAGAACCATCTCCTTTTGGCCAAGGTCTTTGAGAAATGTAGAGTAGTCGTAATTTAGATATCTACACTTGTAAGATAGTCCAAATCCAAAATAAGGTTACGCTAAATGGAAATAAACAACCGAATATATTTATTAAAGTTAATTACAAAAAAAAGTCCATGTGCTCATCTATGTTTCCATATTTTTCAACACTTTTTTAAAAAGGAATTCTTTGTTCTTAAATTTCAATAAAATCACACAAGCTTTGCTGGTTGTTTGGGTATAACTTTTAAGGGTTCTTCACCATATCGTTTTGGAATGTCATTAGGAATTTAATCACTTACATCAAAAACATCAACATCATCGTAGTCCCAAAATAATACTCAACATTATGTCTACAATTTTCTTCCTTGCAATACAACTGCAAAGGGGAATTCAGAAAACTAACCATCAACAATGGGACAACCTGAGAGGAACAATGTAATGTGTATTTTTTTATGATATAACTAGTTTCATATTGATAAGAAGTCTAGAAATTCTCGAAATCTGTTAAAATAGTAGCAATTTGTTCATAAAACGAACTGATTAATAATTAAATGACATAATTGAGTGAAGCTGTCACTATGATCTCAAAATATTAAAAGTAATTTCCTAAATCTATGAATTCTGACTTTAGATACAAATTAAAGAAGTATAATCCAATTATTCTTCCAATATCAGATCCAATCAGAAATATTAAGATGAAAATAGATATAACCAATCTCTGAATGAATTTCGAGTGTATAACTCCAATTGAATTCAATTCATCACTCTCAATTGACCTTACATTTTATCCTTTAAATGAACTACGTATAATGCTCTCTTTAACATTTCTATTTTATCCAAACTTGAGATTAAAAGTTAACTACTATTAATGCCAGCAGTCTGTTTAAAAGGAATTCCAATGGACTATTAAAATGGAAAAAACCGATACGGTTGCTGTGTATACTTCATTATTGTAGTTCTATGATATGTACATTAACACACTAAATAACAGTCCTAAGGCTGCCATAGGAGTTGAAAATTTAATGAAGTAAGAAGTAAATTCAAAGTACAATCCTATCTTCTCCCCAAAATAGGAACAAATGTTATCAGTTGGTATAATCCATGGATGTAAATAATCCAGATTCCATTCACTTGCAATATCAAAAGGCTTTTTCTTATAGTTATGCTTTTCTTCACTTACTGCTTTTTAGATACTTTTACATTGGCCAAACAACTCATATTGATCATGCAAACTGAATAGTTGTTTGACAAACTATAAATTGATTAAAGTATTTAAATTAATTGTTTGAGTAATAACGGAAGATGCTAATTTCAATCTTTCATTATTTGGAAACAATGTAATTTAGTTTTATTCATTTTTAATGTATCTGCACCATTTAAGTTTGTATTTGGCAATGTTCTTTAAGGATTCCCCAATGAAATTAATTTTAAAAGGCACATATAATTCAAAAGGTTTTTAATGGTACCTATCCCAAATTGTTTTTATATAGTGTTGAGAACAATTGGCAACCTTAAGAGCCTCTTGAAATATGTTCAAATAATTATGAGCTAATTATTGCTATTTGATCAATTTGATGGATTTTAATTTTGGTAGATCAGCTATCAAAGGAACATTGTACGAGAGATCTATTAATTCTCTTACTTTTTCATACATTTCACTTATTTTGTCAGAGGCGTCGTCGCTTAAATCAGTAAATTAATTAATCTATTCTTTTCTATTAGTTCTAATTCCATATAGTTGTTCAACTGTCTTTTATCCATCTACACATAGAGCAATGTCACTATCTATTTGATGCTTACTTCTTTCAATCTATATATGCTTATTTAAATGAACCAAATATTTATAATATGCTGTCCACTCCTCATCCGTTGGCCCATCCTAATCTCCATATAAATCAGACTTTCCATATTCAAATAACTCAATATTTAAACCACTTTGGCCTACTTCTCTAGCCAATCTTTTGAAATTAATCTATCTTATTTAATCAATGATCAGGGGTCGTAAGTATTCTAAATAAGGAGAATTATCATATTCATCTGGTCTCCAGAGTCTGCCATTCAATCTTAAAGGACGATACTATTTGTCCACAGGTTCTAAAGACAGAAGATCTGTGAAACAAAAGCTTAATTTCTTTGGCAATGCGAAATTTTCAGCAGCAATTTCGAGCATCTTTTCTGTCATATACAAACAAAGATAGATGGTTTATCCATCTTTGGATATAAACGATTTCACATTGAATCCTTTTCTAGATAGTTAAATTATCAAAGCATTTCTGATGAGAGTCAAAATATCTTGGGTTTCATTTCTTGTTCGAAACCAAGATTAACCTTATCTTTTGAGGTATTCTCCTTAACTGTAGGCCTTCTTTTAAACGTATTCCAATTTATGCATGTCAATTTATAAACAATCAGTGATATTATGTAAACTGCCTGCATAATGTGAGATGTTATCTTTTAAATAATTTCTAAACTTTTTCACTAATTTACTCATTGGATCTTCTTTTTTATAAACAGGGAAATCGGATGTTCTATTCAACTAATTGACGATGTTCTCCACAAGAATTAGGGAATTGGGACTTCTATCTGGGGATTTTTGAAATAATTATTACGAAGTTCCAAATTATACCAAAGTATTTCTTTGTTATTGTTGATTTGAGTCTATATTTCTTGTTTTTAATTCAAATAACGAATATATTTTGCGATCAGCGAGGTGAGTGAAGGCATTTTCCAAAGCCTTTATAAATAGTTTATCATAAATTGACTTATCATCTATCTAAAGAGACTTTACAATTTATTCAAAAATTTCAAATTGCTTTATACTGTAATCGTATTCATCTGGAATCAAATCTGGGTTGGGAAGACTTTGAAATTCATAAATAAAATTACATTATACCTTATGACTGCTTCTGGTAAATCAAATTCCATTATTGTATTTTCATCTATTTATGGAATATTGTTGAGAGCATAAAATCGTTTTTCATCTGCACGCCCAATATCTTGACCCAGAAGCATTTTCAAGTAGATTTCGTATATCTTGACATAATCTTCTATTTAATCTAGTTTTTTTTATCTTCTAGTTTTTTGTGTTATTTCTGGAATCAGTTATTGAAAACACTAAATTGAGAGTTTGGAGGTAAAAGCATGCATTTTGCTTTATCTACTTTATCTTTAATTCATGAGAATATAAAAATTCAACTTAAGAATTTTATTATTAGAATTATAAACTTTCCAGCAATGAATCTTCAATTTCTTTAAAAAGAGTATATTAATTTAAATTAAATTAAATCGTAACACGAATTGTATATATTAACATTATATTAAAGTACATCAATTTGATTAATATTAACTTCAAATTCAGAATTTAACCATAACATTATAGATTTAATGCCAACAAACACCAACATTTCATTGAAATTTAGCGACTCCTCCTCGATGATTGAAATGTTAAAATCTTTAAAAATTGAATTAATAAATCAAGTTTAATTAGAGAATTAATAAGACAAGAAATTAATATTATTATAAAACTAATACAAATTAATTTATTTATAGAAATTTACTGATTTGATTATTGATAGGATTTAAAATCAAGTTAGGAAGAACTAGCGATATATATTAATAAGAATCAAAGTTTTTTGTTCTTTAACATTCTTACGAATTCTTCATATGAGATTTTTCCATCGTTATTGCCATCACAATCTGAAAGAATTTAGCTCCAAACATCATCACCAAGATCTCCCATTATAGATTCCAATTCTTATTTAGAAATGAACCCATCTCCATTCTATGAACATTAATAAATGAATTACCAAATCAAAGATCTTGAATGCCTATTCTACTCGTTAGACCGATAATAATTTTTCTTAATTTATCGCAGCCATGCAAAATTCTGAAAAATCAATCATTCCAGATCTATTGATGTCTATCATATCAATCATTCTGTCAACCTCCTCTTGAGCATACTTATAGTCCAATTTCAGTTGTTGATATCCTTTAATTAGTTCTTCTTTAGAAAGATACCCATCATTATTGATATCAAGTCTTTTGAATTCATTTTGTAATTCAGATATTTCCTTTTAAGTAGACATCTAAGTAATCATATATGACATTAGAGCTTATTTTAAGATAGTTTAAGCCTTGAAATTAAATTGATATCAAAAATACCCTAAATTGTCTGATGTTATCAAGAACTCTTTTATTAACTTAGGATGTGGGAGCATATTTAACTAACCAAGGATCATCTAAAGCTTATTTTGCTGATAATCTTTTATTTGGATCCATTCTTAACAATTTGGTGATGAATTCTTTGGCTTCCTTAGAAATTTAATCCCAATCCTCAGCTACATGATATTGAATGAAGAGTTACGATCAAAATTAAACTTCCCTGCTTTGACTCTATCCAATATTTGATTTTCACTCTTGCCTGAAAATGGAGGATAACCACACAATAGAATATATAAAATGATTCCACAAGACCAAATGTCACATTTCTCATTGTATTGATGATTCAAGACTTCAGGAGCTATGTAATAGGGCTTGAATAGAAGGGGGAAATTACTGTTCCTAATCTTTTACTCATTGCCTTTGTGTTGTCAAATTTTCTTGAAGTTCCAAAATCAATGACTTTTAATTGGGAATTTGGATCTTCATTGATAAAGATGACATTCTCAGGTTTCAAGTCTCTATGTACAATGTTTTGCTGATGACAATGCATTGTGGCTAATAATATTTATCGTATGTAATCAGCAGCAATATTTTCACTAAAGGATGACATTTTTTTGATTCTATCAAATAGTTCACCTCCTGATAGATACCTAACGAATATATATAAAATTTGTACTCAGTAACTAAATAATAATTATTTTCATCTTGATAGAGTTCAAATAATTTTACTATATGAGGATGGTCAAGATTCTTTAATATGTTCATTTCTGAAAACATTCGTTATTCATCTTCTTTTATTAATGAGCTTTTTTTCAATTACTTAATGGCTCTTACTAATCCAGTAGTTTTATGGGTTACTTTCCAAACCTTGCCGAATGCACCTTGTCCCAACACTTTACCAAAATTATAATGACTCCCAATTGATCCTTCTTTGAGTTTCACAAAAATATCATGTCCTAGTTTTATCCTTACTCCTGGTCCTTGGGGTTCATTTTTTTTTTTTATTTCCTCCTTAGCTGTAATTATGTGAGAAGCATCACTACTGTCAATTTTCGTTAGGGGCACAGATTCTTCCTTTTTAATAAGTTCAATCTCTTTTTTTGGCATCTCCTCCTATTATTCAGCATCTTAGTTATTTTCACTTTCCAAACAATAACCTGGCTATTAAGCCACATTCATTTGTTAATCCTCTTCAATTTAGCTTTTTTTACTGCCTTATTAAGAAAGCGAGACTTTTTATAAAGGATTTGGAGAAGCATTCGCAGTTTGTTCATTTTATAAAATTACTTCTTCTATGAACACTCTTAATTAATATACCTTAACAACGAATGTTATTATTTTTACAGCATTGACTTCCCATTTCCAATTAATTTTAATAAGAAAGTTAATTATTTATAAATTCAACATATGTCAAATCAGTATCATGTAATAATTAGAAATTCAAATCTTTATATCGATTTTCCAAAAGCATTCCTTATATTCTCATTGCAAATTTAAGAATTCGATTAGTCTCTCTCAATCTCAATCAAAAGATTTCTTAATTTAAGAAACAATCCAACGACTTGTACTATTAGAACCACAATTTAACATCATTTTATTAGATAAATTGGCTTAGATCTGAAATGCAAGTGAGAGTTATTGTGTAATAATTCAAAATACTTTGTTTATAAAATATATTATTGAACTGATTATTTATGCAAGTCTATTCCTTCAAATTGAGGTATCTATGCATTAAGTCTATTGCATATATCTATTTTGGAAGCAATGAAAATCACGTTTAGTTAACTTTAATTTTGATTGTTTTTAATTTTGGAAATTTTATTAATTTCTTAGAAATTATATAAATAATTATGCAAAAAGCTATTAACACAGGGGATTAAGATTATAACATCGTTAAGGCTGACAACCATCATGATTCTGATGAGGAATTATAAGGGAGGCAGGAGAAGAGTTCAAAGTTAGTTATTGAGGACGATGAAGAATTGAAAGAGGTTCCCCAAAATCAATCGAACAATACTAATATCAAACAAGAAGTCTAATCATAAAAATAAGTTCAAAAGTAATAAGAAATCTAATAGTCAACTAATGAATAACCAAAAAAGGTTGTAGCTTAAGTTTACCCGAAATTCATTAATTTTGATTATTAAGACATTAATATTAAATTCAAGCCAGAATGGAAAGATAAAAGGAAAATCCCTGAACCCAATAAAATTGAAAAGAAATCCATGATAGAAATTAAAGAGCCTATTTTATACACTTTGAATAAGCAAAAAACAAAGCATGGAAGATCAATTTTCACTTCTTTATTTTCTACAGATTATAGATACATCTACCTCACTGATGGATACATGTACATTTTGCAATTGAAGAATGAAAAGATGTTCGTAAAGAGTGTGAACTCTTTGTAGAGATTATTTAAAATAATTCTTAAGGGAGATTAAATTTAATTATGCTTTATCAATGCCAACCTAGATAAAACTAAACCACCTAATGTATGTATTTCTATTCTTATATAAAATTAGATAAAATCATATGAATTCTTAAAGGGTAAAGAGTAAAAAGAGAAACTCTTGATGAGGATGAGAGGAGAGATTAATAAATTAGGGTATGATTTTGATTTAATGAAATGAATTTTATTGATAAATTTATTTAATTAATTATAATCGTTATTTTTTAAACATTTTCACCTGCTTTATGAAGAAAAGAGAAAGTATTTCTGAACCTCCTCTAGATAAATTGGAACAAATAAGATAGAAGTTTTCAAAATAATTAATCAAAGTAAAATCCAAAGGTTTTGTGACATGTAGCATTGGAAAATCAATATAAAATGATGCTGGATCAAGAATTTCATATGGGAAAAGTTCCTTCCTGGAAAAACTCTAATCAATCAATTCATTTGAAGACGATGAGAAAACTCTACTAAAATCTATTTAATTTGATGTTCAATTGGCAATTAAAAGATATTAATAAAGAATTGAGTAAATCGGACAGTTGCAAGTCGAAAGAAGTTCATTGCGATCCTGCTAATAAGATATTATGCAATACTTTACAACTCCTTAATAGGAAAAAACTGATGCCCATTTGGATTCTTTATTGTCCTCTAAGAGATCTACTTGCAAAAGTACTTAATAGAATACAATTATTAATCCTAATTCAAATAAATTGATGCCATTTAATAAAAATGTTTTTGGAAATAAGAATTCAAACAAGACCTTCAAAATCATATCTGAGAAATAGAATAAAGTAAAGTAGAATAAAAAATCAAGCAATTAATCTCTTACCGAAATAAGCATGCATAAAAAGAAGCAATCTAAAGATGGAACTCTTAGTTAAAAATCTGTTTCAACTCGCTAGCCAAGTGTAAAGGAAATAGCAATTAATTTAGAATAAAGAAGATCTACTGGAATGATATTACGAAATCAATCAAGATAATCAAGAAATTCTATTAATTCCTTTGATAACAAGTAACCTGCTAAAAAACTTTAGGTATTTTGAATACAGTTTAAATGTTTGCTTTTTAATTGAATTTATATCAAATATTATTAAACGAATAATTTTCGGTTTTCAATAACGAAATAGATTAATATTATTGAAGATCAATTTATAAAAAGAATATGATTCTTAAGATTATTTTAAGTTCAAATTGAATTTCATATTACATCCCATTTAAATAGTAAAGTAATTTTAGAATATTTAAAATCATTATAATATCAATTCCATTATTGAAATTTCATCATTCTCAACAACAAAATATGTAAGAATGGCTAAAGATTAAATCAGTGATTATTTCAATTTATGAGCTGAAACCAACCTCATACACTTCCTAAACAAACACATAAAAAATGGTCGATCTTAATGTTGAAGAATTATTGATTATATATATTTCATAAATTCAAAACTTATTGTTATTATAAAAATATGAATACGCTTCATGAATATTAATTATAAGTGCCTTTAACTAAGCAACACGAAAAAACTAATGAACAGTCAAACCTTGAAGGAAGTCTCACATTAAGTAGGGAGAGGTTTATTTAAAAATAAAAGAAATTAGTAATTGATATCTTTTCCCTTAGTAAATTAATACAACCAGATTGATACCTATTACAAGTGAAAAATTACCCAGATTATCTCAAAGCAGATCTCCAATCTAATAAAAAATGGCCAGAGCGATAACAGAGTATCAAGCACCATCAAAATAATAAGCAATGAAATTTTTTAAAGCGAATACAAATACAGAAAATGAAGGAATCATCTATACTGATGATGAAAGAGCAAAATTGAAATTAAGGAGAGAGGAGAAAAAACCAAAAACTACCAATTATAAAGCAGGCCTTTATGAAAATACTTAAAATAAAAAATTTGCAGAGTTTGCAGAATAGATCAGAAAACTCAAAGACTAATTGGATTCTTTATAGGTATGTTGATGTATATAACCAAGAAATATTTGAACAATTCAAGAAAGTTGTTTTTAGTAGTTAGGAATATTGTTGAAAAAAGAAAAAACCTTAGGAAAATTCTATTAAAGAATGGGAAAGATGAACTTGTAGAATTGTCTGACATAGAAAAACTTTGCAGTGTAAAAGAATTCGTCAACATCAATGGAGAATAAAAACTTATTGATAAACTGAATATCTCCCTATTAGATGACATTATCTATGCTAATGAAGTCTTAGAGAATTTAAAAATTTAGAATGAAATTCTAGATATCAAGGAAATGGCTGATTAAGTATGTTTTAATGAAAATTATGATTATAATAGAAAAAAATTAAATAAACAGGCTGAACAAGATTTTAAAAATCAATTAAGAGGAAGATTTGAAGTTATCCTTCACATCTATCGCAATGTCAAGGTACAATTTGCACGAACAAATTGAAACCTTCGAATAGCGATTAGGTCCTCTCTAGTCAATCAAAAAAAATTTAAAGCAAACCTCTTAAGCTATTACCACTTTTGTAAAATTGTTATGTGATAAGTGAATGATTTCTATATTTTTGGATTATCTATTTAATTTTATAAAAAGCTCTAATATAAATTATTATTTATACTTTACTATGATTCTCGAAGAAGCTGTAATATAAGATATTTCTATTTCTAGCTTGGAGTAGAGGATGATTATGTAAGATTGCAAAAGATTGCCGAAGGGATTAAGCAGATTTCATAAAGCTTGAAAACCTAAAAAAATTTCAACAGTCCTTCTCTAATTAAACAATGTAATTGGAAATTGCTATATAAGTGATTTGCTCATATCCATTTTCAGACGTCACCATTGAGATGCTCTTAGATGAGTGTTTTGAATAGCACAAAAGCGACCCCAAATTCATTATGGCATTCCATAAGGCATTACAAGAAGTGGCTATTCTTTAAGAATTCAGACAATTTTTAGGCACAAGATCCTTATTCAATAAATAAAACCGTCAGCTATCACATAAGTAAGTAAATGAGTATAATTTTTAGCAATAATATTACCTCAATACTTAGAGAGTAACTGAAACAAGGGTCAATCCCTTTTAGCAGAGAAGTCATAGAAAGATTAATAATTGCAAAACGATTTTCAGTAAAATTTATTATCCCAATATTTACTCTATCCAAAGAGTACAAATTTGATCTGGAATAAATGGCATCTATATTTAAACTTTTCCTAATGCATACCAAAAATGAAGAATTCTAACTCCAAATTATTGATATCTACGAAGAATTAAAATTGTCAGTACTTAAAGATCTCGAATGGATTGAGGAACACAATTAAGAATTAGAAGATTGTAATTTATTATTTGTAATCTTAGATTTCATATAAAATAAAATTAAAGTCCCTTAAAAATTAATCTAAAGTAAATTGATGCATATAAAAAATAAAAACAAAAAATTGCTGCACCAACATTTCATTAAGAAATGCAACATGAAGAGTGAAACAGAAAGTGATTCTTTATCTGTTAGTCCAGAACAACCAAAAATAATAGATTACAAAACTAAGATTTAATAATGGCTTTGTACAAAAGAAACCCCTGTTATTGATTTGGATAATTATGTCTATTTTACTAACTCCGAAAATCTAAACTCTCTTCTTTCTTTTATTTTGAATCCATGTAAAATTGATTTAATTGCGGATTGGGTATTATTAGAATTCATTATAATAGGAATTGACATTCACAGATCTAGAGGCCACATTCAAAAAGAAACACTTTAAAAATCTTCCCATTAAATTAGATAAATTGCAAATCATTAGATCATATAAAACTGTCTTATTATTTCAAAACTAAAACAATATTCGTCAAATTGATAAACTATTAACCACCTTTGTTGAAATTTCATGTATAGATTTAATCTTAAAATAGTTAGAAGAATATATGATTCCTTAATTAATGATGAAATTAACTTAAACATTAATCACTTAATTAATTTCCTTGAATAATTGATACTTTTAAATCCATAAAAGAGTGCCTATTAGATCTTAGAATACAATCTATTATTTACCTTCTCACTTTATATTTATAACCATTAAATGACTACCTTCATAGGAGACATGTTGAGCTTATGGATAGATAAATTTAAATTTGGTTTTTATTTATAAGAACAAATATGGAAATATTTAGATTATACAAATTGGTTTAACTTCCTCTTTCAAATTTTATTGAAACAACCTTAAAGAAATGAGTAATGCTATTAGGAATACAAAACATTAAAAATTGTAAAATTTTCAATTATTAATTTAAGGATGGCATATTGGCTTTTGTTAAATTGTTAAAATAGCCTGAAAAAACCTAATAGACATAGAATGACTTCTAGAATTCTGTCACCAGTCGATAAGAACCGCTCACTCCGATCGAATTTTCAGAAGAATAGCAAATCTTAAATTCCTCATAGTGGATGTTGGACAATAACTCTACAGCAAATTAAATAATGGAAGATATGAGTTAGAAAGATATAGACAATCTCAAGTACTTTAGCATTGAGAAGAACAAATCAATTATGACAGAATTATAGGAGTCTTCACCTTTAAGAATTAGAATTTTATAATCCTCTTATAATAAGGGATTTTATGGCTAATCATCAGACATAACTAACAAAGCTATCCTCTCTCCAAAGGGGAAGATGAATCATAGTTCAGTTAGTCTGCCTTCAATAGACAATAAAGCACACAAGAGTGAAAGTGTTGATTCCTAGAATTGCCAAAATTATGCATCAAGATAAAGGAATAAAACTTATATCATATCACAAGATGGGTTTTCTACTACAAAGCTTATTTCAATTTATCCAAGAAGAAATATCGATTTATAGTTCACTCACTTTGAAACTGCTTAATCATTCTTTATTTACAATAAGCATACTTTAAAAAGTTGTACTAGAGTATTTAAAATTTTGAATGACTCTATATTCAACTCTCTTTATTATTAGGATAATTTGGTAAAGGATTCTTTTTAGAAATAACAATTCTTAAATCTAGCTTAGAGAAATTTCATTAATGAACGAACTATCCTAACGTTATTTCAAATTTATTTATATGGAATTTTCGATGAGGAAAGTAAAGTGCTTTAGAAATCGTCAATTGAATGTGGTCTTATAATAAATGAGATTTATAAGAACTCCTTATCATTGCAAGAAAAATCATTAAATAATTTACTCAAAAACTGTTTTAGTTAAGTTGCTGATTTTGTGAGTAAGAAATTAATAGAATTAAACAATTTTACATAGCTAACTGACTTTAAATTCAAATAATTTTTATTATTTAGCACTTTAGTAAATGGCTTGCAATATTTTGATCTTTATGATCCTAATAGGGATGAGAAGAACATTTATAAGTACTTAAATGAAACTGTGATGCATATACTAATAATATGGTTTTTTAATAGTCATTAAAATAACATTTTCTAATCGAACTTTGTTAAGTAATTATGCTTCTTAATAAAAGATTAATCGCCATCCTTTTTTCTCGGGCACCTCAATATTAATTGTAGAATCTATTGTTCCATGTTGGTTTATTGACATCACTTTTTAATGGGTATAATACATATAATAGAAATGGATGCAAAAATATAGACTATGTTGAAAGTTTATACATGAACATTATGTATTTAATATACATAATAAATGCTAATGTTTACTCAAGATAACTAGCATAATTAATTTCAAATTTAGAATCATCAGCATCATGGAAAGGCATTTAATAAACTATTTGTGAGGTGTAAAACAATTACTTGAATCAATTAAATTAATTAATGAAATTGGACAGATCCTATTCAGTTAAAAAAATAAAATCTAGTTAGAAGATCCTTCTGTAGCCAAACTCTAAAGATTCAATTAGGCCTAAAAATGACTCTAAGAATGATAATTCTTAATTAAATGAACTTTTAAAATAAAAGTATTAGTAAATTATTATTTATTAGATCAATAACTAAGGAATCATCACCTGTTAAACAGTAAATGTAGATCAAGAAATTAATTAGATATAGAACTAAAAATAGCATAAAAGCATGATTGATTTGAAATCAAATTTATTTTATTTTCGAAATTCTCACTATGGATTAAAATCCAATATTGTTATATGTATTGTGATTAATCAATCATATGATGTTTTCCATTTTATTTAATAATGGAGGTATTACTCTTTGTTATTCTTACAACTTTCAATGGATATAATGTTATTATTCTTGTATTCCATTTTGATAATGTTGTTTTATTTAATGATAGTAAATGTATAAATTAAATAAAATAATAATTAAAATTAATATTCTTATCTTTAATATCAAATTACTTAATAATATTACTCAAATGTGTCAATAATTTTGGATAGACAATTAGATGTACTTAATTAATATCTCGAAATTGAAATACAATCATTACTAAACTTACATTCTAAGCCAGGATTGCCTTTGGCTACAGCTCCTATCACAAAAACCAACTACAATAAAAGGCTATTTTTACATTATGCTTTTTTTAAATATATTCTTTTAGGTCAACCAATTTCGCTTTGTGTGATGTGGCTACAATGTAAGCTTCATTGGAGAAATACTCTTGAACTGTGTCATTGTGAATTTGGAGTAAAACTTGGTCCTCTGATTAAATTTTGGCTGTCTCCAATAATTTGGCGATCATTCCACTAAACCTTTTAAAGGTTCTGGGTATTTTAGTGACTGGATTGATTTCAATTAATCTATTGTCTTCTGTCCTTATCAATACTTTAATTAATCCTGCTTTATTAAGAGGACTATCAAGTAGTGTTAACAAACTTTGATGTACTATGTCTGGCCTTTTGCTTAATTAAATTATACCTGAAATCTTCTGGATTTCTTCCTAATCGCTTCGATATAAAATGAGAGTGATCTTCGAAATTCAGCAACACTTTTGATGATTTCAATTATCCCAATTGTAAGACTGCTCCGTCAAGTATGAAAGTTACGATTTCTTTATTCAATTTTTCTTGAACTTCTAACTCTGGGATCGGGACTTCATTATTAAGAGATTTCTGGATGGTTTTCTTCAACTTCTTGATTTACTTTTTGTTTGAGAGTTGTTTGAGCATAAATTAAAATTATATTAATTAAATAAAACTGAAAATACTTTGTCATTTATTATTAGCAGGATTGTTCACTGACTTTATTTTGTTCTGCTTTTTTAGAAACTCCTTAATGTCTGCTTTTAATTGACTGTATTCTTCTTTCATACTTAAAATCATCCCAGAAGTCTCTTCTCTCTTTGTATGAGAATTTTTTATTTTTTTTTTGAGTAAGATGAATTGCTAAAATCAAATGATATCAAATACAGGACGTAGCTCTGGGTTTTTTTCGATTTCATTCCATAACTTTTCGATTTTTAATTATTTTCTTTGTTAAGCCTATTCTTTGTAACCTTTTGCATCACTGCCAAATTATTGATTTTACATTTTTAATATTTATTTAATTACAGTATGAATTTGAATGCCTCCTCAACTTGTAACCAAATAAATCTAAACAAAAATACATAATATGCAATTCTAAATATCAATTAATCTTAATAATATTGATTATTTTGACATTTGTGATGGTACTTAGTTATATTTTTAATTAAAAGCAAAGTGAATAAAATAATATAAAATATCTACTCTATGAGTCACTTTGATGACATTGACTTCGGCTAGAATTCAAACTCCAGTAACGTGCATTTTGAATAAGAGGCAGACTCTGGAAAGAAGTAAGCTTTTGATTTAAAAAAGAAAGCCCAAATAAAACACAAAGAATACTTATATAAAGAAGATATCATCGCTTATAAAAATGACCAATCAAGAAATCTTAGATGAAAAGTAACATTCCTTTCTCAATAGCATAATTAGTTAAGAAAAAAAATAGACTGTCCACAAAGTCTAAAGCCAATAATTTCCTGGAAATAATTTAGGAGATAAAGAGGATAAACTAGCGAAAAACAGAGAGTCTGCTAGAAATAGCAGGAGAAGAAAGAAGATTTATCTAGAATTATTGGAAAACAAAGTTACAAAATTATCAGAACAATTAGATGTTTTTAAGAATGTTAATGAGAGAACTCAACAATTAGCAATTAATCTATAAAATAAAATAACACAAGTATTCATCATCCTAATTATTAAGAAAAGAGAGCAAGATTCAACTAAGATGATTTTATTTTCCAATCTCTAAAATTCCATCAATGGAAATGCTGGAGAAATGAATATCGATGCAATCATAGATTCCTTGAATGTATATTACAATCTATACATCCATAGAAAAAATTTGGTTCTGGATCGCAGGAAAGACATTAGTTAATCGATCATTATGCAAGACAAATTTATGAAAATTGTTTGGCTCCATATATAAATTATATCATTGGAGTAGCTAAAACTGATTAAGACATATTCTCTAATTAAGAGTAAATGAACCATTTATCCTTAGGCAAACTGATAATACAATCTTAAGAAATCTTAAACTTACCGATAAGCAAAAACAAATACTATAAAAAAAATAATAAAAATTAATAAGACATCAAAATGAATTAGCTAAGTATTTTGATTTAATTTATAATAAGTACATTATCCTCAATTTAGGAAGTAAAAAATTAAATTTAAGCCGAACTAAGTTCATTTGATTAAACTTTAGAATAGTTAAGAAGAGAGTTGAAACCAAGTCAGGTGGCTAGATTCTTATTATCTATTGAAAAAAAGGATATGCAACATCACTTTAAAGAATAGTTTGAAAAATGCTTTGGATCAGAAATTGATGAAGATGACTCTTTGGAATTATATTAATTTATGACTGAGCACAATCAATGTAATTCACTTGGAATAGATATCCAATAAACTTACGAGATATATAGAGCATCCAATGATTTTTTAAATGGAAAAGCTGAATCGGAAGATTAATAGCAACAATAATTGTAACAATAAACTAAAGTTGAATGAATTGATATAGATATGACCTATATAATTGATTATTATATATATTTACATATATAATCATCATTAACAATAGTTAAATATATTTGCTATTTCTTAAACAAAATGTTTATGCATTTTTATTAACTTAATAAATGTATTCATATATTAAAATATAGGATTTGTATGAATTCAATAAATAGTTTAGTTTACATCATTCGAAAGTTTCATAAGTAATGGATTAAGATGCTTAATAATATAGAATGAACCCATATGATATAATGTTATGATAAATTAATTTCATGTCATCTTTCTTATCTTTATGGCATTCGAGAAAATATTTTTAGATAGATCCTTTTTATATGTTGCAGATGAGATTCTAAGCTTGGAACTAAATGATTTTACTAGGGTTGGAGTCTAAAAAACTTCACTAGCCTTTTTTCTCATAGACATCTATTTGGTATATTCTTCATTGACGTATGGCACTTGCTCGGGGTCAAGTTTACCAGATACTATATCAGAAATAACTCTAATTTATTCCTCTTATTCAACGATTTGCTAATCGAAATCTTTAAATTTCTAAAATGTTATTTTATAAATACTGGTTTTTCCACAGGTTTATAATTGATGGAGGTAACAAAATTGAATTTAAGTTATTTTTTGCCATCCTTAATTTCATAAGCATCATCTTTTGAAACTTTTTCTATAATATCTACTATCTCTCCTTCCTCATTTACATACTAATTATATTTACAAGTAATGTAACCTTTAGCAATCATCTAAAGTACCTATAATCGTTTTTGCATTTTCTTTAATTATTTGAGAAAGTATTCTTTTCTTAATTGATTATCTGTTTTGCTTCTGGGTTCAAGTTCAAAAAAATTCCCAATATTTTCTTATTATTTTTTCATGAGAAGTTCATATTCACTGTTTAATTACTTGGAGTAATTTGAAGATGCTTCCATAAAGTTGAGATTTTGATATTTAACATGAGAAGCATAACTTTTGATTGCATTGTAGAATTATTCTTTGAGTTCTTGATTTCTTCTACTCGAATTACCTCCCCAGTTGATAACTTCATCATTTACAACATTTTGGGTTTTGACAAAATTATCCAATTGAACTTCTGGTTATTCATTGGTTGTTAGTTCAAAATTAAAATGGGAAGATATTTTAGTGCTTTTAACATTTGGATTTATTATTTTCTACAAGACTCTTCTTTTGGGTTATTACTCACTATTTTTAGGATAATTATCTGCTAACTTTGTTTATGCATTTGTATGTGTTTTCTCAAAGGATAAATTTTTATTTGAATGTTACGCTTTGCATGTTTGATGTTAAAAGAATTGATTAAATTATTAGGTATTTTGGATAATTAAAGAATTAGGCAGAATTTTAGATTTTTATTACTTAATCCCTTTATTTGATTTTAATTGATTGCTAATGTTTTTGGGATTAAATTCAGTCTCCTATAATTGAAAATTCAATTTGCAAGTACTAATCTCTTCTAAATAGGCTAAGTGAGCTTTTAGTTCTTCTGTATTAATTGGTTATTTAGACAATTCAACAAATCTCTTCAATCTGAAAATCCATTTCTCTCCAATAAGGAGAAATAATATGTTCCTTGACTCTCTTTGCCAAACTTTCTTCTCGAATTCTACATTTGAAATTCTAAATAACATTGCTGAATCACAAAGACACTTAATATTAAAATACCTTTTATCATAATTCAAAAAGCTCTCTTCTCCAAAGACTTCTCCCTCAGCTAATCTAGTCAATTAATGTTCAGTTTAGTTCTCATCTCTTTTTGTGAGTGAAAATTCTCCCTTAAAAACAAAGTATGCCCAATCGCATTCCTAATCGCCTTCTTAATAGATTGTTTCATTTTTCTAAGGTTTGATAACTTCTAATTTGTATGCGAAATATTTAATTTCATTATCGGAGAATTGTTAAATGTAGGTGAGCTGTTTCAGAAATGCTATTTTTTCATTATTTTCACTCGATTTGATATTTGAGTTTAACTCGATGATAAATTTAAAATCTAGACAGGCTACATCTGTTTGTCTTAGTGTAACTGCAGTAGATTTCTAAACATCCTGTAAGCCAAATTCATTGAATGATTATCCAAATGTCATTTCAGAGACTTGAGAATATTGTTGAATATCCGAAATATCTGTGAAAGTCTTTGGTTTGGTGGAGTCAAGTTCTTAGGTTACTAATACTCTACCACTTAGGATGATGTAGGTGGTTCTGTTAACTGATATATTCTAATTAGGCCCAAATGTTTTTAAATAAAGGTGTTTGCATAGTTGTTTCATAAAATCTGCATTGTATTTGGCTTTTATTTTCTCAAAATATTGAAAACAAGACATATATTCTATTATCTGTGAGAAATCTTATTCGGTTCTAGATAAATAATCTTTTTATAAAACTTATTTTATTTTTGAGATATCTTGAGGTTGATTGCCAATCTTTGATAAAATATTAGAGGCTGAGATAATATGAACAGCATGTTAAAGTAATTGAGATTTGCTTTTCATTTAGATAATTATTTATTTTAATGACGATATTATATATTAGAACCAGGAATCGCACCGTCAGGATGTTTATAAAAATTAGAACTATATTCAGGAATATGATAAGCCTTATCTCCTAAAAAATGCGTTCTAATTCCATTTCGATTGTCGTTAACTCGCACTTTTCTTTGCATTTCATCTTCCAATATGTAACCTTAATAGGTTTCCTTATTGGCATGCTACAATACTATTGGAAATAAATGACCTCGAAGGTTTTGATGCCATAATCTACATCTTCTAGATGGCCATCCTTTTCCTAGCGCAAATGTTTCTTTTCAAAGTAAATTTATCTGTCCATGGGTTCAAATTGCTTTCGAAAATTGGGTTCTGAATAAAACTTCTCCAATCTCGATGACTCTTAATTATTGAGTGACTGTTTCACAGTAGGAGTATTCAAGATCTGGAATTAATTTTATATTAAAGATTTCTAGACTTTCGGTTACACTTAGCCAAAGAATGTATCACTTTCCCTAGGAGTGATAATTTCTAAGGCTTGTTATTCGAACTTCTTTCTTCCTTTGTCCCTCCATTTTTAAGGTTTCAATCCGTCCCAATCCATATAGGAATACATTATATTAATATTAATTATGTAAATTGAATCAGACAATTAAGTTACAAATCAGAGTTACTCTTTTTTTAGGTAAGAGAATACGATTTTGGATGATAAAAAGTTTATGGAAATATTGTAGAAATGGGGTCTATAACATAGCATCAAAGTGAGCACATTTTTATTTGATATCAAATTTGATCATCTAAATCCAAATCAATTTTTGTTGGATTTATTCAATTCTAAGGACGTAAGAGGTTCATTGCATTATGTTTCATTTAAATAGAATGTGTTGCTATCATAGATTAAATTTTAACCTTTGACATGCAAATCCATAAAATTGGACTTATTCGATAAGTTAACAGAAGATAAAATTGTTGTCAAGGGTCACATCAAGTAGTGTTTCGAGGAATAATTTGAAAATATTCAGATAGCTGATGAATTACGTAAAGCACTTGTTTTGGAAGATTCGGAACAATATTGTGTATTCAATGAAGCTGACAGATAAGAATTATTATTCAAATTATTCCAAATTCTAGTTCTGGGGGGATAGCTTTGTTAATATGAAGATGAAATACAAGCCTATTTAGATTGGACAAAGTATTTATACAAAAACACAGTCAAGTATCATGTGAATTAATATAAAGTGCTCGAAAATATGCAGATAAGGATGAGATTTACATAGATTCTTATGCTTATGACATTAGGAAATTAGAGAACTCTTACAGTTCAGATCATCCATAAAATGTAATGTATGTCGTTGTGAACCCATCATTAAGAATTGTTAATATCATAGAAAACTAATGGTTAAAAGTATGGTGATTCTATTGAATTAAATTGTGATTAATCATGTTGAATATTTATAAATAAATATTATAATGAATCGAAACACGACCTAGGGAAAAAGCTTTAACATAAAACCATTGGTTTTTAAAGTTAAAGGCACCAATTATGCAAGTTAAAAAACATCATTTACAAGTTTATCTCCCACTTCTAAAATCGGATCTCCAAGGTTTGCTGATAACTTAAGGAAGCCCCTCAATCCTATCTTAAGTCCCAAAATCAATAATAAACCTTATGATAATACTCACATCTTTAGATCCACAAGATTCCACTCAGAATTCAAAAAGCCAACTCTTGAGAAATAAACTGAAAATGTTACTTTAAAGTTTTCAATCATGAAAGAACTTCATTTACAGAAATAACATACTCACCATAGTGTTCATTGTTCCACATAAGTAGTTAAAAAAGATAATATCAATTTATTCGTTTTATGTGAGGGTCATGGCAAGTTTGGAAAGGAATGTTCCTAATATGTTAATCAAAAGATGATAGAGAAACTCACTAATAACAATTTAAACAATGTAGTTTAGAAAAAAATTGATTAAATAAATCTTTTATTTGAAGACCTCTTTTCTGAAATCAATAAAGAAATGGTAATTAATTATATCTATACCTTAATAGCAATACTGCCAGGATCTAGACTCCTCCTAGAGTGGATCCTAAGCTCTTTGCATTTTGATATCTGAAATGAAATTGATTTGTTCAAATTTGGGAGAAAGCAAAGTAATGTATTTCTTTTTACAAAAAAATAACTTAGTTTTCAAATAATTAAATACTGTTCACTCTATCGAAAAAATGTCTGAACAACAGAGAATACTGAATCATGGCGGAGAAATAGAACAAGAATACATTAATTATGTAAAGTCTGGTCCCTTGAAGATATGGCTGAAACAAAATAAATCTTAAGGCATCCAATTAACCAGATGCATAGGGTACAACCACTGGCAATAAATTGGAATTACTTGTCAACCAGACACTTCAGAATAGGTTCTTACTCAATAGGGATATATAATAATTGGGAATAGTCAATTATTCGACTTAATTGATACTATTGATATATCAAAGGTCTTAGAAAAACATATGGTTCCACAATCTTAATAAGAAGTCAGCAATATATGTGAATAACTATTACATTTGGCAAAGAGTAGAATTTCTAGTAATTTGCATATAGAATAAATTCTGATGATCATTTTATTCATTGGAATTTGATTGTGTATATAAATATATAATAAATCATCTTACAACCTAATTGATTTTTCTTGGTTTCCCAAGCAAATGAAACTCCTAAATTGTGCTGATTAAATTCGATATTAAATTATTTTATATTTCTTAATGACTAAATTCTTTCTTAATTTTATGATGATGATGAAGATTTGAATTCTGTAATTTGCATTATTGTTTTGATGAAAAGTAATTAAAATAGCAATTTGGCTGAGACTAGCAATTTGAATGAGGACAACTAATAAATGAAGTCTCTAGTCAATCAAATCATGCAGTAAAATAGTAAAATACACAAATAAAAATCCAATATCAAAAGAGTTAAATGGAATTAAGAAAGCTCAGAATTATTCAATAAACTATATCATATGTTTTTGGGAGACCTCAACATGATACACTCATATTTTTAATAACACACTGACTATAAATTTACCAAAAAATAAATCAAAGTATCAATTTTGTATATTTTAAGAAACAATTCACCTAGCAGGTTCACACCCTTACTAAATCGAATAGTAAATCAATGGATGAAGAATTATATGCTAAGATATTTGATTCCTAACAGCAAAGTCTTTCAAACAGTAATTATTGCGAAGATCCAGAATAAAGTGCAATAAGTGATATAAAGAGTTTTCAATCAAGCAGTTTTTGAATTTGACAATTTATATCATTAATTTATTCTCTTTATTCAAACAAAATACAAAACATATCATTCTCCATTTAAGGGTATCTTATAAATTGCCATTGCAACAACTCCCAAATCAACTCCCATATGAAATAACGAAGTTGTTAACAATCCAAATTTGTCCCTAGTAATGAAAAAGATTCTTCCTCCTATTGCTATCATTATGAATCCAATTAAGGAAATGATCATTAATCTAAGATATAAATCAATGACTTTAAAAAACATACTTGGTAAGAAAATAAATAACAAAAAAATGATACAAGGCATAATGCAAAGCCAAATACCACTTTAGCTATTCATTATATTTTATTTCTTCATGTGTAGTATATTAATCTGGCAAATAAACCCTCCAGAAAAATTCCTCCAAAAATGGATTGGTAATAGATAATAATATCAACGCTAAAATTAAAGACAATTAGTTTCCTTTTAGTGTTTTAATTGCTTCATAATCCAAAATATCATAGTATTGAAACACAACATACCCAAAGATTACAGTTGCCAAAAAGGAACCAATTAAAAATAATAAACCGTAACCAATTTCACTAATGTACAAATCGGTTTTTATTAGTTTTGAAAAATGCTTCTTCTAAATTTATAAACTAATTAACGGTATTGCTAATAAGGTTATAATTTAAAATGCTAATTAACACCCCAAGGGCATTTTCAATACCCACAAGAACAACAAAACCCAAATAACAGGAGATATCATTAATAACTCTAAGAGCAAAAGTTTCACAAATGTCAACTTTGGTTTTTAGTCAGAAAGCTGTACTGTTTCATCATTTTATTCTTCATCATAAACTTTTGAATCCATTTATAAAATAATTATATAAAACAAATTGATGTAATTTATTTCTGATCATCTTTCGAGATAAATAAGAATCCCTGCCATTAGAATAAGATTCCTTGTAAGAACTCTTGACAAAAAGATCAAAAATTACAATTAAAGTGTTCATTGAGATAAAGTATTAGAAATGAAATAAAACTAATGAATTAAGATAATTATAGAATTTAATTTAAGGAAATTTAATGTTTTATCAAATTGATGAACTTCTTGTTATACTTACTAGTTTTATTATGTTATCTAATAGATAATTATTATAAAATGATAGATCACTCATTTATTGCAAATAATTAATATTAAAATAATTCTAAACTAAATAATTGTTGAAACTATAATTTTATGTTGTAGACTTATTAAAAAAGATAATAATCTTTATGTAAATGATATTTTTTAAACTAATTCATTTGAGACAGAAATATATAATTATTGATGAATGTATATATTAAAGTTACATGAAATGAATTAGTTAAAAAGTGAATGATATTTCTAATTATTATTTAGTATGCTATCCTAATGGGATAGTAAAGATTTGAGTTGAATTAGTATTTGATGGATATATGTCAAAATAATTTGAATTTAAATAATGATTAATGAAGTAACTTTTATTTTGTATAATAAACGATTAATAGTTTATCTAGATAATACTTAATTGGATTGCTGATAGAATATTAATAATCAAAGTTTGTAATGAACAGCTTAGTTATAATTTAAGGGAATAGGATTTCTTTGCTTTTGAAACATTCCTCCATAGTCTTTCGATAGTTCTGATTTCTTGACGTATCTTTACAGATAAGATATATCAGATAAGGGTAAAATCAAGTAGGAGTATGAACCTTAACTCAACATGCCTATAACTTCAGAAGAGATTTTTTCTAAACTTATGTTTATTAAAATGAGTTTGCTTACATTTAAAAAATAATGTTTGTATGTTAAGTTGGCAATAAAATTGAGAAAAATAGGGTTGGCTGATTCTTACTATAAGTCATAAACAATAATTATATGATTATTTAACTTGTTATTCGTTGCCATTTCATAAAACAAATACTCCAGGAAATATAAGAAATATTATTAGACATACTCCGTGTTTATTTTATCAAGTTTTACACTCAAGACTAATCCTTTCTTAAAGTCAATGCCGATTATTTAAATTGCTTGTCTTAAAGGTTCATACTCAATTGGTCTTATACTTTATCGGAATTCTTAATTTTCTCTAATTAGCAAATTGATTTTCTCAAAATTGTAGTTTTGACTAACTAATAGATATCTACACAGGCTCAAATCCAAACAATGGTTATGCTTAGATAATTGAATAATTTGTGCAGTGAGTGAAGCAGAAAAAGGATCAAAATTGTTATCATACATTTTAGAATAGTATTGAACTACTTTGATTGAGATTGGATGGAGAAAAGAATTTCTTGTTTTTTCTGAAGCATGCTATCTCTAAAATTAAGAGGGTCTGTCTTTGTTGTCTTAAATTTTGATTGAATTTTCTCTTGACAAACAGGTGTTTTCAAGGTTTCCCATTAATATATATATTAATTAAACTAAAGTATAAAGTTTAGAATATTTTGCTTGGTCTTTTTATTTCGGTGTTATTTGTTGGGCATTTATTATAATTTTTTTATTCAATATGTCTAATAAGGGAGAATCTTTAAAATTTGGATAGGTGATCTCAATAAGTCCATTAGCCAATTAATCCCTTTTTGTCTATAGCGACGGATTAGTTAAAACGGATGCCAAGGTAATTGTAGAGAAATAAGATTAGTTAGTCGAAATATCGCCTGACATAATGGCTGCAGGTTCACTCTATTACTACAGTTTGTATAGAATTTACCCTGATTTCATTACAACCAAATTGCAAATGGCTATAAATTTTAAAGAAGAAACCATGCAGGATGATAATTCAAAAAAAATGTAGAAACTCAAAGATCTCCAAACCAAAGTACAAATCTAAACTTAACAATAGATTATAGCAGATTATAAATCGAACATAGATGTTTCAACCAAATATAAGGATAAGCCATTATCCTTCAATAATTTAATTTAGTTTATGCATGTAGCAACAAATCGATTTTTGTCTTTATCTAGTAAGGAAGCAAAGGACGAAAAGGAAAACTTTCGCTTGGAACTAGTAGAATATCCTTCCTCAAAAACGGTATTTCAATTATAACCTGCCTTCGTACATTAAAAGGAATCGAATTCAGAAGTTTATGCAGGCGATAGTGTATATATCATGTGTGATCACATTTATTTGGGAATCAAGCCGAAACTAAGAGCCACACTTAAGTACGGTGTTATGGATACATATGAGTATCTACAGGATAGATCTATCTACGCAGTTCCCAATTTAAAATTGCTCAAGAAAATGACAGACCAACTAGCACAATAATAGGATGTCTTAGAAATCACTCCAACTATTCAGAAATTCTAGAAAGTCGCCAGTTTAGCCAAAGGGTAAAGCATTCGAAGACAAACAACATGTAAATTTGAGTGCTAAATTATTTAGTAAAATAAGAAGAAGAAGTAAAGCCTGTCGGGTAAACGAGTGAAGTCAATATTTCATTGGAACATCAGAGTCCTTGGGTATTAACGGTGTTCTGTAATTAAAATGACAATGAACAAATTATAAGTTTTAATGATGTTATATGGATTCATCATATTGAAGAAAATTCACTTTTAACTTTGGGTAGAAATCAGGATAATGAACTAATAATAACATTTTAGAAATAGTCAAATGAATAATAGAGCGAATTTAATGGCGACTCCAATGGAATGTTTTAAATTGAAAATGAAGATCTAAACAAAGGAGGATTAGTTGAATGGGGTTAGAGTCTGAGGTTGAGACATTTCATTCTTGGCAAATATTTAGCAATAAATTATGAACCAATAAAATCGGGTTAATTGTTGTTATACTTATCTGATCAACCCACACCCAATACTCTATTCTAATTTTTAGCAGTACCAACTATGGGATCCAATACAGTAAGCTAGAAATATGTCACTAAAGATGCCTTTATGAAGATGAAAGCAGTGGGTAAATCCTCATAATGGGTACATCTAGAATAAAAAAAAATTGTAATTCAATATCTATATATGTTATTAGTTATAAGCAAATAGTAAATACAAGGACACTGTTGTTGAGGAAGATAAATCAGTAATTGTTATTAGATTAACTGATAATACTGAGGATGATGACGTATTGAAATTGTACAAGGCAAATTATAGTGATGTTCTAGAAACAAACTTTCTAATTACAGGTTTCCCAGTTCTTAGAAGAGGATTAACTAAACTCAAATCCAATAAAGATATGACTAAGGAGGCACAGAAATAACAAATGATCAAAACATATAAGAAATTAACTACTACTATTGAAAAGTTAGAAAAGTTTTGTAAAAATTCTTTAATCAACACTTAACTTGATATTAAAAACACCAAAGTGGCGATATTATAGAGATAGAAAATACTAAGAGAATAATACTTCATTGATCTCCTAATAGAAATTATGAAATAAATTACAAACGAAGATGAATTAAGATAATATAGTGAGTATTAGTTAGCCCAGCATAAGGCAGCTTTAGAAAAGCAGACGAAGACTACACTTGCTGTTTCTTAGAGATCTCATATTGGTTCAGATATCAGTCCCTTAAGAGCAAAAGATTCACAAATAAATTCCTTAAGTATTGTATGACTCTATTATTTTCAGATTAAATTGCAGTTGGGAGATCGGCAGCTAGTTAGTTAGTTTCATCCCATCAAATATAATCTTAGCAAAGAACTTAAGCAAGAAAAAAGAAAATGGAAATGGCATTTTTGTCTGAAAAAATGAGTGTGCTAAAAGTTATATATCGATTGCTTAGAAGCATTTGTTAGGACAATCCAGAGAACTAATTTTATATTTACAAATTGTTTCCAAACTTTCTCTATTAAATCAAGTATTTCAAAGAAGCAACTGATTGTATCATAACAGTTCTTAGTGGTAATGAACAAATTTTAATCAATTTGTGTGATCATATTAAATTAAATGAGAAATTAAAAGCTCGACAATAAGTGGATAGTGATGAGTCCTAATTATCAGATGAAATGGATATTCAATTTAATTCATCTGCTGATGAAAAGAAAAATATATTATTATATTATAAAAATTTGACAGAAGATAGTTAAGGATAAAGGAATATTCAATATTTATAATTTTTCAGATGCATATGCAGATTAAATGACTAAAGTATATCTGTAAATTAAGAAATGATATTCAAATTTATCAAACAAAATGAAAATTTTAAGGGTTCTTTGTTTATGCCAATCATCATGTAATTATCTTTAATATTCTTAGTGAATCCACCAAAATGAAAATATGTGTAGATTAAACACAAATTGCATACATTACCAGTATCAAAGAGTAAATAATTATATATTATCGTAGTCCTTTAATTTAAAATTATTTAATAGAATAATTATTTTTATATGCAGATTTGGCATATTAGCGAAACTTTTTGTGGAAATCTTATTTGGAACGTATCTTTCCAACCCAATTTGTATTTAATTAAATTTTTGACGAAGACAAAGATTAAAGCAAGTAAAGTTTAGGTAATTCTGATTAAGTATTTGACAAATCAATGTAAATCAATTATAAGTCAGCATTCTGCAACATGGCAATAACAAGTAATAAATCACTAAAATCTAGTATTTGTCGACCATGAGCCCTTCAACAAAGCAATTGTTCCTAACTTATGTAGATTATATACAGAAACAAAACCAATTTCAAAAAGTGTTTAATCAACTAATAAACTGACCAAATTAGCATCCACATATACTCCCCTAGTTGACAAGACCTTTAAATTTTTAAATGATCTTTATGATTAAATAAATCTGGATCTAGATTACAAAAAGGAGTAAGCAAGAACCAAAGGCTAATTAATAAACTAAGACCCTGACGATAAAAAGAGGTAAGCAAGAACCAAAGATTAATAAAATGATCAAGACTCCTTTATCAATCCATTGGTACTTGATATTACTAAATTAATCTCCATAATGATTAGATTTGACATGCTTAAAATAATGAAAAAAGAAGAATTGTATGTTAATATTGTACCCAAACTCATTTCCCTTTTAGAATATGACAAAAATAACATGCTATATTCATATATACTTAAATCAGTCAGAGAATCAAAAATTAAAAAGGCAACTGAAGGAATCAATTTAAATGTGATAGGAAAAGTAACTGCACAATCTTAATTTACAAAACTGGCTAAAGACTTAGCATCATCTATTCTAGGAATTCCACCAAAATAATAAGGTTCATTAGAGGATGAATTTTCAGATTATGATACAACTGTTATTGCCAGAAATCCAATAGTTTCTAGTCTTATCTCCATAATCACTTATATGGACACTCTTGGAGTCTAAGAGACAAACTCAAAAAATTAGAGTTAATAATAAATACAAAATAACTTCGAAATTGAAATTTAAAAAGAAGTGTGTGGAATCCTTTTATACTTTTAGGATCAAAGATAAGATTTTTACGTCTCAAACTTTATTTAGTTTTATAAGAACTTCACAAATAAGTTTCAATAATTTAGTTGGAATAATACATTATTAAAGGATAAGTTTTTAAAAGACTTAGAGTCTGAATTGGTGCAAGCCTTACCACCATTTTTAAAGACTGGAATTGAAGCCATAGATAAATAAGCATAAACCAGCATAGAGGCCATATATAAATCGAATGATATGAATGAACTAATTGGAGTAGGAAATCTACTGGCACAATAAAAGAAATTTTAGATCTAAAATCCATAATTAACTGAGACTATGGATCTGGATAAATTGACATGTGGAGAATCATAGGCTGAACTCTAACTATTGCCTACCTTAATTGTAACATTTTTTGTCACAAATGACTTTGGATTGTAAAATGAACTTATTGAATTAATGAGAAGGTCCTTCTCCCAAGTTTCTGAAATGATGTATCACTTAAACAGAATTGAATTACTATTTGATAAGGTAGAGATTGGTTGTTATCAATTTCTAGAAGTTTCAATATAAGAATTAAAAGTAATTACTGAATGTTCTGAAGTTTGGTTGGTTGATTTCTTAGCATCTCCACAAGGAGAAGTCAAAGAAATCCAAAAGATCCTAAAGATATTGGCAGATTTGCAATTATTATTGAAACAAGGCACATCCATTGATCATAAAAGTAGAGTTATTAATGGAACTGATTAAATATCAGTATCTAGATAAAAAATATTTAACTTCTTAAATGCCTATGAACCTTTACTGAATTTCATAAGAGATACTCAATAACAATTAGTAAAGGTTTTGGATGATCCATTTTATTCAATGGAGACTAAGAGCTACGTTATCCAACTATTGAAGGCATTATTTGCTTTACTAACAGATTTTTGTGATAAAAATGATGAAAATTAAAAAATTATGCATAAAAATGCAAGTCTATTTATGGATGAATTATAACATGACTATGGATAAATGAATTTGTTAAGTGCAATATATAGAGATAATAAATAATTATGTTAAAAAATTGATGAGATTTTATTAAAAAAAATAAAATCATTTATCTATGCATATGGAAGATAAGCAAGATTTCTCCACTTATATAAAAATATTTAAACCTATAAGAACAACCCAATTATTGAGGTATAAACTAAAGTACTTCAATTGTTTATTCCATAACACATCAGCACAGAGGATTATACAGATATCAACGAATTTTATCTTTATGGTGAATTCAAAGCAATTGATGGTAGAAAAGTACTTGAATTCACATTTGAAAGATCACTAGAAACTAAATTGAGTGATCAACCATTTCTTTATCATAGTGAAATACTGTAGGTCTTATTAGCCACAATTATTGGTGAGGAGAGCTTTAAAATAAATTCTCCTAAATTAAAAAAATTATTTAAATTACATTATTTGCTTGAATTATTATTACAGCCAGATGATTTTTTATCGGAAGAAGCAAACATTTTGGAAGGATTGGTTGACGTTAATCTGGGTATGGTTAATGGTATAAAGCACATAAAGCCACAAATTATTGAAATGGCAAATCTATTATATGTGAATAATAAGGTCACAGACTTATATTTATTCATTAAAGAATAACATAAATTTACTGAGTTCTTTGCTTAAGAAAAAGGCAGATTAGTTAAAATATAATCATTACAAGGTGATTTCGATTAATACTTGTAATACTTTTTTGATTATGTGATTGTTTTGATGAAATATTATTCAAAAAAAGTCATTACAAAAGATTCAGGTTCAGAATATAGAGAAAGATCAGATTATATGGAATTAAAAGATATCATGAACATCATTTTAGGAATGTGCAATACATTGATTCAGCATAAGTTAAAAGTGAATTAATATAATAATTTAGTAGAGTTTGTTCATTCACTTGATGAATAGACTCTAACTGATAATGCAGGATAGATATCTTAGTCACTATAATAACAAGAATTTGCTAAACCTTAAGTCGAGGAAGAAAATTAAACAATTTTCACTTAAAAAAAAAAGGATTCTCCATTAATTCACAATGATAAGGACGAAAAATTAAAACGGACTAATAATAAAACTGATATTGATTAACTAAATTAGGAAATTGTAGATTGGAATACAAAAAAAGCTTGGGAAAAATTCTTAGAAGAATGTTAATCACTTTAATCGACAAAAAAAACACAATCTATTGAAATGAGAATCTTAAGTCAAACATTTTAAGAAGTGCATAAATTTATACCTGATGCTATGATCAAAGAATTAGGTTTGTAAAACTTTTGCTTTAAGGATTTTCTAAAAAAATTAATCCGATTTATCGAGGTAGGTATTATTAATAAAGCGAATAAATCGAATTTAATATATACATTATAACTTTTAGAAGATATTTTAGATTCAAAAGAAGATTTAGAAAAAATTCAAAATGAGTTTGATTCATGCTAAGCTACAAGAATGTTTTTAAATTTATTAGCTGACTTTTAGGTTTATCCTTTTGATGATGATCTCTTAATATAATTATTTAAATTTGCTTTAAAGCTAAGTAAAAATGGTAATCAAAGAATACAAACTACTGTATTTAATTATTTTAGTAATTTTGAAAAATCTGAGATGATCTTTTTAAAAATGAATCAAATTATTTATGAAGTAATTAATGAAAATAAAAAAACATAATAAGTATTGATGCAATAAAAAAGCTAAAAAGATAAGGATTAACATTAAAAATAACTTTATTTGTCTAGTATTTAAGAGTAATAAAATGAAGATGAATCTACCTCAAAAGAAGCTTAAGATGCTAGAAGAAGTAAAATGAGTATACTAATCTATTTGCTGAAATACTTTTAATTAATATGTGAAGGTCACAATTTATAAATCTAAAACTATCTTAGATAGCAATACAATAGTAGAAACAATTATAATATTGTCTAAGCTATGGTTGAATTATTATGCGCTTTTGAAAATGATTTGTAAAGAGATTCTTTTGAAGTGATTATGAACACATTAGAAACATTGACAGAACTTGTCTAAGGTCCTTGTTCACAAAACCAATAGGATATTATTGATTCGTTATTTTTAGATGTTGCATCTAATTATTTAAATATGCATATTGAATCAAAGAAAAAAAAAGATTAGGATGGAGTTTAAGAAAAAGAAGAACATTCTATTAGAGAAAGATCAAATTCATTGCAGTCTAAAAGTACTGCAAAAGCAGGTGCAAAAGTTAAAACAATTTAAATTGATAGATGGATGTTAGAAAGATTAAAATATAAGTGCATGGTTTTAGTAAGTTCTTTGTTAGAGTTAAACTCAGATACGAATGCTATTAAACGAATTCTAAGATCCTTGCCAATTAATGTGCTTAAAAAGAACTTAATTATAATTTACAAAAAGCATTAAAAAATGTACAAAAAATTAGGATACAATAAAGAATCATTAGGACATGTAATTATTTATATTAATAGTATAGCTTGAAGAAAATCCTCATGATTCAACAAAACCTCCTGAATATCATGAATTAATTTTAGAAACTGGATTTTTGATTTACTTTTTAATCAATCATTATGCAAATTTGGATACAAAAGAAATAGATCCAGCAACTAGAGATGAACTTGAGGAAATAAAAGAAAGTCAAAAAAATTCTGATAAAGAAGATCCTTGGGCTTAGTTATAAAATTCTCTTATTGGTTAATTGGCGAGCTTAGTGTTTTCTTTAGTTGGAGGAATTTTAGAAATGATAAATGAATGGAGAGAGTATGCTTAATAATAATTAATGAAATAATTTAAAGGTAAAGAAAGTGCAGAAGAGGAAGAAAAACGAAAGGCAGCAAAGAAATTAGCTGCTCAATAGCTGTTTAATGATAGTATCACTTTTTTTTAAAAAAATTCTGCTACTGTTGAAGTTATTAGGGAATAGTAAATAGAAAAAATCATTTTCTATAAATTATCTTTTTGTAACTACTTACCTTAAGAAACTAAAACTGAGTTTCATGAAACTGTAGATAGAGATTCTACTAATTCTAAAGTGAGTGCTCTAGTTGAAAATATGCCAAATTTCATGGATGTTGCTAAACATGAAGAAGAACTTACACAATTTTTTAATTAGAATAAGTTTGTAGCTTTATTTGCAAAGTATGTTATTTTGTGGAAAGACTTATGCTTTTTATTGACTCTAGTGTTAAACGTATTTATTGTTCTTTCTTACTATGAAGGGGATTCTGATGATCCAGATTAAAGATTTTACGATAGATTAAATTCACCAAAATTTTTAAAAATGTTATCTGTTGAGGAGACAATGTCAATTTTTCGATATTGTGGAATTGGCATGATTGTTTGTTCGTGCTTTGTTGTTTCGTTTTTTATTCTTAAGAAGGGACCATTGTATGTTAAAGAAGCTTGGAATCAAAGTAAGGATTTAATCAAGGAGGATCAAATTTGGATTATTAGATTCTTTTTAAAGTTGTATATGGTTGGTTTTTGTTTGGTTAAGGTGTTATTGAACATAGATATGATCTATTATTTGGCTTATGGTGTTTTGGCTTTCATTGCAACTTTGGTTCACCCGTTCTTTTTTGCTTTTCATTTAAGTGAAGTGGTCTTAAGATATCCCACACTTAGAAATATTATAAAATCTTTTTGGGAACCCAAAGTGGCTTTAGGTTTGACATTCATTTTGGTATTGTTAATGAATTACTACTTCACTCTGATGGCATACTTATTGTTTTACGATATATACACAAATGGTATGATAATCATAATATTTAGGAAAATGTGATTCGTTATTAGTGTGTTTCCTTTCGACGTTTGATTATGCATTTAAAAATAATGGAGGTATAGGAGGTTGGTTTGATGGAAATTTTCCATAAGATCCAGCAAATTATAGTTATGGCAGATTTTTCTTCGATTAATTGAATAATATCCTCATTCAGATGATTAGTATTTAAATATTTTCTGGTATTATTATTGATACATTTGGTGAATTAAGAGAATAGCAATTAGCTAAAGAGGATGATAAAGAAAATATTTGCTTTATTTGTGGTCTTGACAGAGAAATTTTTGATATGAAATCCGATGATGGATTTAATAAACATATCAAATAAAGTCATTATATGTGGAATTATGTTTTTTATATGGCTTACATGGATAACAAAAATAAAAGTGAATATAATGGAATAGAAACCTATATCGCAAATAAAAGAAAAAATTAAGATAATTCTTGGTTCCCTATTGGGTAGTCATTAGAACTTCAAGAAGAATTAGAAGATTAATAAATGATTGAGGAAAGGAAGATATAATCTTTATAATTAAGAGTAATAAATATTAATATTGTAGATTGATGGAATTAAATAATAGAGCGAAAAAGTACTCTAGATTTTAAATGATATCTAAGAATAAGTAGGTTAATGAATTAATATAAATTATAATATGTTTAATATTAAAGAGACTAAAAAATTTTATTATTAATAAATAAAAAATGATGGAAATTTAATAAAATACAAGCTTATCACTTGACTTTTTAAAGCTATCTGTATCTAATCTGAAGTTTCATTTTTTCATCTTCAATGGCTAATCTTTAGCCCAACTTTAAAAGGGATTATGAGACCTTCTCAGATCTCAGTTATTTTTCAGAATTCCTCAATCTACAATGCTCGACCATAGAAGAGTTCTCAAATATCAATTAAGCAGGTTGTTATTCAGACTTTTCTAACAGATGTTCTTCAGGATGAAGCATCTCCTTTGTAAGACCTATTTATGACTAATTACCCTTTTGAGTTTTGTGCAAATTTAAATTATTTTAGGGAGAGTTTGTGCTTCTGAAAGAGGAATTATAATCAAATTTATCAGAATGAACCGATTTATGTAGAGATCCTACTAAAGAGGCAGATCTATTTTCATAAATATCTTGTTATTAACTCACAACTTGAGATTCTTTAACACCATCTTTCAACTTTTGCTGCGAAGTTTTACTTTAATTTAATTTTCTATCTTAGTAAAATATAAATACGGCTAACTGTACTAGCTCTGATTATGCAAGATTTAAGATCCTTTTTAGGTCTTCGAATCTTGACCTGGAACTTTCAATGCTACATTTTGATGAGAAACACTTAAATTTGGAACTTCAAATTGAGCATTCCATAATTCTTATTTGGGAATTTTTTCAAACAAATTTAAAATTTTTTCTTTTTCTACTCCTTTTCTGTATACATTTGATAATGATGGAAATAAATTTACTAAACTATCAAAAATCTTAAAGATCTACACAGTTGTTAATATTTGATCTGATGAGTTTTGTTGTTGTTCTTGTGTAAAAACCTAAGCCGAAACCAAAATTTCATCTAGAAAAATAATCTATTTAATTTACTTCTGAAACATTTGATAATAACCTTTTAGTCACTCCACTTTCTCTTTTAATCATCCATAACCTAGACAGGAGATAATTTGGCAATTTTCTCGCCTCTCCAGACATCATACAATCTTACTTCTGACTCAGCATCTTATACAACTGCTATTCCTGAACTGCTTACGGCTAATGACATTATTCTCCATAATCCTTGCTTTTATTCATCATAGTTTATTTTTGTTCCTTTGCGGAATTAATTTGTTCTTTTGCACAACGTAATCCCTTCAATCGTATTATAAATATGGATGCTCCCATCATAAGAACAGCTAACTATTCTCTCATTCTCACAAAATTCTATATGGCTTACAATAGTTTAATGTTTATCAAGATAAAATCTTTCCTATTAGAAAACCAAATCATATATTAGAATTGACCCTTACTATAATCCTAAGCCTAACAACGAAAAATTTTTAGAGACGGCTAAACAAGATAGTGGGTATATCAATGGAATTTCAATTAATCGGGTTTCATTTTTTTTATTAATTATTGGTAATTGAAATTTCATTTCTTATTCTTAAGTAAACTATGCGATAAGATATTATGGTAAATTATTTCTCTTTGGTTAATTAAAGTAATGAAGTTCTAATTTTGTTGTGTTTGACCATCCAACTACTATACCAACAACAACTTCAAATTATTTAAACTATGAAATATAACAATGATTACCTTGTCAAAGGCCTTTTATCCGTTTTAAACGTTAACTGTCTCATGTATAAAAGCAAAATATGGCTTAAATTTTTATATGGGATATTCCTCACTTATATCATAACCATCTTTAATCTGATGCTTAATTATTAGTTGGTTATTATTTTCTTCTAAACCTGATTCTTCTTTTACTTATTGAATTACTTCCTATTTCTTTTATGGTTAAGCATTAGGTTATTATTTTTTTTTATCTTCTTTCACTTCAACTTCTTTTGGGAGATTTTATTCTTTAAATGAATTTATGATTTCATTAAATTTTTATTCTTTCTTTAATCCTTAAAATTTAATCTGATAAAATAGCTCAGTAATTTCAGTTACTGCAACATCAGTTTATGGATTTAATGGGATTTATTGTTTCAACTATTCTTTTGTAGCCTGTTACTTTTAATTTTACAGCGGAGGCAATAGAGTATTCTAATTCTACTATGATGTTGCCTATGTTGGCTGTTATGATTCCACCTTTAATTCAGGTATTTTATAAATAACCACATTACCATTATATTAAGTTATTAATATATATTGCGAATACTTGCTGATTTCTATATCCATAGGAAGCTCACCAATACCAGTTGCATTTTTAGTGACTTATATAAAATGGATTTAGCTGATTTTGTTCTCTCCTGGTTTATATTTGAATATTTGTACTACTGGATCTAAGTGACTTATTACTCCGATTCTAAAAATGGTGGAAACTGTTACATGCAAATATTTTTTTATTCATCATTCGCTCCATCTCTAATTCCTAAGCAAACTTTATTTATTCTTTTTGGGCTGACCTCTTTTTTACAAATTTTCGTTTTCTTACTCATGTCTAATATAAAAATGTTTCCTTGTAAATCTCCTGCTGCAATTTGTAAATTCGAGCTATTTGAGCTTATAGATGTAATATTCGAAATGTCAAAAATACCCTAAGGAGGCAATGTTCTCAAGGGACCTTCATAATTTGGATCCGACCTGTATTTTTCAATTAAGAACACCTTCGAATATACTTCCAAAAGAATATCCTTTTAGATGATTTTATTAATGAATCTTGAAGCTAAATGTTATCATTACCTAAAGGGCTCAGGTAATTTATCAACAAAATTGTTTGGATTGCAAAAATCCCAATCATTCAACTAATCGTTCATAATAATTTATTATAATATATTTTATTCATCAATAATTTTAATTCAAACTACTAGCCTGCCAACTCGTATGTTGCCTAATTATAATGTTGAATTACTTAATACAAAGTTGTATAGTCCAAGAGCTGCCTTTTAAATTTTTTTGAAATGTATTAATAACAATCTGAACAAGCTTTATCTTTAGCAACTAATTCAATAATTTATTAAGATAAATCATCGAAATCCATTATTTCATCCAAAGGTTTTTGTTAAGTTTTATCAATTAGACTCATCTGTTATTATTGCATATAAAATAAGCTCGCTGCTAAATCGATATCAAAATCTAGTTTCTATCTAAGCCAAATTAACTAATTTTATATTCCTTCTTGTTGTTATTTGTACAATTTTAAATTCTATAATTATTCTTTTAGATTAGCAATATCATTTCTATGTTCTTTCATCAATTAAATTGCAAATTTTGATACTTACATCTAAATTTGGTTTTCTTATTTTAATTATAACCCACTAGGTCCAAGAACTGCTTAAGAGTTTAATGGAATTGGAGAGGTAACTATGTTCTTGTTAACAACATCTTTCACTTGTTTATCAATTTCAACTTTATCAGTAATCTCCTCATTGTTATCCTTTTAATCTGTTTGTCTTTATTTATCCATTTAAATTGGATCATTTGAAAAATATTATTATTATTTTTTTTGCTTATGATATGGAAAGTGATTTGTTAATAATTCTTTAGCTTCTTAAAACACTCTTTACAAATTTTAATGATTAAACCAAAGCTTGGCTTCTGTAAGGTAAGTGTTTAAAGATATCCATTTTTCACCTTAAGATGAATGAAAAAAGGATGATAATTTTATGTCCTTATCTAAAAAAGTTAAATTTATTAGTTACCATCAAGACTTTTATTTTCTATACAAATGTCGAAAATTTGTTAAGGGTAATTTAAAAAAAAAGAAAAATTCATAACTATTTAAAAGGATTTCTACTTTATCAATATATTAACAAACCCAGAAATTCTCAAAATAGATTCATCTGCACTAATTAATTATACTATCTACCTTAAATATATATGTCTATATTATCATTGCAGAATTCATTAATAATGAATGTTGCATCTTATATTAATTTCTCTGGGTATTAAAAAAATTCATTCATATTGATTAATGAAGTCATCTAAGATAACTTTTGAGATCTTTTTGGAACTTCTGTCTCAGCTTATTATTAAGTATCGTTTTAACTTTAAGGGTAGATTAAGTTTAATATTCTTTAATACATTTATTATTTTTCTAGCAAAATAATAAAAAGAATTTAATTTAGAAATGACATTTTATTTTGATTTTCAAAATTTGAAATAAATCAAATATCAATTTTAGATGAAGATGTTTGGATAGCGGCTTGTGTTCTAAATTTTGGACTTAAGGAA